CTGTCGCATTCTCCCTCCCTCCCTCCCTCCCTCTCTCTCCCTCTCTCTCTCTCTCTCATTCCAACTGTTGTTAAGTCACACTTTCCTTACTATCCTGTCGCCTCTCTCTCTCTCTCTCTCTCTCTCTCTCTCTCTCTCTCTCTCTCTCTCTCTCTAGCCTATCCCTTATGTTTCTTTATTGTTTCCATTCCTTTCTGTCTCTCAACCGGTGTCCCTCTCTTTATTTTTCTTACTTATCTTATTGTCTGAGTTTGGCCATCTCGCCAAAATGCATACTTGTCTCGTTAGGCGTCCTGAATCGTTATCTTCATCGCATATTCATCCTAGAAACTATTAGGTCGCAACTCGATTGTGACAATCATTCCACATATTGGGGTTTGGCTCAATAACTTCTGATTTAGAGCCTCAGGAAATATGCCACATGTATGAGTAGAAAGGCAGCAATTCTGACCTATATTGCATGTATTCTTTTGATTTTTTACGACTAGAATGTATTTGATGCCAGGAATAAAATAAATATGGAAATGAGCATTTAAATCCTTAAATTTGCAACACGTTTAGAGATTCAAAGTCATTGTTTTCCGACTAAAATGTGGATTTTTTTTCCAACGGCAATATTCGCGCCCATTTATATTGGTTTCAAAGACCAAACATTTTCATGCTAACAATGTAGCAATAATTTAAACATATTTGTGGCTTACACCCACTAAAAGTTATAAAAGTTAACGAGCAATATAATACAAAAAAACTATCATAGTTGCCAATTTGAAGAACAGTATCATATAAATTTAGCTCTACTTATAAATCCTGTCTCTAAATGGTTGTGATAGTGATAGTTAGACAAAATACAAAACAAGAAAGATTTGAACTCTTATATATATCTCATGCTAAATTTGTCCATTTATTGTTATGATGCTCTTATACAGCTCAACCGCTATTACATGTATTATGTCATAGTTCTACTACCAATTACACCTGTTTACTAATTTAATGATTATATTATTAAAGAAAGGATTCTCGTGAAAATTCCATCATATATATCAAGTACGTATATACTTCGATCATCATCACAGCAGAATTTCTGGCTGTACACCCTGTTAACGTAATATATCTTGAAAGTTGAAACCTATACTTCCTACCATCAGTTTCATAACTCAAACAATTCTGTATAATTATAATGTTGAGCAATATGACAATCAACACTTTAAGAGTGTTCAGTTGCATGACCCAAAACAAGTCAATAAAAGATTGTTCGTGTTTTGGGTCATGCAATAATTGTGTTGTACGGAAATATTATTAAATTATATAAGCCTAGCTTTTAAAGTAGGTTCACTTTTCATTTCCATATCTTATGATTTACAGAACAATCTTTCATGTTATTAATTACTATGATTCAGGATTATTTACTTCAATACATGCATAATCTGAAGAAATATCAATGTTTTTACAACATATATTATGCTTTTTATCCTTTGCAAGGAATATAAATGTTATAAATGACAAATATTTCTCCGATATTTACCTCGATGCCCCTGCTTTCAATTCAAAATATAAAGGTGGTGAATTTTCTACTTCTCTTTCATTAATACATTTTAACTGCAGGAGTTTATCACAAAATTTCGACAACTTGAATCTTTTTCTCAGAAGTTTATATCATGATTTTAAAATAATAGGTTTATCCAAAACGTGGTTGAAGAATTCCTCTCCAACAAATCTAAATGGTTTACATGATTACTAGTTCATATGTAATAACAGAGAAAATAAGCGAGGGGTGGAACAGGAATTTATGTTCATAATACTTTAAATTATTCTTCAAGAACTGACTTATCAATTATTAATGAATCATTCGAAAGTATTTTTTATAGAATTGTCAAATAATGGCAGATGTAGAAAAAACAATAATTGGTGTTATATATGGTCCACTATAGGACTTGACTTAGACTTGTTTCTCACTGATTTTACCAATCTGTTGTATACAAAATTCATGTAATTGCTTCATTATGGGTGATATCAGTTTAGACTTAACGCAAATTGGTATTAATTCCAAAGTAGATTCTTTTATTAATCTTCTATATAGCTTTTACTTACATCCAACTATTGACTGTCTAACTAGACTTACCTCAACATCTGCTACTTTATTGGACAATATATTTACAAACATGACTGTTGCCATCAATTCAGGAATATAATTGAGTGATATAAGCGATTATTTGCCAGTTGCTTTATATATCTTTTTACACTTGTTACAAATAACCAACCGCTTACTTAAAACAAAACGATGTATTAATGAAAAGAGCTTATATTCTTTTTGTACTAAACTGAACAATGTCAAATGGGATCCTGAAATGTTTAAAGATGTTGATATAAGTTATACCTTTTTACAAATATTCCATGATATATATATATATGAAGAAAGTTTTCCTATCAAATCTTATCGTGTAAAACAAAAGCATAATAACCCATGGTTTACTAAGGATTACTGAAGGTTTGTCACAGAAAATCACTCTTGTATAAACAAAATAAATATGTTAAACACCCAAGATTGTATAGAGAAAAAACTTTTAAGAAGTTTTGAAATTTTGTTACTTTAAAGATACGACAGGCTAAAAGAGATTACTATGAAGAAGAGAAAAAAAATTCAATGAAGTAAAATGTAATATAAAGTCCACCTAGAAATAAATAAATAGTCTCTTAAATTGTAAAAAGAAGGAAACAAATCAAATTGACTCAATTGTAGTTAACAATGTAATTATAACTGAGAATGAAGATATGGCTAATTCCTTTAACAATTTCCTTGTTAACATTGGTAAGAATTTACAAGATTCAAATAACACAACTTCTGATAATTCCTTCTCTGATTTTCTTAAACATCCAAATATATACTCAGTTTTTCTCAAGCCTGTAACTAAACATGAAATAATAACCATAGTCGATAATATGAAAAATAATTCAAGTGCAGGTGTTGATAACATTATTATAAAAGTAGTGAAATATGCTATTCATCTAATAAGTGAACCGCTAAGTATTATGTTTAATAAATGTATATCAAATGGCATCTTTCCATTAAAAATGAAAATTACCAGAGTTACTCCAATTTTTGAAAAAAGTGATCGTAAAGATAGTAACAATTGTAGAACAATCTCAGTCCTAACAATAGTTTCCAAAATTTTAGAAAAATGTAATCATAATAGACTTATACATTTTATTGAAAGTTACAATATTTTTATTGACAACCAATTTGGATTATTAAAGACGGGGACACACTACAGCTACAGCATTACTAGATTTAATAGCATAAATAAAGCGATTCAGGAATACGCTCTTACTATATTCATTGATCTAACTAAGGCCTTTGCTGTTATATAAAATCATTCTATTTTATTACACGAACTGAAATATTACGGTATTAGGGGCACACCTTTAAATGTTTTATCAAGTTATTCATCTGATCGTAAACAATTAATAATTGTTAATGGAGCTGAATCCCAAGTTAAAACAATACCTTTTGTTTTTTATTTATATCAATGACATGCCATGTTCAACCCATAATTTGCGTTATATTTCATTTTGCAGCCGATACCAGTGTATTTTGTAAAGGTCGTGATCCTACAACTCTATTTCATTTCGTAAATACTCAATCAATTAATTTAAGTAAGTGGATGAAATCCAATGAGTTAATATTAAATACTAATAAAATTAATCATATTATGTTTGGAACTAAAAACCAAAATTCCAATCGATTTAAATTTGTTCTATTGAAATAAAAAGATAACTCGGGTGTCAAGTACAACATTTTTAGGAGTAATTGTAGATGAATCATAAATCATATTTGTAACACTTTATCTGAAAGTGTTGGTGTTTTATTCAGATTGAATTTCTTACCTCAGACTGTTTTGAAAATGTTATATCATGCACTCATTTCTTCCCATTTAAATTATTGGAATATTGTTTGGGGCTTCACTTCTAAAAGAAATATGGAATAAATTTATAAATTACAAAAACGTGGGATTCGCCTTATATCCATTTAACACTCTACCATTATTTTAAAAAAAATCCAAATCCTACATAACCATGATTTATTAACCTTAAATACTAGAATTTTCATTTCATCTTTCTAATTAACTTCTTCCTAAGATGTATGAAGATTATTTTACTTTGAATTGTTCCATTCATAATTACAATACTAGAAATGCTCAAAATATCCACCTCTCTTTAAACCGCTTATCAACTACTCAGAATTAATTAATTTGTTATACAATGGACCAATTATTTGGAATAACCTCCCAACTTATCTAAAAATCGTAAGACCATAAAACAGTTTAAATGATTGGTTAAACAACACCTACTGAACTCATAAATGATAGTATTTTGTTGATGTTTCCTATCTTTTCTTCCTTATCTTTTTTTTAAATTCAATTTTTGATGTTTTCGTTATGTTTTTCCTTTAATAATTTTCGATATTTACTTACAATGTATGATAAATATGAATAAATATACTTGTTATTTGTTAAGGGGTCATTTTCAACGAGCCAGTTTAGTGCTTTTTATGACCCCGTCGTTATTATTCATAATTATGTATATGTAATTGATTTTTAAAGTGGAAATAAATTGAATTTGAATTTGAATTTGAATTTGAATAATAAAACACTATCAAACTATCTATTTTATGTATGAACAAAATGGAGTTTGAAATCAATGAATTCGAAACCAATTCCATCTGTGTTGAATTCATTATCCCTAATAATCAGGAATATATCTTTCCTCGATAGTCAGAGGAAAGCCCTTCAGACTTCTTGCAATAGTCTTATAATTATGATTCTGTATTGAGTTTATATCATTCAAATTTTTGATTCAATGTATATAGATAATTATAGATAATTGTCATTACTATGTACTGCACGAATCTTTTCTAAGTATAATAATCAGCCTCCGGGGTTGTCGGTTACGCGGGTTGTCGGTTTTGATGATTGCCGGTGTTATAGTTTGTCGGTCGACCACGATTAATCACTCAATACCATCTGTAGGAGGAAAGCAAAAGGATGTAATTTATTTACAATATTGTTCCATTTGCAGCCATCAACTGAAATGACTAAATTAATAGGTAAATCCATCCTCGTAAAATTTGTTTTTCCACTCCACACTTGCAGATCAGTTAATCTCCGGTTCCCTTTGTGCTTAAAAAAAACACTTTATATGTATTTATTACAAAAATCTAAGATTATCATTATTTAAGGGATCCACATTTTACGAGCCCTGCTTTTTCGGTGGATCCCTCAGTTTCCACAATTTTTCATTAAAATAAGCATACATAATTTAAAGCAAATATAAACATTTTATTTTGTTATTCAATGAATGAATTGTAAATGCATCACATCAAAGCACATAGATTTATGTTGTGTGAGAAATGAAAATGAAAAACCGGACCCGAATCTGAAGCTAAGACCATGTATTAAGCCAATTTTATGACATCATCAAGAAATAAGATAGATCATTGACATTTTTAGTTCCCTTTAAAAAGAACCGAAGTGCTAACGTCAGATTCGCACGTCGTCCATGCAGGTTACTGGTTCCAAAGCTATGATCACAACTCAGAGCGGCGACCGACCGATTTGTAGCCTACTCGGTCGCCGCTGGAAATTAGGCATCGCCCAACGAATTTTGGAGAAGTCAAGCAGGCTATAGAGATTCATCGATGCCTGGGAGGTGCCCTGTCGATTTCCCGCGAATCGCCGGTCGACTTTAGGTCAAAACTGGGCAATATCGGGGAGCTTCCCCGGGCGGCGTGCCGGCAGTGACCGACTGATGACCCATCGATTCACGAGCGGTCTCCCACCGGCCACCGGCTGATTTTAAAATGACTAGTTACTAGAGGGCGGTATTCAATTTGATGACATCATCTGTGAACAACTCTCCATGCCTTTTGTACATAAAATTTCACAATTTTCTCGTTTTCTTCGTATTTATTTGTGCTCTTGATCCGACTTCATAACATGTGAAGTAGAATATCATTTTGCATTATATATCTTGCTTTCAGGGGAGTAGATTATCTCAATCACAAGAAAGAAGCATGGAGAGTTGTCCATCAACTTGAATACCGTCCTCTAGTGACTAGTCATTTAAAAAAGCTCTAACTTCCTCATTCCTTGCCCGATTTTGTTCAAATTTTCACTGATATTTTTCAAATATCTTAAACTTTAAAATAAAAGTAACTTAGTATGAAGGTTTTGGTTCCCTTTAATAATGTTTACCTAAAATATGAAATTCTATAGCTCTTTTGAAAAGTAGAATGAAAAGAAAGTTTTAAAAGAGAGAACAGGGAATGTATTGACATCATGAAACATGCCTTTGTTAAGGAAAGAATACACAAATCGAACACAAGGAAAAAAAAATCATTAATGATATTTTTTTTATAAAGATCGAGCTAACTAGGGCGGATAACAAATACTGACTATGATGTTCTTCTAAACTCCATTCGCTGTTGGATACAAGTTGAGAGTGAACACACGAACAAACTTTGTCGATTAAAAGTGATTGATTTTAGAGGGAGAGAATGAAAATCTGTATTGTCATGGTGTGTTTGTATTAACCTCTATTGAAATGCAAAAATAAAATAAAGTATTGCTTTCAAAAGAGAGAGAATACAAATTTTGTAAAGATTAAGAACCAGAAGCTGTTTTCCTTTCTGTTTTAAATACAAAAAGCAATAGCTTTTTTCGAAAACTCAGAGAAAATTCATAACTTTTCAATTTATCTTCACTTAACTGTTTAACAGGATTTTGAAAAAAAGAGATGATAGGAAAAAAAAAGATAGGGGAGAGACAGAAATCGAAACTACATCAAATTATAATATTGATGCGTTATTTTAAAAAGAGAGTAAAAAAGGTATAAACCTTCGGAAGCGTTTTGTTCTCGTCAATATACGTTCTCAAAACCATATTCCTCTCACGGTTTAAAAACTAATATTTCCACTATTACAACCTCTCTAGAAATTAGCTATATATTAAATGTAAGCTTATTTAGTTGTTAAAGGGACTTGGTAACATTGTTCAGATAAGAGAAAATGGTTCTTCAATGCTATGTATAATCACAGATAATGTGAAAGTTTGAGTGAAAACGGACCATTATCAATGACAAAAACTTGGAAAAACTGATCTGATCAATTCTAGAATCTGATCAATTTTACATTATTGCAATTTAATTACATTTTAGGTGAATGTAAGTCGTCACAAAGCCTTGAATTGGCTCTATATACCATTCAAAACATTTAAGTGTTGACAGTTTTTTTTAAAGCCTGTGTTATGTCTATTTTCAAGAAAAAAACAGTTGGGAAAAATATGGTTAGAGTATTTTCTCGGGATTTTTTGCCTCTTAGTAAGTACAGTAAGAGGAATATAATAATAAAACATGATACAAAAATTACACAGTTTTTTCATCAACCTTCAACAATATTAACGAGTCAATTTAAGAAAATATTCAAATATGCGCAGGCTCAGCCCGCTCAAAATGTTTACCTCAATGCAAGGATATGTTGGAGTAGGGGATTTTTCAGAACAGCTAGGTGCGTTCACTTCCAACACTGCATTGATCCTAATCTTCTATTACTCAGAGACTTCCGTTCTCAAAGCGCGGTTTGCATGATAAGAAAGTAACTGATAATGATGGTACGGTATGGTATTTTAATTATTTATTATTAATTATTTTGTATTTATTATTTTGTATTTATTATTATTCTGCCATGAATTTGCTCACCCGATATCTCAAGAATGGATAAAAGCATCATCAAAGGATCCTAGTCCAACTTAGAACTGTGTGATTTTCCAGCGACACCAGGTTATCGTGACGTCATCGAGGCGCCATTTTGTGAAAATCAACTAACGATCATATCTCCATTACGGAAATCATTTCTCATTCATATTGATACGCGTTCGCGTACGTCCTGGCATTAGTAAGCGCACAAAATTATATATCAAAAAACTTTAGTATCGTCTCATCTTAATTTCTTAGGCTCGATTTTCTGCCAGCTACGGATTTGTTGTAGCTGAGAATATTTTCTGTACACGGAAGGTGACATTTATTTATTTATCGGGATTTGGGATCATGGCAATATTTTAATTACAAGATGTGATTTGAGAATCCGATTGTCAGTTTACGTGTAATGTCAATGTGAATTTTGTTGGTATATTAGCGATATTGTTTCAACCTACCTCCTATAGATCTATAATATTCAATGCCACACAGTTGAAACTTGACATTTAGATAGACGATAATGCATTTTATAAGATAATATGAAATCGTGAAAACGCGTTCTTCATTATGTTAATCAGAATTTGTATAACCTAATTTGTCAAATTCAAGTCTAGTTTCTTATTTTTTGGTGGTTATATTCTTGTTCAGATAATTATGGCTAATTCCGATTGTTTTATCTGAATAACAACTGATCATAATAATTACCGTTAAGTCTAGAACTACTTCTTTCACTGGAAGTTCATCAACTCGGATTTCGTGATATACTAAGAAATATTACAGTCATAATACTCAACATGTTATACAGAACACAGGAGTTACATTCTAAGTTTACTTTGCGGAAACGACCAAAACAACTTTATTAATAATAATTCCTCTAAACACAGAGGCGGCGGAGCGACTCCCAAAGTGGGGGGCACCAGAAACACCTTCAAAGGGAGAATTTAAAGCGAAAATATACAATTTTGTGTAGACATTGGTATATACCCCTATATTGTGATTACCATGGGTGTCGATCCCCCCAAATATTTCAGGTGGGGGGGGGGGGGGGGAATGGCCCAGGCGCGGATCCAGGATTTCTTAGGGGGGAGGCCAAAATTTGAAATTATGCGAGCCAAATATTGGTACGTAATGGCAACTAGCAGTGACGTAATTAGGGGTGGGTGGGTACAGAGAGGGGCGAGTTTTTCCCCTCCCTCCTCCGTGAAGCGCGGAAGCTTTGACATTTCAATAAATAATAGAGAAAGAAGACGATTCGTTGTACCATTCCCAAAAATAATCCTCGTCTGAATTATGTTTCCCCCCCCCCCCCCCATCCCACGAGAAGCGCGAATGCTTTTACGTTTCATTAAATCATTAGAGAAAGAAGACGATTCGTTGTACCGTTCTCGACTCTTAACCCTTTTAAATTCATTTTTCCCCACCCCCACCCCCTACTGCGCGAAGCGCGGAAGCTTCGACGTTTTATTAAATTATAAGAGAAAGAAGACGATTCGTTATCTCGTTATCGACTCTTAATCTTCGTCTTAATTCACTTTTCCCCAAGCTTTTACGTTTCATTTAATCATTAGAGAAAGAAGACGATTCGTTGTACCGTTCTCGACACTTAATCCTTGTCAAAATTCAGTTCCCCCCCTTTCTTCATTCTCTTTTTTTTCTTTCCCTTTCTCTCCTCTTTCCCTTTCCCTTCCCTTCCTTATCTCTCTGTTAGGTTTGCTGGGGGGGGGGGGAGGGGCAAGGTCATTTTGGTCCTCACCCCGCTCCACACATTGTAAGCGGGATTAACCGCAACTGATCTCCGCTTCTTTTCTCCCTTTTCTTTTTTTCTTCCTCTTTTTGTTCCCTTTTAGCTCTCCTCTTTTCCTTTTCCTTCCTTCTCTCTTTTTTTAGCGGGGACGGGGGGGGGGGGGGGGAGGCTAGGGCCTTTTGCTCCACCCCCACCGATCCAGAACTTGTTGGTGGGAAAATTGCAACTGATATCCCTCCTTCTTTCCCTTTCCTTCCTTCTCTTTTATTTTTTAATTGGGGGGGGGGGGGAGGGAGGGAGGGAGGGAGGGAGGCAACAGCCTGGGAGGAAGGGTCCTTTTGCCCCCCCCCCCCGATCTCCTTCTTCCCTCTTTTCTTTTCTTCTTCCTCTTCTTTTGTTTCCCTTGGCCTTGGCCCCCCCCCCCTGGATCCGTGCCTGGGATGGCCTGTACAATCATCCCCCCCTAATAATTCACTATCAAAAACCAAAAAATTGAAAAATTAATGATGAGAGCCCGATGAGAGTAGTTAACTGAATTCAGCAAGGATTAAGAGTCGAAAATGGTACAACTAATCGTCTTCTTTCTTTAATAATTTAATGAAACGTCAGAGCTTCCGCGCTTTGCGCGGGAAGGAGGGGGGGGGGGGAAAAACTCCCCCTCCCTGCACCAACCCCCTAGGAGGTGCTCACTACCGCCCCCCTAAATTAAAATCATGCCTATATGCTTGAGAGGATTATAACCCAGGTAGCAAGCCCATGTGGGACCCACATGGGTCCCATAATTCTCTAAAATATTGTCTTTATTGAGGGTGACTTGAAAAAGTTAATAACTTGGAAGGGAGGGGTGCAACCTGCCACACGCCTCTACCTCTTGGTTGCTTTGATCCATTGCCGAAAATATTTTGGCACCTATCATCCCCCCAACCGAGGATACAAATCGACACCCTTGGTGATTACATTATCAGGATGATTTTAATATTTGTTTCTCTTTATACATCATACAAAATATTGCCTAAGCATCATACTTTGCAGTAGGGTGTGATGGTCTGAAAATTCATTTGCGAGTGAGCAAAGCATGTAGCAAGACTTCAGGACAATAGATGGACAAATTGTTTAACAGAATGGCAACCAAGAATGGGAAAGAGAAGAAGAAGAAGGCAGAAGAGAAGATGGAGAGATGACCTTACATCATACATGGGAACGGCCGCTTGGACTTGGACAGCTAGAGACAGAAGAGAATGGAAATTTCATGAGGAGGGCTTTGTCCAACGTCTGGATGAACTATAGCCTGATAGATAGATAGATAGAAAGCGAGCGAGGATTTTTTTCTTCAGATTTGTGAGGTCGTAGTGAGACAAATTACATCTTATAAAGAGGAAAAACCCAAACCTGATGGGGTTATAAGCACGTTCTCAAGACGGAATTCAGACTGAAAAGACCTTTGATAAGTCACATAATTATAACATCTATAACTACGAGCGAGCTTTGGTTGGAATTGCTCTTAGTAGCTTGAAATTAAGGGCACGTGTAATGATGAAAGGAAAAGGGGACACTAATCGAAAGGGTTAAGGACACTTATTAGAAAAGAAAAGGAGCACGTGTCAAAGTACAGAGGTGAAAAGGGGCACCTATCGCATCTAAAAAAAAAGGGCACTGACCATATATGAAAAGAGGCACTTAAGAGATTGTAAAGGGGGCACTAATGATAAAAGGGAAATGTGCATTTGTTGAAAGAAAAGGGGCACCAATCAGAATTTAATAGGGACATATATCGGAGGGGAAAGGAGGCTTTTATGAAAAGGGGGAAGTGGCTCTTATTAAAAAGAAAAAGAGGCACATGTTAATATAAACGGGGCACTTATCAAAGATGAAAAGGGGTAATTAATTATGAGAAGGGGAGGGGCACATATCAGAAGGAAAAAGAACATGATTAGGAAGGAAAAGGGGAACGTGTCAAAATAAAAGTGGTATTTATGAGAGAAGAAAAGAGCACTTATCAGGAGGTGAAGGGGCACTTGTCAAAGTAAAACGAGTATCTCTCAGAATTGAATAGAGTCATTTACAAGAGATGAAAAGAGGCGCTTATGAGAATGAAAAGGAACTATTTTCATAGATGAAAGGCGCATTTATGATAAGGGAAAAGGGCTTTTTTCGAATTGGGGCACTTATCATAAGGAAAGGGGGCACTGATTAAACTGGAAAGGGGGCAAATGTGAAAATATAAGGTGGTTTATCCAAGTCAAAAGGGGGTAGTTATTAAAAGGGGAAGGGGCACATTTTACAAAGGAAAAGGGGCGCTTCTCGTAACTGAAAAGAAGAAATTACTAGAGATTAAAAAAGACAATTATGAGAATGAAAAATGGACACTTTCCTATGTTAAAAGGTGCATTTTTCCTATGTAAAAAGGGGCAGTTTAAAGAAACTTGAAAAAGGGGGGCCCGCTGCCCCCTCCCCCTCCCCCCTCTGTCCCCCGGGAGCACCGCCCCTGTCTAAACATACTTTTACACAACGAACTCCAGCATCTTCTAAATGGTCACAGTTATTGACTCCAAGACCTTGATGTGGGCACTCAAAGAGACTCTGTTCATTTCCAATGCAATTGACGTCATCAAGGACGATGATTCCAGTACCGGGACCGAATGGAATACTAGAGACAGCTTCCCAAGCACCAACAAAACCGAGAGATCGACAGACCACACTGGCATCGTTTGTATCCCAAAGGTCATTACAAACAGTTCCCCATTCTCCGTTGTACCAGACCTCTACACGTCCTTCAGAATCTGTGGTGCCTCCCATAAGACGAGCATCACCATCTGTAAAAAGAAGAATTAATTTGTGCTTATTCACTTTTATTTCTTTCTTTTTTTTTGTAATTCTTATTCAAATGATTATGGCTGATTTCGATCGTTTCATCTAAATGATAGCAATTCATAATCATTTCTGGTAAGTGTATGCTAAGGCAACTACCTTTTTCACTAGTAGTTGCTGTACTTCGATTTCGTGATATACTCAACATGTCATATAAAACACGGGAATTACATTCGACGTTTACTTTGCAGAAACGACCAAACTGACTTTATTAACAATAACTCATGTAAACATACCTTCAAGCACTAGACAACGAACTCCAGCATCTTCTGAATGGTCACAGTCACTATTTCCAAGTCCTATATGTGGGCACTCAACGAGACTCGGTTCATTTCCAACGCATTTGACGTTATCAAGGACGATGGTTCCAGTACCGGGGCCGAATCCAGCATATTTGACAGCTTCCAGAGCACCATCAAAACCGAGAGATCGACATACCACGCTGGCATCGGTTATACCCCAAAAATCATCACAAACAGTTCCCCATTCTCCGTTGTAGCTTACCTCAACACGGCCTTCAGAACCTGAGGTGCCTCCCACAAGACGTACCTCTCCATCTGTAACAAGAGGAAATAATTTTTTCTCATTGATATTTACTTTGTATTTGTTTAATTCTGAATCAGAAAATTATGACTAATTTCGATTGTTTTATCTGAATGATAGCTATTCATAATCATCACTGTTAGGAACGTACACGTGTATGTCAAAACCAGAACTGCCTCTTTCACTACTAGTTGCTCTACTCAGATTTCGTGATATACTAAGAAATATTACCATTATAACACTCAATATGCCCTATAAAACACGGGAGTTACATTCGATTTACTTTGCGGAAACGACCAAAATGACTCTATCAATAATAACTCATCTTAACACAGAGGCGGCGGAGCGACTCCCAAAGTGGGGGGCACCAGAAAAGTCTCCTTCTGGAAAAAAATTGGCACCTTCAAAGGGAGAATTTAAAGCGAAAATATACAATTTTGTGTAGACATTGGTATATACCCCTATATTGTGATTACCATGGGTATCGATCCCCCCAAATATTTCTGGTGGGGGGGGTGGCCTGTACAATCATCCCCCCCCCCAATAATTCACTATCAAAAACAAAAAAAAATAGAAAAATTAATGATGAGAGCCCGATGAGAGTAGTTAACTGAATTCAGCAAGGATTAAGAGTCGAGAATGGTACAGCGAATCGTCTTCTTTCTTTAATAATTTAATGAAACGTCAGAGCTTCCACGCTTTGCGTGGGAAGGGGGGAAACTCCCCCTCCCTGCACCAACCCCCTAGGAGGTGCTCACTACCGCCCCCCGGCCCCTAAATTAAAATCCTGCCTATATGCTTGAGAGGATAATAACCCAGGTAGCAAGCCCATGTGGGACCCACATGGGTCCCATATTCTCTAAAATGTTGTCTTTATTGAGGGTGACTTGAAAAAGTTAATAACTTGGAAGGGAGGGGTGCAACCTGCCACACGCCTCTACCTCTTGGTTGCTTTGATCCATTGCCGAAAATATTTTGGCACCTATCATCTCCCCAACCGAGGATACAAATCGACACCCTTGGTGATTACATATCAAGATGATTTTAATATTTGTTTCTCTTTATACATCATACAAAATATTGCCTAAGCATCATACTTTGCACTAGGGTGGTGATGGTCTGAAAATTCATTTGCGAGTGAGCAAAGCATGTAGCAAGACTTCAGGACAATAGATGGACAAATCGTTTAACAGAATGGCAACCAAGGATGGGAAAGAGAAGAAGAGGAAGGCAGAAGAGAAGATGGAGAGATGACCTATCATCATACATGGGAACGGCCGCTTGGACTAGGACAGCTAGAGACAGAAGAGAATGGAAATTTCATGAGGAGGGCTTTGTCCAACGTCTGGATGAACTATAGCCTGATAGATAGATAGATAGAAAGCGAGCGAGGATTTTTTTCTTCAGATTTGTGAGGTCGCAGTGAGACAAATTACATCTTATAAAGAGGAAAAACCCAAACCTGATGGGGTTATAAGCACGTTCTCAAGACGGAAGACTGAAAAGACCTTTGATAAGTAACATAATTATAACATCTATAACTACGAGCGAGCTTTGGGTGGAATTGCTCTTAGTCGCTTGAAATTATAAAGGGCACGTGTAATGATAAAAGGAAAGGGGACACTTACCGAAAGGGTTAAGGAAACTTATTAGAAAAGAAAAGGAGCACGTGTCAAAGTACAGAGGTGAAAAGGGGCACTTATCGCATCTGAAAAAGAGCACCGACCATATATGACAGAGGCACTTATGAGAATCAAAAAGGGGCACTAATGAAAAAAGGGATATGTGCATTTTTTGAAAGAAAAGGGGCACCGATCAGATTTAATAGGGGCATTTATCGGAGGGGAAAGGGGGCTTTTGTGAAAAGGGGGAAGTGGCTCTTATTAAAAAGAGAAATAGGCACATGTTAAAATGCACAGGGCACTTATCAAAGATGAAAAGGGGTAATTATGAGAAGGGGAAGGGCACATATGAGAAGGAAAAAGAGCATGATTAGGAAGGAAACGGGGGACGTGTCAAAATAAAAGGGGTATTTATGAAGAAAAGAGCACTTAATAATAATAATAATAATAATAATAATATTCCGTGTTTATATAGCGCTCAGTACATCGATCCGACGATGTGACTAAGCGCTTTACAAATATATCATACCCCGGTCATCGGATTCAGGCTTACCCGCACACAATGTATGCACATTTTCCACTCCCTGGGGAGCAATCCAGCCAGTCGCCATTTTACAAGCGCACACTAGCTCGTCCAATCACATGACCGTTCGCATCCTACCGGGTACCCATTTAACATCTTGGTGGAGAGTAGCAAGTGCAGGTAAATATCTTGTCAAAGGATATTAGTGCCGTGTCGGGATTCGAACCCGCGACCTTCGCATCTCGAGTCAAGCGCCTTAAACCACTCAACCACGACACTCCCACTTAAAAGGAGGAGAAGGGGCACTTGTCAAAGTAAAACGAGGATCTCTCAGAATTGAATAGGGTCATTTACAATAGATGAAAAGACGCACTTATGAGAATGAAAAGGAACTATTTTTATAGATGAAAAGGCACATTTAGATAAGGGAAAGGGGCTCTTTTTCGAATTGGGGCACTTATCATAAGGCAAAGGGGCACTTATTGAAATGGAAAGGGGGCAAATGTGAAAAAATAAGGTGCGTTTATTCAAGTCAAAAGGGGGTAGTTATTAAAAGGGGAAGGGGCACTTGTCAAAGTAAAACGAGTATCTCTCAGAATTGAATAGGGTCATTTACAAGAGATGAAAAGACGCACTTATGAGAATGAAAAGGAACTATTTTCATAGATGAAAAGGCACATTTATGTTAAGGGAAAGGGGCTCTTTTTCGAATTGGGGCACTTATCATTAGGCAAAGGGGCACTTATTAAAATGAAAAGGGGGCAAATGTGAAATATAAGGTGCGTTTATCCAAGTCAAAAAAGGGTAGTTATCATAAGGAAAAGGGGCACTTATTAACATGGAAAGGGGGCAAATGTGAAAATATAAGGTGCGTTTATCCAAGTCAAAAAAGGGTAGTTATTAAAAGGGGAAGGGACACTTTTTACAAAGGAAAAGGGGCGCTTCTCGTAACTGAAAAAGAGGAACTTACTAGAGATTAAAAAGGGCAATTATGAGAATGGAAAACGGACACTTTCCTATGTTAAAAGGTGCACTTTTCCTATGTAAAAAGGGGCAGTTTAGGGAAACTTGAAAAGGGGGGGGGGGGGCACTCTCCCCCCTGTCCCCCGGGAGCACCGCCCCCGTCTAAACATACCTTCTACACAACGAACTCCAGAATCTTTTGAACGGCCGCAGTCATTGAATCCAAGACCTTGATGTGGGCATTCAAGGAGACTCTGTTCATTTCCAGTGCAATCGACGATATTAAAGAGGATGGGTTCAGTAACGGGGCCGAATCTACCATCAGAGACAGCTTCCAGAGCATCAACAAAACCGAGAGATCGACATACTACCCTGCCATCGTTTGCATTCCATAATTCATCACAAACAGCTCCCCATTCTCCGTTGTACCAGAGCTCTACACGTCCTTCAGAATCTGAGGTGCCTCCCATAAGACGAGCATCACCATCTGTAACAAGAAGAATTAATTTGTGCTTATTCACTTTTATTTCTTATTTTTTTGTAATTCTTATTCAAATAATTATGACTAATTTCGATTGTTTTATCTGAATGATAGCTATTCATAATCATTACTGGTAAGTGTATGCTAAGGCAACAACCTTTTTCACTAGTAGTTGCTGTACTTCGATTTCGTGATATACTCAACATGTCATATAAAACACGGGTATTACATTCGACGTTTACTTTGCAGAAACGACCAAACTGACTTTATTAACAATAATTCATGTAAACATACCTTCAAGCACTAGACAACGAACTCCAGCATCTTCTGAATGGTCACAGTCACTATTTCCAAGTCCTATATGTGGGCACTCAACGAGACTCGGTTCATTTCCAACGCATTTGACGTTATCAAGGACGATGGTTCCAGTACCGGGGCCGAATCCAGCATATTTGACAGCTTCCAGAGCACGACCAAAACCGAGAGATCGACATACCACGCTGGCATCGGTTGTACCCCAAAAATCATCACAAACAGTTCCCCATTCTCCGTTGTAGCTTACCTCAACACGGCCTTCAGTACCTGAGGTGCCTCCCACAAGACGTACCTCTCCATCTGTAACAAGAGGAAAAAGTTTGTTCTCATTGATATTTACTTTGTATTTGTTTAATTCTGAATCAGAAAATTATGACTAATTTCAATAGTTTTATCTGAATGATAGCTATTCATAATCATCACTGTTAGGAACGTACACATGTATGTCAAAACCAGAACTGCCTCTTTCACTACTAGTTGATCTACTCTGATCTCGTGATATACATGTACTAAAAAATATTACCATCATAACACTCAATATGCCCTATAAAACACGGGAGTTACATTCGATTTACTTTGCGGAAACGACCAAAATGACTCTATCAACAATAACTCATCTTAACACAGAGGCGGCGGAGCGACTCCCAAAGTGGGGGGCACCAGAAAAGTCTCTTTCTGGAAAAAAAATTGGCACCTTCAAAGGGAGAAATTAAAGCGAAAATATACAATTTTGTGTAGACATTGGTATATACCCCTATATTGTGATTACCATGGGTGTCGATCCCCCAAATATTTCAGGTGGGGGGGGGGGGGGGATGGCCTGTACAATCACCCCCCCCCCCAACAATTCACTATCAAAAACAAAAACAATAGAAAAATTAATGATGAGAGCCCGATGAGAGTAGTTAACTGAATTCAGCAATGATTAAGAGTCGAGAATGGTACAGCGAATCGTCTTCTTTCTTTAATAATTTAATGAAACGTCAGAGCTTCCACGCTTTGCGTGGGAAGGTGGGAAACTCCCCCTCCCTGCACCAACCCCCTAGGAGGTGCTCACTACCGCCCCCCCCCCCCGGCCCCTAAATTAAAATCCTGCCTATATGCTTGAGAGGATAATAACCCAGGTAGCAAGCCCATGTGGGACCCACATGGGTCCCATATTCTCTAAAATATTGTCTTTATTGAGGGTGACTTGAAAAAGTTAATAACTTGGAAGGGAGGGGTGCAACCTGCCACACGCTTCTACCTCTTGGTTGCTTTGATCCATTGCCGAAAATATTTTGGCACCTATCATCTCCCCAACCGAGGATACAAATCGACACCCTTGGTGATTACATATCAAGATGATTTTAATATTTGTTTCTCTTTATACATCATACAAAATATTGCCTAAGCATCATACTTTGCACTAGGGTGGTGATGGTCTGAAAATTCATTTGCGAGTGAGCAAAGCATGTAGCAAGACTTCAGGACAATAGATGGACAAATCGTTTAACAGAATGGCAACCAAGGATGGGAAAGAGAAGAAGAGGAAGGCAGAAGAGAAGATGGAGAGATGACCTAACATCATACATGGGAACGGCCGCTTGGACTAGGACAGCTAGAGACAGAAGAGAATGGAAATTTCATGAGGAGGGCTTTGTCCAACGTCTGGATGAACTATAGCTGATAGATAGATAGATAGAAAGCGAGCGAGGATTTTTTTTCAGATTTGTGAGGTCGCGGTGAGACAAATTACATCTTATAAAAAGGAAAAACCCAAACCTGATGGGGTTATAAGCACGTTCTCAAGACGGAAGACTGAAAAGACCTTTGATAAGTAACATAATTATAACATCTATAACTACGAGCGAGCTTTGGGTGGAATTGCTCTTAGTCGCTTGAAATTATAAAGGGCACGTGTAATGATAAAAGGAAAGGGGACACTTATCGAAAGGGTTAAGGAAACTTATTAGAAAAGAAAAGGAGCACGTGTCAAAGTACAGAGGTGAAAAAGGGCACTTATCGCATCTGAAAAAGAGCACCGACCATATATGACAGAGGCACTTATGAGAATCAAAAAGGGGCACTAATGAAAAAAGGGATATGTGCATTTTTTGAAAGAAAAGGGGCACCGATCAGATTTAATAGGGGCATTTATCGGAGGGGAAAGGGGGCTTTTGTGAAAAGGGGGAAGTGGCTCTTATTAAAAAGAGAAATAGGCACATGTTAAAATGCACAGGGCACTTATCAAAGATGAAAAGGGGTAATTATGAGAAGGGGAAGGGCACATATGAGAAGGAAAAAGAGCATGATTAGGAAGGAAACGGGGGACGTGTCAAAATAAAAGGGGTATTTATGAAGAAAAGAGCACTTGATAATAATAATAATAATAATAATATTCCGTGTTTATATAGCGCTCAGTACATCGATCCGACGATGTGACTAAGCGCTTTACAAATATATCATACCCCGGTCATCGGATTCAGGCTTACCCGCACACAATGTATGCACATTTTCCACTCCCTGGGGAGCAATCTAGCCAGTCGCCATTTTACAAGCGCACACTAGCTCGTCCAATCACATGACCGTTCGCATCCTACCGGGTACCCATTTAACATCTGGGTGGAGAGTAGCAAGTGCAGGTAAATATCTTGTCAAAGGATATTAGTGCCGTGTCGGGATTCGAACCCTCGACCTTCGCATCTCGAGTCAAGCGCCTTTAACCACTCAACCACGACACTCCCACTTAAAAGGAGGAGAAGGAGAAGGATCTCTCAGAATTGAATAGGGTCATTTACAAGAGATGAAAAGACGCACTTATGAGAATGAAAAGGAACTATTTTTATAGATGAAAAGGCACATTTAGATAAGGGAAAGGGGCTCTTTTTCGAATTGGGGCACTTATCATAAGGCAAAGGGGCACTTATTAGAATGGAAAGGGGGCAAATGTGAAAAAATAAGGTGCGTTTATCCAAGTCAAAAGGGGGTAGTTATTAAAAGGGGAAGGGGCACTTGTCAAAGTAAAACGAGTATCTCTCAGAATTGAATAGGGTCATTTACAAGAGATGAAAAGACGCACTTATGAGAATGAAAAGGAACTATTTTCATAGATGAAAAGGCACATTTATGATAAGGGGAAAGGGGCTCTTTTTCGAATTGGGGCACTTATCATAAGGCAAAGGGGCACTTATTAAAATGAAAAGGGGGCAAATGTGAAAATATAAGGTGCGTTTATCCAAGTCAAAAAAGGGTAGTTATCATAAGGAAAAGGGGCACTTATTAACATGGAAAGGGGGCAAATGTGAAAATATAAGGTGCGTTTATCCAAGTCAAAAAAGGGTAGTTATTAAAAGGGGAAGGGACACTTTTTACAAAGGAAAAAGGGCGCTTCTCGTAACTGAAAAAGAGGAACTTACTAGAGATTAAAAAGGGAAATTATGAGAATGGAAAACGGACACTTTCCTATGTTAAAAGGTGCACTTTTCCTATGTAAAAAGGGGCAGTTTAGGGAAACTTGAAAAAAGGGGGGGGGGGCACTCTCCCCCCTGTCCCCCGGGAGCACCGCCCCCGTCTAAACATACCTTCTACACAACGAACTCCAGCATCTTTTGAACGGCCGCAGTCATTGAATCCAAGACCTTGATGTGGGCATTCAAGGAGACTCTGTTCATTTCCAATGCAATCGACGATATTAAAGAGGATGGGTTCAGTAACGGGGCCGAATCTACCATCAGAGACAGCTTCCAGAGCATCAACAAAACCGAGAGATCGACATACCACCCTGCCATCGTTTGCATTCCATAATTCATCACAAACAGCTCCCCATTCTCCGTTGTACCAGAGCTCTACACGTCCTTCAGAATCTGAGGTGCCTCCCATAAGACGAGCATCACCATCTGTAACAAAAAGAATTAATTTGTGCTTATTCACTTTTATTTCTTATTTTTTTGTAATTCTTATTCAAATAATTATGACTAATTTCGATTGTTTTATCTGAATGATAGCTATTCATAATCATTACTGGTAAGTGTATGCTAAGGCAACTACCTTTTTCACTAGTAGTTGCTGTACTTCGATTTCGTGATATACTCAACATGTCATATAAAACACGGGAATTACATTCGACGTTTACTTTGCAGAAACGACCAAACTGACTTTATTAACAATAACTCATGTAAACATACCTTCAAGCACTAGACAACGAACTCCAGCAACTTCTAAATGGTCACAGTCACTAACTCCAAGTCCTAATTGATGTGGGCACTCAGAGAGACTCTGTTCATTTCCAATGCAATTAACGTTACTAAGGACGATTATTCCAGGACCGGGACCGAATGGAATACTAGAGACAGCTTCCAGAGCACCAACAAAACCGAGAGATCGACAGACCACACTGGCATCGTTTGTATCCCAAAGGTCATTACAAACAGTTCCCCATTCTCCGCTGTAGCCGACCTCTACACGGCCTTCAGAATCTGAGGTGCCTCCCACAAGACGTACCTCTCCATCATCTGTAACAAGAGGAAATAACTTGTTCTTTATTTATTTGTATTAGGTGATACGTACGGTAGGCCTACGTAGTACGTATCAACTTTTGATTTCATTAAGATTTTAGAAGTGCGTGGCTCTTCATCGACATAAGATCATCGTGACGTGATCTAGGCGCCATGTTGTGAAAATCAACTAATGATCATAATTATCTTCATGACGGAAAATCATTTCTTATTCATATTTATCACGATCAAGGTTAATATCCGTCCGGTAAATTTTAAATAGTAAGACCCCCCCCCCCCCCCCCCCCCCCCCCCCCCTGTGAATATGTACGATTTTGCTGTTGAAGGAGTAAATTTATACACTTATTGTGCATACCGGAATTTAATATTTTACTGAGGATTACCCTTTCAATTGGGCAAGAAGCAAAAAAATATTAATAAAAAAAATTCTTTAAAAAAAAAGTTCTGGCGCACTTTGGTCCCACCCTGGCCCACTGTGCGCTGGCTGCAGCGGGCAGAGCTAATGTTTTCTAGCTTTTGCTGAAGCTTGGCTTCCATTCGGGAGCATTGCATAGACATTATTGAAGTTATGCCTTACGTCATTATAAAAAAGAACCTAAAACGCAGCGGTTTTGCAGCGTAATATCTGAACTACACCTTACGTACCACCAGGCGCGTACGCAGGATTTTTTCAAGGGGGGGGGGGGGTTTAACATTTATAAATCGGGCCGAAAATTTCGCAACGACTCAGCCAGCCGCTGAATAAGCGGGGGGGGGGGGGGGGTAAGAGGACACATTTTTTTTTTTTTTTTTTTTGGTCCCAAAAAAAATCGCAACGACTCAGCTGACCGCTGAATAAGCGGAGGGGGGGGGGGGGGGGGGGGGGGGTGGGGGAGGGGGGGGGTAAGAGGACACACTTAATTTTTTTCTTTCTGGTCCCAAAAAAATCGCAACGACTCAGCCAGCCGCTGAATAAACGGGGGGGGGGGGGGGGGGGGGGTAAGAGGTCACATTTTTTTTTTTTTTTGGTCTCGAAATTTGAAAAATTGACGTTTTGCTCCGTTGGGGGGGGGGGGTTTTTTAAATAAAAAAAAAATAAATAAAAAAAAAATCCAAAAGGGGGGAGGTTTTAGAGAAATTTAGGGGGGGTTTACACACAAAAAATTACCAAAGGGGGGGGGGTTTAACCCCCCCAAACCCCCCCCCCCCCCTCCTGTGTACGCGGGGTACACATGTGTACCACTGAAACATGGTTTGTGCCTGCACATTACTTACCGACTGTTTCCTCCACGTTCAGAATATCTGGCCCAGGCTCCTGGATGTAGGTTTCGCGGACAACCGCTGATTCGCATTGAGTTTCCAGAAAAGCACTAGCGGTGACTACAGCAGCGAGTAGAAGAAACATACTGATAGCAGTCTTTGACGCCTTTACTGCACGGGCTCGAAGACTGGAAAACAGATACAAGAAAGGAAATGGGTCGTCAGTTTTCGTGTGCAGAAGGCCTTAATTCATTAATTTGTGTCCAGTTGGCACACAGCAAATCAGTAGGCCTATTAAGAAATGCCCACTCGTTTCTCGGCGAATCTTCGGGTGAGGGCAAAAGTAAGATAATGACCTTTTCATAGGGATGGGGAGGGGGGGGGGTGGGGAAATGCAAAGCATTACGTAAAGCTTGTTGGTCATTAGGCTATTTAACTCATGGTGATTAATACACCTTTTATCGGGTAAACTCCCGAACGGTGTCGATATCCCGTAAGAGCCCACTCCTCCTGCTTCGGTGACAACATGTAAAGAAAGACCACTTGTCCTGAGCGATCATAGTTTGTTTCCTATGGGTAGTGTTTCTTATTTAATTGTATTCCTTAATAAGGACGTTCTGCATTAACATTCGTGTGCTCCTTTTTTTGCCCAGGGCTCTTGGTTCCTGGATTTATGCATAGTTAAAGTCCCTCTAAACTGTTGGGAGCCCCAAATTTGCCAACATTTTAATGGCAAAATTTCAATCAAATTGTAACATAATGTGTAAGAGGATGTCATTATTAGGCACAAATATATAATCACTTGATAAAGACGTAATGTACGTCAAAAATTCCTGACTAATACAAAATGTTGGATTTATATTCTTTTGCTATATACAAATATTTCACATTTGAAATCATTGTATGCCATTAGCATATATTATTTATTCATGCATATAGCTCATTCCATACCAAAGTTGTCCCCTAACGATCATGATCTGTGTGAAAAGGAGTTATCTCTTAAAGAATATACAGTTTCCTTATTCGCTATGGGGAAAATAAATCAACCGACAACGACGGAATTACTCTCGAGTGTTAATCTAAATTTTTGAATAAACTTGGACCCTTCCTTGTATAAACACTAAAATTCAGTTTAAGGAAAGGAAAGCCTTTCCACCACAGAGACAAGGCGTGATCACTTCAAAGCAAAAATGAGCAAGGAATATCGACCCATAACTATTTTAAACGTTGATGTCAAGATAGGTTCTAAAGCCCTGGCACACAGACTAAAATTGTTCTACCATCAATAATATAACCGGATCGAGTTGCCTTTCTTAAAGATGGATACATCGGTGAAGCTATCAGAACAGTAATAGAGACCCTCTTTTTGTTTACTCTAGAGATAAACGAATTTCCGGAATTGCATTAAGTCTTGACTTTAGAAAAGATTTGATTCGGCAAATCATCAATTATGAAAAAAAAGTGTTGAAGAGCTTTAATTTTGGTAATAATATTTGCAACAATGTAAGTGTTCTTTCTATGGACATAGAAAGTTGCGTAATGAAGAGTAATATTTTAACTTTTTTACCAGTAGGAAAAGGTGTCAGACATAGGGACCCTCTATCTCCCGACTGCTTTACTTTAGCAATTGAATTCGGAGTCATATCTTCATTCAAGAGCTTTGCTTGTTGAAATTAAGATTTTTGTTTAACTTTTTTTGATTTCTAACAAGGCAAGAGCAATTTTATTACGACAATTTAATTGAATCCACCATGCATAATAAAAGTCGAATTCGTGAATGTTTTGACAACTCTCAGAACCGTCAAAACCTACAGTTTAGAAAATGGAACGGCACAACTTCAAAGAATTATATAAAATATAAAATTTCGACTGAACCCATCGAAAGCCAGAAGTCCCTCACCGTGCGAAAAACAAAATTGGCCAAATTTTCGCTTGATTTCATGTGTTTAATGTAGCCAGTATAGTTTCAATCAATGGGTCTTTTATCCATAAAGTGAACAATGTGTTATACAAATGTGTATCGGGAGGTCCAGACAGAATAACGCGTGGAGTATACAGTAGGCTTGCGTGTGCACCATGAGAGGGAGGATTGAGGAGTCCTGAAAAGGACTCTCGGTAATATTTCTTGAGGTTTTTTTTTCTTTCTTGAGGGTCCTTTTCAGGACTCATCAATCCTCCCTCTCTCTCACATGGTACACCCGTAAGCCTACTTTATATCTACATCACCATGCAAGCCGATACTTACAAGCAGCATCTAACACGTGAAGTGTTGTGCGATTATAATGATGAAGGTCGAAAGAATATTTGTTTAACAATTTTGCAAGCTCAGAACATTAAATGGAAAACAAGGCTATTTACTTCAAGCTTTACATGTTAAAAATCAATACGTTTACAAGTAGTGTCAACAGTTAGTGCATGGGGAATATCTTTTCAATTGTAATTTTGATGTGAAATACTTGAATATTATAGGATCCTCGGTGGTCTGGAGAAGTTTTTAGAAACATGGTGTTTTTTTTAGTCGAAAAACGCTGATGCCAACCAAAATATTTGGATAATTCATGATTACAGGAAACGTGAAATCTTTATCCAAATAAGAAATAAAAGAAAAGGGATTTGTTAAAAAAATTGATTATAATTATGTTAGATGAATTTAGACGACCCTTACGTCGGAAAGACTAGAAAGAAAAAAGGCTAAAATTCACTGAGTATTTTGCATTGTTAGATGGTTATTAACAAACACCAGGATCTTGGAAGCATTTATTTCGGAAGCAAAAATCAATATTCTGTTTTACAGATCGAAACGAATTTCCTTCTACTTTCTGTGATTCAAAATTAAAAAAATCGTAAATATAACAACAAAGCTATTTCACGATATTTTGTAAACATTAAATAACCCAGAAATTTACTCGTCTTAACCAACAGTTCAATATGCTAAAGCAACTAATCTTTGATTCTTTCACTTTCCCAGCAAGAGTAACTGTTGACTCCACACTTGACATTGCGCACTAGAACATTTTGAACAATTTAAAAATGAGAGTCATTGTGAGTGTGTTGGGACAAATAAGAAAGCTGTCCGCCTCTACATCACATGGAAAATATGAAATGTTGACTAGATACACGTGGCGTCATAATAACATTGTACATAATCTGGTAAAGAGCATTAAACAGAACGGCCTTGTTAGTGATCACCAAGTATGTGCCAAAGTGGAAGGGGAGACTTATCAATGGAGGGACGGTTCCCCCAACCATTGTTCCCACACAACAAAGACCTGATATGTGTTTTTTTTTTTTTTTTTTTAGAAAAAAGGAAATGCTAGTATTTGAGTTGACAATCCAATTTGAAACCAACATGCAACAGGCCCACCAAAGAAAAACGGATAGGTACGCCGGACTGATACATGAACATATAGCAGAAGCCGGTTGGACCCCCAGGTATAGACAATTATAACTTCGGATATATAAGCTTTCTCTCCCCGTTTGGGTTTATGTTATTTTTTACAGCCTATCTGAACTCACTTGGAATCACTACAGTACTCGGAGGTGTAAGTATTTTGATTAGACGTATATAACTTGTTATAACGGGACCTCCACCTCACTCTCTTCAACTCTCTCTCTATGGAGATTCCCGTGGTTGATTACTTATGATGATAATAAGAGATTGACAGATATGACCACGGTATATAAATGAATAGTGAGGTATTCCTAATAAAGAAAATAACGTTGTGATGTTCTCTTTTCCGTTTTGTTATTGTGTATTGTAAATGTTTAACCCTGCATGATATGCATCTAATGCAATTTAAATCTCGGTCAATCCCAAGTTAAAACAATAGGATGCGGAATCCCTCAAGGATCTATAAATCCATGTTGTACATAAGGCTTTATTTTCATCGCGTGAACAACTGTACTAATCCTTAAAACATTAAACTTTTGGTAAGATGCCATTTTTATACATGGCATGCAAAAATCAGCGTCGAGCAAATCACAGACCATTAGGCATTAGGCTCCGTGCACATAGTCGTCATTTGCATGTTGTAAGACAGCGTCGAGATTTCTTATGGTTTGGGGGTAAGCATTGTGATTTTAATAATGAAATGATAATTTTAAAAACCCAAACAGAAAAAGAGAAACAATAAACACTAAATATTTACGAACTGAACAGCGCATACATTGATTTGAATAAGTGTCATGTGGACTATATGAATTTACTTGCTAAGAATACACGGTTATACATTGAGTGATAACATACAGGGTTTAAAAAATATACATTTCTTCACTATCCTTTTCCTAATCATCAGAAAGCAAAGTAATATCAATCATTAATCATCCAATAACTCTGAAACTCTTCTGCTCCATAACTGTATGCCTGTGAAGTTTTACTCGTTTTCCAAAATCTAATTTTTTAACGTTGCAAAACGCTTTCTATAATTGAGCGGGCATATAATCCTAATGGAAGAACTTACCTCTAGGTGTTGTCAGATCTAAGGAAATTATCGATGTCTGTAGGTGATCCTCTCTTAAGCTGCTATCAATGCAATTTGGAGACTGTCGACTTATAGTACGTTGTTCCTTAATGATCTTCCCTTTATACATTTTGATCAAATTGTTCTACCCTTTACCACGAATACTATGAAGAAACAATTACATATTCTATACCCTCACATTTTGTCTTATTTACATATTTACATACATTAACATATTTAACATTTATCTCACATGTCCTTGGGTGACATATGTTCTTTTAAAACCTTTACAAAAAAACAAAAAATAGTTTGTTACAAGGTGAAACCAAAACAAGTACACTGTCGCTCATAAAGGTGGAATATATTTTTTAATCCCAATTTATGGAATTATTTAAATAATTTTTTTTTTTATTAAATAAAAAAATCTTCTGTGTGCCCATGCCTTGAGCCATAATGCATGGCCGTCCAGAGGATTTTTTTATGCTGGGGACCGGGGTAAAATGCAATAAATTATTGAAAATTTATTGCATTTTCTGGGTTTTTTAATTTATGGAAACTGCCCCCTACCCTAGCCCCCGCTGCTTACAGTCATGGTTCAGTGACACAACAATGGCCTCGTTACTGTGAGGCCCCATGATCTAAACCGTGTCGATGTGCTATATAAGTGCCCTTTTGTGGGGCAATAGTCTTCATTACTGTCATTTATGACCTAGTTAATAAGCATAGTAGCATGCACATGCTTTAGCAGTCCCACAAAACACACATTGGCAAATTATTATTCAATAAAATCTGAGAATGTATACTATTATCTAGATCTATTATTTTTAAATAATTTTTAAAGTAATTCAATAAATTTGGATAAACTAAAATATCCCACTTTTATGAGCGACAGTGTAAATATAATTGCTTATCTCCATCAATAAGTACTTAGCATACAAATTGCCTATTTTGATATGCGTCAGCATATGGAGGACGCAGCCTTGGTTTCCAACTCTTCTGCACATATCAGTCGCCCCGCCCCTGCTTCTTCCGGTAGGCTGTCTATGCCTCAACAATCATCCAATACCGAACTTGTTCCCAACACTTTAGAGGGGCTTAACGGTTGTTGGACAATTACCCCCCCGGGGGGGGGGGGGGGTAACTGTCCTTGGGGGTTACTTTCCGGGGGTAATATTCTGGGGGGTTATTGTCCTTTGGAGTTTCAAAGAGTGAAATATATACATGGTAGACATATGAGTTTATAAATATGAATTTAAATGTTATTGTATGATAATTATGTAAACTTATGTCTTGACATACATCGCAGTTTAACAAATACCTGTACCGTGTTCGTTATACTAATTTCACGTTTTGAAAGAGTAAAAAAAGGGGGGTATGCTTATTGTGGGGTAAATTCATCTCACATTAGGTAAAATTTTACCCATCGAATAGAATACCCATGTTCTCCCTTTACCCTTGTCTAGATAAACTGTATTCACCCCTCCCTCCCCCAAGGTAGATTATTTGATAGTTGATATGGCGTATTTTCCTTCCAACAGCAAAAGCGCTGCACTCTTTAAGATGTCGCCATATGTCTGGGAGATACATATCTCTTCAAAAAGCTGGATTCATAGTTATTACTCACATCATATGTTGGAGCAATCGTATTCAAGATATTTATTCATGATAGGTGTGAATACCAGTTAAAACCGGGTTGTTCATTGTATTGTCTTTGTATAGATATGAGGAGCAGTTTGAACCGGTTCCGATGGTTTGTGTTTACGAAAGATATGCATCTCGAATGAACATCAACTATTAAATAGGATTTTTCTCACCGGTACATAACGCCCGTCAATGTACTAATTTTAATCTCATGGTTGTCTAAGGCATTAACATATTAAAAGTAGTTCACTATGTGAAGATGATTCAACGGTCTGGAAGGACTACCTCTACTAATTTCAATTTTATGATTGTCTAAGATATTAACATATTACAAAAATTTCAATATGTAAAGATGCTGCAACGGTCTGAAAGGACTAACTCTAAATATGAATGAAATAATTATTGTAACGATTTAAAGTTGTTACTAAAGGGGCTAAAATCTATTAGTCTTGTAGTTGAGTACTCGGAGTGCTGATCAATATGTCAATGTTTGTATTCGTATTTGTATTCATAATTTATTTATTATTATTATGTACATGGTAAGTTAATACTTTGTTTGAAAAGCAGCAACGTATTTCAACTCTTCTCTCCGTCTCTCTCCTTCTCTCTCTCATCCCAACTGTTAATTTACACTTTCCTTCCTATCCTGTCGCCTTCTCCCTCGTTCGCTCTCACTCTCTCTCTCTCTCTCTCTCTGTGATTATATATCCCTTATGTTTACTTTTATGTATTGTTTTCATTCCTTTCTGTCTCTCAACCAGTGTCTCTCTTTGTTTTTCTTGCTTATTTGTATTGTCTTAGTTTGACCATCTTGCCATAATACATATTGTTTCGTTAGACGTCCTGAATATATATCTTCATCGCATATTCATCCCAGTGGCGGATCCGGGGGGGGGGGGGGGCCGGGGAAAAAAATTGTGCTCTGTACCCCCCTCCCCCCCCCCCCCCCCCCCACTGAGCGACTTTTCGGCCGGCGCGATTTTCAAATTTTCGGGAGCAAAAAAAACAAAAAGTTGGGCCCCCTCCCCTAAGAAATCCTGGATCCGCGCCTGATTCATCCTAGAAACTTGTTGGTCTCAACCCTATCGTGGCATTCATTCCACACATTGAAGTTCTGATTTAGAGCCTTAGAAAATATGCCACATGTATGAGTAAAAAGGCAGCAAATTACACCTACATTGCATCTAAATTTTTTCACGACTATAATGCTAGAAATTAAAAAAGAAGAACCGAAAATGAGCGTTAAAATCATTGAATTGGCAACATGTTTAGGGATTCAAAGTCATCTTTTTCCGACCAGAACTAAGATTTTGTTCTTCCAACGGCAATATTTAATTCAATTCAATTTTTCAATTTATTAATTTCAATCATAAGACAATGTATATACAAAAGTAACATGAAACAATCATAATCTTACAATTCTGGAATTAAGAAATTGGAGACTAAAAAGGAAGTTTGACAAACATGTAGTTATAGTAGTCCCCTGACATACATACTAATTAACAATATTACAAGTTACCAAAACAATAAAAATTTATAAATAAGATACTACACTTTTTTTCCCCCTCCACATTAAAGATTCACACCGATGAACACACACACCCACACACACACACACGCACACACGCACACACAAACGCACACGCACGCACGCACACACACACACACACACACACACAAATGTTCTTTGATATTTTATATGTGTTTTGTGGCATGATTAATTTTGTTAGGAATGTTATTTGGATCTGCAAAGATCAAATTAATACCCAAATCCGAATCGTTTTTATATTCAAACGTCACAAAAGCAACTTTGGCGCAAGTCGGTTTTTGCACTCTCGCAAACAATGCCTTCTGTTCCTCCAAGCGTAAACACATACCACACAAAAATAATACTAAATGATTTGGGATAAAACACTCTTTCATAAGATGTATACTCATTTCCTGTTCATAGATGATTTTTAAATAATTAGCAATTTTCTAGGTGTAAACTTTTTTTGACTCACACTGTATGGGAAAAAAGACACTTTGTTGTGGTATGATTTCATTTCGAAACAAACTTAGATACGATTAACAAAAAATTTATATTCGGGCAATCGTCATATCAATTTATATCATCATAATATTCATGGGATATTCATGGGCCTCGCTGCCTAATACAAACCCAATTTCTGAATTTTGAGAGCGAGCAAAAAGACTCTTTACTCTCTAAGAAATGTTATTTTATCATGAAAATACCCAAAGCGATTTGGGGCATCGATCTGGTGAATCCATGTTACTTCGTTTTTTTAAATGAAGTTAACGTTATCTCAAAATAAGTTTTAATAATACAACAACAATTCTCTCGCGGCTTCCCGGTTGACTATTATAGATGGTTTAACGTTGGGGGGGGGGGGGGCAGACTGACAAGGCCGAAAGGGGATATACGCTTTGCCCTATTCCATTTAGATCCGGAAATTTTTGCAATTTTGCATGTCTCTTTTCCCGTATGTCATCTTTCACCCCTACCTCCATTTTCTTTTTCTTCTCTGCTGTACGCTACATCAAGGACACAAATCAGATCACCCCAAAGCATTTTTTTTTAAATTTCAGCCATTTAAAAATGTACAATCATGTCGTCTGTTGTCCCCATTTTACTGATTCACATTAATATAGGATTTTCCTGCCAAATTCGCGAGTTTTTCATTTAAATTAACTTGTCTTGCGGTCAAATTTGACGGTTTTAGTGCTGTCAAATATATCTTGGGTTTATACTCCTTTTTCTAGTTTCAAATCTATTAAGTTTTCGTTAGAATCTATGTATGTTTCATTCAAATTAATGAATAATGTGCTTCTTTCGCTATTTGGTCATTCGATTTGGCGCAACACGATTTCTGACACCGCGAAGGTGTACTTTTAGCATTCTAATTCATTCGTAGCATTCAAATTAGCACTTTGTGCACTTAAATTGATGGTCAATATACATTTCTCGTTTATTACACACTTTTTCTTTCAAGATTATTTTCATTACTGGTATCGAAGATTGAACCGGGGATTAACCGAAAACCGCCAGACAACATGCGTGATGAATGGAAAGGGAGCGTGACGCAATTAAAAAATAGTTTTGGTGCTGAGTGTATTTTATACATACAGTCTGGGACCGGTGTGACCACGTAGAATGTAACCCGCACCGTTCGTCCGGGAATTAGAGATCGATCGAGAGCGGACGATCGGTGCGGATTTTTACCCGCGCAGAATGTCCGTGTCGGATATTCCGCGCGCGCCTCAATTGTTTGACGGACATTTTGTGCGGAAGAGGTCTCCGCCTGCCGCACCGACTGTCCATACCCTTATTCACATGTACATAGTCAATACAAGTATAATTATGCACAATGACTGAAACGGTTGGATAACCCATATTCAGCTTGCTAGCTAGCTGGGAATGACATTACATGTCTCCCAGTCCATACCCTTATTCACACGTACATAGTCAATACAAGTATAATTATGCACAATGAATGAAACGGTTGGATAACCCATATTCAGCTTGCCAGCTAGCTGGGAATGACATTACATGTCTCCCAGGCGCGGATCCAGGGGGAGGGGGCCGAGGGGGCCTTGCCCCCCTCCCCCCCCCAATCGCCGAAAAAGAGAGAGATAGAGAGAGAGAGAAGGAAAAGAAGGGAAAGATAAAGAGGAGAGAAAGGGAAAGGAGGAAGAGGAAGAAGACAAAAAAAGGGGGAAAAGAAGGAGAGCGGGGGCGAAAGCCCCCCCCCGAAAAAGAGAGAGAGAGAGAAGGAAAATTATGTAAAGGGAAAGAAGAGACAAAGACAAAGGAAGAAGAAAAGAAAAGGGGCTGAAGGGTATAGGTCCCCCTATTTGATAAGCATAGTATCATACACATGCATTAGCAGTCACGCAAAACACACATTGTCAAATTATTATTCAATAAAATCTGAGAATGTATACTATAATTATCTAGATCTATTATTTTTAAATTATTTTTAAAATAATTCCATAAATTTGGGTGAAACAAAAATATTCCAGCTATATGAGCGACAGTGTACATTGATTTGCCGAGTTGCTTCTTTTTATCAAATATACGCGTAGAACAATGTGAGGACAGACTGTGCGGATGGCAAACCGCACGGATCGTCTCTCGGACGATCCGTGCGAGTCACGGAGGATCGGTGCGAGCAGAAAACCCGCATATTATGTCTGACGGACAAACGAAACTGGTAGGACAAACGGTGCAGTCACACCGGCGCGGAGCTAGAGGCCGATTTGGTCAGGCATCACCTAAATCCACCACTGTTTCTAAAGCTAAACAAATGATAACAAAAAGAAAAATTTCACCTTTTCAGTATTTCTTACATTCCTTTTGGTTTTACTTTTTTTTCTTCAATTCCCTTTTTAAATTCATTAACACTTTCAAAGTTCGACATTATCCTTAAAATATGAAAATTGGAGACTCTGTCCCGGGTGGTCTGGATTGGCATGCCCTGCGGTCTGGACTTTGAGAAGCCCTGATTGAAGAAATAAACTTTGGGATGTTGATTGGGGTTATATGAGCATGGTTGATTAATATATTCATATAGAAAACTTTGCTTCAGACAATTTCACCATTGGTACCGTATATATAATGCATTTAATTTTTATGAATTATCTATGCAACAAAATTAAAAAATGCAAAACGGTCACTTGATTAGAGTACACATAAACTTCACAGGCAAATTTTATTATAAGGTTTTGTATAACTTACACAAAGCTCAGTCTTTTTCATGTTTGCACAGTAAATGGACATTGATGACTATAAAAATTTGTTCCAACAATTTGACGCCTTTGATAACATAAAAAAATGTAACACCATCGGGAAAGACAACGCAATATAAAATATATATTTTCTACACTTTTCTGTTACATTACTGACTCAAATTCAGACAGACCCCGACAAAATAATTGTTTTAGCAATTTTTAAGTTACTAAAATAAGGATTATCACATTTCTGTAAACTCTTTGCTAAGATATCTTTACCAAATTTTACACTTTGAAAATAACAATAAATCATGAAGTATTAACATCGTTGTTTGTGACATGAGGGCACAATGGCGGAGAATTAACCTAAACATTTGGGAGAGGGGGCGGGTACCGGTCCTAAACAAGGGCATTCACCCATTTTTCTTCTATTAACCATTTGATTGAGTAGGCACGTGGCCCCATTATGTGTGAGCTCCATGGAAATTTAGCTACAGTGATCTGCTTAAGGAAATCTTGACCGTCTTCAGGTTGTGACCTAAAACAAATTCTTACAGTATCACAATGAATTTAAAAGGCTACAAATCAATTACACAATAAAAGTAGAAAGTGTGTAACAGAGCTTCGGAGTAATAACTTAAAGATAAACTTGAGTTCTGGTAAAAAAAAAAGAAAATAAATTATTACAGAATCAAACGAAACTTACACTGAATGTTAAAGATTACAAATAAATGTCATTTGCCAAAAAACTTTGGTAGAAAATGTATAATGGCTGAGTAATGAGCATATACAGATAAGGAAATCAAGGTGTCGGACCCCGACACCATTTGTCATTTGTGTAGTCCCATATACATCTTTCTGTGTACAGTGCTTGTTACTTTACCAAGACTTGGCCAAATCTATTATGATTTTGATAACTCCAGAACCTTGCAGTACACACCAATACTTACATGCTACATGGTCAACTTTTTCTGATCCAGCCCACACCTTTTCTTTCACAATGCAATCGCATGACCAGAACTCAACTTTATCTTTACGAAACAGAAATTGACCCATATTACAAGTAAACCCGATATACGTGCTGAGGAGCGATCACTCATAATATGAGTGGTGCTTTTCTGTACCTATATGGGGTCCGGCAAGTTTTTCCCCCTTTTTTTAAACCATGTACGCTAAGCAAGGTAGGAATATGGAGTGCTTTTAGCCAGTTTTTTTTTACGAATGCAACATTTAATTACTCCATGAGATTAATTCTAAATCTACAACAAAATATGTTACAATGTTTGCATTCAACAGTTTTGTTTTTCGTCAGGTGTGTGTTCATAAGACCATATTTCATTCGAAAGTTGGTTGTACCAATGACGAAACAATTTCTTCATGACTATTTGTCAGAGTATATCTAGTTGTGACGTAGGCAGGGGTATCTACATCCCCTGTTGTCTAAATTGCGTTGACATCATCAGGGGCGAGCGGTCGTTTGAACAATTTCAGTTGAATCGGGGTAGAGGTTGTCGATCGAGGTTCTCATACAGGTGTGAAAAGAAGAGTGATAAAGGTTTCATGATAACGATGAATATTTGGTTTCCGCACCTCCCCCGGAAAAAAAAAGGTGAGTGGGGGTGTTACTCCCCCATTTCCACTTTCTCCTGGAGCAAACCCCTTGGGAGACCAAAGCTGAGATATCTTAGGCAGGTCGTTCAAGTGTAAATACCATGTGCTCGAAGCAGTGATCATACTTCCTGGAATCCTGTAGACACGGTGAAAAAAATAAATATGCAAAGATTGTGGGAACAATGATGTATGAAAACAATTTCTTCCGAACGCTGTTATTCCTGCATCAAAAGAGCTTTCTTTTGTTGTGAGGGCCGGGGTGCGAAATTTTTATTCCCAAACAGGTTTGCAATTTCTTATATTTCCGTTCTTCTCAATGGCTGATATGTTCTACGTCATTAGCAGCTTGGAAAGAGGTCACAAACAATTAGACTTTGATTTTTTATTGCTTTGCCTCACTGTTTATAAAGGAAAAAAACTGAATAAACTGAGACTTGAACCCACAACTCTAAGATTGTATTACGCTGACCTTATCGATTGAGCCAACGATGGGTTAATGAAAAGAGTTTCTGCATGATTTCTATAACGCCATCACTCACCCTAACGGTTACGTCATTGCTAATGACGTAACATATCAGCCAATCAGATGACCGTAAATATTAGCATTGGCAAACCTGTTGGGAAGAAAAAAAAGTTAGCGGCCGGGGTACGTAAATGTAGGCTTCAGACAATAAATAATTATTGTACACATACTGAGTACATTGTACTGAAAAAAACTCAAGAGGACTCTCAAGAGATTGGTAATAAAGTGAAAAACTGTGTCATTGAAGATACACCGTGTAATATTGTGACGTCCTATGACCATGATAATGGTAACATATTTGAATATACAACCAAATATTAATGTCGTAGATATATATTTCTGTTCGTACTAATATACTAATATACACTGCATACCAGGGCTCAAATTAAATTTTTGTCCACGGGGGCTCTTCCAAAAAAAATAGCCCCCGTGAACCTTCTCACGGGGGCTCTTTTAGTGCTGACGGGGGCTCTTATTTTAATACAAATTTCCATTGGATGAAACTACTAAATTCCTTGTTATTTTATCATTATCATTTATTTAAGTCGGTATTCTCCCTCTTAGAAATTTACTTGTTACATAGCTGTATACTTTTATCCCCGTGATCAGTGGCGGATCCAGGGGGCGGGGGGCCGCCCCACCCCCCCCCCCCCCCGGGAAAAAAGAAGGGGGAAATAAGGGAAATTTTCTTCTTTCTTTTTTTTGAAAAAAGAAGTGTTCCTTTCCCACTTGTATCACAGAGAAACAACAGTTTAAGTTAAGTCTAACGTTAACGTTAATTTGTTATTAAAATTTAGAGTACAGCCCTTGGCCTTAGGCCTAATTTAGGTCGTAACTGTTTGAAAATCTAAAGTAAAATTAGACGGTTTTCATGGTTAGACCAAGTAATTGAGAAAAAAAAGTTTACCCGTCACTGAGACCAGGTCAATCAATCTTCTAGATCCATTATTAGGGTCTAACGTTAGTAGATATAAGGTAGATGCAGGCGCGGATCCAGCAGGGGTGAGCGGGCCTTGCCCCCCCCCCCCTTTCCCCAAAAGAGAGAGAGAGAGAAAGAGAGAGAAGGAGAAGAGGGAAAGGGAAAGAGGAGAGAAAGGGAAAGAAAGAAGAGGAAGAAGAAAAGAAAAGGGGAAGAAGGAGATTGGGGGGGGGGGCGAAAGGGCCTTGCCTCCCAGGCTGTTGCCTCCCCCCAATAAAACAAAATAAGAGAGAAGGAAGGAAGGAAATGGAAAGAAAAAAGGAAAAGAGGAGATGAAGGGGAGGAAAATTGAGGAAGAAGTAAAGAAAAGAAGGGGCATATCATGCAGTTGCAATTTTCCCGCCAACAAGTTGCGGATGGGGGTGGGGCAAAAGGCCTTTGCCTCCCCCGCCCGCGCTAAAAAAAAGAGAGAGAGAAGGAAGGAAAAGGAAAAAAGGAGAGCTAAAAGGGACCAAAAAAGAGGAAGAAGAAAAAAAAGGGTGAAAAGAATTTCGATGCGGTGTTCGAGTAGAATTCTGTGAGATGATATACTTTCTCGTAGCTTGATGTGACGAAGTGTCTCTATCCAAATATCTGTTGATAGTATTATAAAATATAGAAGCCTGATATGACCTTCTGCTCGTAACCGACACGTCACCGCATTAAAATTAAGTTGCAAATAGTGTTCAACAACACGATGGTGGATGAAACTTTCTAATATTCGAAGATATATGACCCTCAGACCATATTGTTTCATTATTTTTTATTCAATCAATCAACGTCAAAGAATTGATTCATCACCGCTCTTCAATTTATTATTTCACCTTTTAATGTACTTTCATTCTTATGCATCACGAAAGAACACTGAATTGGATTCTTCAGTGTTTGTTTTGATTAATTTCCTCCCCTTTCCTTCTCCCTGTTTAATACTAATAAAATTTTCAATATTTCTTAATCAAGGCAAAATATTATTTTTATATTTTCTTTATGCAAGACAGGGAGAGAGAGAGAGAGAAAGAATATGTTAAGTGAGTATTATCGAGTACAACTATGAATTGCATCCTTTTCAATATTATTCAATTCGCTGAAAATCTTTTTTTTATAATTCCACGGGGGCGATTTTTAATTTTGCAATCGCCCCCGTGGACAACCTGATGGGGGCGATTATGGAGCTCACGGGGGTGAATCGCCCATCGCCCCCCGTGTATTTTGAGCGCTGCTGCATACTCCGTTCAAAAGTTAATACTTAATATAAAAATAGATATAATAGAAAGCGTTATCCAATGAAAGACATGACTCACCGATGTCAGCGCTACTATGTACACCCAGAAGCCACCACTCGCTCTTTCGCTAGAGAGATTGTTATAGTGTTCCCTCCAAGCAATGACGTCATCGGTCCAGAACTTTCGATCAGCGACGCGGATACCTTGTGGAGCGAGGTCGACATCGGGACGATCACCGTCGTCGTTCGAAGAACATAAAGGGCTTTCGACATCCAGAAAAAATCTAGGGGAGAAAGGACAAGATGTATTGAAAGGAGGTTTGTACGTCGGATGTTGATGTCACCCTCATCCCCCATTACATAAACAATTTTCTTGTCGGTCAATTTAGGGGCTTTACAGGCTTGTTTGCAAGTCACAAAAATGATGACTTATAATGTGCGTTTGTTGTTAGCTAGGAACAATTTGTGCAACACCCCTTATTCAAAATGGTCTGGCGAGTAGCGATTCTTCTGATCAAATGAAAAACATTACCGAGTCGTTATTAATTGATGGTAGACCAATTTATGAAAGCTTTAAGCTTCAAATTCGGAAAATGACGGTGAAGATCAATTTAGAATTTCAGGCAGACAAATGGGCTTATCGAGAACATTTCGATTTTTGATTTTAATAAAGACAACAACTTTATAGATTTGCTAGATCCTTAACATCACCGACAGTTAAATCTTTCCCGCAATTCCGATATAATGAATAAAAAAAATTTGTATTGCTTTATTGTGTTCATCCCGCTTGGTTTACATCCAGTCCGTACCAATTGGTATATTCTCATTTGGTCTACATACTCTACAGTCTACGCCCATCCCGTCTACTATCCTCAGGGGTCGTTTCATTAAGGGCGCGTTCATGCTTGATTTTGAAGGTAGAATGAGCGATCTGAAATGCTCATCGTAAACGCTCATCGTGATCGCAGTTCCACGATGTACTGTTCATGCTTACTTCTCTGGCTCATCGAGGCAATTCTCCGTGTGTGGCCTTAATTGGTCTTCCAGCTGGATTCGCAAACCTTGACTGTGCATGCTACGTAGACCCACTAGAGTTCAGTGCGTTGACCCCATTTAAACGCGTTTACAAATTGTAAACGCATCTTTTTGTGAGTTTACGATCGGTGATCGTGATCGCCGTTTTTCGGTGATTCTACAAAAGTAAGCATGGACGCAACCGTGTTTAAAACTAAACGCGTAACAGATGCCTGATTCTGGCCAGAAAAAGTGAAGCATGAACACGCCCTAAACCAACTCCACGAGAGTCATAATCAGACTAATCTCCAATAGGTCTACTAACCATTTGATCTATTGCTCACTTAGTCTAATTTCCAATTGGTCTAATTCCCAGTTTGTCTAATGCCCATTGTATCTACTATCCATATGGTCTAATAATCATAAACAATGATAATCATCATAATGATCATTACACCATATGGATGGAAGACGAAACGAGCATTAGACAAACTAGGAATTAAACTTAATGGTCAATACACCAAGTTGGTAGTATACTAATTGGAGATTAGACCATATGGAAATTACACCAAATGATCTATCGCCTAAATGGTCATTAGACCAAATGATAAGTAGATGAAATGAGTAGTAGACTATGTGGATATATAGCAGACGGGTGGGAATAGACCATATGGGAATAGACCAATTGGGTAGTAGAACTGGTTGTAGACCAAATGGCAATTCACCCTTTATTCAACTTTATTCAAGATTTAAATGGAATTACTAGTTATCATTCTACATAGTTCATTTCTAATAGGGGGATACGACACCTCATTTTGAAGATAGTCGGTCTACGGATGCATTCTATGATGATCCTGATGACGTCATCGTAGTGCATGGGAGATTCCAGAACAAGGGCTCTAGGGGACGTCATATGTGGGAGTGTGCGTTCGATGAAGAAGTTCACTGTTTCAGTCGAGACGCAGGTGGACCTCCTGAAAATTGTGAATCCGTTCATGGGAGACAGCTCCACGTCAGTCTGTATCCCTTCCGTCTCCAGGAGGCCATGGGCTATCTCTCTCATGTAAGCGTCGGACCGTCTTCGTTCTTCGTTCGAAATGCGCGCCTCCTCGACATTGGGTAGACTGGCGAGCAGAGTGCGGTGATCCGTGGTGACACCCATCATATCTAGCTGTCGCACGCAGCGGAGTTTGTCCAGCGGACCATCAATCGGGAGATCGCATCCTTTCACGTCCAACCGCTCCAGAGACTTGCAGAGGGCGAGAGACTTCCACAAGAGATGCACTTGGTGGCTCGTGAGCTCGCAGTAGGCAATCACCATAGTCTTGATCTGTCGAGGGAGAGGTTGATCTTGATTGATTGGCTTATTTGAACGTAAAATAGTAATCATATATTAACACTTACTAAAGCTCTTCTGATGAATGAATAAATAAAACGAACAAATGAGAAAGAAGAGGAAACTGAAATATATCTTTTAATCTATAAAAAGAAAAATTAAAAAAAGAAAAGAATGTTTGAGCAACGAGAGAGAGAGAGAAAGAAAAAAAGAGGGAGAGACTAAGGAGAAAGAAAACCACAAGATGGGAAACCTCAAAGAGAAAAAACGAAGAAAATAATATAATAATATGAGGAAGAAAAAGAGACTTAAGGTCAATCTTTTTTTCTTTCTTAAAGGGCGGGCAACCATAGCTTGGTATTAGGTTTTATGAATATGGGCCCAGTGATCTAGTACTTCTCGGAATCGTGCAAAAGTTTTTGGGGATTACCAAAATTATGAATGGGGGTCTTCACTCTTATATTATTGAATAATTATATTAATGATAACAATATTCGGGTTTTAAAGTGCAACTTTTTTTCAAGCGATTTCCAAAAAGAGCAACAATAAATTTTACCTGGGCCTTAACTTCCATAGGAATTCTTGCAAACCCGTATACTGTGGCAGATGAGCTTGTCTCCACAAAATGAAATTCACCATCTTTGAAACATGGGAGAATCGTAGAGGTCAATTGCTCTTCGGTCAGTTTTTCAGTTGATTCGCAGAGGAGGTCAAACACAAGGCGATGATGTTGACTCCGTTCACCTAGTGCATGCATGTGAGGGGCCGGTGTGGACCAGGTGATGCTTTCGAACCTCTTCAAGATGGTTAGGCACACCGTGTCGGACGAACCTGCGGCAAATTTCAACACGTTCTCAAGTTCGAGTGCCCTTGCTTCGGTGGTAATGCCTTCGAGTATTCCCTGCAATGCTTCTCCATCGAGGGTCGACATATAGAACCCGGCGCAGTGTTCCTGGGCAAGCTTATGATAGAACTCCACGAATGTCGTCTCTGATTCGTCCCACTCGCTAGTTTCTTCAACCACTGTTTGTTTCGACACCAGCCCAATCTCAACAGCTATATCGAGATCGTCCTGGCAATCGACGAAATCCTCCTCCTCAAATATAAGCTTCTTGCTATCACTGAGTAGACTGTTCAGGGCAACTTTTCCGAATTGAGCCACAACTGATTTGATTAACCCCTTCTTAGATTTGCTGACCAAACTCTTAGAGCCGATAGATGCCTTTGATCGAGCATGCTCAAGGAGGTATTTTAATAACCTGTTGAATAATGCCGTTAGTGATTGTGTATCTTGTAGAAATTCGCCTTGCCAGAGAACGCAAAATGCCATACAGAAAAACGGAATGTTGATCAAAGATCCAATGGAGTGTTGATCTTTTAGATAGTTCTTTAGGCCAGTGGCATCTGCTTCCTTACTGCCAAAGAATCGATCAATGTAATCATCAGAGTCCTCCTTTGCGAATCCCTCTATATCCATCTTTGCGTACACGATTGGTAGTTCATCAATTTCAAAATCTTCTTGGCGATGTGGACGACAGGTAACTAGGACACGACATTTCTGAAAGCGCTGATACAGAAGAAGCTCATCTAGACTACTCTTTGGTCCTTCAGACGTTATTGACCCACTGTACTCATCGTAACCATCAAGGAGGATAACGCAGTCTTCTTCATTTTCGTCGATGAACTTCTCAATTTCTTCAGGAGTGACGCCATCTAGTTTACCAAGAAGCTGTCTCACGATAGCTTCTCCAAGCGACGTGCGTTGATCACTCCTTCTGAACTTCAGGGCGAACACGAGTGGCACTTTCTTCAGGGGAGAGTCTTCAGCTCCGGTCGCCCAGTCGTAAGCAATCTTTGTCAGTGATGTTGTCTTTCCATGTCCCGCACCACCGATCATAAGAATGCGGCTCGGAAGAGAACCATCGACCTTGGTCTTGAAGATATCATTGATGGAACCAGGAAGCGGTACTTTCTTGACATCATCGCCACCTCTTTGACCCCTTTCGGATACCATAAGACTAATTCTTGTGTGAAGATCATCGTAGTCAGCATAGTTGGTCTTGTCCCAAGGTTTGAGAGCGATTTTGCACGTCTTCTTGTACTGATCGACGAGTCTTTCTCTGCACTTTTCGACCGATAACTTTGGTGTGACTGATTTCGGTGAATCTAATGAAAAGAACGAGAAAAACAAAAGGGGGATTAAATCATAGAAAATAGCAATAATCGAAAGGATAATTATAAATTAAACATTTGCTTAGCCGCGTTTTCCTTTTGTATGGTTTCTCTTCTTCTAATTTACTAGGTGTCATGCTGGTAATGAAAAAGAGTTCGTGCAGTTTATGTTCGAACTCCTAAAAAATAACTTGATTATCTTGTTGTTTTTGACAAACAAAACTGATCAATATCCTTTCATAATCTACTACCTTTCCTCCTCAAATAGTATTCACATTCTGTCTTCCTAATCCTGCCAAATTAATGGTAAGGCATCTTTGAATCTGTCCATGTTACATGCAAATTGTTCAGGTGATACCTACCAGTTTTAGAAAGGCCCTCTCTAGTAAGGTTTGTAGTCGTCAGCATCTCCTGAACAGCCTCTATGGTCGACTCACTTGGAGGCAGCTTCATCTTCCATTTCTGGAGCATAAACTGGACGATCTCCCTTGTATCATCTCGATACTGCTTCTTTAGGTTAAGTACCTCGGTCAAACCGAAGCCGAGTTGGACTCCGAGGTCGCAGAGGTGATCGTAGGAGACTGTCCGAGAGAGGTCCAAAATGTCTTTGTCGGTGAGGCCATGTCCCGTATCCGTCGGGTTTCTAGTCCCCTCCATTCTGCGATTAAAACATGTATAATAATGGAGATTAAATTAATTTTATCGACTATTTTCAATAGAGAATATACATAGCTTACAGCCCCCTCCGTCAATACGAAAACTGCATGCAAGCAGTGACAAGAGGCATACAATTATAATCGTGCCAAGAGTTCTCCAGGCAACGAGGAAGCTGTAGGAAACTGTCAACCGTATAAATGAGCGCAACGGATATGCACTGAGCCATGCGTAACCATCACTTTTCCTGTTAGTTAACCCCGCACCTCCTCCTCCCCCCCCCCCGGTGTTATTTAGGGTACGCGTATGTATGTTCCCTCCATTTGAAAGCACCCCTCTCTCCGGTGTGTATAAGTCACTGGACTTTGTCGCGCGAAAAGTACTCCTTTACCGGAGATTTTGGAAACACGAATGCGGTTCCTCCGACCCCGGAGTGAGGGGGGGGGGGGGGGGCAGTTAACACTGCCTTGATCTAGAGGATCTAAATCACATGATATAAATAGGGTCCTTCTCTCCATTAATGGTATTGATAAAGCGTTAAAACAAACACATTCTCACACACAACCGCCCCACACAACCCAAAAATTATAAGATTTATAGCTCTGAATTGAATACTAGCATGATACCAGTGGCGTAGACAGGTTCGTACACCTGGGGGGGATGACTGGGCTGCCAACGCTAGTGAGGGCGTGAAGCGCCCGAGTGAGGGAGCGAAGCGACCGAGCGGGGGGAGGGTGTGGGAGGGGGGGTGTCCCCCCTCCCACGGTAGGGAGCTTTTGCAATTTTGAACTTGAAATCGTGCAATCTGATGCATACTTAATGAGGTAAAATAACACACACAAGCGTGCACGCACACACACACATACTCACACACACACACGCACGCGCACACACTCACACTCACACACACACGCACACGCACACACACACACACACATACTACGCCTTGAATGGACAGACATACATCGACAAGATCTACACACCGTGGCATACGAATACAGAATGGACTGACACATAGTATTGCATATTGAACCACACTACGTATTTATTTTTCTCTGTGAATTTTGCTGTTACACCTCTTCAGAAAAAAAACCAATGTCAACTGTGTACACGCAGGTATAGTCTTTGTTGTCTTGATAGGGGTATGTGGTTATAAATGAAAACAGCCTCTGTGGCCATTTGTGAATAGAACACATAAACAACAAACAAATAACGATTAAACTTTGAACAATATGTCTGTTCATTATAACGCATAATGAATACGTACATACTATGCTTTTTTTACCTCAAAGAAACAGGCATAGTATCAATAGATGGAGTATTGGCTGGCGGCTCATTAACATACAGATACAAAAAACATAAACAGTATCACTATGATCCATGGAGTAACAATACTGCTTTGTAAGTTTGTGAAGAAATCGGAACCATAACGGCATTGCATCGTTTCAAATTAGGGCATTACTTACTTCTATTTGATCTCAGTCTTATAATAGTAATAGTAATAATAATAATCATAATAATAATAATAATAATACAAATAAAAAATAATACTAATACAAATAATAATGCTAATACTAATAGGTTCCTTTTATCTCGCATTTCAAGACAGGGTAAATTCACACTGCGCTTTACATTAAACAAACTTCTTTAAACATTTCAAACTTATGTCTTCATGCATCAATCAACATACTTTAAATGAAAACAAAACAAAGTGCATCTTAAATAAAACAAAAATAAATAAATAGTTAACAATAAAGAAAAGATGTAGCTGCTGCAAGCTTAACAACAAACTAATGTATACAAGTCAGTCCTGATATCAGTATCAGTGAAACAATAGTCATATAGTGGGAGCATGAAGTTGAACAATTCATGATTATACATAATTATATATGTTTGTTTGAATAATACTTGTTATAAAGATAGTAGTATGGTACTCTCTGTCACGAATTATTATGTATATTGTTGTATCACATTCATTTTCTATTCTGTTTTAGAATTGGCTTTCACCGTGTGAATGCGGCTAACAATAAACACAATTACAATAATGATGAGGATTATTATTATCATCATCATAATTATTATTATTATTAATATTATAATTGTTATCATTATTATTATTACTATTATTATCATCATTATGACTTATTAAGTAAGCAAATATCATTCCCCAAAACCTGGGGGGGATGATTGTACATGCCATCCCCCCCCCACCTTGTGAGGTGGGGGGATGCATCCCCCTCATCCCCCCCCCCCCCGTTGTCTACGCCTCTGCTTGATACTATAGTATTCTCCAAATTAAATGTATAGAGTAATTAAAGGTTGATAACTATATTCTCCAAGATATTGAACGCAGATTCTTTTGACAATTCGGCTGTGAATACCAAGTCATTTACATTCTCTTGTTTGCAAGTTTTTGATGCGTGCCAGGGCTGCAGCCCCATGCACCCCGGCCCACGGGTTTCGCACCCCAAGTTTTAAAGAATGAATTAACTTACTACCTTGCTGCTAAGTAGTAGCCTACCGATGGTAGAATGGGTTCCTTTTTATCGGTAGTAGACAGTTGATCCGAAGGCAAATATGGAAGCAAGTAACAGCAAATTCCGCATGTCCCTCTGTAGATAGATACGATAGAGATTATTGTACCTCACATACAGAGCCAGGTTAACATGCAATGTTCAGTAGAGATAGCCCCGAGTTTGCGCTAACATCACAGGGGGGGGGGGGGGGGGGAGGTGACGAGCGTGCTCTTTCGACGCACCAAGAGGGCTTTCGTCTAATACCACATTTTTAAACTAGTGGTTAAAATCGCCCTTTCTAGATTTGTCATCGTTTAATAACAAAACTGAATATCGGGCGACTATAAAAACGGAATAATTAATTTGCTGTATTCGAGTGATGGAGAAATGGAGTCTCTGCAGTCTCCGGTTAATACCGCGGCAAAAATGACTGAAAATGCTAAGCAAATCATTTACATTGAAACTTCAAATCATTATTGGACTATTTTCATTTTCCCCATTAAATGTGATGTAGCTTTCGAAAACCAATTTTATGATTGCAGTTTAGACCAATTAAAGAACTAGAATTCTGTCAACGACATTCATTGAGTCGCATGTCTTCGCATACCTCATGAGAAGACTATAAGAATGTTGAATAAATGAACTAATAAGTTCCCCGCCCCGGCTGGATAATTGTCGTTCCTTGCTCGATCTTTCTATAGCCAAACCGATTAGAATATAAATGTGTATCATATTTCGATCAGATGACTTTACAAATGATAATGAATGCATTTGTTTCCCTACTCGGTGATATGTGACTAATATACAGTATTCTATCATGGCTTTAGGATAGCAATATTGTTTGTAGCAAAGTGCACCTTTGCAACGTACAAAAAATATAAATAAATCGCGAAGATCATGAAAATAAGACATGAAAGTGTTTTGGATACACTAAGCAAGTGGTAATTATCAGCCCCATTTCTCTCTCCCTTGCATATATGCATCCTCCCACCCCTCCTCAAACGGTTTAGTCCTGTGCAAAGAATTCGAGGTGGCTCACAAAAATAGTATATGCTTATGTTGACTTAATGATAAATTGAGGCTCTTTTGGACAGAGAGTCAATAAGGGAACAAATGCTGACACGACAGGATCCATACACCCTATAGTCCGCAAACGCTGGTATTAATATTCGTTTAAAATATCTGCTGGCCTGCAGAGTAGCATTTATAGGCACAACATGGCGAGGAGCACTGAACAGTCCTGCTGCTTCCATGTCGTGGTCATTGTCGCTATGATGTCAGTGGCATACGCGACAAACGCCGTCAAGGATGACGAGCGTCTCGTGGTGAAGACCTCGACAGCTACGTTCCACGGCAAACGAATAGAAGTCAACCCTTATCTCCTGCCCGACTTCCACGGCAGCGCAGCGGCATACACCCGAATTCCCTACACCGAGCCGCCCTTGGGCGAGTTACGGTTCCGACGACCAGTTCCCAAGGTCATCGAAGGCGACTTCGACGCAACGAGGACATCAGTGGCATGTCCACAGGCTTTACAACCACTTTTCAAAATAGACATGGATATGTCAGAAGATTGTCTTACTCTTGATGTGTTTGTTCCCGAGCCCAAGGTAACAGAGTTTGTTCTCTCTTTAAGTCTAGTGTGTGTGTATACAGTGTATTTTGATTTTTACAGACATGTATCAATCAGATATGAATACGTCTGGGGACCGACCTTTAACGTCACCATCCGAAAGACGTGACTAAGTTTCGAACCTGCGTCCTCGGCTGAATCAGTTTGTAACTTCCATTGTTAGCTGGATTACAGGCGCACGCCACAACGCGATCATATGAGATCTAATTTCAAACCTTCAATTAACCTCTAATAATATATACACACATGCAACATAGTTGCATCATATATTATACATGTGTGTGTGTATGTATGTATGTAATATATATATTCATATATAATTTTATAATCATTATGAACTGAACAATTAGTTACAAGGTAACATAACATTTCATTAACATTTAGAGTAAAAAGTCGAGCCGGTTTTCCACAGGGCTTTGCATCATGTACTTAAAGGGGCATGTTCCCCGTATTCCAGAGGGCGTTCAAAATACGTACCCGCTGGCGGACGGTGCTAGCTGCCTATTGACACCAACAGAATACGGCTCTTACGCAGATGGCATGTTCCGAATGCCCGGACAATACCGATTATCGCATACATGTGCCGAAGTAATGCCAATCGCAGTTCGGCTCTAAGATTCGGCTGCTGTTTCCGCCCACTTTCGTGACGTTGCGATCGGCAGCGATCAGCTGGCTTGGCGAAGGCAGGCCAGGCCGCGCGTACTTTGATTCACAGCTGTATGCAAATTAGAAGTCGACCTTCGGAACCAAGATGGCGATGACTAGAACAGCGATAACTAAACTGGCGGGAACGTGCCCCTTTAACATGCTTAAAGACAACACAATTCAAGGTATTTTCCATCACTTCAGTGAAGATAAACGATACACTCCAAGTTGAGTTTGGCGCGATACAAGAAAAGCAATTATCACAAACGTAGACCATATACTGACCATGCAATGCCCCATGTTTGCACAGGATATTTAAGGTATAATCTAATGGTTAATCATCTACTTGTTAAAATATAAAAGATATCCATTGTTTGTTCAATAATGTTTACAGTACGTTAGTATCTCCTCTGCTACGTTTATATTACCTGACACACAAGAAATAACGAAGCGAAAGAAAACGGTCCAGTAACAAAGATGAAGCGATTAGTCAAGTACCGGTAATTGTTTTTGATACTTCTCATTACGTCGCTTATGGTGTAGCTAGCTGGCCATCTGCAAATTTAACGCAGCAAGTGGCATCTCTGCATCGTTTCAGAGATTTTAAATTTACTATCTATCAGGGGCGGCGATCCCGGGGGAATGGGGAGGGGGACACGTCCCCCCTCATTTTTTTTTTTTTTTTTTTTGAAACTTGAAATTTGAAAAAGTACAACAATAATGTATAGCAAATACTGACTAAAGACTGCAACACATTTTTAGGCTCTGGAGGGCCTAAGAGTGCAAAGTTTAGACTAATACGTTCATGAAAAGAAACCGCCGCCCCTGCTATCTATGTTACATACCCAACTGTAGACTTTACCCTCTTCACTGAAGGTCTTTAGTAATTGACTAGCCTTTGTGAATGAAATGATATTATATATATAACTGAGTCATTTAGAAATGATAAGAATGACTTGTATCTGAAAAACAGGACCCTCAGTCATTTACCAATTGAGGGAGTGAGGAAATTGTTTATTGCAAAGCATACTTTCTGAAATTTGTTTAGAGTTTACACTAGTATTTGACCTAGTACGTGCGAATAAATTGCGAATAGATACTTTAGCTTTGATAAAGTATCTCCTCTCCTCTCCTCTCTCCTCCTTTTTTATTTTGTATAACGATTCATTCAAGTTTTCTCTATCCCCTTTTCCTCTTCGTTCACTCACATCCTCCTCATGTCCGTCTGTATCTCTCTCTCTTTGAGGCTTGAGCATCTGTCTCCCTCGATCTCTCTCCCTCTCTTATACGCTAGTTGATTCTCTATGCCTTTCTCTGTTTCTTTCTGTCTGTCTCATGAAACCCGAACACACGCACACACATCTACCTGCACACTATGTTTTTTTCTCTCTCTCTCTCTCTCTGTGCATGTTAGCCACTCTCTGCTGCTGTTATGGTATGGATACACGGAGGTGGATACGTAGTAGGTGCAGGGTCCATCCCAGAGGCACTACCCGTACCCCTGGCCGTTATGAATGACGTCATAGTGGTCACAATAAACTACCGTCTCAATATTCTGGGCTTCATCGTTCTTGGTAATGGATACAATTAAGAAAACAATGATGAAATTACTTACAAGAAATACAAAAACAAAACCAACAATGAGTAAAACTTCTGAAATATATCAACCCACGTTCAGCAGCCGACCGAAGCCCTTTTCAATAACTGTGATTCATTTTTTCAATAAATAATCTGTACTGTATATTAGCCTATTAAGAAGTCTTGTGACAACATCTAGATTAGTTTTGGTGCAACACAATTGGGAATTGGTGCAAATTATGATTTCACCAGCTCTGATTCCTTACACGAATGTAAATTGACGAAGTTTATGAGAGCAAAACACAAAAGATGTACAATTATGAAATATATATTATTCAGAAACTAATTCACTGTACAGGCTGGACTATATGGCTTTAGTACATCCTCAAAGCCCCTGAGAACCTTTCAGTTCAGTTCAGAGTATAAAGCACTCAGGCGATTAAGACACTTCTACATATTATATATAACTGTTGAGAATATTTACATTTTCGGCATATTGACCGTACCATAAACTGTTCAGACAACCTCTTTCTATATTCCATTAATTTAGGAGAGGAAGATGTGAGTGAAGCTAACGTAGGAATGCTGGATCAGCGGCAGGCCTTGGTTTGGGTTCAGGAAAATATCGCAGGTGAGAAACAACCCTTGTGCATGAGCAATACGGTTTGATTCACACAATGTCATTTCATATATTATCGACGATAGCGATTTATAATAGTAGTAATTATGAGGACGCTAGAAATTATGATAAGTTATCACGGATATGTTTTTTTTTTTTGTATAACGCAAAACCTGAGGAGTTTCGACACATGGGCAAAAGAAGCTTGGCACAGTCATTGATCTGGGCCCCGTTTCACAGAGCCTTTTTACAATGACAAATGTAAAATTTCAATGACAAATCCGCTGATAACCAATCAGTAGCAAGGATTTCAGTAGCTTATAACAAAAACTGTCATGTGTCACTGCATGACAAGTTTTGTGAAAAAGGGCCCTGATCTCGGTATTTCAAGCACGTAGCGACGTTGTGTGTAGCATCTCCACTCTCATTGGAACATTCTTACCATCACGTGATATGTTTGCACGTGACTCTTTTATCAGGACCGGGCGAGGTACACTGTACACTTAACCGTATTATAAACAAGCCCTAACCTTCTCTCTCAAGATCACCAATAATGATCTCGCAGAATTTTCGGAGTACTCAACTCAAAAACAAGAGGAAAATACACATTCCAAATTTAAGAGAGTTGAAGTTACACTCTCGACCGGGAACACGGAGAGGAATCACCATCGAAACAGTGTTCTAACACGAACATCAATAGAGAATCCACTCTTAATTTTCTCGGCATGGAGTCGTGAAGTAAGACAATGGAATACATCCAATCAAGTTGGTCCCATATTTGCACCTTGAAAAATCGCGTAGCCAATCAGCTGTATAATCTTTGAATGACGGGAAAACATTTTGTCGAACTTATTTTGGCGGGCTCGCAGAGATTATAATATTTCTTTGGTTACAATGTGTTAAATTTCCAGCGTTCGGTGGAGACCCAAGCAGAGTGACGATCTTCGGGGAGAGCGCCGGCGGGATGAGTGTGAGCCTTCATGTCCTCTCACCCATGAGTAAAGGTCTCTTTTCAGGAGCTATTTTGCAGGTAAATATAGAATCAGCATGTACCTTTTTACAGGACGGACTATAGATAGGACGAATGTTCTTCAGTTCTTGCAATTAGTCAAAGGTTACGGCTACAGCAAAAACAAACAAGTAAAATAATAACAAAACAGAAGGGCCCTTGTGCACTAGCTGCAATCACTATAAGCACCTCAATTCAACAAGTGTTCCACATCACCCGTCATGCTCTTACCGATCAGTCACAAACCTGATCTACTGATGATAGTAAGGCAATATCTTCTCCCGGTTTTCAATAAAAACTCAATAACATGTTTCAAAACCATTTCTCACCCTGACAGAGCGGTGCCGTGACATCACAGTGGTCTTACGGAACGCTGGCAGAAGGTGAAGAAACTGCTTTCGTGTACGGCCGCGCCCTGAACTGCAGTCAAAATACTCACAGGGAACTTGCTGAATGTCTACGTGGGATACCAGCTGATGATATTGTGTCATACCTCGCCTCGGTAGGTATAGGTGTACCCCTGGTCACGGTGAAGGTAAAACATACATAGCTCCAGAAGGGATATGGCAAAGTAGGCCTATACCCCTTTCACCCCCACACTTTCACCCCCTTTCACCCCCTCCTTCACCCCCTCCCTCCTCCATCCATCCTCCGAGTTTCGAGATGAAATACTTAGTAAGAGTATCTACATTTTGTCGGCCAGGTTGAATACAAATTTCGGCCGGAAACATGTAAGCTTTAATTATTTACTGCTCGATTTGTTCGTACATTAAGTACGGCAGAAATGAAAACAAGTGCATTTCTTAGCCACAAGTTTAAATTTTCATACGGAATGAATGAAGATGGTTCACGAACTCAGTAATTGTATTACTTCGTATACTCTTCAAAATCTTTTGTTTTTTATTCATATTCAGAGTGTGAGTTGCAAATCATTTAATGATATCTTTTTCATGAGCATTTCCAATAAATGTAAAAAAACGATTGCATTACTTATATTCATATTGAAATGTGGAAAATTATTTGATGGCATTAGGCCTATTACATAAGTATTCTCATAATCTAATACCGATGTGTCGCCTGATCGGCCTCGCATAGTATAGTGATCTGTTTTTTAAGTTGTGTAAATGTACTTTAAAAAGAAAATTCATGGAATGAATGAACTCGAACTTGACAAAAATATATAGTCCTTAATATCTTCAGAATCCTCCAGAAGCGTACACACACGCCATACGTCCATTCGTCGACGGTGAATTCATACCACGTGATCCCAAGGAGATGTACGCCGCAGGAGAGGTGAACGAAGTGTCCATTATGATCGGATGCCTATCAGAAGAAGGAACCATGATTATAATACCCCCCGACGCGAGTCTGGAGAGTTCCGACCGACCGGTCCTCGATAAGACCAACTACGATGGACTTCTTCCGGTCTTTATAAGGAACGTAGATGAACTGGTCAAAGACACGGCCGCATTGGTTTACATGTCTCCTGAAGAGGTGCGTGTTCGAGATGAAGATCTCTTTTCTATTGTTTAACTTGAACGGATCACAAACACTTTCGATAAATCAACTCAATGACAATTTCAATGGCCCCATGGGATATTCCATCACAGATATAACGTTCGGATTTCGTACAAGGTCATTGTGACGTCATTGTAATTGCAATGTTTGCATATTCAGCTGTATGTGATGGACAAGGCTGTAAAAATTGTCTTGGATTGATTTTTCGAAAGTCTTTGCGATGGTGTACATTTTTGCAATAGTATTATTTCCTATTATAATTTCCATTTCCAAACGAGAAACAAAAAACATTATAACACGGTGACATGTGCAGGACACGGCTCATAATCACTTTAAACAATCTTACAAAAAAGACATTTTCAACATGACTTCGATCATAAAGTACTAACAATGACGTAAATTGTCCATGATGTATATGTAGGAGAAATTGCACACTTCGATTTTGTGTTAACACATGAAAGAAAGAAAAAAGAAAAAAAAGTTTGGAATAAAGAGGCCAACATAATTAAAAGCCTCTTGGCAAATAATATTTGAGAGTCAAATTTAATAAAAATCTGATATTGAAATACTACCTGTCAAAGTAGTGCCTTTCGGAAAGCCTCTTTGGGTATAGCCTACTCCTTTTCTCATAGTCCTTCGCTGCTATCATTTTGATATTTTTACATTATCTAGGCTATTCATCAGCTATATGCCCAAGTCATCAACGCTATGATCGGCATAGAGAACTTTTACTTGATTCTCATTTGTTATTCTTTTCACTAGAGTCCTACCATAGAACTATTACCGAGAGTTGAAGGTTATGGTCCTGCAAACACGTCACAGAAAAATACTTAATTTGGTTCTAGGACAACTACCCCGGACAACTACCCCCAGACAACTACCCCCTAGGACAACTACCCCCAGATAACTAACCCAGACAACCACCCCCACGGCAACCATCCTCTAGAACAACTACCCTCGGACAAGTATCCTAGGGGGTAGTTGTATGCGGATAGTTGTCTGAGGTTAGTTGTCCGGGGTAGTTGTCCTAGGGATAGTTGTCCTAGGGGGTAGTTGTCCGGGGTAGTTGTCCTATGGGGTATTTGTCTGGGGATAGTTTTCCCAGGGTTAGTCGTCCTAGAGGGTGGTTGCCCTAGGGGTGGTTGCCCTAGAGGGTGGTTATCCTAGGGGTGGTTATCCGGAGTTGGATGTCCAGGGGTAGGTGTCCGGATACGACTTAATTTATCACAGTATTTTGTTTTACATGCAGTGAATAAACCTTCTCCTCTGTTTTAAAAAGATGATGAAAGCGGAACCGGAGTACACTGACGTCATCGTCGACTGCATGGGAGACTTCTTCTTTCTTTGCCCGAGTTTCGAGGCGGCCGACCATCTCTCGGCCGCTGGTCTGCCCACTTACAAGTACATCATGTCGCACCGCCCCTCCGTCTCGATATGGGGTAAGGGGATGACGTGGCTAGGAGCAACTCATGGTGAAGACATCGCTTATACTTTCGGAGCTCCTTTTTTGCTAGACATCCTCGACCCGGACCAGAGTTATTTACTAACCGGTCTCTTCAATGAGGAAGAAGTGGAACTGGCGGTGCAGGTCATGAGGTACTGGTCCAACTTTGCAAAGACAGGGTAAGTAGGCCTAAATAAATAGGTTTCACATTCGGGATGTCATAAACTCTCATCTTATTTCTTATTGTATCCTCTTTTGCTGTTTTTCTAGCTCTCTATTGATATATCGAGCTATTATGAAATAGATGTTTTCGTGAAAATGAAATTGATGATAGTGTTGCCATGTTTACTATAATTTAGTTTGGTTTAGTTTAATTTTCTGTATACAAAATATATATACATGAAGATTTATAAGAACAAAAAATTAGAAAGATAACACGACTGGATTGAAATAGAGAAAGGAAACAAGGAAAGAAAGAAAGAAAATAATAAAACATACATGAATATAACACAAAATATGTAATAAACATTTATAGATATAACCAAAAATATTACAAATAATATATGACATGCCCTATTCTATGAAACTAGCATATTCCCACTCCCTAACCGAATACATGTTACACTATCAAAATATATTATCCATTCATTAAGGCTATTTTTTAGTCTCTGTGGCATTTTGCGTCAAATATAATTCAACAAGGCATTATTGCTGAGGTGTGCTGAATCTCTGTATTTCCTATCCTCAGGAATCCAAATATCCAGTCCAAAGATGGTGAACCAGAGTCCAGATATCCCTTATGGGAAGCCTATTCTAAGGACAACAAAACCTACAAAGATCTGTCTGTGACCCTTGAGAATCGTGTGGGATATCCCAACCCTCAAAGTTGTATGTTCCAGAAGGATCTTCTTCCAAAGCTCCAAGCAAATGCAGGTAAAGTACAAAACATATTTCTGACCATAAAACCTCTTTATTTGAGTACAGAGCTGGTTAGTTGTCCAAAGATTCAAAAATCCGAAGGTTCCCTATATAAATTACGAATGTTGGTCTTGTGAACCTTTGGGATAGTTAATTTATGATTTACCAGAAAGTCCACCCAGTCGAAACCTTAGGGATATTATTTCCAGACCTTATTCCCAATAGATGCCCGAAGGTCACCAAGACATCTCATTGGCCTTCGGTTTTTTAGATCCTGTGAATTGTCTTGAACTATTTTGACCCTACGAATAAAAAGAATCGTGTTTCAGATACTAGAAGTTTAAGTGGAGCTGAGCAATGTTTTGTACAAAAAAAATTATAATAATATATCTGAAGTATGGGTACTTATGTGACAACCAAAGTGTATCACTAGACTTATTTAGACCATTTTACCACTTTGCTGTGAGGTTAGCCTCTGCTTAAAAAGTCACATTCAAGAAAACAACTCCTTAACAATTAATTATATGCGTTACTTCTTATTGATAATGAGACACTTTCACAATATCAACTTTGATAGTCAGTTGTTTCCACAGTTCGATTTCTGTCTTGAAATTTAAACATTTTATTTCCTGTTTAACTTTCATGTTTACTAGCTGAAATGGCCCGACTGAAATCCCTCTTGGAAGAAAAGGTGATGGCTGACACTGAGAAGACATGCGTAGATCCTGAATCTTGCCCAGAACAGTAAATGATTTAGTGGAACACATCTCTTGTCACAGAGATTAGTGGATTGCTCACTGATCCACATCATCATTCTTAATAGAGAACGGAAGTGCTAACGTCATATCCACTCGTCACCCAGGTTACTGGTTCTAATCAAAAGAGCCCGCGCATGAGGTTCATCTCGAAATCATTCAAGCAACGGGCTAGAGCAGGGCAAATTCAGTGTTTTGGCGCTGGTGTGACCGCCACACCATTGCTTAGCACAAAATTAGCAACCATGACAACTTAACCAGTATAACGTCACACTTCGGTACTCTATGGGTACCAAGTCCAAATGTTTAAACACTGGTAACTATTTTTGTAGTGATATAGTAAAGGGCCACCCTAACCAAACTAACATAGCCTTTTAAAACATGAATACACCTCTACTTATTAATATTCCAGCCTCTGATTTTTCAGAAAATCTCTGTATTGACCATAAAATGATAATAACCATCCATTTTTCACAGTTCTCACGCTTGCTGGGCTACACCTCTCGAAAAAAGGGTAATACGGTCACATGGCCTTGATGACGCATTTGACGTCATTGCGGGCATGTCCGGTTTGTCCTACAAATAAGGATCTTACAATCTCATTGTAATTCATAAATGAAACGTACTGGGATTATCAAGTGCATATTATTTTTCGGATAAATGTCTTTTTCCTACCAATTAATATCATAGTTTGCCTTTTAAAGACATTTAATGCCTAAATCACCCTTCTTTTCACCGGAGAGGCTCCTGCAATGACGTCATAAACAGTTGCGCAATACAGTTCCGAAACTGTGCTTTTTTGTGAGCTCTCTGAGTCGTCATTTTAAAGCTAGATTCCACAATTATTGATGATTTCTAATAAAAATCATTGTCATGTTTGGAATCTCCGTTAAAAAATTGTTCTACATGTCTTTTTTTTTCCCTTCATTTATTTAGCCCGTTTTGGTTCGAGTGGCCCTTTAATCTCTTTCATTATTATTATTATGTCGTTCATGAAATTCATGAAAGTCTTTTTGAATTACACAAAGCGATATGCTGTATTTTTCTTTACTTTTGCAACCGATAGATTCAATATAAAATCTAAACCACTTTTCAGTTGATTGAAATGCTGGGTGGTTGTCCTCGGAGGGGAGGGGGGGGGGGGGGGTAATTGTCCCTCTGGTAATTGGCCTGGGGATTGTTCATGGGGTAATGGTCCTAAAACCATATATATCGTATGAACATGTTTTTACCTTTGACGTGGACGTCAGTTTAAGTTGTGCCCCTTTTTATGTATGATTTTATGTCACCATGTTAAAAATGACTATACTGTGATAATGTACATGTTTGTGGAAAATAGATGAACATTAAACAATCAATCAATCAAGCAATGTTGTGCCCTCCTCATACACGCCCTTTACCAATGCGGTATATCATGCCACGATTGATTGTTTCTTCCAATCGTCTGGTCTGATGAGAGCCAGAAGGGCGTTAACTTTATGAAAAGTGTTATCAGTTAACGCCCTTCTGGCTCGATAAGCCGAGTGAATGACATTTTCTACCAACTTATGTACATCTCAGGTGATCAGATTAGATTAATCGACAGTTAGATTCATATTATCTGGTTTGCCCCATAATAAAGAACACAAACAGTTCCTCAGCTGAACCGCATTCAATTTCTATAAGTGTTTTGTTGCAATGGGTTGTTTGACCGTTTTCATCCACGAGGAAACATTCTAGTGATGTTATATTGATATAATGTCAGAATAAATTCATGAGAAATTTCCAAAGGTCGAAGCCTTCTTAAATTTTCTTCTTGTCGTCTAGCACAATCAAGTAACAGAATATCAAAACATTCCATTCCGACTCTCTCTCTCTCTCTCTCTGTACATTTGTTGTTGTATAAACGTAGAGGGATGCATCAGTGTTCATCTTTATGCATTCCAAAGTACCAATACCCATTGTTCCGAAGTTTCTTTGATTATTTTACTGTACTGTTTAGCCTTCTGATTTTGTCCATGCTACATGTAAAGCTAAACATCAGACAGTTTCAGTTTCAGTTTCAGTTTCAGTTTATTTTCATATTTCTCACATGTTGTATAGTACATCATTACATATAGCATGTTACACTTTGAACTCATTTTAGGATGCGTTTATACAAACAATAAAAAGAATGATACATAAGACTAAGTTGAATAAGGGAAGAAATATGATGGAGCCTAAAGAGAAAGCAATGCTTGTAGGTCATAGGCTCCGGAAGTTACAACAATGACATGGTCTTGTGTATATTTAAAAAAAAAACGTAATTTAATTAAGTTGAAACTTATTACAATTGATTACCAAAGGAAATTTCGAAAAATCAAGAACTTTGGACCTTGTTTCCTATATACAAAAGTTTTTAGCACATTCCGCTATCCTGTAAATCAGTAGGTTCATGTTTGCTGTGCCTTACGTATCTTCGGAATCGTTATCCTTTTGTCAAATACTCTGGCTAGCGCAGTTTGATTCACTCTAAAAGTTGCTGCCGCAGAAATACAACATGGCGCTGAAAGCTCTACTGTCCGTAAGCATTCGTCTCGCGATCATCATCGCTGTCGTGTCGGCTGCAAACGCTGACGCCGTCAGTGATGACGAGCAACTTGTGGTGAAGACCTCGACGGCTACGTTCCTGGGCAAACGAATAGAGGTCAACCCCTATCTCCTGCCCGACTTCCACGGGAGCGCAGCGGCATACACCCGAATCCCCTACGCCGAACCGCCCCTGGGCGAGTTACGGTTTCGTCGTCCAGTTCCCAAAGTCATCGAAGGCGACTTCGACGCGACGAGGAAATCAGTGGCATGTTCTCAGGCTTCACAACCACCTTTCGTGTTAGACATGGATATGTCTGAAGATTGCCTCACTCTCGATGTCTTTGTTCCCGAGCCCAAGGTAAAATAATAAAATACATCGCTTTAAAATAAATATTCTAGCAATTTCCGATGGGGAAAACATCATTTTTCTTTCAAGTTAGAAAACTTTCTGAGAGTAACGTTTGCGGAAAATAATCTCTATTCCAAATGCAGAGTAGGATACTGTCAATAACTTCGCTTAAGCCGATGTAAATGTATTAAATATTCCACAGCAGGACTAGGTTCAATGAAATTTAAATGATAGAATTTCCAGATTCTCTTGGTAAACCTTTGTTACCAAAGTTTGAATGGGAGCCTTACTTCAATGAGCAAATTGTAACTCATGTGAGATATATCAAAACCGTTACCCTTTGCCAATAACCACAACTGTTGTGGATGCATGTACATTGAAATAAATATGAAAGAAGTAATGTGAGCGTGTCATGCAACTAAATTCAATGATTACATTCTTATCGGTGGACCTCGCCCCCTATCTTTTTCAGAACGATTAAGTATCATACAAGATCAATATTGAGTGATTATCGGTTGATCATAATTTATCAGGCCTAATGTGCTTAAAGGTACATTATTTGAGATGATTTTTGTTTTTCTTTCTGTTTTTCATATTAAAAAAAAGTAAGAATTATTGAATATAATCTCATGGTCAATAGACTGATCTTATTTATAAAAGGGAATCTACAATTTACAAGCTTAGCTTTTTACTAGATTCCACCATATTTCACAACAAATATATTTGTCTAATTTCAGTTTAAATACCATGCATTTGTATTTATATCTCCGTATGTTATTTCGACTGTATTATTACTTTCATGTTCTGATATTATTGTATGTACTTTTTGTACACCTATTGAAAGAAAAATTCTTCTCATTCTTTAATTTTATTGCTTTTGATTTTTGTAATGAATGTGAAACATGAAATATGAAATAAAACTAAACTGAATAATTATATTGTATATTAGTGATTTCATGTTTTTAGATTTGTATATGTCTTTCTAAATCGAAATAAATAAATAAAATAAAAAGTAATTTAATTTCAGACAGTGTCTTCACTTTAATAATCAGGCTTTATAGTACTCAGAAAAGGGGACAGTTGCCAATGTCCTCATATATATCACATGAATTCGTGGACAGATCCCAAAGGTTAATCCTCTTTAAACGAACGCCGGGTTAGAACAAACATGATTCAATCGCAGAAACCATGGACCCTTTGTGGTAGCTAGGTCCATGCACAAACTATACGGACTATGCAGACACTGTTATCTAAATACGATTGCTCAATACTAGGTCAATATTACAGTGCTGATAAGTCTTGATCTGTCTCAAGGTCTTTTTCAAAAAAGAAACCAAAGGAAATGAATAAGGTTTATTCTGTTGGCCTTTTTTTTTTAAAACTTTGATGTTTACAGGAAATGGGCCTATACATCATAAATTAAACTAGGACCGTTTCAGCTTTACTGACCTCGGTCTAACTTAACTGAAAACTGAGCTTACATCCAGCATTAAGCTGGTGGTTTTGTTTATCTGTCTACATGTTTTTTACGAGTGTAAAAAAGTCTAGATTTTTCCCATTCAATCCCCATCAATGATCGCAATACTCCTTCGTTTCATCCTTCGCTAAATATATCATTATGTGTACGCCAACAGTATATCTCTCTCTAATAAATGAAATTAAAGTCTAAAAGTGTATTTATCTCTCTCTCTCTCTCTCTCTCTTTCTCTCTTTCTTCCCTTCTGTCTCTTTCTCTATCACTTTCATTCCACAACTAGCCATCATCTGCTGCTGTTATGGTATGGATACACGGAGGGGGGTACTCAGTGGGTGCAGGGTCCATCCCCGAGTCTCTACCCGTACCATTGGCCGTTATGAATGACGTCATAGTGGTTGCAATCAACTACCGCCTCAATATTTTCGGTTTCGTCGCTTCAGGTATGACAAAGGAAAGAAAGCATTTACATGTACAAGAAGAGTTAAGACAAGACATCATCATCATTATCAATTTCACGAGAGCACGCCATGCAACTCTTTCACCTGCCATTTGTGTTGCACCTTTCATTCCTTGTCTAGACATGTTCCTGATATCATCAGTCCAAGATATTGGTGGACGACCTCTACCCCGTTTTCCTTCGACTGCTCCTTGCAGTATTTGCTTCTCAACACCTTCAGATATCTTAACAATGTGCCCAAAATAGTTTAGTTTTCTTTCCATGATTCCACTTCTGATGGTCAAGTCTGTTCCAATCTTTTCCAGGACCCACACGTTTGTCTTTTTATCTTTCCATGACACCTGCAACAGCCTCCTGTAGCACCACATTTCAAAGGCATCAACTCTCTTTCTGTCTTTCTTTGTCATGGCCCAAAGACAAGACAACAACACTATTAGAACGCCACTTTCTTTCCACTATGCCACAACACACTACATGGAATATTAATTTTCTGCCCTTTCATATGACACCTCAATCAGGAAAAAATAAGCCAGGAATAACAAAGTTCTGTTTGTTTAAAGTAATGCTTGCATTTCCATAATTTTATTAAACGAATTCGTTTTCACTGGCTGTCTACCGTAACAACAAAGAAGACGAAATACTTCATGCATGGTTGATAGTCAACGAAACAGAGTTTGTTGTTTGTTTCTATACGGCAGGCAGCCAGTGAAAACGTATTCGTTTGATAAAATTATGGAAATGCAAGCATTACCTTAAACAAACAAAATTTTGTTATTCCTGGCTCATTCTTCCTGATTGAGGTGTCATTAATATTAATATATATAGTCAGACGTCAATGTCGTAATATATATAAAGGGACTCTGTTAAAATTTAATTGTGTCGCCCTCCGTAGACAATCTTACTTAAATGTAGTTTTTAACGATATCACACTTTGTATATAGCACATATTCGTGACCAATCAGTTCAATTAAGTTACAATAAATGCAAATTTCATACTAAATTCAATTCCATTCATTCCACCATATTAGTTATGAATAAGTCTTAAGATACACATAAAATGAATTCAATCGGACCTTTAGCTAGGTCACATTACAACTAGGTCAAATATCAGGGGGGGGGGGGCGTTTCATGAAACAATAATGTGGTTTTCACCGACTAATATCATGTTCACCGACAATTTTGTCAGCGCTGACTAAATTTGACCAATCACAGGCCTGGAAAATAGTCGGTGACAAAGAATTGTCGGTGAACATGATATTAGTCGGTGAAAACCACCGACTTATTGTTTCATGAAACGCCCCCCGGATTGTCAAAAAGAGCGCACCAATAAAATCCTTTGTTTTGTTGTTTCTTTCTTTCTATATTCCATTAATATTTAGGAGAGGAAGATGTGAGTGAAGCTAACGTAGGAATGCTGGATCAGCGGCAGGCCTTGGTTTGGGTTCAGGAAAATATCGCAGGTGAGTGATTAATTACAATCAAGAATGAGATATTGTAATTAGTAATATTCTTTAATCATCCCAGTAGACCGACAGCCCAGCAGACAACTGAGTTAAATATCTAGATGTCCTTAGATCTCCTTTAAATCCACACTGCACTACTTAGAGCAACTTGCGCCCTCTATACAGCAATCAATGCCTAATCGGTGACCATTGGTCCCCCATGATCCTCCTTTTCTTTTGTTAATTGAGAGCTGATTTGATGAGAAACCACATGTCAGTGACCTTGCAGGGTGGTCTAATCCCTCCTGTAAATTAGTACAAATGGGCTTTTAAAAAAGAAAAAATATTGTGGAAAATATATATAGTTTTTATAAGGAAGTTGCAAAGGTAATCCGCCGTTCTTATTTACTTTGCAGCATTCGGTGGAGACCCAAGCAGAGTGACAATCTTCGGGGAGAGCGCCGGCGGGATGAGTGTGAGCCTTCATGTCCTATCACCCATGAGTAAAGGTCTCTTTTCAGGAGCTATTTTGCAGGTAAAGATCAGAGTTCATCGTGCCATGTTTTATGACAAGGCAAAATTTTCTTTAAAAGAGAGGCTGGAACGTTTACTTTGAAAAAATTGGAGTGTTCAAAGCAGGCCTCGCGCCTGAACAGCAGATCGTCCGGGAAATTTGAAAAAGTGCAACAAAATAATGTACAGCAAAAACTGACTAAAGACTGCAACACACTATTAGGCTTTGGAGATCCCAAGAGTGCAGCGTTTAGACAAATACAAATGCAAAAATCGTCTGGCTCGGGAGCTATGCGTCCTCGCATAATATCCTTCAAAATGTACAAGTAAATATTGTAGAAAAGTGAAGTGTGGAACAAGTATATTGTTTGTTTTCATACTATAGTTTTGCTAAGGAATATAATTTTGTAATAAAACAAAACTTCAAAACCTGTGAGGGGGTAGTCACTTTCGTCACCTTCACCACTCTCGTTCACTTTGCTCACTCACTCGGGCTCACTACGCCCCTTGACCCCACGCCAAATTTACACCCCACTTAATTGCTTTGCTCTATCTGATCGCAAATACTTTAGCTCCCCCCCCCCCCTCTCACTTTGAAAAAAGTTCCGCGGGGCCTGCATGTAACATGTAAGAGCGGTGATGACGCTGATTTTTTTTCCTCTCCCCCCCCCCCCCCCCCCCCAATAAAGGTTTTTGCTCATTACGTCACTCCTCCCTCGTTCCTCGCCTTTCGTCCCCCCGGTCATGAAAAGAAATCGCCGCCCCTGGTGGACTATGCCTACTTCTATGAATTGGCATTTCAGTTACAGTTCATAATAAATATGTGATTGTAGTAAAATGCTCCTGTGAAGATAAAGAGGGTGAGGTATGTCTCGTACTTATGCATCCGGAGAATAATCTTTCGAAAACACTTTCCATTGATACAGAGCGGTGCCGTGACGACACAGTTTTCTTACGGAACACAGGCCGAAGGCGAAGAAAATTATTTCGTGTACGGCCGAGCCCTGAACTGCAGTCAAGATTCTTACAGGGAAGTTGTGGAATGTCTACGTGGGATACCAGCTGATGATATCACAGATTATTTAGCCACGGTAATTACATGTTCACTACTGAATCCTCCCATAGGCTTAATACATGGTCCACCCAGATTCAGTAGGCAACGAGTTAAATGATCTAAGTACCATTTCTCCATAACTCTGTTGGGCCCACTCAAGACTCGGTCACAAATGCCATTACCCACTGCTACGAACGCCGTACGAACGATTTCCAGACAATGGAAATTCGGGAAGACAATGGTAAAACAGGGAGATTCGTACGAAATTATCGTTCGTACGAGCCTTTGTGACCGTAGCATTAGGTCCACTTAGGTCCAAACATCCCAATCATTATTATTGTTTAACAACATCGCGATTTCAAAGTGATTGCTTTGCAACTTCCCCTTGGACGTCGCTATATTTGGACTGTCGTGTAAACACTATGAACAAGACGGACAATGAAAGCGGACAAAATATACAGTTCCTCATGTAGACAAAGGAACATCCCTTCACTGCTATTATGTGTAGAACAGGTGTCACAGGCATATTCACCTGTTCTACACATTTTTACATAATAGCATTGAAGGGATGAACTGTATGTTTTGTCCGCTTTCATTGTCCGTCATGTTCATAGTGAAATAAGCCTTTTAAGACTATTTCTTTGAAATTCCAAGTCTGAATTTCCCTTTTAAAGATAAATCAGGGCCTCATGGAGTATTCTTCATCGCGTAAATAATTCTTTTTATTTTCAGATGAACACGGTGGGATAGACTTACAAAACAATCAAGTTGAATGAATTTCAGTAGCCTTGCACATCATCTTTTAAACTGTACGAACGATTTTAACATTACAATGACGTGTTACGTGTTACAACCCTATCATGATCTGTAGACAATACGATAAGGTATTGATATTGGCCTTACATTGATTTCTTCCCTCGTCACCGACATTATTATCTCTCAACTGCATGGATACATTCAACATGATATCATGATCTACACTGTGTTTCACCCAAAATGCATTTAGGCGCCAGTGGAAATGTACACGCACATGCTTCGTCCTTTCATCGACGGTGAATTCATACCACGTGATCCGAAGGAGATGTATGCCGACGGAGAGGTGAACCAAGTCTCCATCATGACTGGGTGTCTTTCGGAAGAAGGAAACCTGTTTATAATACCTCCCGATTTGGGACTGGAAAACCCCGACCAACCGATCCTCAACAAGACCTCTTACGAAGGTGTCGTGTCGATGTTTGTGCCGAACGCGGATGAACTGGTGCTCAACACAGTCGCAATGGTCTACATGCCTCCTGAAGAGGTGTGTTAAAGACAAAAGGTCCACATTCTACTAAGGTGGTTAAACCTGACCCTGGGGCTAATATAGCACGTTTAACAACAAAAAAGAACTAGACGTCAGTCTATACTTTCTTTGTTAAAATACGATTTTGGAAAAGGCCTTGCACCCAGCGTTGGTTTAAAATTTAGCAAAGAATAGGGCCGCATGATTTTTCCTATTTAAGAAGACATGTATTAGTTGTTGGAATTGCTGATCACCCAGAGGCCTTTGGGAATTCATATGACATACTGTAGTTTTTCTTGTTTATGATTGTTATTTATATTCGTATTGACCCAAGGTATGAGAGGCATTTTCCTAAATGTTTATTGGAATTTAAAATCGTTTAAAAAAAAGAAATCATCCGTTAAATATTTAATTGCCTATGGACATGATAAAGTTCTAAAAGTCTTCCAAAATTAGAACAATGATTCGTCAGCGCCCATTGTACAATGTGCAACAAATAACGTTATAATGTGAAGAACAACGAACAGGTGTGCGCTTCGTTCCAAACTAACTAACGATCCTCCTTTGTTTTCAAGATGTCGAAAGCGGAACCGGAGTATACGGACGTCGTGGTCAACTACATGGGCGACTCCTATTTTGTTTGCCCGAATTTCGACGCGGCCGACCATCTCTCGGCCGCTGGTCTCTCCACTTACAGCTACATCATGACCCACCAGCCTTCTGTCTCGATGTGGGGCAAGAAGCTCAAGTGGTCAGGAGCAACCCATGGCGAAGACCTTCCCTACACACTCGGGAATCCGTTCATGTTAGAATCCCTCGATCCTGAAAGTAATCTCTTCTTGATCGGTCTCTTCAATGAGCAAGAAGTGGAACTGGCTCTACAGATCATGAAGTATTGGTCCAACTTCGCCAAGACAGGGTGATTACACGTTACGCTTAATATATTTTACTGTATACGTGTCTCATTGGAATTCGTTGTTATCCTCTTTTGTCTTGATTCTTCTGTTTCTTTTCTTATATCATGATAGAATATGTTTCTTGATAACACGAGTTACATCCCAGCTTCTGAAATTATTATGTATGTCCCCATATTTGCCTGTAACGCTTTATGCCACTGAAGGCTATTAAATCACAATACAACATTTTAATCCTATATAATTATGATTAAATGTTCAGAATTATATGAACAATCCCCTTTTTTTCTCTTCAGGAATCCTAATCTTTCATGCAAAGATGGCGAACCAGATTCGAAGTATCCACTATGGGAAGCTTATTCAAAGGAGAACAAAAACTACAAAGATCTATCTGTGACCTTTGAGAATCGTGCGGGATATCCCAACCCTCAAAGTTGTATGTTCCTGCGTGATGTTCTCCCAAAACTACTAACAAATGCAGGTACAGTAAATCATTGGAGGTAGTTTCAACTCAGTGTTATAGGTCGTCTGTACTAGTTTGGTCAGGAGGGATTAGACCACCCAGGGTGGTCACTGACAGGTGGCTATCTCATCAACTCGGGTCTCAATAAACATAAGAAAAAGAGGATCATGGGGGACCAATGGTCGCCGATTAGGCATTGTTTTCTATATAGAGGGAGCAAGTAGCTACAAGTAGTACAGTGGGGCTTTAATACAAAAATATTGGAGGTTGTTTCATCTCAGTGTCATAAAGACTTATGAGAGTAATTGCTAAAGGATATTGGTGTTTATGATAATCAAGAGACAAGCACGATCCCCGACAGGGAGCTTGAACGTGGGCACTGTTGGTCTGTTGGCAGGGCGCACTTACAGTTCATTGCCAAAGCCCCTTCCTCCGTTAATCAGTGTTTGGATACAGTGCAAATTGTCTTATTATGAGACAGAGTCAACGTGACATTTTGTAGATATTGTTGCTTTTTTATTTAATACTTCTAGTGTAAGTTTCCCTTTTCTGTCGTACTCTCTACAGCTGAAATGGTCCGACTGAAATCACTTTTGGAAGAAAAAGTGATGGCCGATACTGATAAGACCTGCTCAGATCCCGATTCCTGTCCAGAGGAGTAGATGGCTCGGTAGAAGCTGTCAGGGATCCACCACAACTTGTATCACTGGCACACCAACTGCCCCCTCGCAGTGATAGTTCCTAAGAATTTATGATCGGCTGTTAAAATAAGTTAAACAATAAGCCTAGTTATTAGTATCACCTTTATCTAATCCTTCGCTCGGGACTTGGATAAGCGTTGTTTAGATTGTTTGAAGTGATAGTTTCTTAAGCCTTATTCAGCTGGACTGATGATTTCATTGGTCGCATAAAAGTAAAAAATGTCAGTCACTGAACAGAATATCCAAATGCACATAGAATGTTGGGGCTAGATAAATTTCTATAAAAAGTTCTAATCGGAGGTATAATCTTTTTAACCAGAAGTGTAGGACTGGGTCCCGTCGCATAAAACTTACCAGTGATGGTAGCATTACAATCTATAGTCAGTAACTTCAATGGAAACCTTGATTTGATTGGCTATGGAGTGATGCTGCATTCCATGGTAGTCAATATTGACGGCAAAGTTACCACCAGTGGTTGGTTCTGTGCAAAAGGGATGCAGATCTGTATTCCCTCCTTCATTATGCTTCGGACAAGCCGACATTTAAATCATTGTATTCTAAACTGCCAATCAGCATGCCTCGCTCAAATACATAAAAAATCTTCTGCGTCAAAAGTGTAAAGTTGTGCTTCATTTTGACGTTTTATATTATTTTATATCATTAGCTAGGTTTAATGAAAATGTAATCAAAGATAAAATTCGATCATCTTTACAGTCAACACTGCTTCCTTTGAATGAATTTCTTATCGGATGGTATATACCATTCTGGCATATTCTCTGTATTTCAAATCATGAATTAAATTCCCACTTTTAAAACATTGATATATTATATGATGTATTTATTCTTCTGCACTATATAGAACACATGTTTTCTGTTTCTTCCTTAATTCTTTTTGCATTTATTTCTTATCTACTTTTAGGCTTTTTCCCCCGCAATTACACAAATTTCTTTATCGGGCGGCTATGTGATGTTATCCAAGCCCCACCAAAAACAATTGGGGGGGGGGGGCTGATGATATCTGAGCCCCACCAAAATATGGGGGGGGGGGGGGTGGTGCTCATTGATATCAGAGTCCCGCCAAAATATTTTGGGGTCTCAATGATATCCTAGATCCACCAAATATATTTTTTGGGGGTCAATGATATGCGATATCCGATGTCTGAGCCCCTCCCCAAATAAATATTTATAAAACGTTTATATTTGAATGGTAAGTCTTTAGATTATAGGTATACATGAGTTTCATGCCAAGAATATAATGATTGGGGAGGAGGGGGGTTAATGATATCCGAGCCCCGCAATAAGTATTTGGGGGCGGCTCAATGATATCTGAGCCCCACTTAAAATATTGGGGGCTTAATGGTATCTGAGCCCCTAAGGACTCAATAATATCTAAGCCCCACCAAAACAATTTGGGGCTCAATGATATCTATAAGCCCCGCCAAAAATATTTTTTGGGGGGCTCAATGATATCTGAGCCCCCCCCCCCCGGTTCCTAAGCCTATGTTGTAAATACTCCAATATTCCTAGAGATATGGTTCGATATTTTTTAACATGACCTTTTCCATTTCACGTCGCGGTCACCATCTAAATGTTTGATAATACCTTAAATGTACAGTCTTCACAGTTCTGAGAACGTATAAACGTCAATTAAAACAACTGGGCGGTAGTCGTATGGCGAGCTGGCGACTTATTTTGATTAAATTACGGTGGGTGAACTTTACAAAGTCAATGGGACATGAGGGTTCCAATGAAAGAGCTAGTGTCAACGTACGTCGGGGTGGATGTGCTTTTCGTTTAAACAAAAAATGAATTTTTAACGATTTTGGGGGGTAAAAGTCCCTGGGCTAACATGTTAGGCTGCTGGACTCTGACGATAGGGGGCGTTGTCCAATGAGACTAAACGGAGCTATATGATTTTCCCCTGACCTTCCGAATGCCCTACCCTCTGGACCCCACCAAGGGCCCTAAGTCGAGCCCCTTGATGCTCATCTGATCGTAATTAAATGCCTAAAACCCCTGTGGAACCCATCCAAATAAGTGACCTGCATGCCAGTGTCACAAATAATTAGGTATCAAAATATGCTCATCTGAGCTTGATTAGGCTCCGTCCCTGGACTCCACCCCAATGTACCTCCACTTTGCTTTGTATTGCTCTTCCTGATCGTAAATACTTTAGCCCTCCCCCCCCCCCCCCCACTTTGTAAAACGTTTAAGAGTGGTGTTGATGCAGATTTTTTTTTTCTGCCCCCCCCCCCAAAAAAAAAAAACAACGTTTTTGCCTATTATGCCACTGTTCACTCGTCCCTCGCATTTCGTCCCCCCGGTCATGAAAAGAAATCGCCGCCCCTGGTTTCGACTCTCGACTTCTCGATCAGCAAGAAGTCTTCCTTTGGCGAGACGGCGGATTCCTGGCAACGACGGCATCCAAACTGGGGGTTTTACTTGAAGGTAAGATGATAACAGCCTAAACATATTTATCATAATGATGTAACCACGGTAGCCTCACCAGCAGTCAGTACCAATACTACATTCCAGAGGCCTTCCCGAAGGGCACTAGCGCATCTCCTTGGTTTCGAACCCTTGTCACCGGATTACGAGACCACTGCTCTACCAACTGAGCTTTCGCGCATCTTAGTGATCAGTGCAATCAATTGCAAAATTCAATAGTAGGCCTACAATCAATTGCTAACTTTGTGTTACGGGGCCTAGGTTACTAGAAGGGGGTTGGTCAGTCAGGAATTCCTGTTTAATTCTGACAAAAGGTTCAGGTTCAGAGGTATATCTTGTAAAAAAGGTAATAACATTCTTGTTTTGATTTAAAGGGTTAAACTAAAATTTCTTCCTCTTTTCCTCTGCCTCACTCCTAATCTACCTAGCATCATTCTCTCTCTCTCTCTCTCTCTCTCTCTCTCTCTCTCTCCGTACATGTATCCCTCTGACGCTATGTCTCTTTCCCTACATGTACCCCCCCCCCCCTCTCTCTCTCTTCCCCTTCTTCCAATCTCTCTCTCTCTCTCTCCCCCTCTTTATGTGCTCTCTCTTTCTTCTACTCTCTCTCCCTTCCACTCTCTCTCTCTCTCTCAAGCCCAAAATGTTCTCTTGACTTGGTGACAATGTAAATGATCATGTAGCAAATGTTCATTTTGAGATTCCACAATGAATTTATTATCAAAGCAAAATGACCATCTATAAATGTACATATAATTGGAATAATATGATGTAGTGCTGCTTGCAGAAAATTTGAAAATTGAATAGATGAATATGCCAATAAATATCCTCCTGATTTCCAACTCTATCATTTCAATACAATATAAATTGTGGTTATTTACCCTCTCTCTTCCACTCACGCTTTCTCCCTCTCTTTCTCTCTCTTATTCTCAATCTTTCCCTTGGCAGTGGTAGTACTTGTAACTTTTTTTCCTTCAGTATCATTTGTTCCATTAATGGACCATTTTTTTTTGTTAAACCTAAGGCACAGTACGTCATTTAAAAAAATATATATATATATAGAAAATAAAAAGAAGACTTCTGCCCGAACCAAAGCCAAACAACCTCTTGATGCAACAAAATGTGCATAACAGTGTCTGCACTGTGAGACTAGGCTGACAGCATACATGTAGCTGCTCATTTGACACAGCCAGAGACTGACAGAGTTAGGCTCTGCTCAAGGCTTTTAGAATTGTGGTATAGTGTAAAATTAAATTAGAGTCTGTGCAGACTAATGTTTACCCAAATCTATGCTGGTGAGGGTATAAGATCCTCTATCTGAAAAAATAGCTAGTTCTAGAAAAATAAGATCATGCAGCTGGTATAAAAATGAAAGAAAAAAAAAACTTCCTTGAATAAGCTAGCCTAAATGTATAAGCCTAATTATTCATAAATGAATGATACACGCCATAAAACTAGAACAAAAACAACAACAGCCTTGATTTTTTGAATATCAGCCACATATTTTGTCTAAATGCGCATTTCAATATACCTCAATTATAAACAGATTCAGAAAAAAGGCACTGAGTGTTAAAGTGAAGTACAACATGTACTAGGAATAGTGAGTGGAATGTGCAAAGTTAAAATGTGGCAAATACAAAATAATAATAAAGTCAACTCTCTTTTAACATTTACAATGGGTTATCAAAAATATGAGGTCACAATCTTTTTAAAATACATAATAGACATTCAGTTACTGCAGAAAATAATCATTGCCTCATTAACAATATGGAAACTATGAAGGATGATTTCAAACCGTTTATAGATTAGATATTTGTACAACTATCAGCTATTTCATCATAATCTTTCTGGGTTAGTAATCTTATATTTCCGATAACAAAACTGAAAAGTTGAGAAATAATAATGATGTGTTATTTCGATATAACGGGATTGACCACCTCTCACTACAAAGAACAGTATTTTACATCCCCACAGGAAAGCTTGCAAACATCCCATCACCTGAGCATAAACATATCACACTAACACATTGGACCATTGTTATTTTAAACTTTAAGCTTGATAAAAAGTTCTAAACAAATTACTAACAACGACGTAACAACAAAGAATAGAAACAATGAGTCTTCACAGTTTTAAAAACAAGTTTGCCAAAAAATCAAAAGTTGATTTCATTCACATGGCACATGACTTGGGATAAAGATCCCCAATACTCATAGTTTGCGATTTAACCATAAAATTGGTCACGGATCACAACTTCAACTGTACTTAAAGTTTGAAGCCACAAGTGCGTCCACAAGGTCTATGCCCACAATATAACCTTGAAGTTTAAAAACCGCAATCTACACATTAAGTTGACAGAGTTTTGTGTGAACCTATCTATTATGTCTGTGAGTTTGTGTAGAAGAAGAATGCTTGTACTTCTCTCAGTGCTTGATACAGATGCACTTGGCTTCAGTGAAAAATTCCATGGATTCGTTGACCCCCTCTCGACCTACCCCAGAAGCCTTCATTCCTCCAAAAGGCATGTTGAGGTCGCGCACCATCCAGCAGTTGGCCCAAACCGTTCCGGCCTGTACCAAAGACAGACGATATGATACACAGAACAATATAATGATAATATTTCAAATTCATACATGTATAGTGCTTGAAAACTGCTTGAATATCTCTAAGCACTTAACGGATACAGTCAAATGTGTCTATAGCGAACACCCAAAGGTAACACAAAAAGTGGCCTTTGTAGACAGGTTCCTTCAGTACATGATTCAATGAGAAACCATTTTCAAGGGAAACAACAAATGTGGCCTTTGTAGACAGGTGGTCTTTGTAGACAGGTGGTCACTAAAGCAGGTTTGAATGTATATCATTGGATTGACTGATTCAGTCTTGCCTGCATTCTTTGTATCCGGGTCATAAAGCGATTAATACATCCACATTGACAGTGACACTAATTGCACCCTTTGGATCGACATATCACCGTCAGATTCAGGCTTGCCCACACACATTAGACGAAATTCATCAAAGAGGTTTGTCTTAGCCGATGGTCTCAACCTTCATAAGGCCTTTAAAAAAAAGATGTTGTATTGCCTTTTAGGTGCCAAAACATAGGTCGGTCGGTCAGAAATCTTTTTTTCCCAATTTTTTTTTTCTTCTCCCTCTTTGGGCTCATATTTTTCGGTTTTGAATGCTTTAAAGGTAATACAAAGTTTTGGTAAATTTTTAAAATTGGGTGGGTAGTGATTCTTTACAATTTTGATATATTTGGATGCCCCTGTGGATGTATTATAAGCACTAGAAAATTTAGCCCCTAAAACACTTCTGCTTTCGAGAAAAATTAAATCTAAAAATTTACTGGTGCTCCCGGTAAATTTTGATAAATTTCAAATAGCGCCTACGGCTGTACAATGGTAGCTGCGACCATGAAGAGCTCAGAATATGTAGTTGTGATATATCAATTTCAAACAGGAATAGCTAATCGGTCGATTTTAGTCAAGAGACATTGTTTTATAGCTTAATTAATATCTTGACCTTGAGATGGAGCTATACAACATAAAGAGTATATTATTTACAATTTCATAACTTTAGACTCGATTTCGACCGCGACAACGATTACTTAATATTGTAGGATCGCATATGCCTTCAATATGTTCATTTGAACCAAATCCATGACCCCATACCAAAACATTATATTACCTTTAATATTTTTATTTTTTTTAAAGGTTAAAAAAAAAACTTTTTTAAAAAGCCGACTGTAGATTTCAAGATTTTTGGGTCGGTCGCAAAGGGCAATACAACATCTTTTTTTTTAGGCCTTAGCATAGAACGTAATTGTCCACATGTCTAATGTCCGACATACTGATTACAGCATGGTGAGTTTTGACAAACTTTTACAACTGGCTTAGCGAAGATTTCCAAGCAATAGTCAAAGTAACACCAAGTCCCTCCAAATCCATGTAAATATGCATATGGTGTAACAATATTCAGCACATCGCTATTTTTATTAATGTGAAATTACATGTATTTCATATTACCAGGGCCTTGGCTTAATTGACATTTACCATTGATCCGTATTGATCACAAGTGGTCAAATCGATCACAGAGTAACATCCTCCTATCTTTATATTACAGATTTGCGACTGATATAATATGTCACGACTGATTAGATTCAACTAGCGATTAAAGGTAAAGACCAGTTATGGTCATGCGATTGCATTGTGAAAGAAACGTTGTGGAATCGATCAGAAAAGGTTGATCATCTAGCATCTAGCATCTGCAAGGTTCTGGAATCATCAAAATTACAAGCACTATACACAGAAAGATGTATATGGGACTACCCTATATCTCTCACAGACCATGAGAGAAACAAATTTACCAAATATATGAATTATTAGGCGGTTTCCCGGCAAATTTTTTATCATCATGTATTAGTCAAAACATATTCTTTCACATGATAGGTAATGAGAGCTTCCATTTCATTTTTTGAAATTGGGGCGTTTCCAATACTGGTCTTTACCTTTAAGGGAAGTTCACCCTGATATTGAATTGGTTTTAATATAAGCAGAAAAATGAGATAAACATGTTGGTGAAAGTTTAAGCAAAAACCAATTAAAGATAAGAAAGATGTGAATTTGTTAACATGCAATCAAACACAAATTAGTAACTCTATATAAAAAAAATATTTAAAAAATTGCTCCCATATGCCCTATTATTTTCATTAATATCTGATATTGCTAAACCTTTCACTAATATGTTTATCTCATTTTTCTGCTTTTATTGATACCAACGTAATATCAGGGTGGACTTCTCCTTAAAGATAGGGTGAAGAACTCAAGTAGACCTTGAAATGGAAAGGGTTCTCACCTGAAGTTTCTGAGACACACGATGTGTTCTTCCAACATCCTTAGTCCAGACACAAGCAGCTAGACCATACTTCACGCAGTTTGCCTTCTCAATGGCCTGCATATGAAATGAAAGAAGAACATTTCGAGGGGTCAGTGACACAAAGAGGTAACTCCATATTTTGCCAAAATGAGTATTTGATATCAAAATGTTCAGAAAAATGTTGGCTTACCAGGAAACACAAAGACTTAACTCCACCCAACACCCCATTGAAGTCCATGGCTAGTGAAACATAGACTTAACTCCTTAAGGCCCAAGTGCTCATGCAGTGACACATAAACCACTTTTTCTCAAAATGGCCAAAATGGAGTTACATCTTTGTGTCACTGACCCCTCAATTTAAATATCTATTATCTTTGTTGTAAAGAATTTTTTTGCTTGTACCCGGCCACTAGATACAGATCTTATTCTACTGGGTACAAGCCAAAAATTTCTTTACAACAATTAAAACTTCTCCCAGGAAGCCTAACATTCAAAGCTGTTGTCCTTATGGCGGACAGATGTATAATAATAAGTCAGAATGAGCCAGGAGAGCTGAGGAATTTGCAGCCTAGTGGTAGGGGGAAGTGAGCATTTTTTTCTTTGTTAAATCCCCCCCCCCCCCCCCCCGAAATTTTAAAATCACGCCGACCAATATTTCGCTCATTTGGGGGAGGGGGGTGGGAATGGGGGGGGGGGGATAGTGAGCATAAAAAAAGAGAACATTTTGCCCCCAATATTTCAATTAAAAAAATTTTTTTTTTAAATTCTTTACTTGGCAGCCCGGGGGTTGGGGGGGGGAGTAAACCCCCTAACCCCCCCCCCCCTCCCTCGTAGATCCGCCCCTGGCCCAGCAAACAGTATGTTCAAATCCTGTAGTTCCAAGATGTTTTCTGACTTGTCTACAATTACAAGATCGAGTAAGCAATCATTATCGAATGGTAGCAATCCGAAAATGTATTTACAAGAATTGAAACTTCTTATTTCAAATAGCTCTTCTAAATGGAGAAATCTTTATCGATAAAAACACCTGGAGCAAAAGTCATTTGAGACAATTGTGGGGTCACACTCACATCTTCTTCTGTGGTGAAAGGAGCGATACAGACGACTGGACCAAAGATCTCCTCCTGCATACATCTGCTATGCGGTCCTAGCCCAGTGATTACTGTAGGTGCCATGTAGTAACCCTAGAAAGGAAAGAAAGAACATTGGATCAAGGTCGTTGACACGAAACTTCAAAGGTAGAACAATTTTACATTTTACTGGAAATTGGGTAAAAGATTTCATCTTCCTGCACCCCTCACTCCTTCCCCTCCCTCTTCCTAATGTACCGGTAACAACAAGTGCATTGCATGTTTTATCTTTCATTCCCATGCACTTTATTTGATGGTAAAGAAATTTATATAAATTATTGATATTGTGAAGAAATGATTAGATATATCACAATTCAAAGGTAAGTCACTGAAACATTCTTCTTTTAATTTCTGACAATCCTGTTTGTACAATGTTACAGCAGTTACCAAAAAAAAGGAAAGAAAACTCACATTTTTATTTTTCAATGGAATATGCATCTCATCCACCCCTTCCCCACAATGGACTGTGCCACCTTCTTCAATGGCAAGCTCAACGTAACCTTTGACCTTATAGAGATGCTCCTTGCTGATGAGGGCACCGAGCTTTGAGGAGTCTTCCGAAGGAGGACCAACCACCATTTTTCTACATAAAGAAATAAATAAACAATAAAATGAACAAATACAAAATTGTAGAGACTTATGGTCTACTGGCTAAGTCATTAGATTAGGGATCACAAAGTACGTCACAGATAGAGAATATCATGAAATGAACAACTTTTGTGAACTATTAAAGATGGGCATTTTCAATAAGGCCTAAAATAAAAACTTGTTGCATTGCCCTTTGGGTGCCAAAACATGGGTCGGTCGGTCGGAAAAGTTTTTTATTTTTTTTTTATTTTTTTTATGTCGCCCTCTTTGGACCGATATTTTTCAGATTTGAATGTTTTTTTGTTTCTATTTTTTTTTCCAGCCCTCTTTTGGCTGATATTTCTCAGTTTTTAATGCTTTAATACATGCGTTTCAACGTCATCATTCCATTGATATCTTTTTCACCTCATAATCATCCATGGTTTGCACGAGTGAGAATTTTGGAATAATTTGATTTTATGCATTTATATTCCATTTAAACAAACAAAATACATATTTTTGTATCCATTAATATAAAAAAATTCTAAAAAAACGGTTTAAAAAAAAAAAACTTTTTTAAAATGTTGATCGTAGATTTTCATATTTTTGGGTCGGTCGCAAAGGGCAATACAACAAGTTTTTATTTTTTAAACCGTTTTTTTAGATTTTTGTTATATTAATGAATAAAAAAATATGTAAATATGTATAGGCCTAATAGTGGGTTCCTGTATAGCGCTCATGTCTGTCAGGCTATACACTCCGGTCGCTCCACACTTATTACCCCAGCTTTAGCATGGCTGCCATAACGGCGCTCTAGCATTTCATGAAAGTAATTCCTGCCAGGTACCCATTTACCTCACCTTGGTCGAGTGTGGCAAATGTAGATTAATGTTTTGCTAACAGACATTAGTGCCGCAGCAATCTTGAAATGCAAACCATGTGATCCACATTCTGGTGACTTATCCACTAGACCAAGACACTTCTGTGGATATTTGGGGTACTTCGTACCATGTACTATCTATAAAATGGTATAGTTTCAAGTATTTCGTGGCATGAAACTTTTGTGAATCTGAACTTCTCACGAATCATCTATATAATATTGGACTCACCTTGCAGCAGCGACATATTTCTCGACAAACTTCTCCAGAATGCTTTCTTGTACAAAGAACCTGCTCATGCACAGGCAGATCTCCCCCTGGTTCGTGAACCCTGACCTGACCACCGTCGGGATGATCTCGTCGAGGTCGACATCGTCGAACACCACGGCTGCATTCTTCCCCCCAAGCTAGAGCGAGTGGATATGTGTAAAGGAAGAATCAAACAACTACCGCACAAATATATGTCTGAGTCAGGACTCTGGGCTAGTGACATGCTTGAGAGTTTAAAGGATATTTGAACGTTTTGAAAGGTACTAGGAAAGGAAATGCCAAAAGATCAGTCTAAAAGTCAGAAAAATAAGACAAAAATTAGTATAAATATCAGGGGGCATCATCTCTTCAGAAATATTGAAAAATTCATCAAAAAGGTTTATTAGCGCTTAGAGACTTTGGCTTTATAAGCATCATTTTTATTATTATTTATTATTATTATTATGGTAAATAGTCAGTTATGGCAAAATGAAGTGACCTTGCTTTGTTCTTTTCTAGGAAAGGGAAAGGGGAAGGGGAGGGGTCACGCCATAATAAAAATGAACATACCTCAAGAGAGATTTTTTTACAGAGGGGTGATGCAAGGGCCATTATCTTCTTCCCTGTTTCTGTACCGCCCGTGAAGGAGACCAGAGGAACGTCAGGGTGCTCGACGATCGCAGATCCTGCTCTATGCCCTAACCCATAGACCATGTTCACCACACCATTAGGAAGACCTGGTGATATACAAAGAAAAAAATGTATTTAAATAACCATGTAGTACTGATATGTTAAAGATAAACTTTAGTACTGGTAATGCGATTGCATTGTGAAAGAAAAGGTGTGGAAAGGATCAGAAACAGTTGATCATGTAGCATATAAGTATTGGTGTGCACTGCAAGGTTCTGGAGACATTAAAATCATAATAAATTTGACCGAGTCTTGGTAAAGTAACAAGCACATAGAAAGCTATATATGGGACAACACACATGGTGTCGGGGCTAGTACTACCTTGATTTCCTCGTCTTTCTATGCTCATTACTCAGCCAGTATACATTTTCTTCCAAAATTGTTTGGCACATGTCATTTATTTGTAATCTTGAACATTCAGTGTAAGTTTCGTTTGATTCTGTGAAAATTATTTTTTTTTTTTTTTACCAGTACTGGAGTTTATCTTTAACCTATTGACTACTACCTTCTCTCCTTGCCATGGACCTAGTACAGGGAATTGAAAGAAAGCATGCATGACAATATATAGGCAATAGATATAAAAGGTCTAGATCGTCTTACCCTTTGACTGGGTCGTTCTTCAATATACCAGTTTGTAGATACAATCTGCGCATGCGCAGGTAAAGGTCACTTGTACGAAATTGTAAAACTCACTGAGACTAATACTAGATACATGCTCATGAAAGATATGTAATATGTATCACCTGTGATACATTCTATTGAGCACAGGTGGTGGAAGTAATCCTTTCAAGTGGGCAAACAAAGAATCACCTCCATGACTTAAGCTGTGATTAATCCAAAAGGCACAAAGTGGGATTTAGCTATTTTAAAAGATCTGTGGATATTTGGGGTCATCTGAACCATGTGCTAACTACGAATGGGTCTATTGTAGTAGACTAGATAATGGATAAACCAAAAAATGGAATTATCCAACGTGCACACTTTTTGCTTTTGTAAAGCACTTCACCCATTCATTTTGTACATAATGTGCATAGCAGACAACGTGAAAGGGAAGTTTGTTTTAGTTGCACCCACATGCAAAAATTCAATCAACTTTAGAATCTAGACTTACTGTGCCCATGGCTTCAGAATATTCTGAAAATTCCAGTTAGTACATGCACTCACAGCAGAGTGTCATTTGTGTTTAGGGTGATCCTGCATATTCTCCAGCAACGATAGCTCCAAGCTTTACTTCGTCATCAGTAGGCCTATAGGGTCTGGTTTGCAATTGGGTTGTATGTTATGTTTAGGGTTAAGGTAAGTTATAGAGTTTGGTCAAAGGTCGAATGGTAAGCATTGGAAGTTGACCCCGGACCAATTTTCACAGGAGTATTACAGCAGTCGTGTAATATCAATAATGCAAATGAACCAACCTGCTTTGACCATTAATTTGGCCAGTTTCCATGATGTCACGGAGGTCATCTCGCTAGGTTTGCAGACGCAGGTGTTGCCCGCGGCGATGCAGGGCGCAATCTTGAACGTGAGGAGATAGAGGGGTAGGTTCCATGGACTGATCATACCCGCTACCCCAATGGGCATGCGCATGGTGTAGTTGGTAGCTCCAACATCCTCAAGCAAGGTGGAGCTGTAATGGAAAGCCAAATACATTTCATTTAAAGCCTGTATGTAATAGTTTATCCAGGAGGGAATAATAATAATAATAATAATAATAATCTTTAAAGTCCACTCCAAACTTTATTAAGTTAAACCGAAAATGGAAATTCTTTTTGCCCAATTGATCGTGAGCCTGGCAGCCACTGAGCAGCGCAAGAATAGACCACCCAGGGTGGTCACTGACAGGTGGCTATCTCATTAACTCAGCTCAATTAACATATGAAAAAGAGGATCAACCGGGACCAATGGTCACCGATTAGGTATTGTTTTCTACATACAGGGAGCAATAGCTACATGTACAAGCAGTACAGTGGGGCTTTAACAAGAACGGTTTGTTCAACTGGTCAGCAACCATTGTCAGTTAAAAGGGTTTTTTTTAATGGTGATATTTTCCAACCTGTTTCTTGTGTGAAGAATAGATGATGCGAAGAAGCGGAAATTATGCACAGCCCTTGGGATGTCTATGGCCCTCGCCAGCCAGACGGGTTTCCCTTGGTCACGTGACTCGATCTGTGCAAGCTCCTCAAGGTTTTCTTCGATAAGATCGGCTATCTTGTTCATCATCTTGGCTCTCTCTACTCGGCTTTTGGAAGACCATCTAGATGGAGTTTGGAAAGAATCAAATTTAAGATAGTCAATGTTCCCCATCGTGATTGTTCACTGGTGCAGACTAAACTTGGGCCAGCATACTCATGAAGAGGGATTCAAAATAGTGCACTTGCTTGAATAAATTTTGAAATGATTGAATGTAGATAAATAATACTCCACCCCATCAGTCCTACCAGTACTTGCTTAGGGACAAGGAAGGCACTCTTGAGGCGACTTTGACATCTGTTGTATTTGTTTGACATAGGGCAAACATTGAATGCATGCAAATGTAATAATAATATAGCGCACAGAAACTAAGTATATAATCTACTGCGCTACAAGAGATCCTGATATGCTTAGATTTACAGTTAGGCCAAATAACAAAAATGAAGTGTTTCTGATCCCCGCCAACCTCCTTTTTTAAAACCATTTTGTGGCTCGATCTAGATCTATTCAGGAAAATAAAGCACCAAAACAATTATCCCCCCCCCCCCCAAAAAAAGCCTGTGATTTTGTTATAGCTATTAAAGTGAAACAAATCATTTGTTTTGCATACATTGTATCTGTATATACTAAAATAGCACAATATCTGTAAACAAATAGGCTTGGCCAGCCATCTTGGAAGAAAACGATCAATAAAATTCAAATGAATAAAAAAAAAAAGAAGTCCGGACGAGAAACACATTATTTTTGTTATTTGGCCTTAATTGAAAAGATGTGCTTTCAGTTTTGATTTAAATATATTCACAGATGATGATTTCCTGGTTTATAATGGTTATTCTGGAGTTTTGAGGTTGCACAAGCAAATGCTCAATCTCCTAGGCCTAGCATTATATTTTGTTCGAGCGAGTGCTCACTCGAGCTCGATCTCGATATCTTGCCTTTCCTCTCGTTCATACTTACATCGGAAAAGCACGTTTGGCGGCGGCCACTGCCAGATCAACCTCCTGCTTTCCACTGTCCGGAATTCGGGCCCAAACTTCTCCAACGGATGGATCAAAGCTGTCCAGAAAACTGGAGGCTGGCACGAACTCTCCGTCTATGAAATTTTCAAGAGTTACTTCTGCCATTTTGCGACGTTTTTCGTGCAGGTCCGTTGTCATAATCTTTGGGATCTGTCTTGTAGTTTTCACTGCACTGCTATGCGAGCGCTCAATACACGGGCGAGCGAGCATACGTATTGTTTAGCGCTTGAAAAGTCCCACGCGTTGTTTACTAATGATCAAGTAGTAGTAGTGGGTCGGAGCATCGGAGGAAGCGAACTGTCTGTGACCGGAAAACCCGTGCTATGATTGGACGAATGTGGGGGTGTGTCTAGGGTGTGAAGATCAAAGGTGAAAACGATCGTGTTGAACATGGCACGTGACAAGAATGTCCGTTGACATGGAGAAAGTTTGTTAACCTTGACTGAAAGATTAGTATTGGTCTTGGCCCTCTATATCTACGTCAGGTTTCACGAATCTCTGTAAATCGTGGAATTTCGCCGATATGCCCTATCAAAATGAACGAATGAATGAATAAATGAATGTGAACTATATAATTAATTAATTGTACGGATGAATTAATTAAAGAGTTATTAAATGAATAAATACTATACAAAACTTAAATTATCAAATAAAGAAGTGTCTTAATTTTTTTTATAAAGATTTAGTCTCGATGGCGATGGGAATGGAGTTTTTGGTGATGATATTGATGATGAACTCGATAATGACGTTGATGATGATGTTAATGATGAATGATGATGAAAACGAAATATTTATTTGCCATATATCAATAGATCTATATCAAATGATTTTCATTGGTTTTCTTGAATTTTACGGAATATCAAAATAGAACGAAACTAAAGTAAAACAATCACTCTCTGTCTGTCTTTTGTTCTTTCTTTCTTTCCTTTTCTTCCTCGTCTTTCGTTTTTTTCTTCTTTCTTTCTTTCTTCTTCTTCTTCTTCTTCTTCTTCTTCTTCTTTCTTTTGCCTTCTTCTCTCTTTCTTTCTTATTCTTCTTCTTCTTTCTTTCTTCTTCTTCTTCTTTCTTTCTTTCTTTCTTTGTTCTTCTTCTTCTTCATCTTTCTTTCTTTCTCCCTTCTCATTCATCTTCTCTTTCTTTCTTCTTTTTCTTCTTTTTCTTTCTTTCTTCTTCTTCTTCTTTCTTTCTTTCTTTCTTCTTATTCATCTCTCTTTCTTTATTCTTCTTCTTCTTCTTCATCTCTCTTTCTTTCTTCTTCTTCAACTTTCTTTCTTTCTTCTTCTTCAACTTTCTTTCTTTCTTCTTCTTCTTCTTCTTTCTTTCTTTCTTCTTCCTCTTCTTTATTTCTTCTTCTTCATCTCTCTTTCTTTCTTCTTCTTCTTCTTCTTCTTCTTCATCTTTCTTTCTTTGTTCTTCTTCAACTTTCTTTCTCTCTTCTAATTCATCTTCTCTTTCTTTCTTCTTTTTCTTCTTTTTCTTCTTTTTCTTTCTTTCTTCTTCTTCTTCTATTTTCTTTCTTTCTTTCTTTCTTCTTCTTCTTCATCTCTCTTTCTTTCTTCTTCTTCTTCTTCATCTTTCTTTCTTTCTTTCTTCTTCTTCAACTTTCTTTCTTTCTTCTTCTACAACTTTCTTTCTTTCTTCTTCAACTTTCTTTCTTCTTCCTCTTCTTTCTTTTTTTTTTCTTTCTTTCTTCTTCTTCGTCTCTCTTCTTGCTTCTTCTTCATTTTTCTTTCTTTCTTTCTTCTTCTTCTTCAACTTTCTTTCTTTCTTCTTCTTTCTTTCTTCTTCTTCATTTTTCTTCTTCTTCTTCTTCTTCATCTTTCTTTCTTTCTTTCTTTCTTCTTCTTCACATTTCTTTCTTTCATCTTCATGATCTTTCTTTCTTTCGTTCATCTCCTTCTTCTTCTTTTTGTTCTTCTTTTTTCTTTCTTTTTGTTTTTCTTCTTCTTTTTTCTTCTTCTTCGTCTTCCTCTTTCTTTCTTTGTCTTCTTCATCTTTCTTTCTTTCTTCTTCTTCATCTTTCTTTCATCGTTCTTCTTCTTTCTTTCTTTCTTTCTGTCTTTCTTTCTTTCGTTCTTCTTCTTCTTCTTCTTCTTCTTCTTCTTCTTCTTCTTCTTCTTCTTCTTCTTCTTCTTGTTCTTCTTGTTCTTCTTGTTCTTCTTCTTCTTCTTCTTTTTTCTTTCTTCTTCTTCTTCGTCTTCTTCTTCTTGAATAGATGGCAGTTTTTTGAAACAGTATCTAGTATGAATATTACCGTCGGAACATCAAACATTGATCAGTAGTAAACTGATTGTTTTTATTCAAACTTTTCCTTAAATTTCATGCTTTCAATACAAACAGCTTGAAATACAGGGTGCATGTATATTTTGAGCAAACTAAATCAGAGCTTTGCGAGACAGAGGGGCACGCAAACTTTCCACTTCATCCCACCCCTTCCCTTTCTCCTATATTCCATACAACCCCCTCCTCTCTCTCTCTCTCTCTCTCTCTCTCTCTCTCTCTCTCTTTCTCTCTCTCTCTCTCTCCTTCTCTATCCTCTCTCTCTCTCTCTCTCTCTCTCTCTCTCTCTCTCTCTCTCTCTCTATTTCTATACATATAGCACAAATAACTCAATTTGGATAATCCTCCGTCAGGGCAATATACAAATAATAATTAAAATAATTGAAATCAAAAATACTGGAGAGTTCATTTCTTTAATCTCAAAGATATTTTGTAATTGTTTTAATTATTATGTATATCCCACTCCTCTCTCTCTCCCTCTCTCTCTCTCTCTCTCTCTCTCTCTCTCTCTCCTCTCTCTCTCTCTCTCTCTCTCTCTCTTCTCTCTTTTTTTTTTCTCTCTCTCTCCATATCTCTCTCTCTCTCTCTCTCCCTCCCTCCCTTACTGTCTTCCTCTCTTTCTCTCGCTCCTGGATCGTTCACTAATAATATGTTCTTTATTTAAATTTAGCGCTCTCACACGATTGGTTTGATACTCATAGCGCTTTATACATGGTATAAAGGTAGGGGAATCATTTAAATGAATACGCCTTTAACTGCTTTTAAAAATTCTTTTTCACATCTGCTCTAACATTCCCTTTTCATAATTAATTAATTGAGAAATCTGGCATCCCTATTTGGCCTGAAACAATATGCATATCGTCAGTCGCTCCCCCCCCCCCCCCTCCCCCCCTCCAAAAAAAAAAAATTGTGCAACATCGGTGCAATTGCTTATATTCTGGCGCATTTCTTCATTAAATGCCAAACTGACAAATCAATAACATAGAGAATGGCGGAATCTTCACAAAAATTGATACAAAATAATGAATGTTCAAGCTTGAACAAAAATTTTATTGAAAGAGCAATCCAGACCTCATAATCAGCTACTTTCGACGAAACTTTAAGCAAAACAAATATAATTATTACGTGTTCATTTTATTTTTTTGCTTTCACTCAAAGTACCTTGCCAGCAAGACTTAATTGCCCTTAAGAAACATTTAAACAATCCAAATGGGTATTTCCTCTCAAACAATGGTATCGTAATTATAAATCTTATTCAGTTCCGAAAGTGGATTATGTTGAAATCATTGTGGAACAAAAACAATAATGATTACAGAAATCAAAATACAAAAATCTATAATTTATATGAAACAACTAATCTGTGGAAGTTATTATATACAAACAATTATTTAAATAGGCGTAAGGTATGCATTGACGATTGTGATTGATATAAGAGAGAGAGAGAGAGAGAGAGAGAGAGAGAGAGAAAGAGAGAAAGAGAGAGAGAGAGAGAGAGAGAGAGAAGGAGATTTTAAAATAAAAATGGTCTCCTCCCCCATTCTCTTTATGCTGCTTTGAATTCAAATGTTTATCTTAAATTGTGATAATTATAGCTCCTTTAAAGACAACAGTCGTTAAATAAAATGGAAGATGAAATGCGTCGTCATCTAGACCCCAACCATAATGAAATCATAATTATAGTAACAGTATCAATTAAACAAATATACGATCAATATGTTGTATGCATATGTCAAATGTTGTAACTTGTATAGGTTAACATCCCTTTGTACTTTTGTTAAGAGCTTAGAAACATTGTATTTAGCGCTATATCAAATGTATTATTATCCTTATTATTATAAAGAACTTATTGTCAAAATGATGCCCAATCATTTGAGATTCTATATTTTGTTTTTCTTTATGTCATTATATGTTTTAATAGTACAGCCACAAGTAGGTCTAATGAACGAGCATACACCACTAAGTCAAAAGGACTTCTGTGTTTGGCACATTAATAAGAAAGATTTATTATCATTCCATTTTTCATATGCTGGTTATAAGAAAAGAGCCATTCGAATACAAAATGAAAGATTCTAATTAATAAATCAAATTTTCAGCATAAAGGATAAAACAACTTGCTGTTCGATCTCATTATTTTATGTAGCATCATGAAGTATTGAATAAACAGGCCAATATAGAGCAATCCGTTGAAAGAGCCAATAAATCAATAAATAAAACTATGAATGTCATTAAGTCAATACTCAAGCCACCATAAATAAACACAAATGAAAACTGTGAAACTAAAATCGTTGCAAAACAGAAAAATCAGTCCGATTCTGCAAATTTTTGCGTGATTGCCAAAACATTTCGAATAGAACGCCAATGAAAAAAAAATACATATCCGCAAATTTATTGTGACGTTTCTTCGAACAGCCAAGTTAAAAAAATAAAATTAATGCTACTCTATCATACACATTAGGACTCTTTTTCAATTTTTAGCGGAAGGGCTCTCTGAAACCAAATTCACTAACTTAACAATACAAATCATAAAAAAAGAAAAAGCGTGGAAATATTAATCCAAATTCAATCATTGTACACAAAACAATCGATTCGATATTGCAAATTTCTAGATAAAAATGCAATTGACATAAACATTTCGAAGAGTGAACACCGATCGAGGAATAAAGTCTGTTAGGTTATCATTATCAGGACCACAAGGCCACCTTTAAAAAAGTCACTTTGTTTGCCACATCTTAAATGCTCTGCAATAAACAAGTTCGGAGATATTATTTTCTGCGCATGGGCAGATAAGGGCCATTAGTGTAAAATTCCACGTTTAAAAGCTGTGTGGATATTTAGGGGTCACTTGTACATGTGCTATCTCCATATAGGGTCGATAAAGACGGTATTTAAACTTACTTATTACTGAGAAGTCTTTCTAAAATCAGGCTGTTTGGTCATTGGTAATGCCCTAACGACACAAAAATAAATACAGTCAAACCTACTTTAGTGACCACCTGTTTACAAAGACCACCTGCCTACAAAGACCACATTTTTTGTTCCCCTTGAAAATGGATTCTCATTGAATCATGAACTAAAGGAACCTGTCTACAAAGACCACCTGTCTACAAAGGCCACGTTTTGTGTTTTCCTTGGGCGGTCGCTATAGACAGGTTTGACTGTATGATCCTTTTAAATGTATTTTCGTCCACATTATAGTAGGGCCTAGATATCAATCAATGTTATTGTCATAAACAGATGGCCAGCGGCTTCATTTTGTATTTGAGCGCGCATGTTTCTTCTTTGTAGTCGGATTTCGATCCCCGACCATCGATACGTACACTTGTGATTTCTCCCTGTCCGCTTTGGTTATCCTACTGAAGTCTAGCGCCCTCAAGTTGGGAAGTTTGGAGAGAACACGCTGCCTGTACCCAGGGTCAGACTCCACCGGGTTTCCATGAAGGGTGATGCTGATTAAATGTGGAAGTTGCGCAAGTTTATCTATCTCCTTGGCATCTTCGATGGCGTTTCCATGGAGATAGAGAATTTTGATGTTGGGGAAGTTGAGAATGACTTCATCTATTTTGATAAGATAGTTGAAGGAGAGATCCAGCCAGTAGAGTTCTTGCGGACTGGCCAGGACGTCCGTCAAAAATTGCGCGAAACCTTTCCACTCCTGCAAAAGGTTGTTGTTCATTTTCAGCGTCGTGGTCGAGTACTTCCCGTCTTCGGTCTTGACGGGAAGTTTCTTTTGACCCTGTTGCCGTGGTTCGTCGTCCTTGCCGTGTAGGTACGAGTCGAAGTTTCCAATGTTCATGAAGGAGAAGTCGAGGGGTGGAGCAGTGTAGGGGAACTCGGCATCGAAGGTGTTGATGAGGGGTTTGGCGTTCCGTGCCACGCGGGACCGCGGAAAGTCCGGGCGCGGGATCTGCTGGTAGAAGGCATCCATCTTCCAGCTGCAATGCTGGGCAATTAGGCTCGATTGTCGATTCTTCCGGTCGCTTTGAATTTAACCCCTAAACCATGGTGATGGACTGGAGATTGTTTGTTGAAGATATAATTTACAAACCTGTAGAAAGAATGGAAGAGAAAAGTGAGAGGATGTTTAAGAATGATTAAAAGGATTATTTTAAGCAAAACAATTATAATAATAGGTATTAAAAGCATATGGGATAAACAGGTTCATGCTTTCAGTCGTTTAACAACATAATAATAACACAAAGGTTGTTTAAAGATCACACCATTTCAAAATGTGAAACTCAGTAAAATTGCGATTTAATTAACTGTCTGAAAAGCAATTTAGATGAGAAAAAGACTGCATGTAGTCTTGCTGAAAGTCACAAACAATGTACATATAAATGTGTTCATCGGCCTATACACAAACATGTGGCATGAAAGTTTGGTTCAAACATTGCAGCCATTTCTTGTTATGTCTCGAATATGGCATTTAATTGAAAAGCCATCCTTTTTAAGAGAGATTTTCAATGATATTCTTACGCACCTACAAATTATGAACAAAAAAGCTCACAAATTATTTTACACCATTCCCAGAACTCGACCTTTTCTTTATACCATTCCACACACCGCACTAAAATATATAGAATTAAGATGACTATATGAATGGTGTTTCGATGTGCTGAAGAACGAGACATTATATCTCACTATGTATGGACAACAACGATTGATGGTGAGACCGGGTTGTGGAGGACCTAATAAAATAATGTATATAGGCCGAACAACCATAGAAAGCCATCATGTTACCTGGGTAACGGAATGAATTTTATAAGTTCGTATAACATCTGCAGTCCACCACCGCCCCCCCCCCCCGCCCCCAAAAGAAGAGGAAAACGGGCGTCTCTCTCTTTCTCTCCCCTCTCTCTCTCTCTCTCTCTCCCCTCTATTATATATAGTTATTATCATCATCATCATCATTATCATTACTATTATTATTATTATTATTATTATTATTATTATTATCATTATTATGATTATCATTATTATTTGTTAGTAGTATCGTTATTATCATCGTCATCATCATCATTATTATCATTATAACTCCCTCTTCCGCCGCCTCTGTAATTTTTGTCATATTGCTCTATCCAAGTACACCTGGAAAAAATCGCAACATGGCAAATGCAATTAATGTTCGGGACATTGCCTTTGCTACCCTTTGTCGCATCAAACTAGCAATTACCTACTGGAGCCAATTATCTTTTCAAATTTAGCGAAGTCAAGGGGGAACAGGTGATATTCGTGATTCACGCACTCTCTGGCGCAGTTGGCCATTATTGATATCATATCGATCATTATCGACGTTGCTTTTAATGACAATATCCAGCACACCTGTCATTTCCGATATTCCCAAAGGATACGATCAATATCGATCGACGTGTAGACAATGTCGAATCAAAGATTGTATCATTGCATTTTTAACGAAAGATATACCTGTTTTCGCACAACTGAAGGTAGTCAGCAGCTATTTATATTCCTGTTTTATGCACGTAGCCATTATGTTCAAACAGAGTATTACCGTTGATAAGCTCATGATCATCGACATTTTCGGATAACAAGTAGTATCAAGTCAATATTTTTTTCGGGGGGGGGGGGGGTGTCACTTTTGGCCATTAAATAATTAATTAGGGCTACTGCAGCTGCACTTGTTGAAAACAGGAGCCACCGACAACATGATTAATGGTGGATGATTGTTGAATAAAGGTCTTTTGATTACTCGGCCAAGGGGATTTCAAGTTTTAAAAATAATGTAAGCAAGTGCCCTTCTCTGTCCAGTCGCCCCACAAAGATTGTTCAAGGCGTATCATCGTTGCTACTCCCGTTGCAAAATATAAACTAGGGTATGGCATTTGTGGTTATACCAAATAACCTCGTACATGTCGAAAGGGTTTGTTTTGTTTGTTTTTGTTTTTAAACATAAACCGTTTTGAATAGACAGATAAATAACATCACTGACGAGCTAGGCGAGGAAATTGTAAGAATTTTATGCGCGATTTGTTTAAAATGTGAAACTTTAAATTTGTTCATGTAAATATTTTTCTTCTGTATATGTGTAACTTCATCTGCAAATATATTTTATATGAACATTTATTTGAAATCTTGTAGGTAAATGTTAAAGTTCACGAGCACATTTGTTTAGGCCTATGTGAAGATTATTTATCAATATTGCATAAATTTTATAAATTAAGTGAAATTTTCTTTATGAGAGAAGAGAATAAAAATCTATGAAGAAGAAGAAGACAAAAAATTGTCACACCAGACCAGTTTTAAACCAAAAATCATCCCGCCAGTAGGGCGATATATTCGTCTAATCGTCTATATATACTCGTCTCTACAGAGAAACACGTATTAAACCGTAGTTAAGATTACACATAACATTTAAATGAACTAAATTCGACGCAATGACATCAATATTATCAATCAAACTGCTAATTATCTCACATATCAGTCTTAATTGACGTGTACTTTGGACTACAGTAAAAACAAATATATACAAATGAACTGATTTAATTAAGTGACCAGATTAGAGATAGCAGATGACAAAAATACAGAACTATAGAGCCAGAAATCTCAATTTCCTCTCTCAATTTTGGCCAAAGTAATTTTTCGAGTGTCAATAATGTGTTTTGTTTTGTACTCGTTAGTTTTCTATTTAAACAAATAAAATAACCATCCGATGATGACATCATTTGTAATTGGCTATCATTACAATGTCAATAAGAAAAAATGTATATTTTGGTTCCCAGATACAGGGAATATGATAGATTAAAGAGAGAAATACGTTAAAAACAACAGCATGAGAGGACAACACAATAGGCCAACGTTATAAAGTAATGTACCTTGGCTCACCAGGTGATACGACTCCACAGAATTTAACCGTAATGCTTTACAATTGTCTACATTATCAGAAATAAAACTGTCCTTTTCAGAGCAAATACACACCAAGAAAATATCACAAAGAAATATTCAGATCCTCGATTGTTTAACCTGGACGAACACTCTGCATCACGTAATGGTCGCGCTAATCTTGCCAGTCTACTGTTAGATCCCGACTAAAGGACCTGACGGTGTGAGAAAATTATGGATAATTCATCCATCTAGTTCATGTCCAATCATAACCTTTGACCAACAGATATCATTAACTTTATTACGAGTCCACAAAAATGTAGGCGGTGGTCATGGCAACAGAAGTAAACAAATAACTTTATATATTGGACTTGGGAATGACTGGAATTATCCGAAAATAAACGCAGAACCTAACTTTCTTACTCGTATTTGACTATGTCTTTAACTGAACCTAGAAGTTATTACCCGGACATATTTTTTTCAGCAGGTTACACAGTCTGTATGTAACAAGGTAAATAACTTTAACTAGATTTGAACACAAAGGATATCAAATTGACTGGATGAAACCGATCCATTGTAATTCGATATGAGACAAAATTATACAGCTTCTTTTACTGTCATACAACTATTCTTAAGGTTCCATTTTCACTAGCTTTTATATTTTGACGACTCAATCTCCATCTTGCTTTTATTCGTAATGCCATAACTGTTATTGCAGGGATTTTTCAAAGGTCAGGCTACAGCCCAGATAGTGGTACTGCGTTGATAACAACGGGTAAGAAAAGGCACTTCTATGTCTTCCAGAATCCATTGAAGTTTCTGTGCTATGTTTGCTTTAGATTTACGGGAGATGGGGTGACACACGTTTTTGCATAGAAAAAGGATAATGAAGTATAGTTGAGAGGATCCCCTTATTTTAAGATGACGTCAGGAACCTCTAAAATCCCGGTAACCTTGGTAACGACGATTCGAGTCTACATTCTATAGTCGCATCAACATGACCGACTTCAGATCTACTATAGACCGAACAAGAAACTACACACCATACCCCCGAATGGCCTAACTAAAATTGTTGATTTTGATTTTTGGGGATAGGTTTGGCGGTGTGATTGGGATATTACTCTCCTAACTCTGGCCTTACTCTCCAGATGCCCATTACTCATCTCAAGGGATATGGAGACCGGGCATTTTCCTCTATTGCTCCTCGCCTGTGGAATTCCCTCCCATCATCTATTCGCGAAATTGACAACCTGGACCACTTCAAAGCTTCACTAAAAACTCACATCTTCCTTCAGACATTTAAATGCTAAATTTATTGGAGGAGCTCGCGCCTTTGAATGTTTTTTGAAACAGATATATGGCGCCATACAAATGCTGTTCATCATCATCATCATCATCATCATCATATTATCAATTGCCCTTACGTATGATCTTTTAAGAACGAATAAAATATGTAAAATATTATACGCACGGGAAAGGATAGATTTGCTTTTGAAAGATTAAACTTTCTATTTCCATCTCATTAAGATTACTTGACGGAACACCATTCCCTAATTCGGACAGCCGCGTATTAATTTTGTGCATTATTCACCAATGAAGATATCTATTCCAATCCAGGAATTTATAAAGTGTCAATATTAAGTTGCCTAATCAAAGGCGCGGATGAGAATGAAAAACTACCAACAATGTCTGTTCATGATTCTAACTGGGAAAGACAAAAAGCAGTGACTAATTGTAAGCAATCTGAAATAGATTTATGTTTTTAGTTGAGTTCTGAAAGTGGGTAACTGGTGACAAGAGCGAAGGATAATATTTACATTTTCTTCAGGTGCAGGCTGTTGCAGTATAAATGTCAATAATTTAGTTGTAAAACCGTTTCCTTCTTCGCCAATAACATCAGATGTGTAAGATTGTAGTGTTTGGAGCAGTATTTCAGTATCGCACCTCCTGAAACCTTTCTGCGACCCGAGCGACTTTCAACAATATCAGTAAAAATGAAAATTGGCTCATAAATCGAATGGCTCATACATCTGTCATAATAATATAATCTCCTTAAAATGATTTATTGAAAAGTTCCATTATTATCGTATGAAAAGAAAATTTTGGTTCCTTTTGCTTTTTGTCTGATTGTCTTTCGTAACCGCACAATGGGAATGCCAAAAATAACCATAAACATTTGTTCGGAGAGAAAATTCAGCCGGCATTTTTTTGTATTGGTTATTTTAATATTCCAAACATTCGAATGGATGTTTCGTTACATTCCATTTTTATTTCACTGTAGTATACGTTTAATAGGGTCTATCAAATTTTAAGCTAACCATATCACATCCAAACAATTTATGAAAGTTATCGACGAACACATATTTACACAAGGTTTATGACCGTGACATAATGTATACAGTCAAGAAAATTAATATTCTTGATTGTATACCATGTAGAAATAAAATAAAATACATTATTTATTATACCGAATCAATTTTTCGAGATAGAAAACTCAAACGTGGACAATGTCATGTTTTTGACAAATTTGTAGTAGAATTTAAAAAACCTAAAGAACATACATAAATATAAATGGTTCAATCGAAATGCATAATGGAAATAAAAGAAATTAAATTACCTTAACAAAATGCTTGCTCAATCAAAGCCAGGGTGTCAGCATTGTTGAAGGAAACTCGTCGGAATAAAGCGCCAGTACTTTCATCTGCTTAACCATTGTCAGCTGTAATCCAGATGATAGCTGATCTATTCGCGAGGATGTTCCAAAGGATAGTAAAAGGAGGAAATAAAATATATTTCCTTGAAGATTTGAGCTTTCTCAACCTGGCAGGACGATGTGTTTCTGAGTGTGAGGGATCCAAGCTCGATGATGTTTGCGTTACTCTGAATGCGTCGCTCAAATCTTGAAACAATTCATTAGTACTAATGATAGTAGTTGCCTTCTAAGTATCCACACAATTAATGGTACTCGGTGAGCTGTTTTGGTCATCCATACATCCAGATCAAAACCTCGCGGTGTCGTCAAGTTGTGCCGAGTGCATCATAGGCTGACGACGCAGACCCGTTCGTTTCATACAAACCCCAATCGAACAAACTTAAATCCAGAAGCACTGATTGACTTCTTAATTAAGCTAACGTCGTCATGTATTATGTCTGATTTGACGCAATGGATGCAACAACAATGATGGGAAAGTTGAATGTTCATCCCGATGTTCGTATCGACCGGATGAAGTTCGATCGTTCTCGGGATCGATATTGTTATTGTTTGCAGCTAGACGATGCGTTTGTTTCGTTATGACCCTTTTCAAGAATGTACATAGGTTGGCATTGGTTAATGAGGCATGTTTATTAGACCATTTCATGGCAAACAAACAAATCAAGCTTACGTAATTTAAAACTTTTCTTTTTATGACCCAAACATTTGGTTTCGAGCCTTACAAAAGAGACACACATTAAACGTTGATCGATAGCTATATTGGTCGACCAAATGCTCTTATGACACCCGATGCTTAGACTACTCGGTGTGAGCTTGGCAAACAGGTAGTAGATGTTGAAGAATACACTTCATTAAGAGAAGATAAATCCCGGTGTTTACCTGGGGCCAAACTGCCATTGATGTATCTCATCTTTTAAGTCATTAGCAACGGACACCTATGTCAATAGCGGTGTCAACGTACGTTTTTATATAATCATTTGTCCGTGCAAACGGTACGAAATCTCTAGCACACAATATTGTCGCTCGGGTATTGTCACTCGGGTATATGCAAATTGATGAACCATTGAAAGTGCTTTCGGAGTGCCATTTTCCTCAAATAAAGAAAATTTCATGTGTATATGAACAAAATACAGTTTTCATGAGTGCGAGTGTCATTGTGAAAGGACTTCAAGAGGGTTACAAATGAGGGGGGGGGGGGGCAATAATTGAATTAAGCTATGAAAATGTTTTCACCTCTTATGCTGATATCAGATATTCTTTCACATATTAACTTGTAAAATATTCTTATACCATATTCTAACTGCAAAACATGAATACCAGACAAAACCATCAAAAACAAACAGACCGTCCGATTAGATCAACAAAATGCCCAGACAAAATGTAGGACAAAAATATTCTGATGGTCATATCTCAGCCAATATTCAATTGGTTTTCGACATTAGGACATTTTTTTTGATGCTCTTTCGGAAAATGAAGAAAAAATTGAGAAATTCTAGAAATAGATGTTTATGATGTCACAGCTTCGGTACTCTATATAATGCACTAAATAACTTTTTTTAATTCCTCCTCTTAATGGGTCTTTACAAAAGGAACAGAGAGGAAATTAAAAAGGTTTATCATTCCATTCCCGCCGCTTGGACAAAATTACTTCTCAGTTGTTCTAATTTTCCAATCGCTAAATCAAGGTCCTTTCTAAAGCCGTTGATATCGTCCATGTTGCCATCGACATCACCATCGTCCCCGACGTCTTCGACGCCATCATCATCATCACGATCAACCAGCCGACGAAACCGCGGTTCTCGGAGACCTTTCAGTAGTCGTTCAAATGGATCTACCGCCTTTGACTCAGATTTTTCGGCAAAATCTCGCTCTCGATCTTGATTATATTCAGAACTATCGATGTCAGCGTCGTCTGCGAGACTGCTTTGAGTAACATAAACACAATTTTGTTTCCTGCGACTGCTAAAGCTACTTTGTTTCAACACGGGTAGTTTGTTGGCTATATTAGGAAGGCTCTCTGTGCTACCAACGTTCCCATTAAGCGAGATGCTATCCTCATCCTCATTTATAACTTTAGATTCTTGAGTTGATGCTTGTTCAGTCTTGTCGATAGATGCCGATATTAAGTGGTCCATATTCACGGTGATGGAGAGTTTCCCTGACAAAAACAAAATAAAAACAAAACAAAAATAAAACAAGAAGTATAATTGATTTAAGCAAAAAAATGGTTTGAAGAGAAATAGGAAAAAGGACACAACAAAAAAGCAAAGGGAACGTAAAGAGGGGGTATCTACTTCCCTTTCCCACCCCTCCCGTCTCATAATGATGCCGTTAATGATGTTGGCGATGATAATAATAACAACAACGAAACAACAACAACACTCATGATAATATTTAGAATGATATGTTGATGGTAAATATCAATAATGAGAATGCACAATGATTACCATGATTATGATTGGGACCTGTAACAGCTCTTACCCCTGTGCGTCAGGCATTTCAAAAGGTTGATACATGACCCCCCCCCCCCCCCCAAAAAAAAAAAAAAAAAAAAGATAGAAAAAATAACAAATAATATAATGTTCAACCTTTTGGAGAGCAAATTGATGACAGTGGAGGTACACTTTGATGACGTGGTCTCTCCCTAGACTCCACATTTCTTGTGATGACAGCCGGAGCAGTACGAGTCCTACAACGAGGTTCCAATGAAGTCGAGTTCCAGAAGCCTGTAAAATGTATATTATTGTGTAAATTGACATTGACAAAATGTAATGATAGTGTACTCTAAAAGGATTAGTATAATTCATTTTTGCCAAAACCACCTGATAAAGACATAATGCACTTCGAAACTTCGTGAACTAAAAACATGCTGACATTCTTTTTTTTCAATAAATTTGTTAAACACATTTTATTGAGCCTTTTCAACAACAAAGACAACTCTGAAAAGCAGCACTGAAAAACAAAATAAGCAATCAACTTCCAGCGGAGTACATGGACATATAATTAGATACGAAATCTGTGATCTTTTTTCCTCTATGGCTCACTATTTTGACATATCCATTCAATTTTAACTTATTACAGAACAACCAAAAACAAAGCCCAGCCCACAATTTTTTAACGTTACCCTTAAGTAATTTAGGACATAAAAACCTCTTATGCTTAAGTGAAGATATTCGGGAAACGGGTATCTGAACATAATCAAAATGTTGTTATTTGCGATAAAAACGACGGTTGGTATTGAAAGTGAATATTTTAATCGAAGAAATGAAGTTCTAAGAAACTTACCCTTATCATTTGTAATCTTCCTGTTGACAGGGATAGGTCTCGGAGCCATCAACATAGCGCTCCCGTTCACCCGGACATTCCTAGAGAGGTAGGACGCTGTCTTTGGTCTGGTAGGTTGGTCATGGACGTCAGAAGCAGGTCTTCGACGATGACGAAATGTTGCAAAGAAGCTTGCGGATGTTACTTCTCCGGGAATATGTACGTCTGTTGATGTTCTTCCAAACATGGTCGAAGAACACAATCTCCTGTCGGTACCCATGGCATCGAAAATCATTTGTTGATCTCGACGAAACTCCGCATCTAGCCAACTATTAGGTAGGAGATCATTGCGGGTGCCATTTGAAGCCTTTCTTAAGAGCGCTCCATCTAATACTAAATCAAAACTACTAGGAAGATTATCATCCCCACGATCATCTATATTTTCACGACTTTGCAGGTGTTCAAGCGTACGAGAGGTTGCCAATAGCTTAGCACTTGCATCAGGTATCTTCCAATCCCTTGTCAGCTGCTCATCGACGTGGTCATCGACTGGACTTGGCAGGTGTCCAAGTGTCCGAAAGGTTGTCGATGACCTCCCAAACGTGCCAGCAAATGACACTGGTGGTAATCGCTCGAGAGTGTTTGGAAAATTATCTCCAAAATTTTCCAGGTGTGCGAGCGTCTGGGTAGTTGTCGATGACCTGCTGAAGGTGTCACCTCTCTGCAAACGTGGCTCTAAACCAAAGCTCCCGAGATGATGATTGGCAACATGGTCATCTGTCAAATTGACCAGGTGACCAAGTGTCCGGGACGGCATCAATGACCTCCCGAAAGTGTCATCCGGAGACGGTGCAGACCGTGAGCGCCTTAGGGCACATGTATCCATTGATCGTCAGTCTCAAGGGTTGGTCAAGGGTTGGTCAAGGTTCTTTTAATAATAATGGGGAGAGTATAAAGGCCCTAGGGCAGGTCATAATGAGTATTGATCGGCGCTAACAACTTTAAGAATAACAACAAAATGCCATGCCCCGTCTTTTATGCTGATGGTAATAAAATCCAGACTGATCGAAAACAAAAGTTACAAAAACAACAATATTTTGAGATGAAAATCACTCGAAATTTTAAAGCAACTCTAAATGTGTATTAGTTGACCAACTCATTTTTAAAGAAATGTTTTAAATGTGTCTACCATAACACATTGGCATGATTTAAATCAAAGGATCGATTTCATAATCCATTTGTCAGAGAGCAGACAACAAACGAGAAAGTGCGTAAGTTCAGAGCGAAATTGACGTATTTCCTGCAAGACACATCAACCTCCCAAACTTCCGAGAATCATTAACGCTTTTAATCATTTTACCAATCCTGTAAATTGTCTGAAAATGGAAATGCACTGCCTAGTCTCCAGCTCTGACAATTAGTAATCACTATAAATTACTTTGGACAATAGTCTTCAAATATTTCCAAGCACCCTTGTGTGCCATGAAAGCAGTGAGGTAGAAAATTGGACAATAGCTTTGAGTGAAAGGAACTGGATACTCTGTTGGATACAAATACAAAATCAATACGAAATGTAACAGTCTATACAAGAAGAACATGTTTCGTTGACCAAAAGGACATGTCATTAGTCTGCTAATGTCATTTTGTGTTAATAGTGACTCGGTCAAGCAAACAAAGAGGGACTTCAAGTATGCATGTGGATAAGTATAATTAAGAAAATATAAGGGGATTCGATTTTGCACTAAGATGACGTTGTATAATATACAAGTAGATAGGGAAAAGCAGTCAGTGGGGCACGGCAAAACCTAATTTGGCAAACCTTTAGTTAAATATAAACAAAGACAAGTAATGTTCCCCCTAATATGCCCCAATCACGATTTTAGATCCAGGAAAGACACCCGAAAGTTTCGATTAACTTCTTGGGGGGGGGGGGGCTAAAGTATATTTTTAAAAGCTCGACGGTGCATCATGGCCTACTTCAACTTTAAGATTTCTTGAGTTTTAATACGGAGTATGTAATACGGTACACAATCACCTCTTATATTCGTCAGAGTTTTCTTTTTATACGTGGTATGTTCAATTTTACATATCACCTCTGGTTTCCCTGTAGATATATAGCTTGAAAAATAACGATCGGTATTGCGTTGATACAGATAGCACAAGTTTCAAGGTAATGACAGACACTGAATATATACATTCTTATCACAGCGTATTACAAATTCTAAATCAATGTAATTATGTACGAAAATGTATCGAGCTCTATTATATACATGCTCTAGTACTGTTGCAGGGACGTCATTAAATATATATTCGACCATTTCAAATTATATTCACTTAATGCTGCAAAACTCTAGGATAAGTATTTTTGTTAATTTTTTTTTTCTCTTTACCTCTTCAGAGGGACTTTATTGTTCCATTTCAAAATACATATATATTATTTACAAAACAAGTAAAATGAAACATGAATTATATACAAGATCAACATAATATCTTAAAATGATCATTTTAACATTTCTAATACTTTCTTAACTTCCTCAATATCGAAGTATTTTATATTTTCTTTGTATTTCAAATAACATTTTAATGATGAAATAAAATTATTTATTAACCTCTTTGGATTGGTTAGTACTTCTCCAAAGTTCCGCTTTAAGTAGTCTTTGTATATAACTAGTTGAGCATAATTTATCCAAAAATTAAGTAAAATTTTCTGTTATCTATTTTATATCCAATCAATAACATTTTCATATCAATTTCAATTTCTATTTTAAAAATGAAATATATAATTCTTGAGATAATTTTCCAAAAAACTCTTAATTTCTTGCAACGAAATATAAAATGTTCAATAGTTTCTTTTTCACGACAAATTTCACATTCGTTAGACTGTACGATTTTCCATATAAAGAGATTGTCTTTAGATGGCAATATTCTATGAATTAATTTGAAATTATATTGTTTGATCTTATTGTCTCTTATGTTATTAAATTGAACTGAAATACATCTTTCCAAACAAATGTTTCTGGTAGGCCTAAAATATTTTGCCAAAAATGGAAACCAATTTTCTCTTTTTTCCTTTCTAGAATTAAATTATAATAACTTTTCGCCGTAGTAAATTCAACGTTTATAACATCTAAAGTTGTCTCAATGTACATTGTTTCATTGAGACTTGGAGCTTTGTTTAAACGTAAATTTTGTGACCAATATTTTGGAATGCTTTTTTTAATTTTGACATTTTAAATAAAAACAACAGATTCTTTACATCAAAATGGTTATTGAATAGAGAGTTATCTATCCATGTACCTTGATTTATAACATGTTTGATTAGACAAATTCCTTTTTTTTTTATCCACGACGGGAAATACAGAGGTTTATTATCAATTACAATATTACTATTATTCCACAGTATTTCATTGGGAATATCTTTTACTTCAAATTTATTTACATAACGGCATCCCGCCAACTCTTTCAGTCCAAAATGAAAATAATGTCTTCCACATTGCATCATCTGCATTAAAAAACTTTTATATCCAAGATAATCTAAGTGAATTAGCTTTCAAAATCAAATCAACCATACCAAGCCCCCCTTCTCTTTCTGACTTGATACAAACATTCCGTTTTACTTTTTCACGTTTAGAATTCCATATAAATGTATATATAGTCCTATGTAAAGCCTTGCATATATGAATAGGCATTGAGACAGCTGTGCCTAAATAGACGAGCTGAGGAATTATCAAACATTTTATAATTATTATTTTTCCATAACAGGTCAGTCGTCTCATTTTCCACGTCTTAAGAATATTATTAATTTTTTCAACTTTCCCCTCCCAATTCATACTGCTAACATATTTATCATTTTTACCAACGTAAACACCTAAATGTTTAGTTGGTTCTTCTGTAAATTCAATATCATATTTTGTCGTATCTAATTCTTTCATTTTCATTACTTTTGTTGTATTCCAATTAATCTTTGGGCCTGCAAAATATTCAAAATCGTCTAACTCTTTCATAACATTTTCTACTGATTCTATTGAATTAACAAATAATGTGGTATCATCTGCGAATTGTGTTATCTTTACTTCGCTAACCCTCTGAACTTCTATATCTTTGGTTGTAATATTTATCCCTCTTATTGTATTGTTTTCTCGAATTTTATTTGCTAATATTTCTGCCACTAATATAAATAACGAAGCTGATACTGGGCAGCCTTGGCGAACGCCCTTTTGAATATAAAAAGTTTCAGATAGCCACCCATGCTGTGACACCCTACCATGGGCATTTGTGTATAAAGTTTTAATCCATCCTATAAAGGAAACTTTGAAATTCATACGTTTCAATGTCTCAAAAAGAAACGAGTGATTTACATTATCAAACGCCTTTTTGAAATCTAAAAATGAAATGATACCGTCAATATTTGTTAATTTACAATAATCAATAACATCTTGTACAAGTCTTATGTTTTCACTTGCCATTGTACCCTTCACGAAACCTCTCTGATCGGCCGAAATTATACTTGGCATATTTGGTTGTAGCCGTATTGACAAAACACGTGCTGCAATTTTATAGTCTATATTAAGGAGAGAAATCGGTCGCCAATTATCAAGAGAACCCTTGTTGCCCTTTTTATACAAAAGAGTAAGAATAGATTGACCTTGTGTGAACGAGAGCTCTTGCCTCTCATACCCTTCATTTAAACTATTTATCACCATGTCCTTTATCTGTTCCCAAAAACATTTATAGAATTCAACACTTAGACCGTCACTCCCAGGTGACTTATTTAAATTCATAGTAGACAATGCTTTCCAACATTCCGTCTCTTTTAACAAACCTTCACACCCGGCCCCCCCCCACTCAGTGTTATTTAGGGTACGCATATGCGTGTTCCAACCGACCCCCCCCCCCCCCTTTTCAGCAAAAGTCCGGTGTGTAAAGTCAATGCGGCTCGACCTTTTTCTTTTGTATACGAGCCTTTTTCCGCACCCCCCCTTTTCAGCAAAAGTCCGGTGTGTAAAGTCAATACGGCTCGACCTTTTTCTTTTGTTACGAAAAGGACATTTTGGCAACACGCATGCGGTCATTTTGAAACCTGAGTGGGGGGGCCGGGCCTTCACAGCTCTCGGCTTCCTCTTCTGTTAAACACTTCATGTTTACATTTCTGAAATAATCATCATAATTTGCTCCACTTTCTTCTGTCTTACTATACATCATCTTATAAAATTGTTGAATCTCTTTTAAAATATCTTCACTATTCACAATTCTGTTACCATCTTTCTCTATATAATGTAACTCTTTCTTTTTTCCTCTCTGTTTCTCAAGCTGTAAAAAAATACTTTGTACATTTTTCACCCTGTTCTAGCCATTTTTCTCTTGATCTGACGTAAGCTCCTTTACATTTCATAGTATACCATTCGTCTAGCTCTCGTTTTAGGTTATCTAGTTTTTCTTTATCAGTATCATTTAAATGTTCACCTTCTACTGAACACAACTGTCTTAATTCCTTTTCCATTTTCACATAATACTGTTTCATTTTTCTTTGTTTTAATCTTGCGTAACATATACTATATTCTTTTAATTTAAACTTACAAACTTTCTACTGTAGTTGTTTACTCATAGTACTTGTTTCAATCTTAATCGTTCGTATCAAGTCTTTAACATTTTGTACATACATGTTATCATCCAGCAAAAAATTATTTAACTTCCAATAATCTTTTCCCCTTTTTTCTTGGGATATTTTGATTTTCAAAGATATTGCATTGTGGTCACATTTTAAACATGGTCGAATATCTGTCGAGAAAACTGAACATTTAAAATCTTTTGTTATTAACCAATAATCCAGACGAGAGTAAAGTTTTAATGACAACTGTCGCCAAGTAAACTGTTTCTTGTCTGGAAAAAATTCCCCCATATATCTAAAAGCCTATTTCTCGTTTGGAAGGATTTAAAATACTTTTTGGGTAAATATGCGTGAGATATCCCGTAAGTATCTAGGGTTCTGTTCTGTACACAATTCCAGTCACCACCTGCAATCATAATACTACTACCGGGCCTATAAAGTTTTATCCATTGGTCAAGTGATTAATAGAATGTTTCCTTTTCTATACATTTTGCTGGTGAATATACATTTACACAAAAATATGTTTTTAAATTACATGAGAATTCCACAATTATCGCTCTTCCATCTCCTTTTAGATGAACATTAATTATATCAATTGGGAGACCACTGCGAATCAAAATTGCTACCCCTTTTTAGTGGTTGGTTCCGTGATCGAAAAACAATGCCCTGACCATTCACGATTTATACTATTTTCATTGTCACGCTTCAAAAAAGTTTCTTGTAGAAGTGCGATGTCACACTTTTGATGTTTCAACCACAGAAATATCTTATCTCTTTTCAATTTATTACGCAAACCCCTTACATTAAGGGATATCAAATGTATATTTGAATTGATCATAGTTAATCAAGAACTTCTCAGCATTTTCTTCATATATCTCAGTTTCAACTCACTTCTTCTTATTCGATTCCTTTCTTTTTCTCTTTGCTGCTTTTCTCTTCTCCCGTGCTGCCTTTGGTGGCGTTTCTGCTGATAGCGTGGATTCCGAGCTTTCGTCGTCGCTATCGCGATCGCTGATCTCGGAGTTCAAAGCACTGTCGCTTGAGGACTTGCTGTTGTTCTTTGGTTTATGCTTTTCCTTTTTTTTTTCTCTCGTCGGATACACGAGTTGACTGATCATGACTACCCTTCGACTTGTTGGATGTGTTGCTTGAAGATGGTGTTGTGCTAGTGGCCTTTGTGAATGGAAGGAAATCTTTTAGATTCGTTTGCTTTCAAACTTTAACGCTATATGATTCCTGTGTGAGACTATTGGTGTCTGAAAACTAGGAAAAATATTTTCGTTAAAAAGAGGAAAGAAACAGAACTATTGATTCTTTAATTTCTGATTTGTCCAAAGAACAATGGCGCGAGATATTCTCGGTTGAAGATGCTAATTTATCATATCAAAACTTTTTGCATAAACTCTCTTTTTATATAGATAAGAATATGCCATTTATTTAAAAAAAGACAATATAAGTATAAAACAGCCATGGATTACTCGGGGGTTAATGAAATCAATTTTAACTCGCAATCGTTTGTATAAAATATCATTGCGTAAACCAACTGCTCAGAATAAAGCATTATAGAAATAGATTAACAACTTTAATTCGTGTATCACGTAAACGGTATTATTCAAATAAAATAGAATCTAATCAAGGGAATGTAGGTATTATGGCAAACTATTAATGATCTCTTAAAAACTAAAAAGAAAGTATGCTCTGATATGATAGTTGAAAGTGGTAATGAAATCACGGACCCTCATTCAATTGCTACTGCTTTCAATAACTATTTTGTTAGTATAGGTCCACGTTTAGCCTCGACAATACACTCAAATGAAAACTTTAAGGATTATTTATTTGATGCTAATGAAAATTCATCATTTTTTATCCCAGTGAATGAAAATGAAATATTAGAGATAGTTCGATCGTTTAAGATGAGTAGATCATGCGGTTATGATGGAATAAGTGTGTATTTATTAAAGAAAATTATTTATTGTTTGGCCTCTCCCCTAGTTCATATTTGTAATTTATCCCTTTCGACAGGCATTTTCCCGGACTCCTTAAAGATAGCCAAAGTGATTCCTATTCATAAAAAAGATGATTTAACTCAAATAAAAAATTATCGCCCTATCTCGCTATTGCCGGTCATTTCCAAGATTTTAGAAAAAATTGTTTATAAACGCCTTTATTCTTTTTTACAAGAAAATAATACTCTTATTTGCAATCAGTTTGGATTCCGAAAAGGTGTTTCTACTGATTATGCTTTGATACAATCTTGTGATAAAATAACTCAAACACTTAATAATAAGGAACATATAATTGGGGTTTTTATGGACCTGTCAAAAGCTTTTGACACCATGAATCATAACATTTTGTTGCAAAAACTTACTCATTATGGTATACGAGGCACAGCCTTAAACTTGTTTAAGAATTATTTAGTTAATCGAAAGCAATTTGTTTCATTTCAGTCAGTAAATTCCCCTAACTTAAATGTGTTATGTGGTGTTCCTCAAGGATCAATTTTAGGCCCCCTTCTTTTTCTTATTTATATTAATGACATAGTAAAGTCATCACAACTTCTTACTTACGTGCTTTTCGCAGATGACACTAACATATTTTGTTCTCATAAATGCTTGAATACTCTAATTTATACTCTCAATAATTAATTAGTTAACATGTTTTAAATGCAATAAATTGTCCCTTAATTTAGATAAAACATGTTTTATCAATTTTGTGCTTCCCAAACACACTTTGATCAGGTTATAAACATTGTTATTGATGATATTTCTATAGTTGAAAGGAAATCGACAAAATTTTTAGGTATAACTTTGGATTCAAAGCTTACTTGGAATAATCATGTAAATAATATTACAACATCAATTTCAAGGGCAGTTGGGGTAATTGGTAAAATGAGGGATCTTGTACCCGAGAAAATACTTTATACATTATATAATGCATTAGTGTTACCTTATTTTACATACTGTAATGTAGTTTGGGGGAACTGTAGTATAACTAAGATTAATATAATTTTTCTCCTGCAAAAAAGAGCACTTAGGATTTGTACTCATTCTAATTACTTAGCTCATACAAATCCGTTATTTTATAGATTAAATATTTTAAAAGTGAGTGATTTGCACTTATATCAAACAGCAATCTGTATGTTTAAATACACACAAAATTCACTTCCTCTTTTTCATGACGTATTTATTCCTAATTCCCATGTTCACTCATATCCAACGCGTAATTGTACTGATTTTCATTTACACAATGATTGTGTAAATGAAAATCAGTACAATTACAGATTTCTGACTTTATGGTTTAGAAAGGGCTCAATAAAACAAGGATTAAGTAGCATTTTCTGTATTTTTTACAGTCCATAATTGAAGAAATAGTCCAGAATGGAATAATTCCTTGTTAATCCTAAATCTTTGTTAGCGCATAAGTCCATAAGATATCACGATCCAGACATTTGGAATGCACTCCCTAGACATATTAAAACAGTGTACATCTCTCTATTCATTTAAAGCTACACTAAAAAAAAAAACATTATTTCACAATATAATGTATAAAGATTTTTAAAAAATTTAAAAATTTAAAAATTTAAAAAAGCGTTTTTTGTAAAACTTTAGAAACTACATTAAATTTTGGTCTGACGTTACATAGTAATACTGATGATTTAACATTTTGGCGGTTGAGGACACTTGCACTTGCACACACACGCACCACTTGCACCCTTGTTTTTGTTTAGTTTCTCTCTTATCTCTGTCATTAACGTATAATTAGTAGCCATATAAATATGAGATTCATATGCTAATTCTATAATTATTTATATTGAATACAACTGTCTATATTCACATTTAATTGTAATATATATCATTTGAGTATCATGGCCCCCTCTTCTTGTTAATTTGCCAATATTTCACAACTCATTTTTATTTTAGCTCGGTTGACCGTCTACTCAAGCTTTTGCTTATAACGGCGACCTTCTGCTTTCTTTCTTTATACACGCAATGGCCCAACGTATAAGTTTACTCTTACTCATGTATTATACATTTGTTTCTATATTTTGTATATTGTTTGCATACCTTATGTTTTATATAATTATCCATATTTGTTGTATAACTGATTTGTTTGATTGCAGAAAATAAAGTCTTTGAAATGAAATGAAAATGAACACTGATTCTCTCGATCGGTTGCCTGGTGATGAGAAGCATTCGGACAATTAACTTTCACATGCCCACTTTGCATACATATGCGATTTTTTTTTTTTTTTAATAGTTTCAACAACAGACTAAGTAAAAGTGAATATACATTAATGAGGTCGACATAAAGTTCACATCCAGTTTATTCAATGATGACGTGTTTTGTAATCCAGGAGGGGGGGGGGGAATACTCAGATTCGGTTTGGACGGGGGTGTGCCGCCCAAGCCTCGAAACCCCTACCCCCTTATTAGGGGTCATTTTGGGTCATTTTTTTGTGGGAAAAGGACGCACTTTTCACAATTTTCGGGTGTTCTCGGAAATTTTGAAATTTTGAAAAAACAGACCCATTTTTAATGGTATTTTTGTTAAAAGTGGGACCCATTTTAAGATATTTTGTTGTGAAAAAGTGACCCATTAGAGCGGCACACTCCCGTATGTCCTGATATGTGAGTCCCCCCCCCCCCGGTTTGTAATAGTTGGTAAAACTTAGTCAAGACACAATAGGGCCTACCCGATCAAAACTAACAAAAATAGTCGACAAGGTATTCATTAATAGAGTAGTAACGGCACTAACGGGTAAATGTTGGCTGTAAAAACTCACATCTCCCTGGTAATACCTATTTTTATCAATTATAGACAAATGATTTGGGGTGATATTGGGAACGAGGTAAAACTAGTTAATAATGGGTTTAAACTGACTACAGACTGGCTTGGACTGCCTAATCCGATCTGAACTTAATATGAACTGGCTGTGGACGGGGAAGAAACGAGATGGACGTATTGAGGACTGTTTACAAACGAACTAGGATCGTATTATAGACATTTTTTACACATTCTGCCCCGACCACAACCCGTTTTACGATTTTCTAGGACGGTTCCAGAACCTAGTGAGAACTAGGTTGGTGTGATGGAGGCTTAAGTATTGCATTGCATTGTATTGTCATTAGGTGCCCGTTTCACAAAACTTGTCATCGGTCACAAATGACAGTCTTTGTTATTAGCTACTGAAATCCTTGCTTCTGATTGGTTATCAGCAGATTTGTCACTGATTTTTGGCAATTGTCATTGAAAAAAGGCTTTGTGAAACGGGTTCCTGATGATCAGCGGATATAAGCAGAGATTGCTAACCTTTCCTGGGAGGACAGGTGAGGGATAGTCCTGTCCATCTCTTGTCGGTGCCGCATCGCCACTCCACCGACTCGTTGCCTTAGGTACAAATGACGGCTATGACCTCGTCCTCATTGTAATGTGACTTGACAAAACTCATGTATGTGTTTGGAGGGAGTGATGGAAGGTCACATGCAAGATCTGCCAAGGAAACACATGGAAAGAAACTGCTTTAAAGTAGAGACCAGATTTTTAATTCTTGACATTTGACAACCTCCGACATATTCTCAGTAGGTAATGTGATTACATATTGTGGTTGTGACCTCGTTATTTGTTGTAGTTTAACTTGGCAAAGCTCATGTATGTCTTTGGAAGGAGCCAATTGCAAGGTCACATGCCACATCTATATCAATAGGAAGCATTGAAAAATACTATTCTTTACATGTGACTTCATGAAATCAGGGAATTGTGTGTTGTCAAATTATGCAAATTTACATTTAGGGCTAACTCATACAGTGTTCTATTCTAAATTGATGACCACACACATTTCTTGTATTCCTCTTTTAACCTCTGGCAATTATCAACAAGATTCCATGGAAAGCATTATGGCTATGACCTCATCTTCCTTGTAATGTAACTTGACAATGCCCATTTATGTGTCTGGAGGTAGCGACAGAAGGGTACATCTGATCGTGTTAACCCTACCTTTTCCTGTGCAGATCACTCCAGCGTCCTCCAAATGCGAGCAGTCATGGGTAGTGTCGTGTGGGCAGTCTGTGAGGCTTTGTTCATCCCCTTCACAAGCCACGTTATCCATGTAGATAGAGCCATAAGAGCGAGAGCCGAAATAGCTAGCGGGAACGACCCGCTTTGCGCTGCCGAAGCCCAGTTCGTTACAGACCACAGTGGCGTCGTTTTTGTCCCAATCGTCATCGCATATGGTCCCCCATACGATGTTGCGGAGAATCTCCACGCGGCCCTCGTAGGGACCGGAACCGTCTACAAGTCGGACTAAGATAAGATAAAATTACGAAATAAAATGTTATTACAACAAGTGTGGGTCGTGACTGCAGGTCCTGAATTCTGCATTGGATCCTGAATGCAAGTATGGATCCGGAAGGCAATGAACTTTAAAAATGTAGACATTTATCCACATTTGCCACTCCCCACCCAGGTAATGTAAATATTTACCCTGTAGGAATTAGTTCCTTGAAATGCTAGAGCACCTTATAAATATCAGTGGAGCGTCAGGAGTCAAATATGTCGGACATGAGCACTATAAAAGAACCCATGATGATTATTATTATTACTATTATCATTATTATTATTATTATTATTATTATTATTATTATAATCATCATCAATATTATTATTAGGTTATTATTATTATTAATATTGTTATCATTATCTTCATTTTTATTATTAACTGAACAAAATCACCATGGCTATATTTGTGACAAGTTTCAATTGCTAAGAGTAAGAACTGAAAATACATGTAAAATAAGAAATGCTGCGACTGGCATATTACTGTCTATTGCTGTAATCATCGTGCATTGCAAGACTTTAAAAAAGACTTTAAAATACCTTATTGTGGCTGGTTAGTGTTATTTATAGACAATCAAATGTGTTTCCTCCGACTGCAAAAGATTAGAATGAGTTGCAATCATGTAATATTGATGTACGTTTTAAATATATATTAGGTCACATCCTCGAAAATATAAGTATTGACATTCCAATCAATGTTCGTCTTTTTAATTGGAATACTTTGTAAAAAAATAATGTATTTTGCTTCAATTATCGCTTTGTAGTTTTGATAAAAAATGAAAATTCTGTATGTATTATTTTCTTTCTTATTTCTTCCAATTAATACAGTAAATGCTATCCGTTTCGTTTTCTTTGTGATTTGCACGTATTCCCACGCTTTTAAAAATGTATCTGATTAAATATTGTTCTTAAAATTGTACAATGGACTTTGTGATAGATTAGCCTCGTGTTCTTATAATTCTTACACTACACTACTGCTATTAAAGGGGAGTAAAACATAATTTGTCTTACTTGGAGCTGAGCATACGACTCCTGCGTCGTTCTCATGAGTGCAATTGTGGACTTCTACCCCATTGTTGGGACAGAATGCGATTGACGACTCGTGTCCTCCGCAGGCCAGGTTGTCCACGTAGATCGGTCCAGTACCCGGTCCGAAGCTGGCACCTTTGGCGGCCTCGATGCCAGGACCAAGACCTAGCTGCTTGCAGACCACACGGGCATCGTTCTTGTCCCAGTTGTTGTCACAGACCGTGCCCCAGACACCATCGAGCTCGATTTCGATTCGACCTTGGTAGGCGTTTTCGCCACCAACCAGCCGAAGAGTGATGTTGTTTTCTGAGTTTATGAATGAGAAGGTGATAATAATGAAAATAATAATACAAATTAATAATATTATTATAACAATAACAAACCTAAATTTGATTTGTTTAGCGCATTTTCCAGCGGGTGTAAGTTGTTGTTTGTTGTTTGATTGAGTTTTAAGTCAATTCAGTCAAACTTGAATATTTATGCCTTAAGGTGCTGTTACTTAGTTTATAAACTGCTGGAGAATAGTAGATTAGGAAAAGAAGAGGCAAATGTTTTTAATTTATGAGAACAAAAGCACTAGTTCTTAGAAATGTATTTAGTTTATTCAATAGTCTTGGGACAACAGATTGGAGAATTTGAAGGCAGTCTTTTTTCGTGGTTTGAGAAAGAAGGAAGGAAATGAATTAGATCGAAGTGAATATGATTTGTTCTGCTGCCGGAAGAGTGAGGGGGTGTTTTAGGACGTGTGGTTGACATAGCTATAAAAGACTGAAGTATCCGCAATTCTGAATTCTGTCAGTAATCATCATAATATATACTGAAAGTTATCATGGAGATGGTCGGTCGAGTGATGTCCAGATTTTGTGGATATACTCTAGGTTTTGTACATTGGTAACTTTTAAAATCAAGATATAACCTAATCAGCCAGAGCAAACCACAGAATTGAGTGACCACGCTTCTGCGTTTGGGTAGATTAATGGATTACTGAGTTTATATGACTTTTATAAATAAATACAGTTCCCCCCCCCCCCAGATTAGAATACAAATTACAAGAACTGTGCTCTGCAGAGGGTATCTAGGATTGTTCAAAAAGGGGCAATTTTTTGTTTATTCCTGAAATGTCTTTTAGTTGAAAAGGAGAAATCCGAACCCTTCGACCTTGATTCACCTATGATATGTCAACTTTGGTGTCTGTTTCGGGGGCTCTCGATCGGGGCCAAACCTTAGAGCTCAAGCTAGGTTATGCTAACCTTTTTGTTCATGCATGATGGATGATATGGGTGACTATTTTGAGATAATATCCTAGACTTTATACTTTCCACCCAGGTGTTAAATGAGTACCCGGTAGGATGCGACCGTCATTGTTGTTCAAACAATTTTTGAGCGTCAAGTAACGCCTGGCTGGAATGCTCCCCAGGGAGTGGAGCATGTGCACACAGCGTGTGCAGGCAAGCACTGAATCCACTGACCGGGGTAATAGTATATTTATAAAGTGCTTAGAGACATTTTATTAATCGCTATATAAAAGCTAAATACTATTATATTATTATTATCCTTACCGGGGAGTGAGCAGATCACACCAGCATCTCGTGAGTGGTCGCACGTCGTGTTTGGCGAGATGCCGAACTGCGGGCACTGCACCAACGACCCTTCATAACCGGTGCACCGTATGTTTTCGGCGAGGATCGGCCCCGTGCCCTCTCCGAAATACGAACCGGTCTTGGCCGTAGCTGCGAAGCCGTACTTGAGCTGACGACAGGCAACACGGGCCTCGTCCTCATCCCACTGCGTGTCACAGATTGTGCTCCATTCGTCGTTGACGTACATCTCTACTCGACCCTGGTACGCGTTCATACCTCCCATGAGACGAACTGATATTAGGCAAGGGCAAAACCAACAGAATTTACATTCATGTTATGAAGAATATTATGGGAAGGTATTGAAGAATAAAAATACGAGGCGGAAACCAGAGGGCCTCGAAAGTTGGTATTCTATAATTATAAAGACGCGACTCGTGCTGCACGGATTTTGACAGAAAAACCGGTTGCATGCGACTCCCGTGGCCCTCACAATCGATGAGAATGCATTCCGACTCGACAAGTTGATGTTTGGAAACATATTATCTAGGTAATCTGCTCTGAATATATATTATAGTGAAATAATTAGTTAATGTACCAAGATGTATTAGCAATTGATTTATAGGAATTCATGAGAATAAATTTTGAACACAAAATATCGTTACATTGAGTTGCCAAAAACACAAAGGCAACTACTTTTGAAAAGGCAAAAGCCTTGTGCGTGACCTATATTGAAATGTGCAAACATGACAATGACGAATAACGTAACCTAACAATGATATCTATATATATACAATAGGGTATTGAAATCGCCCTTTCGTTGATTTATCAAAATAGTTGCCTTTGTGTTTTTGGTAACTCGATAAAATTGAAGGCTGTTATGCATAGGTACGATTTTTTTTAAGGACTCGCATTTGATCATTTATTATTTATAAAACAGTTACTATTTACGATCGGTACCCACTTTTTGGAACACACACCACACCGGCATCTTCACTGTGGGAGCATCCAGTTTGGTTGTTATATTCGCAATCAAAGATTGTTGCTTCGTCTCCAGAGCACAGGACATCATCCATGTGGATCGGTCCGAAGCCCCGGCCAAAGCTGGCGTACTTCCTGGCCTCGACGGCCCGTCCGAGCCCGAGCTGGTTGCAGACTACCGAAGCGTCCTCCATGTCCCAGTAATCATCGCACACGGTTCCCCAGGTGTTGTTGATGTTAACCTCGACGCGGCCTTCGAAGATGTTGTTGCCTCCAACCAGACGAAGTCCCATTGCAGAATCTGAGGAAGAGCGGGAGAGAAAAGATGAAGGATGCATGAGGAGCATGTATAGATTATTCCTCTTTTAACCTCTGGCAACTTTCAACAAGATTCCATGGAAAGCCTTATGGCTATGACCCCATCTTCCTTGTAATGTAACTTGACAATGCCCATTTTTGTGTCTGGAGGTAGCGACAGAAGGGTACATCTGATCGTGTTAACCCTACCTTTTCCCGTGCAGATAACTCCAGCATCCTCCAAATGCGAGCAGTCATGGGTAGTGTCATGCGGGCAGTCTGTGAGGCTTTGTTCATCCCCTTCACAAGCCACGTTATCCATGTGGATATAGCCATAAGAGCGAGAGCCGAAGTAGCTAGCGGCGACGGCCCGCTTTGCACCGCCGAAGCCGAGTTCGTTGCAGACCACAGTGGCGTCGTTGATGTCCCAACCGTCATCGCATACAATCCCCCATACGATGTTGCGGAGAATCTCCAAGCGGCCCTCGTATGGACCGGAACCGTCTACAAGTCGGACTAAGATCAGATAAAATTACGAAATAAAATTTTATTACAACAAGTGTGGGTCGTGACTGCAGGTCCTGAATTCTGCATTGGATCCTGAATGCAAGTATGGATCCGGAAGGCAATGAACTTTAAAAATGTAGACATTTATCCACATTTGCCACTCCCCACCCAGGTAATGTAAATATTTACCCTGTAGGAATTAGTTCCTTGAAATGCTAGAGCACCTTATAAATAGCAGTGGAGCGTCAGGAGTCAAATATGTCGGACATGAGCACTATAAAAGAACCCATGATGATTATTATTATTACTATTATCATTATTATTATTATTATTATTATTATTATTATAATCATCATCAATATTATTATTAGGTTATTATTATTATTAATATTATTATCATTATCTTCATTTTTATTATTAACTGAAAAAAAATCACCATGGCTATATTTGTGACAAGTTTCAATTGCTAAGAACTGAAAATACATGAAAAACCAGAAGTGCTGCGACTGGCATATTACTGTCTATGCTGTAATCATCATGCATTGCAAGACTTTAAAAAAGACTTTAATATACCTAATTGTGGCTGGTTAAATTTATTTATAGACAACCAAATGTGTTTCCTCCGACTGCAAAAGATTAGAATGAGTTGCAATCATGTAATATTGATGTACGTTTTAAATATATATTAGGTCAAATCCTCGAAAATATAAGTATTGACATTCCAATCAATGTTCGTCTTTTTATTGGAATACTTTGTAAACAAATAAATGTATTTTGCTTCAGTTATCGCTTTGTAGTTTTGATAAAAAATGAAAATTCTGTATGTATTATTTTCTTTTCTTATTTCTTCCAATTAATACAGTAAATGCTATCCGTTTCGTTTTCTTTCTGATTTGCATGTATTCCCGCGCTTTTAAACATGTATCTGATTAAATATTGTTCTTGAAATTGTACAATGGACTTTGTGATAGATTAGCCTCGTGTTCTTATAATTCTTACACTACACTACTGCTATTAAAGGGGAGTAAAACATAATTAGTCTTACTTGGAGCTGAGCATACGACTCCTGCGTCGTTCTCATGAGTGCAATTGTGGACTTCTACCCCATTGTTGGGACAGAATGCGATTGACGACTCGTGTCCTCCGCAGGCCAGGTTGTCCACGTAGATCGGTCCAGTACCCGGTCCGAAGCTGGCACCTTTGGCGGCCTCGATGCCAGGACCAAGACCTAGCTGCTTGCAGACCACACGGGCATCGTTCTTGTCCCAGTTGTTGTCACAGACCGTGCCCCAGACACCATCGAGCTTGATGTCGATCCGACCTTGGTAGGCGTTCTCGCCACCAACCAGCCGAAGAGTGATGTTGTTTTCTGAGTTTATGAATGAGAAGGTGATAATAATGAAAATAATAATACAAATTAATAATATTATTATAACAATAACAAACCTAAATTTGATTTGTTTAGCGCATTTTCCAGCGGGTGTAAGTTGTTGTTTGTTGTTTGATTGAGTTTTAAGTCAATTCAGTCAAACTTGAATATTTATGCCTTAAGGTGCTGTTACTTAGTTTATAAACTGCTGGATAATAGCAGATTATGAAAAGAAGAGGCAATGTTTTTAATTTATGAGAACAAAAGCACTAGTTCTTAGAAATGTATTTAGTTTATTCAATAGTCTTGGGACAACAGAGTGGAGAATTTGAAGGCAGTCTTTTTTCGTGGTTTGAGAAAGAAGGAAGGAAATGAATTAGATCGAAGTGAATATGATTTGTTTTGCTGCCGGAAGAGTGAGGGGATGTTTTAGGACGTGTGGTTGACATAGCTATAAAAGACTGAAGTATCCGCAATTCTGAATTCTGTCAGTAATCATCATAATATATACTGAAAGTAATCATGGAGATGGTCGGTCGAGTGATGTCCAGATTTTGTGGATATACTCTAGGTTTTGTACATTGGTAACTTTTAAAATCAAGATATAACTTAATCAGCCAGAGCAAACTACAGAATTGAGTGACCACGCTTCTGCGTTTGGGTAGATTAATGGATTACTGAGTTTATATGACTTTTATAAATAAATACAGTTCCCCCCCCCCCCCAGATTAGAATACAAATTACAAGAACTGTGCTCTGCAGAGGGTATCTAGGATTGTTCAAAAAGGGGGCAATTTTTTGTTTATTCCTGAAATGTCTTTTAGTTGAAAAGGAGAAATCCGAACCCTTCGACCTTGATTCACCTATGATATGTCAACTTTGGTGTCTGTTTCGGGGGCTCTCGATCGGGGCCAAACCTTAGAGCTCAAGCTAGGTTATGCTAACCTTTTTGTTCATGCATGATGGATGATATGGGTGACTATTTTGAGATAATATCCTAGACTTTATACTTTCCACCCAGGTGTTAAATGAGGACCCAGTAGGATGCGACCGTCATTGTTGTTCAAACAATTTTTGAGCGTCAAGTAACGCCTGGCAGGAATGCTCCCCAGGGAGTGGAGCATGTGCACACAGCGTGTGCAGGCAAGCACTGAATCTACTGACCGGGGTAATAGTATATTTATAAAGCGCTTAGAGACATTGTATTAATCGCTATATAAAAGCTAAATACTATTATATTATTATTATCCTTACCGGGGAGTGAGCAGATCACACCAGCATCTCGTGAGTGGTCGCACGTCGTGTTTGGCGAGATGCCGAACTGCGGGCACTGCACCAACGACCCTTCATAACCGGTGCACCGTATGTTTTCGGCGAGGATCGGCCCCGTGCCCTCTCCGAAATACGAACCGGTCTTGGCCGTAGCTGCGAAGCCGTACTTGAGCTGACGACAGGCAACACGGGCCTCGTCCTCATCCCACTGCGTGTCACAGATTGTGCTCCATTCGTCGTTGACGTACATCTCTACTCGACCCTGGTACGCGTTCATACCTCCCATGAGACGAACTGATATTAGGCAAGGGGCAAAACCAACAGAATTTACATTCATGTTATGAAGAAGATTATGGGAAGATATATTGAAGAATAAAAATACGAGGCGGAAACCAGAGGGCCTCGAAAGTTGGTATTCTATATAAAGACGCGATTCGTGCTGCACGGATTTTGACAGAAAAACCGGTTGCATGCGACTCCCGTGGCCCTCACAATCGATGAGAATGCATTCCGACTCGACAAGATGATGTTTGGAAACATATTATCTAGGTAATCTGCTCTGAATATATATTATAGTGAAATAAGTAGTTAATGTACCAAGATGTATTAGCAATTGATTTATAGGAATTCATGAGAATAAATTTTGAACACAATATATCGTTACATTGAGTTGCCAAAAACACAAAGGCAACTACTTTTGAAAAGGCAAAAGCCTTGTGCGTGACCTATATTGAAATGTGCAAACGTGACAATGACGAATAACGTAACCTAACAATGATATCTATATAGGGTATTGAAATCGCCCTTTCGTTGATCAAAAAATCAAAAATAGTTGCCTTTGTTTTTTGGGTAACTCGATATTATGCATAGGTACGATTTTTTTTAAGGACTCGCATTTATTATTTATAAAACAGTTACTATTTACAATCGGTACCCACTTTTTGGAGCACACACCACACCGGCATCTTCACTGTGGGAGCATCCAGTCTGGTTGTTATATTCGCAATCAAAGATGGTTGCTTCGTCTCCAGAGCACAGGACATCGTCCATGTGGATCGGTCCGAAGCCCCGGCCAAAGCTGGCGTACTTCCTGGCCTCGACGGCCCGGCCGAGCCCGAGCTGGTTGCAGACTACCGAAGCGTCTTCCATGTCCCAGTAATCATCGCACACGGTTCCCCAGGTGTTGTTGATGTTAACCTCGACGCGGCCTTCGAAGATGTTGTTGCCGCCAACCAGACGAAGTCCCATTGCAGCATCTGAGGAAGAGCAGGAGAGGGGAGATGAAGGATGCATGAGGAGCATGTATAGATTAATATAAATTATAAATCTGTATAAATTATATCGGCAAATCTAAGCCACATCATTTTGTTCCAAATGTTATTGAACTCAGTAAGTCGACTTGTTTAGGATGAGAAGGCCCAGGAAGACAAGGTGTTGCAGCTCGGCAGGTAGACTAGTGTAAGACGAGAAGACAAAATGCCGTGGTGGTGACAAAGGGGAGGTGATAGGGGAGCCCCTGACGTATTTTTTCTCATTGTCTGAAGAAGACTTAACAGTTTGGGGGTAGGAGTATGGGTCACCCTGTACATGACTACCCCTTCAACTGACAAGCAAAAATCAAAACAAGTCGACTCATCATCATCTTCTCGTCCTTGCTTCGTTCTTCTCGTATATTCGTCTTGTTGCTCTAAATTATTCCAAAATAAGTTCCAAGCGAAAATGGGACCAGGAAAGACATTTTACTCACCAGAATTTGAGCAAACGATGCCAACGTCATTATCGCTGGTGCATTGTGGGTCCCCGTCAGGTACCACTTCCGACGCGCACTGGTACATCAGCTGAAAGTTGGAATTGCAGTTGACGTTCTTGACCACAGCAGTGCCGGTGGCGTTGCCGTACCGGTCGTTGCCAAGCGACATGCTGATAACTTCTCCGTACCCCATCTGATTGCAGACAATGTTCGCATCGATGTCGTCGAACCCGACGCCGCATACCGTCTGCCATTGTTCGCCAACCTTGACCTCGACGCGACCTTCGGAGTGATTGCTGCCGCCAGCTAAGCGGGCTGCGTGACAAAGGTAAACAAAATCAAAATAGATTTAATATATATATATATATATATACAAACCTATCCGTTTTGACGAGAATGAAACTGATGGAAATACATCCCAATGTATTAATCATTGTTATTATTATTTTTAATCCTATATTGGGTAAAGAGTTGGTCTACTGATTTAAAACGCAACAGGGGGGCGTTTCATGAAAAAATTAGTCTGTGGTTTTCACCGACTAATATCATGTTCACCGACAATTCTTTTCCAGGCCTGAGATTGGTCAAATTTAGTCAGCGCTGACTAAAGTTTCATGAAACGCCCCCCTGGTCTCAACATGATCATACACCCACAACAAAAAGTGAGTCACCCTTACTCAAATTGATGAGTCACTGGTTTGTCCGTACAGCGAAACACTTGAAGGATCATGTGAGTCATTATGACTCGATACAAGTGAGTCTTAGATAAATAAGACTCATTTGTATCGAGTCATAGTGACTCACATGATCCTTCAAGTGTTTCGCTGTACGGACAAACCAGTGACTCATCAATTTGAGTAAGGGTGACTCACTTTTTGTTGTGGGTGCATCATGACATAGACCCCCCCTACTCCCTAGGCCTATCACACACATACCATACCATGCCAGAGTCACTGTCCACATTTGCAATGGAAAATATATCCTAAAATATCACATTTTAGCGATGTAATCGGTGGTCCCGCTACCCGAATCTGAAAAATCTACTTTGTACGCACTAAATTAAGCCTTAACTTGAGATTTATTTGTCACCCATACTGTCACGAAACAATCTTGAATTAATTCGTTTTACATCAAATAACAAGGATCTAGGAGTTTCGTTGTATAAAACAATGATGCAAGATCATGCATGTTTTCATTCGACACGGCTTCGTGCGATACAGTAGAATCTATAGTTAAGTTACACACAGCCTCATCAACTCGAGTGCGGATATCGTAAAATGAACGCATGCATCATTTGTATAATAATTAGAAGATTCAGCCCACGAATCCAGTTATAAAAATCATCGTTTAAAACCATATGAATAATTATGCGTACCAATTTTTCACTAGCTGCAGTCAAAACTCTTCTAAATCCAAGATATAAGATGGCGACGTCGCGTCGTCGATCGGGAATTCAAATATGGCTCGAGAATGAGCATTTTTGGATGACGTCACGAAAGCATGCGCGCGCATGCATACAGCCTCACTTTCAAGATGACTCACTTTTTTCTTCTAAAATGCTCTTATGTCGATCTTGACTCATTTTTTACGACTATGTGAGTCAGTCGAAGCATTTTGCAAATGCGTCAGCTCATGATTGACACACTGGTGAAATATAAATGAGTCAATAGAGACTCATTGGTTGTTACTAATGAGTCAATTTACACCTGACTCACGAAAATTATGCTTAAATGTGTCAAATGACTCACTTTTTGTTGTGGGTGTACAAAATGTGATCTGTAACTGTAGTGATTGAACAAATTTATGTTATATTAATGAGCTTGTAACATCCTTTTCAATAATCAATTTCACTTCCTTTAAACAAAGACTGAGTTTGACACTTGACATTCATAACCACCATCATGATCAACCTTAAAATCATTTTCTTCTGCGGCGCTATTGCATCTTCCTATCACTTACAGCTCATCATCATTGCAATCATCGTCATCATCATCATAATTTTCTTCTTCTTTTTCGTTTTCTTCACCATCTTCTTCTCCATCTTGATTCTTCGTCATCTTCTTCTTCTTTGGGGTGCAATTATCACCACCACCAACATCTTCAGAATCAGAATCTTCATCTTAATTGTCGTCATCATCACCCATCATCTTCACCATCGTCATCCGCCATCATCATCATCATCATCATCATCATCCTTCACCATCATTAATCCGCCATCATCATCATTATCATTATCATCATCATCATCATCATCATCCTCATCCTTCACCATCATCGTCCGCTATCATCATCATCATAATCATCAATTCATTAACACCACCAACAGTATCATCATCATCAGAATCTTCATCATCATCTCCATCATCATCATCATCATCATCCTCATCCTTCACCATCATTAATCCGCCATCATCATCATCATCATTATCATCATCATCATCATCATCCTCAACCTTCACCATCATTAATCCGCCATCATCATCATCACGCTTATTATTCTCTTACATTCCGGCAAGCATATCACCCCAGCGTCCTCCGTGTGCCGACAATTGTGGACGCCAATGCCACGGTGTTGGCAGTCGAGGATTGACGTTTCGCTGCCGTAGCATCGAGTGTCGTCCATGTGGATTAGACCGAGGCCCTGGCCAAAACGAGCGTTGGTGGAAGCAGCGAAAACCTCCTGGAAGCCGAGTTGACGACAGACGATCTATTGGAGAATTGATAAACGGCGGAGTTGTTGACGTAAGTTAATATAAATGTTTTAACTTGATTATATTAACAGATTGTTTGAAAGAATAAGAAAGATAAGTGTTTAATGGAACTGGGACAAATTCACCTTACCGTTACCTAATTTCGTATTGCATTAATTTGAATTTTTACGAAAATTGTCTATACTTTTTGGTTTGTATCGTATACGTGTACTACCGATCCCATTAAATTCTTCTTCTTTTCTCCTTCTTCTTTTTCTTCCTCTTATTCATCTTCTTGTTCGTGTAATACGAAATGGAAACAATTAATAATGCTAGAGTTGCTAGAGTTGTATCGCCTTTTGTAGGAAGAATTAAAAGCAAAAGAAAAAAACGAGACAAGAAGTGGAAGAAGAGGTTGCTAAAACGAAAACACAAGATTTGAAAAATTAAAAACGTGAATACGATACAAAACCTTCCAAACAAAAAAAGAGGAAAATTGTAAAGGGTATCAAACAAAACGGAGAAGAGATAAGAAGGGAAGACATAACCGGAAAAAAACTCGATCGCAGCTACTTTTGGAAATATCAACCTAAGGCTTGAGCGTCATCTATTGAAATTGTTCAACATGAAAATGACGTACTACGTAATTCAAGCAATTAGATATTGCCCCTGCATTGATTGTTCGGAAGTCGTTGCAGTTGAACTAAGTATACAAACCCGAGCATCGGTAGTGTCCCAGCTATCATCGCAGATCGTTCCCCAAGCACTATTGAGATAGACCTCTACCCTCCCCTGAAAGGGACTATTCCCTCCCATCAGCCGAACGGGTATGGCTACATCTGGCGGAAGCGTTGTCACTGGGTTAGGCAGCATCGTCGTCATCATCGACGCTATTGAAAAGGAAAATGACGATGAAAGCATATAATTATGCTAGTTTGAATCATTCGGGTTTGCAATTGTTTCTCATGTCAGACTAAAGGTATACTTAGTACGATGACCATTCGCGACGGGGTCTGGGTTAATGACATGTAAAAAAAAAAAAAAAAAAAAAAAGGCTTATGTGTGCATGATAACAAAATTAAATATTTTTCAGATTTTCAAATTCCCTAAAATGGTAACGTTAACAACTGCAAAAATGGTCATCAACATTTCAAATTTGCCGACGAAGGAAAAAGGTTCATTAGAATATAAGTGATCAGCCAACAAAGCTCCTAATTTTGCCAAATCCTGGACAAAGATTGGTCCTATAAACCCCAACCCTGCGCGCGCGCGCTCTCTCTCTCTCTCTCTCTCTCTCTCTTTCTCTCTATCTCTCTCTCTCTATCTTCCTCTCTCTCTCCATCTCCCTCTCTCCATCTCTTTTTTTCTCTCTCTCTCCCTCTCACTCCCTCCCGTGCCTCTAGTAATACATTTGCCCACTTCCACATTTTAATGTTTAACTGTCTATTGTACATACGAATCATTAAACATTCACATGTAAAACTGAAAATATAATTATACCTTCAAAATTGCAAAGGGCAGAAAAACTGGAAGTGAATGTAAGTCAATAATGAAAATGCAAAGACGTATTCTTAGGAATCTAAACAAAAACTAATCGATATTCATTTTTTCTTGTGTTTGCCATAATGCATTTCCAAACAGACGAAGAAACAAGAAAATAAAAGGGCAAATACTTTGAAAGAAATTCCATTACAAAGAAATTTAAAAGAAAAATTAAAGATCATCTCATACTTTAATATGAATGATTTATATCAGTCGTAATTCTTTTGATTAACACCTCTAGCAATAGTCTTATTATTATTGGATTCTTACCCGGGGTGGACGGGTAACAGACCACACCTGGGTCATCGGGATGTTGGCAGTCCACCTCGGAGAACTGCCCCACCGGACACTCCTCGAGATGACTCTCACTCCCCGTGCACTGGTAGTTCGTAGACATGATCCGTCCCGTGCTTGAGCCGAAGCGGGCCGTACGCGAAACCGAAGTCGCGTTGGTGAAGCCGAGGTGCTGGCAGACTACCGATCCGTCCCCGATGTCCCAGTACGCGCCGCACAATGACATCCAGTCTAAAGAGTTCCATCGCATTTCAACCCGACCTTCGTTTGGCGCGCTACCGTTGACCAATCGAAGCTCGTAAGACCCTTCAGAATGTCAAAAAAACGAACCGAAAGCAAAATTACTTAAAATGGTATATAATAAACCTATTCTAGAAGAAGAAGAAAAGGGAAAAGAAGAAGAAGAAGAAGAAGAAGAAGAAGAAGAAGAAGAAGAAGAAGGAGAAGAAGAAGAAAAAGGAGGAGAAGAAGAAGAAGAAGAAGAAGAAGAAGAAGAATATACGAAAATGCCTTTTATTCCGATCAAAGTGATAAACGAGGAGAAAGAAAGAGCTTATCATCATGGGAGTAAGCATTTAACATTTCATAGTAGGCCAGACAACAAAAAAAATCAATGTATGGCCAGCCAAAATGTAGTCAATTCAGAATATCAGATTGAGAATCACATAGTATGCATTAGCGTAGCATCGGGGAGGGCTACTGGGGTCCGTACTCTCCCTAGGAGGGAGATGAAGGAAATATTACAAAGTAAGATGACAAGATCTCATACCTACTTGAAGGCCTTGTTTACATTTGTTTTAATCATGGTCTCCCCTCCCCCTTGCCAGTACCCCTCGGTGGCTGGGCCCTTGCTACACCACTAAAGCAAGTTTCCTGCTGCTTTCAGAAAGTTGTATCCGGAAATTGTAGTGGCATAGGCTTAGTTGTGAGGGTGGGATTACCCGTTTATAAATAAGTCAGAAGCGGAGATCAAATTAATGATATTGATAAATCTGTGCGACCATCGGCGAGGACTTTGGATGAAAAAGCGAAATGTTTACAATTATTTTCGCGGGATTTTTGCATCTGGATTTTTCACAGTAGCGAAATTATGGGTGAGATATTATCCTGACGAAAATAGTAACCCATGTTTAAGGCCAAGATCTGAAATGTGGGGGCACTTTTAGGGATTTTGCAGTACAAAATCATACCCCGTGTTTAGGGATTTTTTGCAAAAAAGTAACACATTAGAGTGGCACATCCCCGTATAATGTATAAGGCGAGTACCGCTCCCCCCCCCCCCCCCCCCCCCCCCCTCTGGCCAACTGCCTGTTCCAACTTGGATGCACTCAATCATCGGCTTCGCATTTTTTCAAAAATAACGGTGGATACTAAAATATATTTTTTACATCTAAGTTTGATAGTTTAAGTCATTAAAATATTTAATTTTAGAAAAATACGTACCTTGGCACTTCACTGTCTCTAATCCATTTAGACAAAAGAACAATAAGAGCATAGACGACCAAATAGGTAAAGTTGGTGTACTTCTGTCAGGCGCCATTTTGTATTCTGCAAAAATATGAAATACATGTGAATGAAATAGCTGTGTGCGTTAACAAATAGTCCAAGGTATTTGTATTGCTAAAGTTGGATGTCCATGCATTACACAGTATTATGGTATGAGAAACATAAGTTAACAACTAAATTAGTCATACCCTTACCATTTTTTTTAATTTGTATGTACGTGAACAATATTTATTTAGCCAAATGTATGGGTTTTTTTTTAAACTTGACGTATTAAAGCTTACATCTAAAGGTAATCAAACAAAGGTCCTAATTCTGCCATTCCATCTTTCCTTCTTGAGTAATAAAAGACCCCCAAAAATCATATGTACAAGGGGTATGAATAATTCAGTTGTAAATTGCGAGAGGCCGAGTTATTTTTCAGTTTAAAGTAGAATATAAATGGTGTGATGATATCATTTATTCCATTTATTAGTTTAACACGGTCGAAACGATTACGGACATTTAAAAAAAAAAACTGTTTTAAGATTTTAAAATCTGGTTTGCTTTGTTGTTATTTCTTTACCATATTTAAACTTCTTTTATCGATCGTCACTCTCATTTAATATTCTTAGATCAATTTCCATTTCTTATTTGCTTATTATTGCAATATTTATGTTTAAGCCAAAATATCAATGTACAGTGCATCCAGTCTATGATTTTTGAGGCGTGAAGTAGAAATTAACTATATATTTCACAATAGGTACATGTTAGTCCGTTGTATATTTTCATGATGAATTCATCTTTCCTATAAACCATTGAGACGATAATGCGGTTCATCTCCCTCTTGACAGCTAGCCTATTGACAATCAAATAAAGGGAAAAGCATTCGCTTTAAAGCCTGTCTGCACTAGTTTGGCCAGGAGGGATTAAAGGGATTAGCATGGTCACTGACAGGTGGTTATCTCATCACTTCAGCTCTCAATTAACGTAAGAAAGGGGATCATGGGGGACCAACGGGTATCGCTTGGGCATTGTTTGCTATATAGAGGGCGTAAGTAGCTACAACAGTGGGGCTTGAGGTTGGATTTCTCTTAAGAGCGGAATTCGTTCAGTTTAATTTAGTTTGTTTATTAGTAATTACACATTGTTTTCGAAGACATCAAGACTTTGTAAAGGTAGTTTGTGAAAACTTGCACAAAAAGTTATTTGATAAGTTTCCTTGATGTTTATCGAATATTTTACCATAAAAAGGTATTTAAAAAAAGTCTAGGCTAATTCCGGATGACACGCCTTCTATATTACCCCTCGCTATAGGATATTTATCTATCAATGCTAAGTTATGAAATCGACATGCGGCAAATTATTACGTGCACACCCCGGTGCACACAGTGAAGTCATATAATTGCAATGGTATAATTCTGTATGATCGTATTGTTCAGAAAACAGAGAGGTGTCAAGCAAATATCAAGAGAAAATAATGAACCTACTTTTAAATTTCATACACGTTTGTATCCTTAAATATCTCCGCAGAATAACTTTGATAATACTACAAACTATCATATGGCTCCGTTTAGTCTCATTTCACAAAGCCCCCTATCGTCAGAGCATGATCAGAGCCAGCAGCCTAACACGTTAGCCTATGGACGTTTTTTTTTAAAATCGTTAAAAATTCATTTTTTGTTTAAACGAAAAGCACATCCACCCCGACGTACGTTATCACTAGCTCTTTCATTGGAGCCCTCATGTCTCATTGACTTTTGAAAGTTCACCCACCGTAATTTTTCAAAATAGGTTGCAAGCTCGTCATTGCCTATAATACACATGTGAAACAAGTCTAACTTTGGACTCAGTTTACCTAGCGATTTAAAGATTATAGGTCGAGCACACGAAACATAAAAAGCATGAAGTATCATAGATCACTTCTGCCTATTTCATTATGTCCATTTCATCCAACCCCCCACCGTAATTTTTCCATTTTGTAAAAGCAAACATTTTGCCGAGTTTAGCAAAAACATGAATATTCATGAACAGTCAGACAATACAGCCTTTTAGTACGTAACGTATAGTGAATGGGAATGGGCGATGATCCGTTCAGGTCAGTGGTTTGTGCTGGCAATGTTCACGCGAGCGAAAATGAGACAATCGGAGTAATATGGAAGCCAACTATGATAAGGAAAACATATATGCAGACAGAGCAGTTTAACATTTGTGAAGGGTTATGACCCCCCCCCCCCCCCCAGCCCCCCCCCCCTCTCGCAAAAAAAAACGCAATGAATAACACGAACAATTAGAAAAAACAAGCCTGCTGTGTTTCCTTCGAAAGGTAAATGAAATGTATTAATTTTCTTCAGTGTTAGATAAAAACAAGTTGATAGAAAACAGATAAAAGACAGAGCAGTTTAACATTAGTGAGGAGCTATGACCTACCCCGCTCCAGCCCCCCCCCCCCCTCGCAAAAAACCCGCAATAAATAAGACGAACATTTAGAAAAAACAGGTCTGATGTGTTTCCTTCGAAAAATAAAATAAATTCATTAACTTTTTCAAGAGTATTAGATAGAACAGGTTGATAGAAAACAGATAAAAGGAAAATTTAGATGACTTTCCACCAAAATAATAAGTTTTAGGTTTTTTTAGGGGGGTTTACACACAACAAATTTCCAAAGGGGGGGGTTTAACCCCCAAACCCCCCCCCCCCCCCCCCCCTGCGTACGCGCCTGCATACAACCTTGTTTTTGGCATGAAGTGTTCTACCTGCACATCTCTTTACGCAATTGCTACTTGGCAAATAGTGCTATCGAAAGCGGAAGAGGACACGGAAGTTTTTCCGGGTGTTTTATTAAACATTGTTCCAATGTTCCGGTTATTAAATGGTTGTAGTTTAAAGCCTCGTTGGGCCAGTTGAAAATGAGTATAGATACGAGCATTGATTCTTAATGTGTCAATGGTATTAAAGCGCATGCGATAAAAATTAAGGCGGGGAGGCTTTCATAATTCTAAATACTGTGACCGATTTTCCTCCTTATGTACAGATTTGATTTGGTAAACATCAACCATTTAAGCCACTTATCTCACGCACTTTTTAATTATTATCGTGTCATTTTTACCGATTTGTGTCCCTCCTCTCCTCCCTTCCCCTTCTTTTTTTTTTTAGCTGGACGACTGTCTTGTAGTTTGAGGAAAGACTAAACATAATCTTAAGTAAATGTCCACCTACCCCTCTCTTTCTCCCCCCCCCCCCCCCCCTCTCCTCTGTTCACAAACTTCTTTTTCTCCCATTTCATCTTTCTCACACAGGGGCGTCGCTAGACCTTTTTCAGGGGGGGGGGTGTAGAGGCCAACGCTTACCGACAAAACTAGCGACCAATTACCGACAAAATTAAATGTCCAATATCTACAAATTTAACTCTATAAACCCGGGGCCAAAGGCTAAATTGTTTTTCCTATGTACTATCTATAGTACTTCATTTTCTTCGACGACATAAATATACGAATTGTTTCGTCAACTTAGTCAGCATAATAGCTGATAATTATATTTTAATGCAGGCGCGAAGATAGGATCTTATTTTAGGGAGGGCGGTAGTGAGCAAGCGAATCACTTAAAGAGCGCTCATTAGAGGGTGTGGGTGATAGGCCTCTAAATTATTAGGAAAAGAAGACGATTTATTGTACCTTTCTCGACTGTTAATCCTTGTCTAAATGAAGTTCCTCCCCCCTCCCGCGCGAAAGCTTTGACGTTTCATTAAATTATTATGAAAAGAAGACGATTTGATGTACCGTTCTCTACTGTTAAACCTTGTCTAAATTCAGTTTCTCCCCCTCCCGCACGAAGCGCGGAAGCTTTGGCGGTTCATTAAATTATTAGAGAAAGTAGACGATTCGTTGAACCTTGTTCGACTCTTAATCCTTGTCTGAATGAAGCTTTCCCCTCCACGCGAAGCGCGAAATTTTGACCGTTTCATTAAATTATAAGAGAAAGAACACGATTCGTTGTACCGTTTTCGACTTGTCTAAATAAAGTTTTCTCCCTTCGCGCGAAGCGCGGAAGTTTTGGCGTTTCATCACAATATAGAGAAAGGAAGACGATTCGTCGTACCGTTCTCGACTCTTAATCCTTGTTTGAATCAAGTTCCCCTTCCTCCGCGCGTAGTGCGGAAGCTTTGACCTTTCATTAGATTATTAAAGACAGAAGAAGATTCGTTGTACCATTCTCGATCTACTCTTAATCCTTGTCTGAATTCAGGTTCCCCGCTCCCGCGCGAACCGCGGAACCATTGACGTCTCATAAATAAAATTTTTCATAAATTATTAGAGAAAGAAGACGATTCGTTGTACCGTTCTCGACTCTTAATCCTTATCTGAATCCAACCCCCCCCCCAATCCCCTCCCGCGCGAAGCGCGGAAGTTTTGACGTTTCATTAAATTATTAGAGAAAGTAGACGATTCGTTGAACCGTGCTCGACTCTTAATATTTGGCTACAAACTACGGGCCCGGGACACAAAACGTTTTTAATTTGAACAAGAACCTTATTTCACTTCTTCCTTACAATCTTAGCATTGATGATAATCGTATTAAAACAATTTCTTACCTGTAAACACGAGAAATGAGTTATTTTTTTGTATGTATGTATAACTATATAGCCTACACGTATACAGTATGTCACGATCATTAAGAGTAATTGCGCGACGTGCGCGAACAAGCACTTCATAAACTTTAGAATAATTTTTCGTTATTTTGCAAGGTATTATTATAGCCCAGACGTAAAGTGCGCCAGCGCGTGAGCGCTTAAAAAGTGCAATCATGTACAGTAGATGCCCGGCTCCCCCCCCCCCCCCCCCACTCAGTGTTATTTAGGGTACGCGTATGCTCGTTCCATCCCTTTGAAAGCACCACCCCCCCCCCTTTCTCAGGACTGCCAACATTTCTGAATCTCCCTTTCGCCGGCTTTTCGCTGGCTTTTCCTGCCTTGGAGACCCCCCCCCCCCCCCAAAAAAAAAAAAAAAAAAAAAAAAAAGCTAGCAGGAATTTCAGGAATTTGATCCCGGGATTTGATCAATTTGATATTCAAGATATATTATAACCCCCTTTTTACATTTTTGTCAGGAGTCCAAAGAGAGAAAGAAAAAAACCACCCCCTTTTTAAAGAAATCTCCGGGTGAAAAGTCAAATACACCTCCTTTTTTACAATTCTCTATGAATTTCTATGAAAGTCTATGTTTGAATTAATTTGTTGTTTATATTGAATGAATTGAATTGAATTCAGATAAATAGGGCTTAATAAGAGTCGAGAGGTTTTAGGTATGTAATTACGGTCAGATGAGCATCCAGAGGCCCGCCTTAGAGCCCTTGGTGGGGTCCAAAGGGCAGAGCACCCGAAAGCTCAGGGGTTTTAGGTATTTAATTACTGTCAGATGAGCATCCAGGGGCCCGCCTTAGAACCCTTGGTGGGGTCCAGGGGGCAGAGCCCCTGGAAGCTCGGGGTTTTTAGGTATTTAATTCACGGTCAGATGAGCATCAAGGGGCCCGCCTTAGGGCCCTTGGTGGGATCCAGGGGGCAGAGCCCCGGAAGCTCAGGGGTTTTAGGTATTTAATTACGGTCAGATGAGCATCCAGGGGACCGCCTTAGGGCCCTTGGTGGGGTCCGGGGGTCAGATGAGCATTTGTATACCTTATTTCTGACCTGGGCAGGTCACCTATTTTTTCTCTCCGTCTTTCTTTCTTTTTCTCTTTAACATACTTTTTCAAAAAGTGAAGGGGGGGGGCTCGAGCCCAGCCGCCTTGCAGACCATGACATAAAGGCTTTTAAATAAGCGTTTTTTCGCCCGACTGTAATTTGGGAATTTCTTATTTTCCAACAAACCCATAAAAAGGTATGACTTACAAAAAAATGGAGAAAAAATACCGGCATAACAGCAACATTTGTAAATCATTGGTATCGAATAACGAATACACCCCAACCCCATCAGTACGCCAGCGTTCAGGGGCTCATGTCTTCTCATCCCTATTTTTTTTTTTGGGGGGGGGGGGGGCAACTGCCCCCCCCCCCACTTCCGGCGCCTATGGGGGGGGGGGGGGGAGTGAGATTTTTTTTTTTTTTTTTTGGTTCGACGGGGTGGGGGGAGGGTATGGAGCTCTACTTTATTTTTTACTCAACACCCCGCCCCCCCCCCGCCCCTTTGGGCAACAACAAAACATACCTTTAGTTTGTTTTTTCAAAGATAAAATTAACAATGCCGTGTTTTTTAAATCTATTTTTGGGGCCAGGGGAGGGGCCTGGGCCCCCGCCCCCACCCCCCCCCCCCCCCCCTGGATAATGACCCTAACCCGATATTTTCTCATGGATTTTCGTTTCTCCCGGCCTCGGCCTCTCAGTTTAGAGTACCTACATTATGTAGGTACTCTATCTCAGTTACAAAGAGATTCGTTCATACCATAGAGATTATATACTTATCTCTATGGTTCATACACAGTATGCTCAGTTAAGTTTAGAGCGCCATCTTGTGGTACATTCTCGTCTGTTCTGCTGATTCACGTCCGTAAGGCTTCACTAACTGTCTCTCAAACTCCGCATTTTAGCCGAATTTGAGATGTTTTCATATCCAGCATTCCGTAAAGATAAAGAGGCCGTAGATGAATATCATGGCCAGAAGGTAAGAGACTTTAATTTTTCCTATCAATTATGATATTGTCCCATCAAATATCGAAGTCGCTCGCTCCGGTCCCATTCGTAGACCATGAGGTAGGCAAATTCATGCAAAAAACTATATTAAAAAAATTGACTTGAAATTTGAAAACACATCACACAGTTAGTCTGAACCGAGTCAGGAGCAAATTTGAAGAAATTATATTTTTAAATGTTGTAAAACCAAAGATATAAGAAGAAAACTGACCAAGTATCTGTACTAAAAATTGTTAAATGTCAGATTGTACATGTAAAATTGGTCGTACTCGTAGACATCGACAGCTGAATATAACGCGCACGGTTGCATTACGTGCGTTCTCAAATCCAAAATCGTACCTCACACACACAATCTCGCCATACCGCGAATGGTCCGTCTTGGGGAGCTAGCCAGCTGAGAGTTTGCAGCGATACCAACGCAGCTTCGGAGCTCCGCAGCGCGCCATTTTAGCGGGACTCGGAAAGGTTTGTGATGGGAAGGCAGCGGCCTAGCTTTTTGCCCAAACAACGCTAGATCGGCTGCTGGCAAAATGAAAATAACTACGATCGAGAACATCGTCGGTTTCTTAACTTTTCAGTGAGATAATTCTGAATTCTAATTGACCTCGTAACAAATTCGTTGCAAAAAAAAAAATTCAAGGGTGATTTTGAAGCAGTGAAGAACATTGGCGCTGCAATGCGCAGAAATATACTTGAAAGAAACTTAAAAAATAATACCTGAATTTTCAGAAAATCGTATTTGTATTAGTGTACCTAGATGTGACTTGTTTATAAATCAGATTTTATGAAGATTTGTCGGGAAAAAATGTCAATTTTTTCCGTTTGGTGGTCATTTCTAGGCTAATATTTTAAAAGTTGCATCAGTAATGGGCCCGATGTTTCTCTTATCGTACTCGCATGTTATTTCTACATAGATTAAACATAGGATGGTTAAGGGTAAGACCAGATAACATAAAAAAGGTATATCCTTCCACCCTCCCATATCCAAGTTTTGGGCTGATTATTGCCGACCCACCGCAGCAAGGCCATTCAGATTTTCGTACGCGCGCAAAGCGCCCTCTAGTGCCCCATGAATGTGCCTACATGAGGTGTGTACGGTACGCGGGTACCTTACCAATTTTCATTCATTCTCGACTTGTCATATGTCAACATTATGCGACAAAGATTTCTTTCTCCTCCTCCTTGTTGATTGTTGTTGACGTTTTTATTTTTTGTTGAAGTTGTTGATGTTGCTGTTTGTGGTGTTGCTGCTGTTGCTCCTCCTCCTTTTTTTTCCTTCTTCTTCTTTGCTTTCCCTTTTCTTCTGACATGTCTGAGAGAAAAATGGGTTATGAATTTTTGTTTTTTGCAAAGTGATTATTGTTGAGCACCTATTTGAAATAAGAAATCTCCTCAATGTATTTCAATAGATCTGTTACCAACTAATGCATGAAGCTAGGCGAAACAAAATATTTATTTTGACTCTAATGATAACATATTTCTTTCATTCCCCTATTTGTATGATTTAAATAAAGTAGAAATATTGATGTCCATAATTCAATTTTTAGATGTATTGCGTATCATTATCACCATTTAAGTTGAATATACTCTTCCAATTTGGGAAAGTAACATTGAATATGATTACATTCACAGCTTTAAAAAATTAAGCTGAACTGGATTCTTGTATGTCCCTTTTATTTAAAATTCCTCTTCTCCCTTATGTTTTTTACCCCTCCTTCTCTCTTCCTCCCTTTCCTCCTCTCAATATTTCTCTATCCTACCCAACCTCTCTCAATCATTCTCTCCTTTTCCTCTCCCTCTTTCTCCTACTCCCCTCTCCCATCTTGCTCTCTATATATATCCCTCCCTATCTCTCCCCCTCTTCCCTTCTCTCTGTCACACCCTTCCCTCCCCTCCCTCTCTCTCTTCCCTTCCTCTTCCCTTCCTTACCTCCTCTCAATATTTCTCTATCCTACCGACCCTCTCTCAATCATTCTCTCCTTTTCCTCCCACTCTTTCTCCTACTCCCCTCTCCCCTCTTATTCTCTAATCTATCTCTCACTCCTCTTTCCTCCATCTCTCACCTTTCCCAACCCCTCTATATCTATCTTTCTTTCTCCCTGTGTCTGTCTCTCTCTCTCTCTCAGGTGGCAGACCCGTACGTGTGGATGGAGGACCCAGACAGTGACGAGACGAAGGCCTTTGTTGAAGCCCAGAACAACATCACAATGCCATACCTAGAAAAGATGGACGTGAGGCAACCATTTCATGATAGGTATACAAACATTCTATGAATGGAAGTGGCAGTTATTCTTGTCTCTTAATAATAATAATAATACATAAGATTTATAAGGTTCCAAATCCACTTGACAGTCAAATGCTCAAGGCGCAGCTTGTGCAAAAGATGAAATACTTGATAAATATATACAAAAGTGTAATAGGAAAGGTACAGACATAAAGGTAAGGGTAATCAATTGCTTGCTTTTAAGTGCAAACAAACTAAAATTTGCCTTTCAGTAAGCAAACTGCTGGCTGACCGGTTAAGAAATGACACGTTATATTTGTGAATAGGGGAGGTGAAGACATCCATTCTAGTTTTTAATTGAGCATTTCAATTATTGGAGATCTACATGGCAAACCTTACCATGCAGTACCGGTACTCAATTTGCTAGAAGAAGTTATGCATCTGAGAAAGAGTGAAAGGTAACTCGCTTAGAATCTGAAGTGAGAACGGAATTCGCCTAGAATTTAATGTGAGAACGTTGGCCCTAAAAAAAAGATGTTGTACTGCCCTTTGAGACCGACCCCAAAATCTTGAAATCTACGGTCGGCTTTTAAAAAAAAAAATTTGTTTACCCTTCTTTAGAGAAGAAAAAAATATCAGAAATATCAGCCCAAAGAGGGAGGGAAAAAAAAAGTTAAAAAAAAAAAAAAAAATTCTGACCGACAGACCCATGTTTTGGCACCTAAAGGGCAATACAACATCTTCTTCTTTTTTTAGGCCTTATAGTGAATTAACATTAAATGTAACATTTAATGTCTGTAATTTTGTTTATACAAGTAGCCACTATTATTATTATTATTATTATTCCACAAAATTGAGTATCGGAGCAAATGGAAACCCAGCTGATGTATTGATTTACCTCTCTTATTTGCAGACTGAAGGGGTTGTGGGACTTCCCCAAGTATGGATGCCCATTCAAGCGAGGATCACGCTACTTCTACTTCTACAACACTGGCCTGCAAAACCAAAGGTAAATAAGAATACATGAATTATTATGCTTGGTGTGTGAAAGGTAGCACTCCAATTCAGCACAATGTGTGTCAATAATTTTAGGAGTATGTTGCATTTTCAGAAGACATTTGCCTGTAATTCTGCTTTGTATGTTATGCAGTAGATTTGTGGTTTGGATCAGCAAATTGAAAACAATGACATTCTGGTAATAACACTCCCTGTAACCATTCATATTATTCCTATGCAAGTCCAGGGGGGTGTTTCACAAAGATCCCAAGTCGAACTTAACTCTAAGTTGGACTTAAATATTATGGAAAGCCATTTGTAGCCTTAAAATAAAACATATTCAAAAGCGATAATTCAAGTATTTTAGAAATTTTTATAAATTACACATCAAGCACATGAAATCTCCTCGATAATAGAAAATATGAATGATTTGAATCAACATTTAATGCCTTTTAAAATAACTTTTAGAAAATATTTTCATAGACGCTAACAGATTTCCATAATTGTTAAGTCCAACTTAGAGATAAGTTCAACTAAGAATCTTTGTGAAACACCCCCCAGGACCAGTAATTTGTTTTCCTATCCTTCTTTAATCATTACGTAGCTATTATATTGTCTACCAAGTTTTGTTCTTGATTCATTAATATGAAAGTGTCATTTTCCATCCTGAATAGCAGAATTCAAAACTCACCATCAAGTATTCAGTTACAGCTTTTGTTAAAGTATTGATTTTATAAAATGCAATGAAAGGAAGGTACATTAGCATTGTCGACCTCACCTCACTTTTGTTGTTCAGTGTGATGTATGTACAGGACTCCTTAGATGCTGAAGCCCAGGTGTTTCTTGACCCGAACAAGCTCTCGGAGGATGGCACCGTTGCCCTAAGAGGGCGCTCATTCTCAGAAGACGGAGAGTACTTTGCTTTTGGACTGAGCAAGAGTGGGTCCGATTGGGTCACAATCAAGGTAAGTCTTCTACATTTCAATAGACCAGTTCACGGTTAGCACATGTCTGCAATGAGCCCGAATATCCACAGATCTTCAAAACATGAAGAGGTCCCACTTTGTACATTTTGAAATAATCACTCCTACAGCGATGGAATTGCTACATAAATTACCTTTGTTTCCCCTTTTCAAAGAATACTTCCACCTGTGTATCATGGAGTGCACTGCTTTTGCAGGATTGAATAATGATTACATAACTTTCATGAGCACGTATCCAGTATTTTGTCTCCGTGTACTTCACAATTTGTTCTGCAATGACCTTTATCTGCTCATGCTCAGACTGCAACTGTGAACTGGCTTATTGCTAGAGCAAGACCTCATGGTCATATACTTGGAACCGTCCAGTTCCTAGCCTACATATGATGCCCTCCGTAATATTATACCTAGCAGTATAATCTGTTATGCCTTTCTGCACTGGTTCATTTAACTTTGATCCATTTTTTCTTTTTAATTTGTAAACTTGGCATAAATATGACCTGTGATGTTGATCATTTTTTCTGTTCCATTGACAGTGGCATAGCTTGAAGGACACTAGGAGTGTGTGTGTGTGTGTGTGTTGGGGGGGGGGGGGCGGCAGGTGAGGGCTGTTGTGTTTATCACTATGGATGAAATGCAAGGGATGGCTTGTATCGCGAATGCTCATTCCCCTTTATTCTCCGTCTTTATTTTGTTTAAATACTTTTTTGGGGGACATGTGATTGATTTAATAAAAAGAACGGCGTGACAAAAGCCGTTCCAGTGTTAAAGAAGAAAAAAATACTAAAAAATGCATACTTTGTGTATTTAAAGTAAATGGAATTTGACAGAAGAGGGGTGGGGGAGGGGTATGGAAGATATAGGAGAAACCAGAATCAGTCTAAATAAAAACTAGAATACTGATGATGGAGAGGAGAAGAGTAGGTTTTCCCTTTTGTATAATCTCTCTCAGTAATTTTCCCCCATTTTTTCCCTCAGGCTATGAAAGTAGACGGAGCTCAGGACCTACCTGATACCTTGGAAAGAGTCAAGTTCAGTGGCATCGCATGGACACACGATAACAAGGGCTTCTTCTATAGTGTAAGTTGATACAGTGAAACCTGTCTATAAAGACCACCCAAGGGAGACAAGAAAAGTGATCTTTATGGGCAGGTGGACTTTATGTTACAGGTTCCTTCAGTACACGTTTCAATCGGAAACCATTTTCAAGGGAAACAAAAAAAAGTGGTCTTTCTATGCAGGTGGTCACTATAGCAGGTTTGACTGTGTATAGGGAATGCTTTTGAATATTGACAATGTAATAAGTAATATATAGTTATCAATAAAAGCACTTCTATCTCCACGTCCCAAAATTACTGTACTTGAAAAGAAACAATTCAGTCAGAAAAAAGTGTTTGTATGATGATGAGCGTCTTAACATATATTTCTTTTCATAATATTTTCTTTCTTTTACATCGAAAATAAAAGACATGTCTCATTTCATCTAGAGACTACCTACTTCAAGATAAGTTTTTGTAAGCTTCTGCTCTTGATTAAATAGTGTGGTTAGCCCCACATTTGAATTTAGATACAGGTCATGTGAATGATTTTCCCTGACTTTTTAATAAACATATATTGAAGAAAAAAAATATAGATATTCTGTTGGTGGAGCAATTTTTTAATTGAACTTCCTCCTGAAAGAAGATGGCAAGGGATATTAAATTTTGATTTGATTTTCATTTGCATTTCTTTCAGAGGTTCCCAGATTCTGACAGCAAGGCCGATGGCACTGAAACCTCTGCCAACCTCAACCAGAAGTTGTACTACCATGTGCTTGGTACCAACCAATCAGAAGATGTCATGTGTGCAGAGTGTCCGGACAACCCCAAATGGATCATGTAAGTGATGCAGAGTTACAGTGAAATTGAATACACCAGTTTACGGTTACATCAGTGCGCATGCGCACCGACACAGTGTCGGGGCTAGTACCACCTTGATTTCCTTGTCTTTCTATGCTCATTACTCAGCCAGTATACATTTTCTTCCAAAATTGTTCGGCACATGTCATTTATTTGTAATCTTGAACATTCAGTGTAAGTTTCGTTTGATTCTGTGAGAATTAATTTTCTTTTTTTTACCAGAACTCAAGTTTATCTTTAAGTGGTAACGTGTCACAACTGTCTCTCACAATATGCTGTGGGTAAATCGGGTAGTGTATAATATAACAATTTTCCCTTCTCTCTTTCTCCTCCATGCTCGCAGAGGAGCTGAAGTGAGTGATGATGGACGATACTTTCTTCTGACCATCTCTGAGGGATGCGATCCGGTCAACAGACTCTACTACTGTGACCGGGAAACTCTAAAAGAAGGAATAAATGGTAAATTATACCCATTCACTTCTTCAGTCTCGTTCACATGTGGTGAAATACACTTCCTACAAAACTGCCGTGGAAGTATTTTAAAGATAAAGTTGGAGTTCTGGTCATGCGATTGCATTGTGAAAGAAACATTGTGGAATCGATCAGAAAAGGTTGATCGTCTAGCATATAAGTATTGGTGTGTACTGCAAGGCTCTGGAATCATCAAAATGAAAAGAAATTTGGCCCAGTCTTGGTAAAGTTACAAGCGCTGTACACAGAAAGATGTATATGGGGCTACACAAACATGTGGCATACAAATCTGTCCCGATTTTTTAGGATGTTGCATGCCATGTTTAGAATATTAAGGCATTTGAAGAGCCATACTTTTCAGGAAACATTTTGTTATCTGATGTTCTTCCACACTTGCATAATACAATGATAACGCTCACAAATTATTATCACATCTTCCCAGAACTCAACCTTCTCTTTAAGTTTGATTGGGAAGGGGGAGGGGGGAGGGGGGTGGGGGTAGTTGCACATAGCAGAGGCCTCTATGTGTTCTCACTTACCCGAGTATTGAATGATACAAAAATGTGGCTTTATTTCGCCTCCCCCCCCCCCCCCCCCATTTTTTTGGAGGTAGTTTATTGCATGATTCGCATCATGAGTGAAAAGGCTATTTAAAAATACAGCTCTCATACCAAATATTACTACCATAGTACTGGGTCAAGGAGGAAGATGCTGTGAATGGGCATTACCAGTTCATCAGAGACATGGAAAGTCCAAATACTCGTACAATGAATTTATATGATCACAGGGCCATCAAGGCTTCTTTGATTAAGTAGGGTCAAAAGAAGGACAGAATTTGCTGTTGCTGTTTTTCTTTTCCGTTTGTGTGTGTGTGTTTTATATGATTTACTACAATGACACATGAACTTGGTGTAAATGCAATAATGTTCCCTTGTGTTTTGCAGGTGTTCTACCATGGGTCAAGCTGATAGATAACTTTGATGCTGAATATGAATACATCACCAATGAGGGAACCCTGTTCACATTCAAGACTAATCTGAACGCACCCAAGTACAAACTGATTAACATCGACTTCAGCAAGCCAGAAAAGGTAAGAAGTTCAATTGTTCAAATATGACACCTGGGCCCCATTGCATAAAACTTTTATACCATTGATGGTAACTTTGCCATCAAAGGTAACTACCATGGAAACCTTGATTTTGATTGGCTGTTGAGCCCTGTTACCATGGTAGTTGCCATTGATGGAAAAGTTACCATCAATGGTAAGTTTAATGCAACGGGGGCCCTGCAATAATCAAATCCATAATTTGAGAGTGGAGTTATACAACCCAATCGATTAATATTGATTTCAGCTTGTCAGAAATTTTAAAAAGTTGAACAGATTTATTTTAATTTGAAACCTGTGACAATTTAATTTATGACTATTTTCAGAACGGAGCTATAAAATCAAGGTTAGGAACATAGCATTGTACTGAGATTTGAAAGTAGTAACAATTTGTATTGATACAATTAATCCAATATATTTGAGCTTTGTTTCATGGCGTGAAAATGCAATTTTGCTTGAAACAGCCAGTCTTGCTTTTTTTGTGCAAAGAGGAAGTGCAGCAAATTAATGTTTGAATAAAAATCTGATGGGTAAAACGACATAAATGTATAAAACTTATGACAAGAAATCTTAAAGGTGGATGTAATTCATGTCCACTTTTCTGTGACAATTTTGATCATAACGTCGTCTTTGAAAATATTGAAATTACCAATTTCTCAAATAGAGCTTAATTCATTCGTTTAATTTGATTCACATTACGTCCTTCAGGAGAACTGGAAAGATCTGGTTTCAGAATCAGAGACTGATGTTCTGGAATGGGCTGCATGTGTCAACCAGACTAAACTGGTTCTGTGCTATCTACATGATGTAAAGGTAAGTCACCTTTCTCCAGTGTTGCAACGTAATAAATAGACTTTAAATACCGAGGAAGAGGCCAAAGCTGCCGGGATTTCCAGTTAATCTAAGCTGATCAACAACCGTAATTCTGGAGATTTTGTGATTTTGTAGGGGGCTGTCTTGAATGTTTTCTGTTGTTATGCCTACGGTACAAAGTAGCCAGAGGCATTATGTTTTCTGGTTGTCCGTCCATCCGTACGTCCCGTTCTCGTGATCGCGTTATATCAAGAACCGATTGATGGATTACCGCCAAACTTTAATCATGCATGTATCTTGCAGAGCCAATGAAGTGTTTAGATTTTGGGGTCTCAAGTTCAAAGGTCAAAGGGCTCATTATGTTTGCAAAATAGCTTGTGATCGCGTTATCTCAAGAACCGAATATTGGATTACAGCCAAAGGTCATGTATGTATCTTGCATAGCCAAGGAGCTGATTAGATTTTGAAGTCACAAGGTTGAAGGTCAAAGGTCATAGGGCTCATTATGTATGAAAAATAGCTTGTGATCACGTTATCTCAAGAACCGAATGATAGATTACTGCCAAACTCAGGTCATGTATGTATCTTGCATAGCCAATGAGCTGATTAGATTTTGGAGTCACAAGATTGAAGGTCAAAGGTCACAGGGCTCATTATGTATGCAAAATAGCTCATTATCACGTTATCTCTAGAACCGATTGATGGATTCCTCCCAAACTTGGGTCATGTATGTATCTTGTAGAGCCAATGAACTGATTGGATATTGGGGGTCATGAGGTCAAAGTTCAAAGGTCACAGGGCTCATTATGTATGCACAAATAGCTTGTGATCACATTATCATGAAAACCACAAGACAGATTACTATCAAACTCAAGACATGTATATGTATCTTGTAGAGCCAATGAACTGATTAGATTTAGGGTCATCAGGTCAAAGGTTATGGGGCTCATTAAGGATGCCTATAAATAGCTTGTGAATGCATTATTAAAGATGCGCTAGTGCCCTTTGGTAAGGCATTAATCCTCATTACCAGGTCCCGCGGAGAGGACCTAAAGCCGTCGGGCGTCTGGTTGCTTACTTACAAGTATTTATGCTTTTTTAGCAGTTGGGTAAAATATCCACCATCACCATCACCATCAACTCAATTTTGCTATAAAAATGTCTTGAATGCAATGCTACATTTATCTTTATTATGTAATCCTCCTATCAGAACATCCTCCAACTGAACGAGCTAGCATCTGGTCAGAATGTCACTACATTCCCTCTAGATGTCGGGACGATTACAGGCTACTCAGGAAAGAAGAAGGACACTGCAGTAAGTTTTCTAGAATGTTTTTTGTTTAGTTTTGTTTTTATGTTTGTTTGTTTGCTTCCATGATTATATACTTCAGTCATACCAACAAACTGATTCCACATTAAAGGGAGTGTAGCATAACGAGAACTTTGGTCTGTTTCGCGAACGCTAGCACATTGCCCATGTAGAGATTAAGTCGCTGACTACCGTTAATAAAGTCCATTCGTTTAAATGCAGTTGTCCAAAAGAAGACTTAGATGGCGTTAACCAGTATTTGCAAAGCTACACTCCCTTTAACAGATAAATGACAAAAGTGTAGCAAATCATGGTAATGTAATTGTTTATTTGGACTATTTTACGAAACCGTCGTAAGTATAAGTTCATCGACTTCCCATTGAAATGCATGTTAAATTTGGTATATGCATCTCAATGGTTTGTTAGGGAGTTTTGTACATATGACGATTTTGTGAAACGCTCCCCTCGTGGCAATGTCAGTGTGACTGGGATATGAGGCCTTCGATATTCCAGTGTAGATGCTAAACAAGGGAGTGGAGAATGTGCACATATTGTGTGCGGGTAAGCTTGAATCCGATGACCGGGTAATAATATATATCTGTAAAGCGCTTTGAGAGGGCCTGCGGTCCTGAAAAGCGCTATATAAGAACGAACTATTATTATTATTACATGACTGAAGATTTAGCTGCCTCTAATATGTAGTTTATGCACCTCCATTGTTAAGTTGGATCTTGGGTATGCTGGTACATTTGCTTCACAAAAAAGAATGATATTTTACATAAAGAGGGGAGGTGGTGCACATATTGTGTGGGGGTAATAATATCTGTAAAACACTTATGAAGCATTTGTATCAACTGCTATTATTATTTTTATGTCCTATTATTATTTTCTCTCTGACAGATCTTCTACCAGTTTACATCCTTCCTCACACCCAGCATCATTTACCATTGTGACCTCACTGCTGCGACCCTTGACCCTACCGTCTTCAGACAGATAGAGGTCAAAGGTTTTGATGCCAGTGCCTTTGAGACGACCCAGGTGTTCTACCCTAGCAAGGATGGTACCAAGATACCGATGTTCATTGTACACAAGAAGGTAATGTGTCTCTCTCTGTCTTTGTATATCTAGGAAATATCTAGGAGTTGGAAAGGGCATTGCAGGGATTTGCACAGTGAAAAGTTCAAAACTTGTGAAAGGATGAAATCATAATCATAATCATAATTGAAAACTTTTTAAACAGTTTGGTGGCAAAATTTTCTCTATTAGTGAAATTACAGTCATTTTTCATTTTAATTTGAATGTTGCAACTTGCAGTGTTTTATTTCACCCCATTTGTTGTGTACGATAGGAGGGCTTGAACTTTCACTCATAGAGAGAAAAATACAGAGTCTTTTAATCTGAAATTTTGCACACACTTTCATGAACTCAAATTGCTGCTGCAGATAACTTTTTGAGGGCTTGTGAATCCCTGATAGGGGCTTTAGTCCATTGAATATTAAGTCAGAAATTAGCCTGAGACCTTAAGAAAATGCTTGTTGTATCAATTCTAAATTCTGTATTCAGTAGTTATTTAAAAAGTTATCTTTTCAAAATCTGGAATGATGTAAATGCACACTACTTTCAAATGGGTGAATTTGGGTAAATTATCTTGTGTATTGATAATGCTATCCAAAACAGAGAACAGATATATTGGAAATGAATGTAATAATCAGGAACGTTTTCAAAATGAAATAGTAGACTTATCCCCCTTTTAGAGGTTTTAATTGAGCACAACTTATAATAAAGTGACTACAAATTTGGTTGCCTTCAAGTTTGAGAAAGTGTGATTATATTCCAGCAAAAATTTGATCATGATTTTGTCCACTTTATATTTGAGTCATATGAAAGAAAAAAAAACTCTCACTCTGTTATCATTTACATTTAATAAACTCCAACCTCCTTCCCCCTCCCCTCATCTCCTGCAGGGTCTAAAGAAGACCGGGGACCACCCTGTCCTACTGTATGGCTATGGTGGCTTCAATATATCTATCACTCCGAGCTTCAGTGTGTCCCGGATTGTCTTCATTCAAAACCTCGGGGGCGTCCTAGCTGTTCCAAATATACGAGGAGGAGGGTAAGTTCTTGTTTGTTCTACTAAAGAGCGCCAGTGATATAAATACTGTCAAACCTTTCTCTAATTCATGAAATGCAATTTTTATTCTGAGTAAATCTAATAAAAAGTGACAATTAAAGCCATGCAAATTGACTCTTGGGGGTGTTTTACAAAGACTAAGATCGACTTTAAGTTGGACTTAGCTATGGCAGGCCGTTCATGCCACTGTTTACTCTCCCCATTATGATCTTTAGACACTGTTTTTTCCACCAATAATCAATTATAAAAAAATGTCAAATTCTGTAGATTTGTGACCACGATTGGTACGTCCCTTAATAAATCAATGCCAGGAATGGTTAGAGGCACGATATATTCATGTTTATATTACACATACTAAGAATCTTCCTCTAAGATTGGTCAAAAGTAAATCACGTGATGAAAGATAGTTCGCCCATTATTTATGGGAGAAGCAAAAAGTTTGTTACACTGTGTAGATAGTACTACTATCTACACAGTGCAACGCACTTTCACTGAAGATCGAGGTACTATCTACACAGGGCAACACGCACTTTCACTGAAGATTATCAAAAAAAGGCACTAAAACAGACGTAATTAAGCGCGCATTACCAATGAGCGCAATTAAACCAAACACATGCGCGCACCGTACCCTCAAGGGGTTGGGTTAAACTTTTAACTCTTTTGGTGGGAATTTGGGCCTGGTGTCTTTCATGTAGATGCATACACATCCTTTTCTTTTTGTAGTTAAATTGTTTTAGATGTGAAATATAAAGCAAATAATCACCTTTTGGTTTCAGGCGATGGCAAACTATCACTTCCTCGTCGATCAGAATGTATACGCTATCTTTCCTCAGCTTTGCTTCGGAAAGATAGCTACATCCAGATCGCCTCGGAAGTGATAGTTTGTCCCATCACCTTCACCGACGGTAGTTATTTGCTTATTATTGGATGGTGAGGTGCCCTCATTCATTATTTTATATCTTATCTAGTGTGTTGACTACTAAATCAATTTTTTACCACAAATCTTCACCATTCACACAAATTTGCCAACATTTCATGCGTGCTAAAGATTGTTCAACAGTTTCTGTGTTATCAAGTCTTTCACTTGTTTTATCTTATGATAGAGAGTATGGAGAGACGTGGCATAAAGGAGGCATGCTGGCTAACAAACAGAATTGTTTTGATGACTTCCAGTGTGCTGCTAAATACCTCATCGAGAACAAGTACACCGCGCCTCAGAAGTAAGTATTGATACCGGTGGAACTGATGGAGCCGGGTGAAGATGAAGACGGTGGTTGTGATGGTGATGGTACTGGTAGGAATTGATATGATGGTATTAGTGATAGTGATGACTGGGATAGCAATGATGATGATGATGGTGCTAATGATAATGATGATGATGATGATGATGATGATGATGATGATAAATGATAAAGAGGATGATAGTGACTATGATGAGAGGATACTGATGACAATGAGGATGATGATGATGATAGTGGTGGTGGTGGTGGTGGTGCAGATGATGATGATAATGATGGTTAATATGATAATGATGATACTGATAATGACGGTGATGAAGATGATGATGATGATGATGATAATAACGACGATGATAATGATGATGGTGGTGGTGATGATGACTATGATAATGATGATGGTGGTAGTGGTGGTGATGAAGATGATGATGATAATGTTGATGTTGAAGATAATGCTATTGCTATAACTGCTGCTGAAAATAATGATGGTAATGATGGTTGGGCCCATTAAACAATGCCAGAAACATCAACTGAAAACAAAAATGAATCCAATTCCACTTTTCTTTTGATTAGTTTATGTATAATTATCAATAACGCATGTGATATTATTTTGTTAGGATCGCAATCAACGGCGGATCCAATGGAGGGCTCCTGGTAGGAGCATGTTGCAATCAGGCTCCTGAGCTCTTTGGTTGTGTCATCTGTCAAGTTGGGTAAGTCAAAACTCCTCATCTCATCATCCTCACCCATTCCTTCCTGTCCTCTTCCATATTCATCTCCTTTTTCTCCTAATGCATCACTGCTTTGTCCCTCACTTCATTCTTACCGACTTCAAGATCCAAGAACAAAGTTATGTTGTCCTTATATGATACAGAAAATTGTATTCATTTGGGGTGCTACATGCATGTGTAAACATGGTACATGGTACTGTGTGCTGAGAGCCAGAAGGGCGGTAACACTGTGTTAAAGTACCTATTTAGGTCAACATCTTTCTTTTACTCCTTCAGCCTTTTTTTATTCATTCATGTATCATTTCTTTTAACATCATTATCATCGTTATCCATATATTTGTACATATCTGTGTTCATGCTTATGTAAGTTTATCATCTTTTCTTATCTTGTTGTGTTTCAGGGTGATGGACATGCTGAAATTCCACAAGTTCACCATTGGTCATGCTTGGACTACTGACTTTGGCTGCTCAGATAAGAAGGAAGAGTTTGATTGGCTCATCAAGTAAGTTCATGGATAATTCATTTGTTTAGCTCAGCTCCTGATTTATTGAAAGCATTTTGTACAATTTGAAGAAAAAAAAGAAGAAAGATAGCAATCATAGGAACAACCCCTGTTTCATAAAACTTGTTATCAATAACAAGTTATAACTGATATAAGTTATGATTGGCTGAGAGCAAACTTTTCTTAGGAATTTAGAATTTGTTATCAATAACAAGTTTTCTGAAACAGGGCCCAGGTTTTGTTGTAAAGTGTGTCTCCTTATTAAAAGGTAGCCAAATCTGCTCCACACTTCAATGACATAAGTTTTTTTGAACAATTTTGTATTGAATTGCTCATGATCTAAACTTTTTAAAAACAAAATACTAATCAGGTATTTACACAAGTGTGTCCTTGAGTGGGATCATATTCAATGCTCCTCCAACAAAGAAGCATGATGCGCATGGGTTTGAGTTTATGACTATGAACAATGTCTTGAAGTCGCAACTATGCAATGATGTGATGAAAGCAAGGCCTACCTCCCCTCCCCCAAAAAGCTCTTATGTAACCCTCCCCCCCCCCCCCACTCCCTTACAATGTTAGAATCATTATTAATGATTATTTTCTTGCTCCCAGGTATTCCCCTCTCCACAACATGAAATGTCCTGACGGCGACGCCCAGTATCCCAGCGTCCTCTTACTGACTGGTGACCATGACGACCGCGTCTCTCCCCTCCATTCCCTCAAGTACATTGCTACACTACAAGAAATCGTCGGAGCGTCGGAGAAGCAGAAGAACCCCCTCATGATCCGCATCGATACCAAGTCTGGTCATGGGTTTGGCAAGCCTACAGAGAAAGTGGTAGGTTTCTGATTTATAGGTAGCTTTATGGTGAAATGCAGTGGCACTCAAAGATGCGATTTGGTTCCTTACACATTCACTAGTTTTTCAAAAGAAAAATACCTGTTTTGTTGATTGTTACTTGCAGTTGTGCTAGCTTCCTCAATCCTTTGTCTAAAGGTACTGTTACTAATGCATTAGACAATGGATGGGGGATAGTTAACCTTGGTTATTTGTCTAGCTAATTAATTACCACTTGATGATTATATATGGCTTTGTTTCATACAGGTTTTGTTTCCTCTTAGCTCCGTTGAATAGCCTTGATCTTTTGCACACTACTGAATTGCTCATGTCAACGAAAGAATACTAATTACTTATATAATCCATTTAACTAAAATAGTATATAATTAGGATACAAATTGTTTTTCTCTTTTTAATCCACAGATTGAAGAGTATTCGGACATATATGCTTTCATCGCAGCTGCTCTCAAAGCTCAATGGACTGATTAAAGCCCTTTCTTCACGTTTTTAATACTAGCACAAATACAGTTCATAATAGACCATTGGACCGCATACAATCTTGCAACAGTCTAGCCTCAAGATATGACAAAAGACTCTGTGCACATTGTGTTGTGAATCATTTGTTCTTTCATATGAAGAAAAAACCTAAATGCTTCATGATTTTGTATTTATATCAGTGCCTGCCACATGAAGTAAAAGTATACCTATACTCGGCTTTAAAAGATAAATAAAACTCTTAGTTTTTGTTTGGTATCGAATGTTTCAAACTATTTCTTTTCATGTCTTTTTTTAAGTAGCAAAACAGGGTTAAATAGAAGAGAAAATGCACTAATTCAATTAACAAATGGCAATGTACATATATTTTAAAACTGAGTCCTTCAGATATAATGTGAAATGTTGGTAATATATTGCTTGTCTTGAAGCATTCGCTTACTTTCTTAGAACTCCAAAGGAAGTGAGATAATAACTTGATCAAACTTTCAGACATATGTGCATGACCTACAAAGGTATGATACGTAAAGGACAATAAACATAGTTTCGTAGAAACATTTACATATCGAGGGGTCAGTGACACAAAGACGTAACTTGATTTTGGCCATTTTTAGAAAAAGTGATTTATGTGTCACTGCACACTTGGGCCTTAAGGAGTTAAGTCTATGTTTCACTAGCCATCGACTTCAACGGGGTGTTGGGTGGAGTTTAGTCTTTGTGTTTCCTGGAAAGCCCACATATTTCTGAACATTTTGATATCAAATACTCATTTTGAAAAAGTATGGAGTTACTTCTTTGTGTCACTGACCCCTCGATATGTATATGTTAACCACTATTGCCCTGATAGAATGGTGAAGAAAGTCTCACATACCTCGGTAGCAATGAATGTCTCGTCTGAGAGTGCAGCAAATTAATGCAAGGTTGTGCTTTTGAAAGAAATGTATATATTTCAGTCATTAGCAGAACTTATGAATATTTATCATTTACTTAAACTCCTGCACATGTGCACAAAATCTACTAATTTTGGGAAATATATACGCTTCACAAGAGTCCTGATTATGAAATTACTTGTGCTATGCTGTCCTAAAGATACTTAAAATTATTGAATAGAAGGAGATCTTGTTCATCTAATGTATTGAGAATACAAAACATGTACAACATCACATGTAAAAATGCTGTATAAACAGTTTTATATGTTTCCCTTCTGAATTGATATAATTAATTTAACACACCTAGTATGCCTGTTAATCTGTGTTATATGTTCATGTATGTTAAGGATCAATTTAATAAGTATTATTTCATTAGAAGACATGTCATAATAACCATATTAGAATGTACACCTTTCATAGAATATGTTCAACTACCACCATTACAAAAACTACGGCTGGAAACATATTGTCCCACTAATCGCAAATGTTACGGCCATTACTAACGCTTCATAATGGGAATATTAATTTCTAAGGGAGTTTGTAAGGTTTGTCACCAAAATTGTGATAAATGTATATGAGTCTGTACACTTTGATGGCGAAAATGCCATTAAATAGACATAATGGCTCAAACTCGCAAACGATGTACATCTAAATCATGGTTTAAAGCCTCCATAAGTGAAGTACGCATGTGTCCTGCTGTCCAATGTATTAGCTTTGGTCCAGTATGCTTTGTTTGGTTGACTGTTGAGTTAAACTATGGTTTTAGACCATGGTATGAATTAAAATCTTCTTTGTGCATTCAAGCCAATATGGCAATTTATCATTGTGAATAAATGACTGACACAATCTTTTTGTAAATATTTGTTTCTGTCCTGCTGTGCCAGTTTTTTGTTGCCTCTGCTTTACATAATAATCTGCTGACAATTAAGTGAGGTTTGCACCATTTTTAATCTGTAGGTATATGGAAATTAGTGGATGATAACTTTTTTTGAGCATATTACTGTAAAACAACTACCGGTAATGAAGATTAATAACTATGAAACAATAAAAGAATAAAAAAAGGAATGGAGGAAATCAATGTGAATTGTGGAAAGTCAAGAGGAACTCAGCATATACTCAACAATACTCATATTACATCTAGTACATAAGAAAAGATATTTACCCAGAATATAGCATACAAACAAATTTAATATTCAAAAGGTCTTATTTTTTGTTCCAAGAGTTAAGTCTTTTACGACCAAGAGCAACTTATTTTTCAATAGCACAATTTAATTTTAATTTACTAATAATGTGATAGATATTACGCAATATCGTATTACATCGGCAGCAAAAGAGACAATATTTTGGCATGAAGAATTACAAAATTAAATTTGTCAAAAGCGGGATCCATAATACCAAAGTACACATCTCTAATTGGTTATAATGAAACTGGTGTGCAGTTTTCCTTGTGCAGTACATTTTTCTGCACTTCTGACCAAAAGGAATTATCTATTCTAAAATCCCCCAAAAGATGTTAAGTGTCTCGTCATCATTTTCACACAGGGAACAAAGTTTTTAATCAATAAGTCCAATATAAAAAAAGAAACTTATTCAGAGGGAGATATCAATGAATAAATAGGCCAGTTTCGTAATGTAACCAAATTTAATGCATAAGTCTTTGTAAAGTGCCTCAATACAAATTATTTTATTCACCTGATAAGAATAATAGTATTTCAAAAGACAGAATCCAAACTGCATACATTAGTTGTTGCCAGGTTGGACAAACGTTATGGCTTGACCTACCTAGCAACACTTAATATATGCAGTTGCATTATGACTATTGAAATACTATTATTCTTATCAGGTGAATGAAATAATTTGTATTGAGGCACTTCACAAAGACGTATGCATTAAATTTGGTTACATTACGAAACTGGCCTATTGAAAATATTTGGATTTAGTCGACAAGGTTGCCTTGAAAGAAAGACGGTAAATAATAGTTCGATCCAGGTTCGCGGCCTCATTTATATGTGCATGGAGTCTTAAAAATTTGATTGGCAAAAAGTTGTTAATGAATCTACAAACTTTACTAGCTTTACACATATCACCAATTAATTCATCTTTCAACTGTTGTGATTCACTATATCGATTTATCAACAGTGTTTTTCCATTTTTAAAAAAAAACCTTTCTCTTTCCATAACGTTTCCACAAACGAGGCAATATTTAAAAAACCGTGAGCTAGAAAGAAGGAAGCGTTTGATGAGGAAAAAGGGTGAGAGATTGACTGAATTCTAGTCAAATTATCAAAATGCTCAACAGATCTACGGAAGATGATAACGAAGACTTGAATGGAGTGGGCGTGGCACTTGTTTATTGTTTTCCTTTCTAGCGATTACAATCAACTTTTCTTCCGAAACGGGAGATATCGATCCCCGTATGCGATGTCTTCCGGAGTCAAAGGTCGTGAACACGTCTGCAAATACTGGTGAAAAGCCTTGAATGAAAGCTTGTAAAAACGCTGAGAAAATTGCTCTTTCCATTTATCAGCTTTTTCATGGTGTTAAGGAACACAAGGCATAGGTGAAGTCTATTAATACTTGGAAATCGGTGAATAGTAGACATATTTCACGAATCATCCTTAGCCGTATTTCACACACTGGTGCGAAGTGTCACAGCTGTGCGCCCGTCTGTACCCGTGTTATATGTGTTATTGCCGTCAGCTGTGTGCCTGCCGTGTGTTGTTCGAAGCCGTCGGGAAAGCTGCCCCTGTGTTGTGCTGTGCTGTGCCTGTCTGTTTAGAGATTACCGAGGCCTTGCCCTTGCTGATTGAGCGACAGAACAGAAAACAAACCAAAAATGTCTGGTGCACCGAATGGATTGTCTCCAGATTATGGAGATGTTGATATATCCAACGATATATCATCTTACATTGGTAAGAATCGAACATGATTTTGCTAGATTAGATAAAAAAAGAGTTGAGACAAACGGGACAATGTCATGATGAAAAAGGAATTGATTTGAATTTGAATTGTGACAAAAGTTGATGCCAAGAAAGAAGGCCCTTTAGTCTAGCTAAAAAAATAATAATGTCACAGAATAATGTGTGTCATGAGCCATTTATAAATGAGATGTTGTCACTAAATGCCCGGTGGGGTCACTCAATGTGACTTCTGGACCGCATGACCGTTACCAAAATCGCGGAAAAAGGGGTCAATTTCAAGCAATGTCTGCGGACAAAATATTCCTCGAAATAAAGAAAATAGGGGTGCACATGTGTCCTCAAAATTGATAAATAGGGGTCAGGAAAATGGAAAGGAGAAAAACCGGGAAGGGAAAAGAGAAAACCGGGAAGAAAAATTCTCGGAGCCGAGTCTTGTCCTTGAAATATGGTAGAATACGGGTAAATTCACTTTCTGCAGGGGAGAAACCCCACCGGGACTAAATGTCAGGACTGTCTAGATCTAGATAAATAAAGGAGAAATGAACAAAAAATTACTTCGGAACAAAATACCTTTACATGCTCAAGACTGTCAACCAATTCAAAACTTGTCTTTCAGAGTCAGACACATTTATTCAACATTGCCCTTGATAATTAACCTACTCAGTTCACATTGATTTATATTTCATATTGTGATTTGTAGGTTTGTTTGTAATTTTTTGTTTTGTTTAATATGTAATTGTTTATCATTGCATTTTGTTTGTTATACTTATAGCGCTTGACACAGACTTTGGTGGTAAGCGCTTTATAAGCACCGTTTTTATTATTTTATTATTATTATTATCAAAGTTCCATGGAGACTAACTACATGTACATGTAGTAACAGTGACACTAACTACTGCTAATGAGTAGCGTTATCATTAACATTTTTAACAAGTTGCAATGATTGATATAACTTTTTGATCTGCATTTGTTTTGTCATCATTTATGATGCTCAAATCTGAATAAAATTGAAAAGTGATTAATTAAGTGAATTAATGGTGACTTACCCTCATATTATCTTAAAGTTATTCTTGGTTTAGTTCTTACCAGTCCTGCTCCCGTCTTACGAGCCAGACCCCCACTGAGTTATCACTGTACATGTCCACCAGCCACCGTGCATGTGCTAATGAATAATAGTTATACATTTAGCATGCTATCGAATACTTATTCATTCATTCTTAAATTTATTAGAAATACCCTTTAAATTAGACAGAAATAACCGTCTAGTAATGGCTACGGGGAATTCCTTAATAAAACTGACATTTGTCAACCTTCCCCAAACAAAGACGGCAGCCCTTGCAGCACACACAAACACACAGTACACATGAGGTGGATTAACTACATGTAGCAGGATCCCGGGGGGAAATTTGCCCTCAATGTTTCTTTATCAACACTACAGATCGATTAAGAAAAATATGATTGGAAAGAATGGAGATCTAATTTTCATATACATGTACATAATATACATAATTTTCATATACTGGTACATGTACGATAATATACATAATTTTCATGTACATGTACAGTACATGTACTATCAAAATAACATTGATAATCATTTTAAAACATCAAAATAAAGGGACTTCCTTTCTGCTAATATGTCGGTTTTCTTGAAAAAACTGTGTGCTATGAGATCGACAATCACCCACAAGCTTAACCTCCCATCTGTACATGTAGGGGCAATCAGTGGAGCCATACGTATATCTCAGCGGAAGAGCTATTGATATCGGAGACTGAAGCTTTCGGTCTACCTTTGAATAATACCTATATTCCCAGCGTTGTCCTCTTACTCTACTCTTCATGAGACTTATAGTATAGTATTAATGACTGCTTTGAGAGAAATAGTTGTTTTTAGACGCTCAAGGGAAGGTTAGAATTGTGCTATTACCCGAGGCGTGCCGAGGGCAATAGCCCAATTGTAACCTTCCCGAGAGCGTATAAAAACAACTATTTCTCGAATATTAAAGCAGTCATTAATACTTTTATATGCCAAAAAAAAAAAAAAATTAAAAATTAAAAAAAACTTTTGTCATAGATGGGATTCGAACTCTTGCGTACAACAGGTGATGTAAGTAAAGTCAGCGCCTGAAACCGCTCGGCCAGTGCGCTCTGTCAACATGTATAGTAGTTTTCTCTAATATATACATTAAAATGGATTGAAAACGGCTTCGCGCGTGGTGGATGCTTCGCCGCTGCTCCATTAAACGGGCCCTTCTTTTACTTTTTCAATGCATATTGGCACGAACTTAGATCAAGATCTATCGGCAGATGTTGTTTTTTTGTTTTTGGAAGTTTATTTTCGTCTTCATGTCAACAATGCAAGATAAAATTGTCGGTAAGATCGATCGAGATTCAATTGTATTGAAATTACCGACCAATTCTTCGCACACGTACGGTATCCTCGATCGCTCAGACCATTTTTTAACATGTAAACCTATGGGGTAACCATGGAGACTGACCTATTTTCCCAATAACCATGGTTATTGGGATTTTGAACTGTTTTTTAACCATGGTTACCGGGAATTTTCGGGAACAGTTAAAGTTTATGAATGCAATTTCGACCAATCAGATTGCTGGATTACTTAAGTGAGGTATATAATGTTCCATAAGACACAATTGAAAAAAAATTCTGGTATACTAATTTACTGTAAATTAACTGATAAAATGTGAAATGATTTTGAATGTCAGAAGAAAAATAAGACATGCAAAATGGACTCAAAGGAGTCTGAACCAAACAAAATTGTTTTGCATTGTAATCCATATTAATTTGAATTAAAGGGCAATCCAACCCTTGTAATAAGTTGATTTGTATGAAAGCAGAAAAATAACAAACAGAATGGCAAAAGTTTGAAATGAATCAGACCAATAGTAAGGAAGTTATGAATGTTTGAAATATGAGATCACTAACTAAGCCTATAGATGCGAATCTAAATTTGGTAATTCGGTCAGTGAATTGTGACGTACATGTAGGACTTGGATAACTCTCCCATTTGCCATGTACAAATGTACACAAATATCATTAATTTCTGTTTTTCTTGTAAGTTCTTTCTGCCTTGGGGCACTACTAAAATATATTATAGGTCCTCTAAAAAGAATAGACCATCCTGAGCAATAAATTTTGGAAAATTTAAATTTTAGTCATTTTATACATGTATGTTTGAACAGATGGGGGAGTAGTCTGGTACTACATCATGTACATCACATTGACATTACCACTTAAGCCAATTTTAAGTGTCCATAAGTGATTTCAACTTTCATAAATTCACATCTTTCTTTATTTAGTCAGATTATATTGAAACTTTCATCAGTTTGCTTCTCTGATTTTTCTTTTGTTGTTGTTGTCTATTTGGGTTGGATTTCCCTTTAAGTCAAAATACATGTAGATGAGATGATTGTTTAATATAATTATGATAATGGCCATACACGTATAACAAAAGCATTGAAACAATTAACACACAATCATATTGTACTTGTGGACATTTCTAAAACAGTGGTCATTTGGGAGCAGAAATATTACTCAATTACTCAAAAGAGACATCATTCAGCTTCCTACATTTAGAAAAAAAAATGTTTTCTTTTAACAAATGATTTTTATTTGTTTTGCTTAAAATCTAGACAAACTTGTACTAAATTATTATGGTACTACATGTAATATTGGAGGATTTCTGGCATTGTTTTAGGTGGGGTATTTATTCTTTGAAGCCTGAAGGTTAAGTGGCTTTGGAAATAATTCTGAAAGATCCATCAACGATGCAACACTACTATAATACTAATATTGGTATCATCGTTGTTATACAGTAGTTGTTGTTTATATTATTATTGTTAATTATTACCTATAATCTTTTTTGCCAAAGACAAATAAGGAGAAAAAAGACCAGTGATTCATACAAAACAGGGTTCAGAATAGTTTGAAGTGAGTCACATGGTTGCCGGGAATATAAAAAATTAACTAATTAACTATAGTATAAGGCCAAAGTTCTTCTTTTCCTATTCATGAGACATACTGCACCTACTTGTACATGTACATGTACATGTAAGTGAATAGCACAAACAAAAGAGATAGATCTATACCAGCTATCTCTTTGCACAAACTAGCAATTAAAACAAATAATGAACGGCAAGTATAAGAAATCAGAAAAAGAAAGTATTTCTCTGCAGTGTACCATATATCCCAAAAAGAAGAAGAGAGAATACAGTTTATCAACAAAGGCTTGACGATTAAAAACAATACCATACAATAAAATGTGTATTTTACATTTGATTTTCATTTGAATAATATTTTAACATCCTTAAAGGTGATACAAAGTTTTGGGAAAATTCGAAAATTGGCAGAATACTGTAAACGCGGAAATATTTGTGGTACATTAATTTTCGCAGATTTTGTGCTGAAGTCGGTGTCCGCGAATTTAAGAACCCGCAAAAATATAAACGTGACTTCTTATGCGTGTTCTGAACGGGCTGAATTACAAATGTACATTGTAGGTGCAACACAAATTTAAGAACCAGTGAATATATGTTTTGAGGTTGCTCAGCGCGAAAAATTAATCGCACGATAATAACAGCGTTTACTGAAGTGATTCTTTGCAATTTTGATATATTTGGATGTCCCTGTGGAGGTATTATAACCACTAGAAAATTTAGCTCCTAAAACACTTCTGTTTTCCAGAAAAAAATTGAATATCAAAATTTACTGGTGCTCCCAGTAAATGTTGATAAATTTCAAATAGCGCCTATGGCCATTCAATGGTAGCTGCGACCATGAAAATCTCAGAATATGTAGTTGTGATATATAATTTCCAAACGGGAATAGCCAATCGGCCGATTTTATTCAAGAAACATTGTTTTATCGCAAGATTAATATCTTGACCTTCAGAGGGAGCTACAGTATACAACATAAAGAGTTTACTATTTACAATTTCATCACTTTAGACTCGATTTCAACCGCGACAACGATCACTGAACATTGTCGGATCGCATATGCTTCCACTATGTTCATTTGAACCAAATTCATGACCCCATACCAAAACTTTGTATTAACTACGAAGTCTGAAACTTTGCACAGTATCCAGAATACAGAATATATTGTGCTTACTGTACACGTATAAATATACATGAAGGTCTACATACAGGTGTAGTTATATGCTATGCACAGAGACAGTTAGTAAGCCTAAATCCACTTAGATCATTTCTATTATGAGCTAGCTAGGATTAATGATGATTAATGATGACGTCATCCCTTTGAATAGAGTCCAGACAAGGTGAGCCCGATGACATTTTCATTTCTACCTGGCTGCTTAGTGAGGCACAACGCCAGGCCTCTGGCCATTTGAAATACTGCCACCTACAATATACTTCAGACAGGGGGTTTAGACCTACCGGTACTGTACAGTACATATGAGACTCTTGTTTATTTTTAGGATTCCAATAGTACTTGATCTTATAGTCTTTGCTCTATACATACATGTATAGGTGCACTGCTATTTGGCCTGGGTACATTGTATGCTTGTACAATAAAAATTGTGTTTGAAAAATACAATTTCAGGACAAATTGAAATTGATTAATTATTTTGTTCTCTTATTATGATCCCATGAAAGGCGATAACAATTTCAATTTCAAACAAATTGATATTTGATTAATTTTGTGCTGATGATATTTTTGCTATTTTGATCTTCTTAAAGGGAAAGATGGTTCTTGTTTTGAAACATTGTTTGTTTGTTTTCTTTCAATTTATGAAATGGATATTTGCTTCAGTACTTTTATGTGAACATGTAGCTTGAAAATAATGAGTCTTTTTTGTAGCATATACCGATATTGATACCAGTTATTGATCTGTTCTCCATACATTAGCAGCTGGAAGCCCATGTATACACTTTTTAAAAAAAGTATAATATTTCATGAGACGTCAGTAACAGTAATTGAAATAGCAACAAAAAGTCTGTTTTGAGATTTTTCTAATTTCATTGTGAATCATATCACAGTCTAGATTAAGGAACCCTGTTGATTGTTAAAACCTGTTGATTAATAATAATAATAATAATTTGTCCTTATATAGCGCTTTTCAGGACCGCAGGCCCTCTCAATGCGCTTTACAGATATATACATGTATTATTACCCTGGTCATCGGATTCATGCTTACCCGCACACTAGGTACATGTATGCACATTCTCCACTCCCTGGGGAGCATTCAAGCCAGTCGCAATTTTACAAGCGCCATTGCTAATCAAACCACATTAGCTTTCGCATCCTACCGGGTAACCATTTAACACCTGGGTGGAGAGTGGCAAATGTAGATCAATGTCTTGACAAAGGACATTAGTGCCGCGGTGGGACTTGAACCGCGGACCTTATGATCCAAAGTCCGCTTCATCGACATATCCACTCAACCACGACACCTCTACTCTCTATTAAAGGTAAAGACCAGTTTTGGAAACACCCCCCTCTCAAAAATTGAAATGGAAGTTCTTATTACCAATCATGTGAAAGAACATGTTTTGACTAATACATGATGATACAAAGTTTGCTGAGAAACCGTCTACTAATTGATATATTTCGTAAATTATGGACCGAATAGATATCGTGCACGTGTCGCGTAGTTCCATATACATCTTTCTGTGTACAGTGCTTGTAACTTTACCAAGACTGAGCCAAATTTCTTATCATTTTGATGATTCCAGAACCTTGCAGTACACATCAATACTTATATGCTAGATGATCAACCTTTTCTGATCAATTCCACAATGCTTCTTTCACAATCGCATGACCATAACTGGTCTTTATTTTAAAGCCAGTTTACATGTAGATGTACATTTATTGATAGAGCAAGGCAAAGTGTATAAATCTATACTTTGCCCTAGCTCTGTAAATATAGTGTACATGTACTAGGACTCCTTGTAAATATGCCACGTTTCACTGTGTTGACATAAACAGTCAGCCATTCAGAATCAACCAGACACAGATTAGAAACCAATTCTGTCTAGGTCTGCTGAATATCATTGCCAAGTAGCTCTCCTCATTGATACCCTATTGTCTCTTTAGTCTATTGCTGCAGTCCGTGAATTTAATTTGCCTTGAATTTTATATCGCCGTGGTTCTCGACCATCTATCTGGCGGCAGATCAAGGCATTTGTTCAAATATGTGCTTTTTGTTGAGACCAAGTCAAGCAGAGAGCAGGATGCTAGTCACATGACTCGTATCTGTCGTTCCTGTACCGTCTCCACAAGGCAACACGTCGTCCTCGACTGAAAGAAGCAGCAGCCTATCATTATTACCAACTTGTCCTTGTACTAGTATTTTGATAATAGACCCGAAAAGCATGACAGTATTTTCACAGCGTATCCATAGCTGGGACTGATTACAGTGTATGCAAGGGGGCGTGTGTGTATACATGTGTTCTGTATATGTACTGGTAGCTGTAATATCGACTGAATATTCGCATGATTGCTACCAGGTGTTGTTCTAGCCCGTCACATCTCATGACCAAGGCTGTATAGAATCTATTATCATTGCAACGTCATCGAACTAAATATTGACTGTATTGACGTACCAAGGTATCACCACCACCACCTCCGCCAGGATGCATTCCACAGCATTTGAATCCTTTAATGGCGTCGTGGCCAGGTTACCTGTTGCTTCTCTCCTGAAAAACTTTGTCCAGAATGGAACCTCCGTCCAAAGCAGGCTGTGATATCGGTGTCCAGACAACCACTCCTAGTTTGAATTCACTCTCCCCTATCTTGGACCACAGACTCTACAACTTTGACGACGGCGACTCCGAGTGGAGTTTCCTAGACATGGAGAAGACACAACCGTCAGATAATAACAAAAGGACTAGTGCAAGGCCAAAGTCGGCCAGGATGCCGCAGGATGGGTCAAGTCAGAGCGTTCCGTCGCCCGAGGAAGACGGATACTGCTCACAGGAAGAATTAGGTAATGAATTGCAGACGGACGATCAAAGTTACAAGTCGCCGCTTAAGGATGCCCCAAGCTATTCAACTTATCTAGCCTTAGTGCCAGACCTACATGTAGATGGTGCCGATTCTGAACCCGAGTCCCCCCATGATGAAGACACCATATCTACTGCCACAAGTGCCACTGATACTTCAACAACTCCTGCTATAACAGGTTTCTAAATTGTTTCAAGATCACATCATCGTTTTATATCAACTGTCCATTGATTAGGTTATCATTACATGATTTAGAATATCTTTTTAAAATACACTAGCTTTCTATCACAAAACAAAACCAAAGCGAAAAGATGTACATACATCGTAAATTACAAGCTATGCTTTCCTAGGTTACCTCTACTGACTACAATACAGCAAGCAATTATCTTCTTAGTCTCAATTGTATACTTTGACTGCATTGTTTGTACCATAGTGCATGTACATGTATGTATATTTCTCGTTTGTCAATATTTTAATTAGAATGACTATTGACTACGGTACCTAGTCTTTGGAAAACAAAAAGCTTTGTAAATTTTATTTGCTGATATTGTGGAAAATGAAATGAAATGAAATTAAATTAAAATCCTCTCCTTAACTGTAAAATGGAAACACTCCTCATTATCAACAATGAAATTAGATACAGGCTGTAGAATGCAAAATACAAATCAAATAGCAATCCAATACACATTTAAAACTCTTTATAACATTTCATCTCTAATTCATATACTTATGACAATAATTCTGGGATGCTAAAATTTTTTTCACAAATTCAAGCTAACATGAAATAATTCACCAGAATAACAATTAACAAATGTATTGAAGAAGATGAAAGGTTATTACAAGTACACGCACTTCAGTTCTCACTTTGTTATCAATCATCTGTTATATATTACATCTCCATGTATGTGTACATTGTAGATATGGTGGCACATGACCTAGAATTAAATCAATATTTGTATGAGCAGCAGCCAGTCTCACTCTGTATTTATGAACAAATTAAGTGTATGAACTGTCAACAGATATAGGACAAGGGGCAAAATGCACAGTAATACTGTTCATATATGCATACATGATTCATTTCTGTACATTGCACCGTATACGTGGCAATCACCGCTGTACGTGTAGTTACCTTTTAATTATAGGGCAATTAAGTATATTGTGCAAACTACACATTTAAAATATGTCAGACGTCATATATAGTCATATGATAACCATATTTATCTTCTTCTGAGTAGCCTAAAATCTATTCCACTGCATTTTCTGGTAGATTAAAATGTAACTTGTTTCTCAGTGTTTTGATCTATCATTATTACCAGTACTAGTTATATTTATATCCATGATAATTATTAGTAGTGGTAGTGGTAGTAGTGTTATACATGTAGTAGTACAGTAGTATTAGTCGTATCATTTTCATTATCATTATTGTCATTATCATCATCATCATCATCATTATTATAACTTCTTCTACTACTATTGATACTAATACTATTATAGCTACTATTAAATGTAGACTTTGAGTTTAACACTGTAGGCTGTCTCTGGTGCTTCTATGCATTAAAAAAGAAATCCCCAAACTCCATTTTAACAACACAGTTCAATAACCCCATATCAGTATCATCTTTATCTCTCTTAACCACAAACCATCTTTGCATGATTTAAAGCAATTAGTTCCATGTCAAGGTGTTCTGTATTAAGGTTATAGTTATTTGCCCTAATAGCTTGCTACCATCTACCTTTATCAGCTATCTTCCAACTTTAATGATAAGGATTAAATCACAGGATTTAATTGCATAGAAAAACAACTGCAAGCTGGCAAAAATGTCTCTAAATTGTAAATAGTGCAAGTGTAATTCAACTTTTACACATACTTGTACCGCAAACCCTTTAACCTGTTGAGTGCTACAGTGTTACTATATAAAGCCTGAGATGACTCTGGGTGGATTGTGTGGAAAATGTCATTTCCAGTATTCCAAAGTAAAAAACATATACCGGTACATATTATAAGAGTTATCTATTATGGGGCAGGGCTGCTCCATGCAGTGTTTACTGTGTTTATTTACATGTGCATAGGTCATTGGTTAATTACCATTCATTAAAGTTCAGTTATTAGTTTTAGACAAGTCCAGAGGGTCATGGAAAGAGATAGGAAATTGACTGGTCAACATCACGTTACGTACAAAGTAAATATTTTTTCCCTGGCTTCATTTTAATTACAAAATGAGGATGTTGACAGAAACCAATATTACATGTACATTGATTGAATTTTTTTTTTTTAATTGTCATTTGTCAGAAATTCCTTGTTTATATTTCCCTCTCACATGGAGGTCATTGTCTACGGTATTAAAAAATAAATAAATAAATAAAGAAAAAGATCTGTGGTGGGCGTCAGATATATCTCTATCCATGTCATCAATGGGAGATGACTCAAAACAAGAAAGGTTTGTGGATTGGTTTGGGAATTGATAACACTTGGATATGAAAGTAACCTTCAGCCTATCAGCATTCATCGTATAGCTACAGTTTACATGAACAGTGTATACGATAAGGAATTAAATTATTGGCTAGTCTGAATGCCATATGAAGAAACATATTAAAAAAACGTCATGTAGGAAAATTCCTGCTCGAATATCGTTTCAAAACGAACGCTCGATCAACAAAGAATGAGGGTCTCACTCAAGTCTGAAAGTTATATCGTACACAAATCGTATAACTGGGCGGGGCTAATCGTGAGCGCGTACTGATGATTGGCCAGCTTTCGTGTCAATATACATGTGTACATGTACCTCTTCATAATTGGCTTAATCTTTACAAGACGTTTCTTTAATATACAATGTTGTTTTACTACATGCTCCTTTTGTTACACAATGATTCTTTATACAACGTTTCTTTATACATGCAACGTTTCATACCGGTAACATTCCTTGAGTCTGAACTGGCTATAGTATTGTGCATTGTAATCCTAAAATGCACAGAAGGCCAGGAAGTGTGTAATATATACATTGTAGGCCTACATGTATTTGTGTACAATACATGTAAATACCAAAATAGATACTGCATATATACTAGCTAGTTTAGTTGAGAATATGATCTGCCCAGGTAGTGGTAATATTATTACATCTGTCTAATCAGAACTGTATTCCTCTCCAGCCAGCTGACACGTAGCATATGTACTTTGGACTCGATATTGGAGTGTGTATTTGATTTTGAATATCCATGATCATCTTTTATTGAATCAAGGAGAAAGTTGTTGTGGCTCTTTCTTGAGAGCCAGATGCCTGTGGTTGACATTGTTTAATGCATTTTTGACAAAAACTTTATATACTGCAAACTTGATTGTGATAGTAGCATTTTGGAACCATGTCAAATTATTATAGCAATGAAATGTGTAAGTATAACTTTCTGGACTACCGGTATAACTATAGAGTTAAAAATACAGGACTGCATGGGTTATATTTATGCACAAGCATAACAAGAATCATGGCTGAGAGACTCTCGCATTCCTAGGTGGATTTTACATAGGCCAGACTCATTCATTTCTTTGAATCTTTTTACATGTATTTGCCATATCACCTTTTTGGGGGTGATGTGATGGGTATGATGAAATGTCCAGCTATGAAATAAGTGGCACATATGCACTCTACATACATGTTTAGGTATTGCTGTACATGTGTACATTCTGTACATGCAGTGGATTTCTGGTTGTAATTCGATAGAGTGGTATGGGTGTCATACAAGCTACTGTATGCAAGAGCTTCCCTTGCTAAACAGGAAGAATAGAAAAGTGTACTTCCATGTAGTACTGCACTGAACATATACGTACATGTATGTATATATCCAAGGTCTATGTAAACACATTATATACCTACATGTAGACTTGGAATGCGGCCTGTGCCTTTCAGACTCTACATGCAACATTTAAATAGGAGAAAGGAAAATTCGAATTATAATATACTATATATTTGTATGTTAAATTCATACCTCAATATAAAGTCAAAGAGTGTACATTATACATGATCATGAGGACGATATTTTGATTAAGCACTTTCGTCTGTTCCAGAGTTTAATCATTGAATGGAGAGTAATTAATGAGAATTAATGGTAGTCCGTTAATTGATCACAATATATGCCACTATCAGGAAAAACATTTTTTATTATACATGTAAATGTAAATGTAGGATTCGTGCTGGTCTCTCTAATCTGATGTTAGTGTTCAAATAATGATGAGCGTTTGTGAGAAAAAATATAAGGAAAAATAAAAAGTAAAAAAATAGATTAGTAATCAGATAAAAGAGATCCAGTCAACAACTAAATTATTCATACCCTTTTAATACCAGCAAGATTTGAAAAATAGATTTTTCCCAGTATGATTTCATGAGAATGTGACATGTTAAAGGGATAGTTGAGTTCTGTTTTCAGACTGCAAATGCCTTCAAAGTGAATGGTTATTGCTCCTATCTTATCTATGACATTTCTAATGCCTTTTTAGAACCTAAAATTGCTATGAAGGTAATTTTAGACCCAAAAATGTGTGAAATTTAGCCAATAGGATCATACCAATTCAGCTCCACTTAACAAAAAACATGGTGACCGTTAATTAATTATTTAATCAAAAATAACAATACATGGTTGTGCGTAATATAAGCAACACGAAAATGCCCCCCCAAAAAAACAAAAAAAGAAGCCAACATCGGCATTGGCTGAAATACGATGTAAAAGCTGTTATTTCGTTTTTTCCACAGTTTTTTCAAATTTTTCAAAATATTTAATATTTGTGGTGGTACGAAATCGTTATATTTATGGATATTTCAGCCGCCTCTGAACCGATTTTGATCAACCAAAGATGATTTTGTCATTTAAATATTATGTTCTTTCAAATTTGACACTCAGTTTGTCATTATCTCACAAAAAATTATTATGTGTAGTGCCCTCTGCAACAGAACTCAACTATCCCTTTAAAGCTTACATCTAAAAATATGCAACATAGGCCCTAATTCAACCAGTCAACCTTTCATTCTTTAGTAACAATCAACAACAACAAAATTAGAGAGTATCAGTAGTGTGATGGAATACGGACTCAAAGGATTTATGTGACTTCTAGTTTAAACACGTTGCTGCAATTCAATGATGAAACAAAGGAGACATCCGTTTAACTCATGTTGGTTCCTTTATTGTGACACTGTCGTGGACCATCATTGGAAAGTGAAGAGAAATTCAACAACTGTGTGGGATAATTCCTGCAAAATACAACAAATGAAAACACTAATAAATACATGTTCTTGCAATACGTTTAACACTTAGAAATCCAATTTCCACATATACTCAAGTTCCATTCTTGTGTCAGTAAATCTAAACTTTATAATTATAAATATATGCCAACTTTCGATAAACCACAAATCTTTAAAGAAGCATAAGTGAATAACCATAGAAAAAGAATAATCAATAACACAAACAAGAAACTTTCTCAAGCCCTAAAACGAGACTAACAATCATAAGCTTATCACGTTATCTCTAAAATGATATTCATCCGCACATTAAATCGTGCGTGAAGAGGTTCTCGTAACTAAGATACCTTCACACGTACATACGCAAGTAAACATAGTTTGGTCTTAACTTATTCGAAGTCTACCCATGCTCATAACTAAGTTAAATTCACATATCATCTTCCTGACAACCATCAATTTTAAACTACTTTATCTTTTCACAAAGGAAAAAGGTCTTCAAAAGACCGTCTAAACTATCAATCAAACTTTCAACGAATCCATGTTCGCGATTCGTTTAAGGTCACTACACACATTCATATAGGTTATCGCTTCCATAGTGCAACTGTAATCTCTATAACTTGCAACTACTTTCAGTGGCATTTTACAGCACTCTATTATAAGAGATATAACTCAATGAATAAACATACCTTAAGGATTATCTAAATAGTTCCCATCTCAACATAGAAATGCAGGAACTGCAAGCAAACTGCTAAACTGTTAGCGACTGTCGTCGCTTTAAGTGAACTGCTATTACGTAGATAACAACTATCGTCTTCCCCTTCTTCTCCGAACTATTTCTTCTAGTCTCGTCACAAGTCTTAAAAATAACTTTCAGAACAAGAAAGGAGTCATTCCATGACAAGTAGTATGTACTTGTTCATGAACAAAGTAGAAATATGCTTTACTATATTTTCACTATTTTCTATTAGCACATTGTAGTATTTATTGTCTGATGGCATTTCATGAAATGACATTGTGCCATTTGCTTATCACTAAATAAGTAATTCGTCCCCTGACTGGCAGAAGGGCGTTAGCTCAAATTTCAGGTAAAAAATGAAGCGCTAAGGAGAAGGGCGTTAGCACTAAATTGCCTCAAACTTTTACAATGTATAAACCTGACTTATTTGCACACAAAACTTGCGGCTGTGTTCTACTATAACATTTATATTACGGTAGTCTTTAAGTTTTAAACCAATTTTCAGGACGGAAAGCAGTTTAAATATAAAACAAAATTTTAAATGCGATTAATTCAAAAAGTAGTTTTTAAGTCACACGCGCGCTAACGCTCTTCTGCAAGCCGGGGGACGAATTGTTATATACCGGTAACAGTAGTCTAATTCCTCAGTACATTAATATATCCTTCATATGCATATCTTTTCTATGCTTTTGAATAAAAGCAGTTTGTCATTCTGTCTCATTTATTTCCATGGGAGTTGCATACATATATCCAAAACTTACCATGGAATAATATTTCTCTTGCTGTTATATAGTTTCTGATGACCAAGCTGGAGGACTAGGGCGGGATGACTCCACCCCTCTGTTTGAGCAGTCACCAGCCAGCACCCCCAGTGAGCTGGCCAGTCCTACCAATGAGAACCTCAACATCGATGATGCAGAGAGGGAAAGGCTCAAAACAGAACTTGCAGAGGTAAAAATATATTACAAACTGTAGTAGTTCTTGTCATACCTTCTGAGATTTTCATATACTTTTCTTAAATGGGTGGATTTACTCTGCCTTTACTTGGCCACACACATTCTCAAGGTGGACTTCCCCTTCATTGCTACCAGGACTAAACTCGATAAGCTTCACTTTTTCTAGCCCCGTCTACATTATTTACTTTTTTAAAATGTTTTAATGTTTGATGTTTGTTAAGTAGATTTTCCTTGTTGTTTTTTGTTCACCGGTATGTACCGGTATCTGTTTATCATAAGCTTTATGTGTCAAATGTGTACAAAGTATTTTCTTACCTTAAATTTTTCTGGTTTTTAATGTGGAAAATAAATGAAATAAAATGAAATATGAAAAGACTTTCAAGAGTGATGAAAAACACATTTTTACTAAAATGTCTGTGTTTAATCTTAAAAGCAATTTTCAATATATTACAGACAGCTTTAGTCACTCTCTGAAATCAATACAGTGGAATCTGCTTTAGCAAGCACCTGTATAGAAAAGACCACCTGTCTATGAAGACCACATTTTACATTTTTTGTGTTTTCCTTCAGCAGCTAGTGCCTCTCATTGAAATGTGTATTAGAGGGACCTGTTCTTAAAGCCATTCTGTACTAGTTTACAGGAGGGATTAGACCACCCTGCAAAGTCACTTGACAGGTGGTTAACTCATCAAATCAGCTCTCACTTAACATAAGAAAAAGAGGATGGGGGACCAATGGTCACCGATTAGGCATTGTTTGCCATATAGAGGGTGCAAGTAGCTATAAGTAGTGCAGTAGGCCTTTAAAGACCACCTGCCCATAGAGACTACATTGTACTTTTCCTGTACCTCCCTTGAGTGTTCTTTACATCTAGATTCCTCTGTATTGTAATTGTCAATATAAACTGATGTTGCTTCTTTCAGGTCGAGTTGGATGTAGAAGCCCTGAGACAGACACTGAGAGCCAAGGAGATGAGAGCAAAGGAGATCAGAAGAAAACTGGGTATCACCCAAGTAGCAGTACTCAAGAGTGACGTCAGGGCAGGATGGACAAACTTCAAACAGTCTAGCGCGTACGTATCCCATCATGAACTCGTAAAAAACAAAGTTATTCAAATCATATACAGGAAAAATATTTATGGATAGAATGTGGGCAAGTGGTATTGGGACACTTGCTTCTGTGACGATTCCAAATTGTCACCCTCGACCCTTGACCCAACACTTTTCCAACCTGTAACCCTAACCCTACACCTAAAACCTGGAGCAATTGTCACAGGAGCAAATGAGGGATCGATGGGTCAATGTACATACTGACTACTTTGTTTAATAGTTACCCAACCTGGAACTACTTAATTTAAGACAGCTCTTCTTCTCTGAGGTCCTTTTCATCATTAATAAGTCCTCCCTCGTGATCACCATCCGCGGTTTAATATCCACAAGGTGTATTATTCGAGAACCAACAACATTGTACTATAATAATGCAAGATTATAGTTACTGTAGGAAGAACCTAGCTGACATGGCTCTTTATATACCCGAAAAATTAAAGCAATTTTGCAGGTTCTTGCTTTATTTCAAGCCCTGACAACTACATTTATTTCAGGCATCCTTTATTTGTAAAGAAAAAAAGAAGGGGAGGGGGGGGGGGGCTTCATAAGTCAGGATATAATTTTAGTGAAGACAAGTAAATATCCTGTATGTGTGAGAACTAATAACTCTTTGCCCTTTTTTTATGGCATTTGTGCTCAATTTAACAATAAACAAAGGTATAAAGTCTCAATTTAAATTTTGACGATTCATAGTTTGTTAAAAATTCAAAGAAAACCAGAGATCCTTTGCCATGTTCTGTTTCCCTGAAACTTTGAAATACAGGCAATCAGATTTAGGATGATTGTGGTGTCAAAGTCCTTTGTATCGTTATTTTGTTATTCTTGTGCTTGAGTCAGGTTTACTAGTTTATCATACCCTTACATGTTTTTTTTCTCTGGTTTAATTTTTGTAATATTTCTTTGTTAACTATCTGTTTTGTATTTTACATTATGTATTTCAAGTTTTCATTTGCTGTCAATGCACATCCAATTTTAGAATTGGAATATTTTGTCAAATTTTAGATTTTAAAAATTCTTACACTATAGTCATATAAACAATGTTTTGAATACATCATCTCTTGATCCTAGTATTTTGCGCAAAACTTCCATTTTTTGCACAAAGTACTTGATATATATAACAGCACATCTCTGTCCTTATTTTGCAGGTTTTTTTAAAGCTACAGTAAGTGGTTCATTAAATAGAATATTTAAACTTAAAGGGAAAATAAGATGCAAATCCTCCAAATTTTCAAAGATAACATGAATGCTTAGCCTTTTTTTTCCAATTGGCAAACATTTAGGCACAATACTTGTACATTGATCTAATTTTAAAAGCTGAAATTTGTAGAAAGATGTAAGAAAATGCTTTCATTGCCAATTTGAAGAGCAACACCTAAAACCTCCTTTAATACGATATTCCTCCTAGAAGAGCTACCGTGATGTACATGTACAGTGAACTTTTGAAATCAAGGGTGAAAAACAACGTTATATCACATCTACATTCATCATTTATGTTGTGCTCAAAATACAACCGAATCAAAAGATAAATGTATTCAAAATTCTTTAATGGACATTGTATATGACCTAAGCCAATATTTGTTTACCTTCCCCTTACTGTATGTCAATGTGCATTGATGGGCCTTTGTATAATTTTGCTCACCTTGACATTTTATCTAATATGTGACCCTTACCAACATTATTCTGCCTTTCCTATATATGTATTGATGTTATGTGTATTGATGGGTTACGTATTTGACCTTGTGCTAACCTTGACCTTTGCCCTCTAGCTATGTGAATACGTCCACCAAGATATCCGGGTGGAACGAATCCATCACATCGTCAGAGGCGTATGTACAGCAACCCTTTTTTATGCCACCTTCCCTTCCTTAATAATTCCTCTCCAGTTGCTCATTGGTTCTTCTTAATTCTGCCTCTTTTCCCCCGCATCCTTGCACCTGCATCTCAGAGACTCAGACCCCATTCATATGTGACGGGTTGAATCTAGATCAATCCAGATCAATCCAGATCCATCCAGATCCATCCAGAAGCAAAACAAGCATTATTAAAGCATGGTGGTGCCTTTTGGGGGCATGGTTTCACTAGTTTTCGCTCACTTTCAATATTTTTTTTTGCAGCTACATTTTGTAAAGTACAGTTGCACGCCAAATAAACCTTTAGGGACATTCTGAATTAAGGTTAACTTCATAAGGCTACTCTTAGGATATCTCCTTCAGTATAATGATATTAATAGTAATAATACTAATAATAATTATAATAACAATAATGATAATAATTAATAATGATAAAAATAATATTAATGAAAATAATATACAGGTATCTTGTTTACCCATGCAGGGTAGCTTTATTAGTATTCATACTGTTCTCCCTGAGGACCTTGCATTCATATTACATAATTATTATCAATGAAGCATACATGTACTTGGACCCCATAGCAAAACTAAAGGCACTATACTACAGAACTTGATGTGTATAATTCAAATACACTAATTGCATTGGTCTAGATTGGTCTGGATAACAATACATATGAATGTGATCTCTCCTGCATCATCCCTTTTGCATCATGTCTACAGCATCGTACTTTCTTAACCTATGATATATGTGTTGTACATTTGTTGGGTACAAGTTGGAATCTCATCACATGGTATCATCCAAAGTTTCATGTTTACATTGTGCACATTCATATAATGGTCCAAATTCACAACGGAGGTTTCATTCAACCCAATATCTCGCTGGTTTAAACCACCACTGTGGGCCAAAATAAAGCATATATAGGGAAGGTTAAAATTGTAGGTGTATCAACTATTGGACTTGAGGACGCCCACCACTTTGCTAGTGTTGGTAATAAACCATGGGTTCAAATAAACCTCTTTCATGCCACTATGTAACCTATCCCATTTGCAACCAATATCAAAAGTACATGAAGCTTCAGAAATCCAACTTATATATTTCAAATAAATAAACCAAATAACACGATAGTTTGTTATTTGATTGGCTACATGTACATGTACATGTCGGCTACATGTACATGTTGAAACGCAAATAACAACTTCCAATGCAGGCTTAATCTAACCAGCAACAATTTTGCTTGATTAAAAGTGTGTATGAAAGGTAAGAGTATTTTAGATCCATATAGGCTTCAATACAAGGTACATGTATGTAAGAATTTCTACAGCAAGAGGTAGAAAATCTAGTGAAGTTACATGGATGACTGCATGGATGGGCTTTCTCTACAGATTGGTGCACATACATTCATCATGGTCTGGATTATGGGTTAAATTGCATGTTGATGTTTCCCTTTGAGCCTTTCATGGCTGTTTAATGGGCCTTTACTATCACTCTGTTTGATCATGCGGCTACAGTATTTTCTGGTTGTTTGGATACAGCATGGGTCAAAGGACTTTTCTATCTTTCCCCCATTGGAGGGGGCGGGGTCATTGATTTCCAGATATTAAAGGGGAAGTCCACCCTGATATGATCTTGTTTTTAGTGAGTAAAAGCAGAAAAATGATAGAAAAATCGAATGCATGTTTGAGCAATATCTGATTAAATATATTGAAGGGTAGGAATTGTTTAAGTTGTCAGTGAAACACAAATAGGCAACATTGTGAAGTGTCTTGTGAGCTCTTCTCCAATTTGAGGTGTACAGAAAATTCAATGAACTTAAATTTTCTTAGTTATTGATGACGGAATAGACTTGTTTCATACAGAAAAAACAAATTTGTAATAATTATATTTAGGGTGAATGTATGATTCAAAATTTTATTAAAGGGAAACTATAAATTGTTTAAGTTTTTAGTACGGGGCAAGGGGGGGGGGGGGTAGCAAGAAATGTCACAGAGTTGCCAAATTGTGTTAGATTGATCATACCTTCAAATATTCAGAAACTTCCTTATTTTTAATCGCTTTTTCGCTCAAACTTTCACAGACCTGTTTCTCTCATTTTTCTGCTTCTATTAAAGCCAACTTGATATCAGGGTGGACTTCCCCTTTAAATATGGTGAATTTTCTCTCTCTCTCTCTCTCTCTCTCTCTCCATCCATCCCTCTTTTCTATTTTTCTCACTACATGTACTTGTTATTTGCAAGGAAAGGGGGGTCCAGGATTTTTAGTTGAAAAAGTATGAGTAATTATATTCTCTATGATCCTCTACAGGTGAATGAAATCATTGATTTTCAGTTTATAAAAAGACCTTTTTTAAAGAGAATACTTTGTTTAGTGCCAGTATTCTTTTACCGTACTGTAATATTTATAATCTGTAGGTTGTCAATTTGATGTAATCCCAACCAGCTGTATACAAGTGGAATGATGCAAGACAAAGTCATCAGATATGCTGCTGAACTGATAATTAATACGGAAATGCATACAAGAAATACAAGCATAACACACTAATTACTAATGACAAATGATAATAAATAATAAATGACTAAATTTTCTCATACAGGCTGGTGCAACAGCGGCAGAGACAACACGCAGTGCTGCTTAATTAATGTACTTCATGTGCTTATCATATCTTTAATGATTTACATACATGTACATTGCAGACAAATTTAAATACACATACTGCACATGGACAAATTCATCATTGTATGTTCTCAGTCCTTTTGCAGCTTGAATTTTTCCCCTCAATTCTGGACCACTCATAAAATGCACAAAAGCTGCTACAGTAGCACATGAATTTCTTTTGTTTACTTTTTACAGTGCTCTGTTTGGCTGCAGAAGGCAATCCCTTTATTCTTATAGAGAACCGAGTTTAAAAGATGTCTGCAGTATGGCACAGTGATGTTATTCTCTGATAATGATCACTTTGAAGTTTGTCAAATTTCAAATCGATCTGTAGTCTTCAGCCCACTCTAAATATACTTTTAAATGGCAAAATGGAGGAATTACTATCTTGTAACTTTCCCTTGTTTTTGTGATTTTGCTGCAATTCTCTAGGTTTGTTTGGACAAGTACCAAAGTTAAAACTTGGAATGAATCTGTAACACAGTCCGAAGTGTAAGTTGGTCACATCCAGCATCAAAATTGTTGAGTGATCGTAAAAAGATGCTGTGAACTAATTCAAACTTTTCAAAATATATCTTTAAGAATTAGAGATACATGAATGCATTCTCATCTGGTCTTCGTTTTGATTAACCCAAATTATTAAAGCATGCCTGCATGTACATGATTGAGTTTTATTTCTCATAAGTATCTTAATATATTCATGAAACAGGGAAAGGAAGGGAACTTGGTCCGTGATAATAGTGCAGGAGAGATATAAAGGATAGAACGAAACAATGAAAGCAAAATGTGTACATGACCATACATATTTATAGTCAGGGTTTAAAAACTGAAATGCAGTATCATTATTGACCGAAATGCGGTATTGTACAGTAATACTAGGCAAGGAATTTCAAAATTCATTCTGTGATTTATTTTACTCCACCATTAATTAAGTGTTTTCAATTTTCAATTTCAAGGTATTGCTTTAACCTTGAGAAAAGAAAAAAGATGATATGAAAAGCCCTGTCATGACTCATGACTGTTGACACCTCTGCTGGTTCTGCCCCCCCCCCCCTAAACCAACCGGGAAAAAAAGAAAAAAAGAGGAAGAAGAAGAAAGACAGTGCATGTTTTACTCTATGTCATTGAATGCTGCATTCATCTAGTTTCTGAGCAATGCGGTCAACTGCAATCATTTTTGTCAACAACATATCGCTAACAATTATCTAATGCATAATACCGGTAATTAATGGCGAAGGCAGCATCTTCCAAGCAGTATAAAATAACCTGAAGATCACTAGAAATTAATAACTTTCATAGCTTACAAATTAATTCATGTGTTCAATATTACAGGAATACAGCATTTATTAAAATGTTTAATATGTTTGAATAAAAGTGCTAATGAATTTACTCTTTCAACCATGCCATATGTCATTATTTTCACTATATTATAATCATCGCTTTGCAACAAACAATATTTTCAAAATCTTACCTTGTTTCAAATACATTGTATTTCCATGAATCATTTTCCAAACCATGTATCACTTTCGTTCATAAAATGATAATTGTCTTTGTTCATATCATAGATGCTTTCATCAATGACATTAATATGCCATTTAATACTTATGCTTCCTAATTCTAACTTTAGATAATAAAGATAACTTTATAGAGAGGATCAAACTAAACATTTGTAGCAAGTTGTTTTCAAGAAAAGTAGAAAATGGGAAATGTGGCTAAACATTTTTTTTTTTTTTTTTAATTTAAAAAAAACATGCTTTAGAGAGCTGTTTTACATAGTTTTGAAAATGTAAATTTCTATGGGAACATCTCTGATCTATTTCTGTTAACTTCAGTCTTCATTGAGAGCAATTCTGCTTTATCTAGGGGTTTAGCTTTCATTCATGTAAATGCACAAACAGTCTACATAACCTGCCTTTTAAACTCATTTTACAGATTTTTGTCAAGACTTTGAGTTATAAAAAGACATGCAAGCTGTTTTTATGCACAGTCAAACCAAGGAAAGCATCATGAATTATTCTTCATTAATCATTACCATTTTTCTTTTTCAAATAACATCTTCTTTCACTTTTTTGTTAAATCATTTTATTCATCAGCCCATATGCATGGACATCTACATCTCCTGATACACACTGATGCTGTACAATATGTTATTACATGTACCTTTTTATTATGATACATTGTAAATGTATCACAGAATAATTTCACTATTAAACAATGATGAAAGTAATGGAAGTCTAGTACTCTACGCATTAAATGGCTAATTAAAACTATGCTCATTTGCAAGAAAATAACAAAATGGAGATTTTATATCATTTTTTAATCATTTCTAAAATTGTATCCATAGAATTAAAGTAATGACCTAAAAGTGAAACCTGTTCTTAAGAAGATGAACAGTTATGAACATTGAGTAAAAGTATATTAAAACATATTGCTTTACATTGATTTCTTGACATAATTTGATTATAAGCATAATAGGCCTTTGGAATTCAGGAACAGAGCAATAGTCTTGTTCATCATAGAAACGCATAAACCCATTGCAACCAGGACCCCATTTCACAAAACTTTTCATCAGTGAAAAATGACAGTTTATGTTAATATAAGCTACTGAAATCCTTGCTTCTGATTGGTTAACAGCAGATTTGCCACTGATTTTTGTCATTTTTCATTGAAAAAAGGCTTTGTGAAACACCCCCTGATGTATTAAGCCTATTGGAACTGGAGGATCCAGTATTGAGAAATAACCACAAACTCCATTGATATCATCCAAATTAATTAAGGAATAAAAGTAATTTACAGACATGTTGTTTCTTCTACCTTTCCCAGGTATAACAAGACCAAGACGGGATTCCAGAGCGCGGGGCAGAAGACGGGGGCAGCCTTCAGCAGCTTCGGTTCGGCCGTCACCAAGAAGCTGGGTGAAGTCAGGGAATCAACAGCGTTCAAGTCGTTTGAGGATAAGGTGTCGACAACGGCAACGACACTAAAGGTTCGGATGAATTTTTCAAACCAAGAAGCTCAATTGATGTGTAGTTATCTAATTGTTTGATGGAATGTTGTATTATCCTTGAATTGGTTACTCCTGCCATTTTGCATAAAATATAGTATTCCCTCTACAACAAACATAACAGTGAAGACAGAGGGGTGTATTACAGGCCGGACTTTGTTGCATGAAAAGTACCCCTTTACCGAAGATTTTGGGAACATGAATGCGGTCCCTCCAACCTGGGAGTAGGGGGGGGGGGAGGGGCGATGAAAATCATATTGCATCTGGCTCTGCTAACATTTCATTTACCGGTAATACAAATTTGATGTCCAAATTTATTATTTTGATGTGGTCAGTGGTTAAAAATATAAAAATTGGTTATGAGGGCATTATCGAACAAATAATATTCACTTTAAGTAGTAGAGATTATTACTGCTGATCCTGTACCGGCACAATGCTTACTGTGTCCCTATACAGGTCATTTTATGTGCAGTTGCCTCTCTCAGCCCAGGTCTAGTATCCTTAGACACCTTGTACATGTAGGCCTTTAGGATTCACTCTTTCTCATGAGCAGTTCACACAGCTGATTTAAAAGTTTATGCTGAGCTGAAGCAAGGGTGATCATTTCTAGCTCTAAAATTTGGCAATAGGGCCTGGCATTGGTTTCATTCATGGTTTATGTAAAAGACCATAAAAATACTTTTGGCTTTTATTTTGGGTACTGGTAGATGTTTTCATTAGGAAAGTGTTGTTCCAGTTGGAGCGATATAGACCCTCTCCCAAAGACGTTTAAATATAATTACTAGACGGAAAGCAGCACGCGCGGAAACCATGCAGACGAATGGGATTAGGCTCCGCCTCTTTTGGATCATTTGAAGACAAAATAAGCACCCGTGGCGGCTTTCTGATTGGATAAGAGCCTCATGAATATGTATTTTATCGATAGTATCGTTTAAGAAACCGGATAATATATTTGACCTCATTGCGTCACTTTAATTATGCAGATTTATGCACGACGCTACTACACTCGCACAAACTGAGAAGAGTTAGTTCATTGAGAATGGGTGAGTAATTGATTGAAATATGAGTAGATTAAGTGAATTTAGTCATCAATTTTGAAAAAGCTGCAATAGTCTTCGTGATGTACGGTAATTTCGTTACATTTCGTGACAGTTTTCAACAGATTTTTGGGGAAAAGACTGGTTAAATATTGCTCTTGAAATTGCACTTTGATTTTCATCGTCATGAAGTAGTTTGACTGCGGTTTGCCGTCATTTCACCCTAGTACTCCAGTTAGGGCCCCGGGGTTCCGGCAGGCCTAGCCCGGGGAATTTCGGTGCTCATTTGCATCAAGATCAAACTTTCTAATCAAGTTTTATTTCAGATCTGATCGTCATCATGAATCTAATTCACCAATCACCGATTTAATTTAAATCTACATTTAAAGTTACACCTTAAAATAATCTACGAAGCATGATTTTTTATATAATCCAAGTCAAGTGGATTAATTCTTGATAAAATCTTTAGTAGATGTGGACTCTGATGGCTTTACTTATCAATATCGGTGCCATCCGTTCGCTCAGTTGCATCATCGGTACGCGGTGCGTGTCAACTTTATTTAGATCTAGACCAAAATTATCTGTGACCATTGATAATCAAACAACTCCAAATCCTATTCATTTAGATGTAAACCTGAAACTTATTTATAAAATATATTTAAAAAACATCAACACTAGATCTATAGGATTTGTTTATTTAATATTTAGATTTTGTGTGGGTCCAGCGTTCTTGTCAAGTTGTCATTAGACTACTACTACTAGAGTCTAGATCTAGACCTAGTCTTGACCTACTAGATCTAAATCTAGACCTAGACCCTAGCTATCAGTGGCGTACTCGGGATTTTTTCAAGGGGGGGGGGGTTAACATTTAACATCAGGCCAAAAACTTCGCAACGACCCAGCCAGCCGCTGAATAAGCGGAGGGGGGGGGGGGGGGGGGAGGTAAGAGGACTTTTTTTTTGGGGGGGAGTCATCTTTTTTAGGTCATCCATTCGGATTTTTTTTTTTTTAAATTTTATTTAAAAAAAAATCAACACTCAAAAAGGGGGGGGGGGGGGTTCCAGAAAAACATACACATAAAAAAAGCTCAAGGGGGGGGGGGGGGGGGAGGGGGGGTTAACCTGCGTATGCGCCTGACCCCTATTAATTCTTTTAATATAGACTATTAGAGATTTTTTCTTCTCCAAATTGTGCAGTTCATGTTGATAAATCTATTTGTTTGTGTAAGAGAAGACCCCTAGTCCACATTTATGTTTACTTATGTAGTCCACTTCTTCTTGTCTGTGGTCCATTAAATTGGAATGTTGATTTCCACACCATATTAAAATTAAGGCCAACCATGACATGAAAAATAGCTTTCATGCTAGATCTATTTTTATTTTGTTAAGGAGAAAGGGACGCCTTGATTGTCATATTGATTTTGTTTTCTTTTTGTTCCAACAGATTGAAACTGATGAAGAGCTTGAAGGAGTTAACTGATGAGTAGACATTACAACATTTCTTATATTTGCAAGATGAAGCTGAAAGTCCCATGCAGGTAAAATTTTCAGGATATTTAGCACACAAATATTAAACGACCACCTATTAATTCACTAAAAAGGAAATGGAACTAAGTTTATGTTGCAGGTGTATATAGTGGAGGGGATATTTTATTCTAGTTCTTCCCTTTCTTTGTTTACAAAGGGATTTGTCCTTATTTACAGGAGGTCCTGTGTGTAGAAGAACGATGTCTAATGCACGTTCAAAGCACTACATAATAATAATAATAATAATGATCATATATGTAGGGTATACACAGCTAGGACCCCTCATTACTTTTTTTGTAAGTGGTCCTTTCACTTCTTGAGCAATGAAGATGAAGAAGAACACAACATAAGATTAATGAAAGTCTGTTTATAGGATGTATCATGTATTATGGTTGATATGTATCTATTATTATCACTTTTTAATTGAAGTACCTACATTGTTTTCTCTTATGTAGGATGATGCTTCTCTACAGTGGAGGATGAAGGCATGCTGATTACAAACCCAGGAGAGGAACAAAGAACATATATTGGCAGAATCACTATATCTAGAGATGCGCGTGGGCCTACTACACTTCATACGAGCAAGTGTGCTAATATACAATGTAGGTACCCCCAATAAACTATTGTAGAACACATATCATGCAGAAAGTTATAGATCTGAACAAGATATTTTTCATTGTCCGTTACTTGTAAAAGAATACTGAATATAACAATTGTGATTTAGATTTAAAATAAAATATTTATATAGATGAAATATAAGTCTACATTACGTATGTTTCAATATCATTATTTCCAGTACACTCTCTGGTCCAAGTTGTTTGGTCATTTTATGTCCCATACTTAACCGAGTATTATTCAATTATGAGCACAAGTTCACAATACAAGTACATTGTACACATATTACTTATTTCATACCTTGTCTGATCCAAGCTCCAGCAGGCCTATCATCTTAATGGGATCATCAGAAATAATCTAAGATGTGGTCAGTAACTAGTCTTGTAGGAAAAATAGTTTTGGTTTGCCCACTATAACCCCAAGTGAATTTCAGTCCTTTGTCATGTTGTCAGAGCAGGTATCAGGGTGTATGTTATTAGTCATTGTTGTTTTTCTTATACACTGTATCTTATTTCATTTTTCCATTCAACAGACTTGGGTTATCGTTACAGCCCTTTCTTCTGAAAACTAGGCTACAACTTTATTGATGAATGCAAGAGACATCTACATGGGACTACGTCTTGAAGATGCCACCCTCATATAATGAAAGAGGACAGTAGAGATGGGTTTAAACTTGAATATTTACATGATATTTATTTATTATTTGTATTATATGTTTGTAGAATACCACATTCAATAAAGCTAATGAATTTATCATCATGTCAACTTTCAAATGATCAAAGATAACTAATCATCAATGAATAAACATTAACATTTTAACAATGTCAACTACCATCTTATGGGAGGACTGGGCCGAAAGATTCTCCTTGAAATTTGAGTGATAAAGATCTACCAGTCTATATCAAAGATTGAATTAATTAATTATATTTTAATTATAATTATACATGTTGAAATTCATTTACCTCTATGGACTTCTGTATTTTAGAGGATTTGTAGAGTATTACATTATTGCAGTATAATGCTGCTTCAAGTATTGTATGTAAGAAGGTTTGAAAGTCAACCCTCTAAATGCATTAAATATAGAAAGACATAGACAGACTGTGCCATTTCATCATTGCCTTTCGTATCCAAACTACTAATTTTAATAGAATCATGTTTTGATACTTTTTAACTTAAGAAAACAGGGGGGGGGGGGGGTTGCAATCCTCTTCCTGGTGCTGTTTCTACATGGACCATGTACATAATGTAACTGGTTGCAAAAGTGTAAACAATATTATATTTACCATATGTTTATATTAGAAGGATTTAGAAAGTAAAAACGTTTTGAATTATAGCATTTATGTTGCTAGAAGTAATAATATAAGTATAATTGCAGTGTTTATTGTTAAGGGAAAGGGATGGTGTCCCAGTGAAATTAACAGTATACCAATGTAAGATTATTAAAAAAAAAAAAATTATTCTTTAAAATAAAAATTATGCAGGACATGGGCTTCCTAACTAAAACCCTGGTACCACTTCTGGGTTGTTGTTGTTTTTTTCTTTGGGGCTGGGGGGGGGGGGGGGGTGGCAGGCAACCCGGCCAATTCAAAATTTTCAGTGTTAAATTCAATTGTCTTTAAAAAAAAGAAATCATTTATGTCAAGATGAAATTAAATAATGTTTCACTTTCCTTTTTTTCAAGTTGGAACATTTGAATAAAATGATTAACATACTTTCCGATCTCTCTGGTCTCTACGTTAAAAATGTTCAAAGCTCCTGCAAAGGCTTTAAAAAGGAAAAGTGAAGAGAATCCAAGTGAAATGTGGAGGGTAATGGAGTGAATATAGAATGGTTGATAGCGAGTGCATGCAAATGAGTGGTAATAACAAGTACGACTGAAAGTGAGACAGAAAGGAATTGCAACAGGTTGTTCAGTAAAGAGAACACAACTTGCAGACGATATTTTTCGAAAGATGGAGAAAGAGAGAGAAAGGGAATTTTTAAGGTCACGATGAGAGTGGATGGGGAAAATCCATCCACTGTGCCACATAATTTGTTTGTCTAAAATAAGGCAACTTAATACATCGGCATATTTAAAATGTATAATCATAGCCAGAGAATGTGTTGAAAATGGATGGTTATTATCATTTTTTAGTCAATAAAGAGATTTTCAGAAAAATCTAATGCTGGAATATTAATAAGTATAGGTCTAGGTGTAATGATGTAATTAGTTGGCGTAAATATTCATAAATGAATGATACATGCCATTAACTCAAACAACACAACAACGAGTGGAACTTTAGTCCACTTCCCAGATGCATCCTGGGTACACCAGCTGTTTTACTGGTGATCGATAATACACGTTCGAGCGCGTATTTCAGCTAACGGTGATCGCATCAGAATAATCCATGCTGATTCGCTGAATCGCTTGCGTTGCTAGCGCGCAGCGTGATGAATAAATTACCCATAATTCCGTACAGTAGATTATTTGACCTCTCTAATTACGCTGATACGCGTATTGTCTTTTACCATGTAGTGAACATCATTCCAGTACACTTTTCGCGGGGAGCATCCTACATAATGCATAATTCATAAGGCTCATGAATTATGCAAGGGGGCTTATTTTGGCTTCTAATGGATCCGGACAAAATGGCGGAGCTTGGGGGCCTGCCCTCTCCCCCCCCCCCCCCCCTCATTGAACGAACCAAATATTCTATTTTTTTTTTTTTTTTGGAACACTTTATACAATTTCATTTTTTTTTTAAACATTTAACAACAGACGAAGGTTGCAGGACAGAAGCCAGATGAGGAGTCGAGTTTTGAAGATGTCCTCCAGAGCACCGCAAACGAGAGGACCCCAGACCCGCAGCCAAACCCCCCACTCCCTGAAGAAAAGGTCCCAATGTAAACGCACCCGCACATACCACCAGCTGGCAAGCATGCAGGTGTGCATATAGAAGAGACACAATGAGCACTGGAACTGTTCATACTAGTACACTATACATATGATCAGAAATATCTTCACTATATCCATGGGTACCTTTACTCCTGAAATAAAAGGTACATGTGTAAATGCATCATCTCTTGATATGTTAATACATAATGGATTCATTAAAGGCTCGTTCAGATATGAAGCAGCAAAACCGTGCAGCTTTAAAAAAAAAATGATGTCTTAATGTTCAATACGTTTCATATTTCAATATCTTATAACACAGGGCTCAGTGAATACGCCCAAGTCCTTTGTTGTGCGCAGTTGCCATTCAATTACATGTTGTTGCCTTTTAATGGCGGCTTACCGAACCATACCTGAACAAGCCTTTATAGAGAAGGGGATTTCTGATTTAAAGCCATTGAATTACAAGTGGCAAGTCTGCCCATGGTAGAATGAGAGCTAACAAAATATTATTTAGTGAGAGAGACACTGTTAACATTGCTTCATGGAGATAATATATGGTTAATTAAAAGACAAACCCAAAGCAACAGAATTTGTTTGTTTGATCTGATGTATTTAAAAAGGTATTGCTTCCATACCACATCAACCCATACAAAGAACACATAACACATGTATGAGAAGTAAATCTCTTTACAAATCAAGTTTGTTGGTTTGTTGCCAATTTTGAATGGCTTTTGTAGCTAACATGTATGCGTGTAGTATGCAGGGTCATGGACATTACCAGAAATCATCTTTTCATAGTGAATTATAGAACGGTTTATTTCTTTAAAGTCATTTCGCAGTTTTACAATACATTCCTTTTCATCACTTTAAGCTTAACATCTACAGATAGTGAAGTGCTTTTGTGTTTTAGTTTAGTTGCTCATCCGTTATGTCATGTTTAATTGAACTCTTCTATATACCTTTCTTTATTAGCATCATTTTATTGAAACCTTGGTCTTAAAAGATGTGTACATACTTAAGGTGACCAAATATTGAAATCATGCAGAAAAATGCATATTGTATGAGGTGGTTGGTACATTAACATTTTGTTGACTTTATTGATGACTTCATCAAATTTTTTTATTTTTGCATCAACAAAATGAATGTTTGAATGTAATTCCACTACTGGTAAATGTAAAGCTTTGTGTACCGTGTCCAAAATATTTACACCGATTCTCAAAACTCACTTTCATGATTGTGGATAATGTTCAAGCACTAAACTGTTTTTGTTTCATGTATACATCTAAAGCTTTCAGTTTTCAATACACCCTTTACTTAAAGGCATTGTTTAACAATGTTTCCAGTTTTACAAATCTGAGATGCGTGGCCCTACGCGTCATCAGTGTCTGTGATATGGTGTAATATTGAAGCCCTGAAAAAATTGTGCATCAGAATTATCATGAAGCGCCTCAACAAATTTAAGATCTTTGAGTGACAGGTTTTTACCATACTCATTTTCCCCAATAGACTGTAGTGTTATAAATTCCTAATGGTTTTTTAATTTTCGATTTCCAATCATTCAATATCTTGATAATCAGACAGGCGATCGGCTTGTAAAAGTCATGGGTTTCCTGACTGACCTAAAAGTTTATAATTATCATTGCAGCATAAGCTAAATCCAGGATTTTGTTTCAGAATCCGAGACTTCTCCAGCACTTATCTTTTTGTTGAAGTTATGCGATACATTTATTGTACATGTATAAGTTAGCCGTTTGTTTCTCTCAACATTGTGCTTTATTATATTTATCTTTATTTTTTCAAACTCATTTTGATGTCTTAATGTTGTCAAACTTGATATTGTACTTGTACATAAGCACTTATATGAGACATTGAAAATGTCATAGTTGGGTTGATTTAATTGATTTATATATCTCTTGATTGAAAAGAGTGTCAATATTGTTGTATATGTATGAAGCTATTACTAGTATTTGGATTTGGTCATGAACATTATATGATTCATAGGGCATTGTTTCTGTAAAGATATTTATACAACTTAATTTTTGTCTTGCTCTAATCATCTTATATTGACTAAAATGTGGCTAACAACAGTTGTTTTGATTTATTTTTTTTTTAGAAAAAAGAATCAAATATTAAAAGTGACTTTTCTTTATTTTTTTAATTATATTTTTTAATTTTAATATTCAAATTCCTACAAGATGCATTTGGAAGTGACTGAAATTTCTTGACAATTTTCTCCCCAAATTTAGTGACTAAAAAACAAAAATAACTATATTATAGTACATTTTCTGAATATAAATTATGTTTAAATTTATATTTTGTCTGTTTTGGATTTTTTTTTTAAAATTCTTTTGAAATTTAAATATTGACATTTGTAACGGCATGAAGCTTTTACTTTCAAGACATTTACTTACTGGCAAAGAAGGAAAAGCTACATAACTTGAGGAAAGAAAAAGATTAGAAAAGTACTGAAAATGGAAAAAATTCCTGTTGTAAAATAGACTGAAGATGACTCCTAAACAATATTTACATTGTATTTTGTGTTCATTTTAAATCCGGTATGCGTACCAGGTTTCATATATTTCACAAATCTGTAATACTTTTCGGGGAAAATATCATTTGAAATAATTCATCTGCAATATGACTTAATAGTGTATTTGATTATTCTATATCCCTGATGAATTGTGATATGTCAATTTGATTTATTGATTTTATGTCATAACAAGAAGGAGTCGGACTCCTGGATCATATAGAATGTATCATTTATTTGGTGTTGAGGAGTTTCCATGTAGTTACGTCATATATTTTAATCATATTTGCAACTGCCATTGTTTGTTGGGAGCCTTTTGCATAAATGCATACAGAAATCCACAACATTCATATTATTCTAGTACTTGTAAATGCATGAAAATCAAAGCTCTACAAAGAAAAAGTCTAGTTCTGCAGTACAGTACCATATTAATAATACAATCTAGATTTGTAGCATGCAGGAAAAGCTGGAATTGAACAAGAATTTAACAGAATTGCACAGATGTAAATGTTTGATAATTGTGGTAACAAAAATAACTTTATTTTCTTTTACAGTGATTGAGTACTTCACATATGTCTGTTAGTCTGGGATTTATTGTTTACAGCTGATTAATCTAGCATTATTGAGGAGATAACTCAAATCATGTACGGTTAGAAGTACAGCTAAAGGGGCTACGGTGCATTAATATTTAAACATACTTCAAAGTAGTATTACAATGTATTTAGATGCCAAAATTGGAAAGGTTCTAGAACATCTTAGAAATAATCATAATTTTGAGAACAAATCTCTTCCACAAAAATACTAATTTTACAGGTCTTGTAGGGGCCTTTACTAATTTCAGCATTCAAGGAATATGTAAAGAAGTGATGATTTCACTCTAGAGAAAACAGTGAAAATATAGTTTGTTTATTCCTTTCTAGATATGAGAACTCTGTACAATTACATATATTTTAAGTTGAATCTGAAGCTATATTATAGTAAAATTTAAATTAAAATGGAAGTAGCAGTAGCAACTTTCTTCATCTCGGTAGATATTGCTACCTTGATCCATTCCATATTTAATATTTTGCATTTTATCTGATTTCTCACTTGCATAATGAAGATATTTATCAGTTCATAAATGCAGGTCATTATACATTTCTTCTTTTTCTAGAACTGGATGCGTACATGTATTAACAAGATTAATAAAGAACAAAAGAGATTGTATTCTCCATTTTCTTTTCTTTTTTAATTCTCGAAAGAAGTGGTGAAAAGGGTCGAAAGGAAAAAAAAAGAGAAGATGGTTGAGAGAGGTACAAGGAGAGAGAAAGAGGGGAGACAGAGTAAAGGCTCATTCACATATACAGCAAAACCACTGCGTTTTTTTTATTTTTTATGATGACTTTGAAGTAATACACTTCACATTTCAGCATCTCGTAACATAGATCTCGGTGAATACACACAAGTCTTGATGTGCGCAGTTGCCATTCACTTACATGTAAAGAAAATATATTGGAGGCTTTTTTGTGCCGGTTTTCCACGCCATATTTGAACAAGCCCTTCAATTAAACCCAAATATTACAGGAATATACAGCATCTACTGAAATTTTGATGCTTTCAGGTGAGCGGATATTCTTACAAATCTTTTCTGTTGGTAATCTTACCCTTGACTTTAACAGTACAGAAACTGAATTCCCTCACAACAAAATGGGAAAGTAAAAATTCTTGCCACAAATGCTTATTACATTCTAATATGAACTCAATAGTATTGCTAATCATCAAAGAGGGCAAATCCAATGTACTAAGTCATGTCTTATGCCATACATTACCAACTACTGAAGAGTTCAACAATAAATTGACAATGAATGTATTATTACATTTTACAAAATGGGTTCAAGAATGTAGCCAATGAGAAGTGTCAAAATGGATCACGTTTTATTGCATTAAAGGTAATACAGAGTTTTGGTATGGGGTCATGAATTTGGTTCAAATGAACATATTAGAAGCATATGCGATCCTACAATATCCAGTGATCGTTGTCGCGGTTTTAAATGAAATTTTAAATGATAAACTCTTTATGTTGTATAGCTCCCTCTCAAGGTCAAGATATTAATTAAGTCATAAAATAATGTTTCTTGACTAAAATCGACTGTTTGGCTATTCCCATTTGGAAATTACATATTAAAGCTACCTATTCTGAGATTTTCATGGTCGAGGCTACCATTGAATGGCCGTAAGCGCTATTTGAAATTTATCAACATTTACCGGGAGCACCGGTAAATTTTGAAATTCAATTTTTCTCGAAAGCAGAAGAGTTTTAGGGGCTAAATTTTCTAGTGCTTATGATACATCCACTGGGTCATCCAAGTATATCAAATTGTAAAGAATCATTATCCAGCCAATTTTCAAAATTTACCAAAACTTTGTATTACCTTTAATTTTTACCATATGCACAGGGAGTGCATTTTGGTGATAACAACTGTCAATATCTCAAGTCTTAGGAAACAAATAATACATGTTTTAAGTTCATGCATTAGTGATAAGCACTGCACCTGGCTAAGCCCAATGAGACGGACAATGAACTTGACTAGTCTCATTCATCATGCTACTGTGATCGGCCTGCGTGCCATGCATATTCATTAATGCACTTGCAAACATTTTTTATTTGTATATTATATCTAGTCTGATCCAGGCTCTAATTAAAGTAGGGATATAGAACTAAATTGTAAATCATGATTGAGATACACTACAACCTTGGTAAAATACAACACAAAATAGCTTGGACAAAGTTTAAGGCTATATCTACATTAAAAACATGATCATTCAACATTTTCTACAGATGGAGGTGATCTATGTTTACTTTTATGTTTATGTTTACTATGATGACGATGTTTGTGACGGCGTGATTTGCCATCCCTGCTACGTGATGTGCTGCGACTTCGGTCATCGTCTCTTCTACTGCTTTGATCCCTGCTCCGTGATCGTCGACGTCGATGGTGATCCCTCGTATGATCTCTGGAGGAGCTAGCCTCTCTTGATCCGGAGTGGGTTCTGTAGGATGAAAACCAAAGAAAGCTGATACAGTCAAATCTGCTTAAGTGACCTCCTGTCTACAAAGACCGCCTGTCCACAAGGACCACATTTCTTGTTTCCCTTAAAAATGGTTTCTCATTGAAACATGTACTAAAGGAACCTGTCTACAAAGACCACATGTCTACAAAGACCACTTTTTGTGTTTCCCTTGTATGGTCGCTATAGACAGGTTTGACTGGAATATGCATTCTGTTCATCCTGTATACAGGGTGGCCCAATAAAAATGGACTAGCATACTTCCAATATTAAACATGGGGTCAAATTCACTGAGTGATACCAGCTGAAAGTGAATTTTATCAAACAAAAAATGATGCCAAGATTGACAATTTTGGTGGAGGAGTTTTTGTGTAAGGGAGGCATTTCGTAACACACGGTAGTAGATCTAATTCATCCAGTATCAATGAATCTACATTTTAAGCAATTCATATAATTTCAGGTGTGTGTGTTCGACAAGTCATAAAAAAGACTGAAAAGAGAAAAAAAATTGTGGAAAGTTCTGTTGTCTTCAAATAGGACGTTTTTACAGCTCGCCCCAAATTTGGGACATTAAACCATTTGTGAAACTACACAATGATACAATACTTTCTGTAAGGAGCACTGCCAGTGGATGTGTTCACAATCGTTTCACAAAAATAGGTCTCGCATTAAAAAAATCAACTTATTTTGGTAAATGTGGTATCCTAATTCTAGACATAGATTCCTCATCTACTGTAACTGGTGAAATTTGTCCTGCATTACCGTATTACAAGTGAGTCTGTATGCTAGTCTGTTTTTATTAGGCCACCCTGTATAGGGTTTGTAACAATGTTAGCTATGAAAAGCCTGTTTTTATTTACCCCTCACCCCCCCCCCCCCTTTCCATCAAAGAAACAGACTGAGTGAAAAAATGGCTTTCTCATTTTTTTTTTATCTCAGATAGACAAAAGAAGAGACAGTGACAGTTGGAAACATACCTACATACATAACACATACAAAAACAAAGAAAATGTAAAAGCCACATACCTTTCATTTTTTCTGCTTTCCTCTTCTTCCTCTTTGACGGGCTTTGTGTCTCTTCTAAGAACTTCATATGAGATTCAATGATCTCTCTCATTACCTGGTGCAAAAAACAAGAGGTTTTGATTACTTCGATAATATCTACCGAGGCCATGGTTCCCAACATCATCATCACCATTATTTATCAAAGTCAGCATTTTACCTCTTGCGAGGGGTTACTGACTTTCGGGCCATGATGACACTCCCTCCCATCACTTCTTCTAGTCTTGAGCATCCTCCTCATTTAGACCAACCTTACGGCTTTCTTTCACCACCATACCTTTAGATGAAATCTTCGGTCTTCTTTTCCCTCTTATGCCATCCACTTCCAGATCCCATGCTCTTTTCACATGTTCATCATCTTCCCTTCTCAACACATGACCCATCCATTTCAATCCACTTCTCTTTACCAATTCCACCACAGTTTTCTTCCTGACCCACCTCTCCGTTCATGAGCTCACCCATGCACTTTCTATTGGACAGTTTCACACCACACATCTTCCGTATCATGGCTCTTTCTGTTCTCCTTCAGATACCTTCTTCTACTGTCTTCACATTCCTAATTTCTGAACCATGTACCATCACTGTTTTAACAAATAATGTCATGAAAACAAAATTCCATGACTTTTCCCTCATCTCTCCCTGACTTTTCCCTGACAGAGTTTAAAGTTATATCAGGATAATTATCAATATTATGTCGACCTATTTCCAACATGAAACATGATTACACTTTTCTTTCATGAGACAAAATATAAGATGCTTCCAGACAACTCTCTTTGGGAAGTCAATTATTCTTTAAAATCCCTGATTTTTAGGTAAACTCTAAGTTGGACTTAAACATTATGAAAAGCCATTTGTAGCCCTCAAATAAAATATATTCAAAAGCAAAAATACAAGCATTTTAGCCTTTTCATAAATTCCACATCAAGAACATGAAATCTCCTTGGTAATAGAAAATATGAATGATTTGAAATAACATTTTATGCATTTTAAAACAACTTTTACAAAATATTTTTTCAAAGATACTAACGGCTTTCCATAATTTTTAAGTCCAACTTAGAGATAAGTTCAACTTAGGATCTTTGTGAAACACCCCCTGGATAATGTAACTTACATCGGTCTTGGATCTTTTAGTGATGTGGACATTCTTGGCTCTGTAGCTCTGTCGACGTCGCCGGTAGTCTCTCATCTCGGCCAGGGCCTCGGCGTGAGTTTGGGTTGTCTCCTTCTTGTCGTCATTATCTATAGAAACGACAAATTCAATGTACAGTCAAACCTGCTTTAAACCCGGTTCTCACTCACTTCCTAGACGGATCCAGGCTAGATCGATCTAGCCTGGATCCGTCTAACTGCGAGTGAGAACAGACAACCTACAATCGCGCTATACCATAACAACAAGAGCAGTCTAACTCGTGAGTGAGAACATGAACAAAGCGAACCTCTAGAGCGATCCACTGGATCAGTGTAGCCTAGATCGATCTAGGAAGTGAGTGTAAACGGGGTCTTAGAGACCACCTGTATAGAAAGAACCCCTCTCTACAAAGACCACATTTTTTTGCTTCCCTTGAAAATGGTTTCTTATTGAAACAAGTACGAAAGGAACCTGTATATAAAGACCGCCTGCCTATAATTCTATCATTCTTTCTTCCGACCCTCACTAGTCCCATCTCTGCCTGTTTATCGGTCCAAATGTATACCATAAGTATATGTCTGTCTGTCTTTTGTCTTTCTGGCTTTCTTTCATGACAATTCACACATAATATTCCAAGCCTTCCCTCTCTCCCTGTGCCCTCCCTTTTTTTTGAACAATCGTCATAGATATATTTCAGGTGTTAAAGGCAATACAAAGTTTTGGTATGGGGTCATGAATTTGGTTCAAATGAACATATTGGAAGCATATGCGATCCTACAATATTCAGTGATCATTTTCGCGCTTGAAATCGAGTCTGGTGTGGAAGTGTGGAATTGTAAATAATAAACTCTTTATTTATTACCTTTAATATATTGACTTCAATTCAATTGCCAATGGGCTTGAATTCTTTTCCATCACTCATATTCTTATACTGGATTTGAAACCTACAGCATGGCAAGGGTAAGAGAAAAATAATAGCAATCAAGACATACCTTTCTTTTCAGGGTCAAAGGTGAGTTCAAGGTCAAGTTTGTCTGCCTGGCTTTGACCTTCACTCTTCTCTCTGACCTTCTCATAGATGGCTAGCCTCTGGTCAGGGCTGAACTCTGCGTCAAGACGGTCCATGGTCCGGGGAAACGTCTTGGTGGACGGGCCTACAAGAGGAATGAAAAGATACATGTATATCACACATCATAAAGTGCTTGCGTTGTGTGGAAGATACAGGGCACAGATTATTTTTTGTTTCCAGTCATGAGCCATTTCTATTGGTAATTTTCTTTTTTACTAGGCAGACTTGTTTTCTCATAAAGCAGTAAAAATGCATGGCTGGTGAGGATAAGAAAAACTATTCTAAAAAAAGGTACAGAAACGTGAGGGACACTATTTTATTCCACAGCATAGTATTCTCTTTGTTAAATTTACCTCATCATACGAGAACAAGGCTATAATGCTTTATTTTCACTAGACAGCAGCTGTTGAGATATATTTGTACTTCTTAATGATATGTATGATAGATTCAGGAGTAAATGTATGGATCTTTGTTTTATGACCATTTGGGTAGCTAATTCACTTGAAAATGCATGCGGGTATCCATATCACAATGGTTTACAATGGTCTACAATGTTTGTTTTTTACTTCAATGAGTTACTGGTATCTAATCTTTCTCTATGACATTAATTAAGGTTTATCATCAAATTTGATACGATGGAAGACTTTGTTGATGCAAATAGAAAACTAGAACCATAATATACAATTACATGCACATATAGTCAAGAATTTTTTTACAAACATATTTATATCCAACCTATTGCATAAACTTATTCAATATCTTCTATGAATATTTAAAAACTTCAATTTCTCGTGATTTACAAATACATTTTGTATATGCCAACAGAGTAACCTTCACCGTTCTAAAGTATTCTTGTTGGTATTTAAACCAATGGCACTACAAACATTCTAGAGAGAAGATGGATAGCCCCTCCCCCCCCCCCCCCCCCCCCCCAGCCACAACCACTCCCCCCCCCCCCCCCTTTACCAACTACACGGTACTGAGGTATCAAAATATGAAGAAGAAATTTCAGTTTTCTGTTCATTTTCACTGTTCTCTCTGATATGTAAGACTAAAAGCTGCTGTATGTCATAATAAACTATATCATTATTTAGATGACAGACACTGAGCATTCAAATTCACTTGAAAGGATATGAGTTTAAGGATATAAGCAGTTGCTAACAGTGTGAATATCAGCCGCAGATCCACAGCATTGTACTAGTGTGAGTAAATTGAAGCCATGTAAGTCAAGTTGAATAGAAGACTTGTATTATCCAGCTGTAATCAAAACAGTTATTTTGTTACATAGTCGTATCTACACACAGTATGCTTCGACCCATATATCAGTCTACATAAATAGCCTAATAAAGTCTGATAAATTATTAGTAATTTTACCCAGAGCAGGCCTAAAGATGTCGGTCTTCTGGGTAGCGTTTCTCGAAACCGTCATAACTACAAGTTCACCGACATCCCATTGAAACGCGTGTTAAACTTAATACAGGCGTGTCAATGGGATGTCGGTGAACTTGTACTTATGACGGTTTCGAGAAACGCTGCCCTGGTTGCTAACAAGCATATATGCTTTCTTAGCAGTCAGGTAAAGTAACCACCACTAAAGGCACGTTCAGATAGGACGTGGTAACCAGCAACAAAAAGCAGCCACGTTTCTGTTCTGTGTAAATTAATGGCAACTGCGCGCAACAAAGATTCTGCATGTATTCAAAGAGCTCTGTGTTATAAACTTTCTGTCATCATTTTTTTAAATGCCACGGTATTGCCACGTTATATCTGAGTGAGGCCTTACTATTCATTTCATTAAACTATGTTTGTTTTTTTATGTCGATATCATTCACTTACAAACCCATCTATATCGCAGTCATTAACAATGATATGATATAATTTCACTGAAATCAAGAAAGCTACACAATACCTGCATGCACCCCATAACAGGAGCACCTTTGCCTTCCCCCTTCCCCAGGCTAAGCCCATGTGCAACATAACATTTTCTTTTGACTAACAACTGTAAAATGTAATTTGATATAAACAAGGATGACAGTATCCCTTCTCCTATAATACATATATGTGATCATCATACTGGCAACTTCTATGTAAAAGAGGGTACAACGCCAAGTTGGTTTGTCAATGTAATTCTTACCTACAAATCTGGACGTGATTTCCCTCTGACAGTCTGCATCTAAAGAAAAATAGAAAGAGAGAGGAAATAAGAATAAGAATAACTGTGACAAAAACCAAAACTTGTGGAACGCGCAAGGTTCATTGATGTTGTAGTCCGAACAAATTATTGAGTCACTTCTCCTTCTTCTTCTCCCCTACCCCCCCCCTCCCCCTCTCCCCTCTCCTCCCTCCCCTCCCTCCCCTCCCCAACTGAATTAAACATACTATGATGGTTGATAATACTTACCAAGCTCAACTGCATGCACATCTTTTTTATTTTCATAGAAGAACCTGTTGGCCTCCAAAGATGCTGCTTCCTCCTACAAAGGAAAACAAGATAAATGTAAAATATGATTTAATACATATAACAAGCATACAAACCAACAAGCGACTGGCCAGGAAAGGTATATTGATGTACTACATAAAGCATAAATCTTCCATGAATGGGCGATTGGGTGCAATGTGTCTAGGATGACTATGACATGTTTCCATAAATGTGATCTACATGTATGTATTAAATATCTCTTTAGTCTTGATATGACTATGGCTATTGAATGGTTGTGATTCCAGACATAACCATCATTCAATTCTATTTATAAACATTTCAAATCCATTCAATTACAAGGTCATATCTAGCAATAAAATCCTTTGTAAAATTATATACAAATATACAAATATACAAACTATTGGAAGATGTAAATCAAGGTTGGGCTTGAAAAAAAAAAAAACTTTATCAAGGTACAAACCTTTAAAGAACAATTGAATAACATATTCATAAACACACAATATCAAAACAATCTACTACAGGACAGTCTTCTTAAATATATATTGAGATGACATTAATCAAGAATGTTACCTGTTCTTCCCTGGTGTATCCATCCCGGGCCCACTTGCATCTATCAATGTGACACTGAAGAGATGATTCTACCACTCTATGCTGGGGGTTGATTGGACATGTCACTAGAGCTTCCTTGCTCTTTGGAAAGTGAGAGAGTGGAAAGAATAAATTGATGATTGATTGGAAGTCAATAGTCATGATATTGATTGAGAACAAGAAAGGTATTATATCTATATTTAAATGACACAAGTTAAATGTCCTTCTGGGTCCGAACACAAAAATAAACATACAATGAATCACTATTAAAGTGGATCCAGAATGCAGTACAAAGGGCACATGTGCATTCGGGTGCTAAACGTTAAAGATGATCTCCTGGGAATTAGAGGGTGTAAATGCTGCAGATATTAGCTCATCTTCCTGATTCAGCAACTGATGTGAAAACTTCAACTGATTTATACATTTTATAGAATTGTACAGGTTGGAAAATTATTCTTGATTTAAAGATGCCTTTTTGCTCCCATGGAATACAGATTATAAGGTAAATAATTGCCTCTAAAAGGATTGCAATGGATCATAAGACAGTCATCATTCCCAGAGTTAGAATATTAAAGCAGGACTAAACTACTTGTAGCTACTTGCACCTCTATATATCTGACAATGCCTAAGCGGTACCCATTGATCCCCCATGGTCCCCTTTTTCTTATGTTAATTGAGAGCTGATTTAATGAGATAACCACCTGTCCATGACCATGCAGGGAGATCTACCCCCCCCCCCCCCCCCGGCCAAACTAGTGCAGATATGCTTTAAATATCTTCTTATGTTCTACATACCTGAAGATCTTCAAAGCTCCATCCAATTTCTTTCAAGATTCCATCAAGGTTCTTGCTCGCTGAATCAATGACATCAGAAAATTCCTGCAGGGTTGCTTGCCGCTGGTCTACAACACTTTCACTCAAAATTGCATTTGTCTCCATGGCAACATTGTCCCTTTAAAAATAAAAGAAGTAAAAATAATGAATCAAAATGTATAGTCACTTGCATGTTTTCTCTTAATCTTATAAGAAAGATAAAAGGACCCCAAAAATGTGGGAGAAAAAGAAGGGATAAAGGTAGAAATACATGTTTGAGTTTTGAGTTTGAGTTTATTGATTTCACATTTCACATGCAGAAATAATACAGATAACAAAATATACATAAAAGACATATTGTTTCATAATATAACAAAATGATTATATTAATTGACAAGGTAATCATCACATTTGTTTGACAACTAATATCATTTAAAGGAAACCCAGATAAAAGTAGAAACTGTGAAATGTGCAGGAACCTATAGAAAAGCAGAGCTTGTAAAGAATAGGTTCCTGGGCGACTTGAAAAATAACAGGGACAGAAAATGTTTACAGTAGAGAGAGGTACACAATTAAAATTAAGACGGTAGTAGTTTGACAAATAGTTGTTTGCGAGTTCAATACAATACAATACAGAAAAAAGAAAGAAAAAGAAATACATTAAACCGAAGAGTAGTAACGAGCCAATAAATAGCAGAGTATGCACCATACATGTTTGCACCACCTGAACGTTTACAAAAACCGAACAATAGAAATCATGAATTATTTATTCCTTTCCTGTTAAAATCCACTTAAATGTCACATAGGCAAAAGAAGGCCTAAAATTGCAAATGAATTGTAAAATGAATTGTAAAATGGTACACGTTATAAAAAAAGAACATTATACATGAAATGTCTAATCATCATTATTATTGTAGGCATTCAACAAATGTAACTTGAGTTTATATTTAAATTGATGAATAGAAGAAGAGTGAAGTAAATCAGGATGAAGATTGTTCCAAAAAGACGGACCAGTATATACAATTGTTTTTTGAGAAAATGAAGTGCGTAAACGGGGGATGTGAAAATCATTCCTTTTCCTGGTAGGGTATGAATGAATATCCAAGTTCTTAGTGAAAAGAGAAGCAATAGAATCAGGCAAATCATTTGTTGTAAGTTGATACATGAAAATACCCAAATTATAGAGAAATATATCAGACACATGTAAAAGGTTATTGTTGAAAAATAAGATGTTTGAATGTGACCGGAAACCAACATTGTGAATTATTCTCAGGGCTCTTTTTTGAATGACCAATAAACTATGCAGTTGAGTCTTGGAGCAGTTGCCCCATGCTAAAATACCGTAATTTAAATAAGGGAAAATTAAGGTGGAGTATAGATTCAACAGGACATCAAGAGGAAAAAAGTGTTTAAGTCTGTTGATGACGCCGGTATTTCGTGATAAAAGTTTACATAAATTTCCAACGTGCATTTTCCAATTAAGTTTACAGTCTATAACAAGACCAAGAAATTTTGTGTGTTCAACAAATAAAATGTTTATGTCATTAATGGAAATGTTACCAGGTAGTGATGTTATGGAGTTACTGAAAAGCATATAGTTCGTTTTAGTCACATTAAGAGATAATTTATTGGCATTAATCCACTCCAAAACAGATAGTAATTCATTGTTTACAACGTCAGCCATAATATTGGGATTTGGATGAGTAAAGAAAATATTGGAATCATCGGCAAAAAGTATGAATGACAAAATGGGGGAGGAAGTTTGGAAATCATTAATGTAAAGTAGAAACAAGAGCGGACCCAGGAGAGATCCTTGCGGGACACCACAAGTGATATGTCGTAGACATGAGTCATGATCATTTAAATTAACATATTGCATTCTGTCTGTGAGGTAATTCCTGAACCACTCCAAGGCCTTCCCTCTGATCCCATAATGGGATAGTTTATATAAGAGAATATCATGGTTAACTGTGTCGAAGGCCTTGGAGAAGTCCAGGAAAATGCCAATAGTATGGGACATATTATCAATAGCACATGCAATCTTATTAATGAACATGAGTAATGCATGAGTTGTGGAGTGTTTACGTCGGAAACCATATTGAGATGACGATAATATATTAAATTTAGATATGAATTTAAAGGTACGAGTATAAATAAGCTTTTCTAACATTTTTGAAAACGACGAAAGCAAGGAAATTGGGCGATAATTACCCAAGTCATCTTTACTACCAGATTTAAATATAGGAACCACCTTAGCAATTTTCATTTTTTGAGGTACAATACCATTTAGTAAAGATAAATTTAAAATATGAGCAAGAGGATGGGCAATCACACCGATTACCTTTTTTAAAAGAAAATTAGTTATGCCATCAGCACCTGCACTTTTTTTATTCTTAAAACTATTGACAATACTAATTAATTCAGAACAGTCTGTTGGAGTTAAAAAGAATGAACTTTGGTTGGAATTTGTGAGAAAAGAATGAAAGGGTTTACCAGATGTGGGTATTTTCTCAGCTAGCTTTGGCCCTATTTGAACAAAAAAAGAATTAAAAGATTCAGCTAAATCACGAGAGTCTTGAATCTTCACACCATCATCAATCACACTCTCAATGTGTATAGACTTAGTTTTACTTTTCAGGACATTATTAATAATCTTCCACGTATTTTTAGCATCATTTTTATATAAATTGAATTGTGAAGAATAATAATCTTTTTTAGCCTGTCTCAATAAAGATGTAAGAATATTACGATATCTATTGTATTTCAATTTAGAGCCCTCAGTTTCTTTTACTTTATATTTATAGAACAATTTGTTTTTACGGTTAATGCACTTCAAAAGAGATTTAGTGACCCAGGGCAGTCTGGGCACTTTTTTGTAATTAGAACGCAATGGAATACATATCGGAATATACAGGTTGTATAAATCATCGAAAATTTCAAGGAACCTATTATAACAATCGTTTACATTTTGACAATTATATAATTCAGACCAATCAGTAGAGATAAGACTTTGTCGAAATCGTTCGATGTTCACATGGGACAAATTACGAAAACCCGACACCTGCTTACTGGAATTACACTGTGAATGAAAATTGGGAATGAAAGCAAACACTGGGAAGTGATCACTCAAGTCGGAAAGTACTATACCAGATTCAATATAAGAAGATACATTTGTAAAAATATTATCGATCAAAGTGTGACTGCTATTTGATATTCTTGTTGGTTTGGTGATTTGGGGAAGAAAAGAATGGGATAAAAGCAAATTTAAGAAATCCAAATACTGAGAATTTGAGTCACACGATAACAAGTTGGCATTAAAGTCGCCCATTATAAAGCACATCTTGTTGGCAATATGAGGTGATGATAAAATAGTCTGAACAATTACAAGAAATTCAATGAAATTACTTTGAGGTGGCCTGTAGATTTCACCAATAACGATATGTTTTTTACCAGGAACTTCGATCTCTATAAATATGCTTTCAAATATATCAGACATGATGGTTAAGTCATTAAGTATTTTGGATGCATAATCATTTGAAATATACAAGCCAACTCCGCCGCCAGTTTTGTTTTTCCTGTTATTAGTGACAAGAGTGTAGCCATCAATAAAAAATAGTGAGGAGTTAGATTTAATCCAGGTTTCACAAATACCAATGAATGAACAATCATATTTAATTTTGTCCAGGAGTAGTTGAAACTGGTCAAAAATTTTACCGAGACTTCTGACATTGCATTGTAGAAAAGATAGTTTATTGACAGCCTTTGAAAAATGATCAATGAACTGAGATTCTGTAAAATAGCGTGAATGTTTGCTGCCTGACAATGACTCACATGAGTCCATGTTCAGTTGCAACTCAGCAGTGCATAAATTTAAATATTCAGCCGTGTCAGCTTCATGACGAACGTTATCTGTAGTTATGTAAGAGGAGGATGCCTGTGAATTATCAGGTGGTAAAAGTTGTTGATCATTACCAACATTAGATAATAGAGGTTCAGTCATTGATAAAACATGAAGTAACAGGTGAGTAACGGAGAATCCAGTAGATGAACTGGAATGACATGTATATAAATATGAATAGGAAAGAAGAACGTTCAGGTGGTGTAAATACACAAAAGGCGTGGTTTATAATATGACATTTGTTGTATAGTAGAATTAGAGATGGTTCGCAATAGAATGTGATAACCGATTTAGTACAGGTAGCATCAATCAGGAAGTTAACTGAATCAATTGTACATACGTATACATTCATTGGAAATAAGATCGAGACAAAACACAGATAAGAAATAAAAACTAGAAAATTCATTACTTAGCACTTGTACTAGAACACGTACAAGAAACTCATGGGCTCCTTTCAGCCACCGCACGTAGAAGAAATTTAGAAAATTCAGGCAAAAGCAAGAGAGAGAAGGGGGGGGGGGGAGAAAGTAGGGGGAAGTGGGGGGGGGGGGAGATACCCTTCTTACGGTATCGGGTTACATGTATGTTTACATGTTAATCAAAAGTTAATTCAGAATTTAAAATGCATTTAAGTTGAAACGGTGAAATACATTGTAGATGTACATGTATCACACAGTAAACAGAGCACATTCCAGAGAAGGTAGAGAATAATTATCGTGATTTGTGTTCAATGCTGAGGTGATTTACCTTACTCCTGCTGGTTATTCCACTTGGAGGTGTTTTTTTCCTTCCATTTGAGTTCAACTGAAGCTCCGACAACGATTATCTTAGTGGAGACTCCCTTTTGCTTCCGGAGGTCGTAAGCGATCTTGGCAAGCATTCCCCTCCTGGCTTTGAGGGCTGGGGGGAGGTCTGTGCGCACTGTGATTCTCACTGACGCCGTGGCGCGATCTTGGGGGATCCTTTGGCGCTGACCGTTTTCGAAAGCGGCGAGCAGGCGGTTACGATCCTCCATGTAAACGAACTTCGCGATGATTGCATTCGGGGCTTGTGGGCGGGTCGATGAGGCGGTAGCTCCGTTGTTGCGTCTTGGTAGGCGGTGTGCGTTTGCGATCGCGATGTCATTAGCTTCCCTTTCATTGATGCCGAGGTGTATGAAGACCTTTTGCAAGACGTCGCGTACTTTTTCGTCGGGGGTTTCATTAACGCCGTAAAAAAGAAGATTGGCGCGCCGATTGTAGATTTCCATTATGACAATCTTCTCTTCGAGGTCGGCGATTTTTCCCGCCATTTTCTTTTCAATCGCGGGTAGCTTTACATGCTGAAGGTTGGCAACCAAATCGGAATTCATGCTAACAGAATCCTCGAGTTCGGTTTGCCTGCGCTTGATGGAGGCCACCTCTGCTGTGAGTAGGTCCAGTTTCCCGCATACTGCAGCTGAGCTAGCGGTTATCGAACGCTGGATGTCGGCGAGCGTCAATTCGGGTTCCGCTTGCGGGCGAAGTAGCGGCTCACTTGGGCCTGGCTTGCTGGCACCTCTCGTAGTATTTGCACCTTGCGGGTCTGGAGATTGGGCGGGTCCGTTTGTGCTTACAGATGAACGTAAAGCCCTGGAATTAGCCATTTCCTTCAAAATTCGCGATACTTTACCCTGCTTCTAGTGTGGAATGAGATTCTAAGATATGAATATCCTCTATAGTCCAGTAAAATCCTTGAAGCAGAAATGCTTAAGCTCGAGTAAGGGTTCGTTGGGTGAATAAAAGGGCGGTGGCTGGAGAGAGTAAAAATTACACGTCCGTTCCCATTGAAGAAAGAGGAGAATGAGGTGAACTTCTTCTTGGCTTAGTACAAGTAGTGTAGTACAGTCCAACATCAGGTGTATTCTTGTACCGACTCATTCTCGTTCTGTAGTAATACACACAAGTGCTCAGAGTCTGACCAAGAAACCAGACGAGGATATGAAGCGGCGTTTCGTAGGATTGGCAATATATTTCCAATTTAAGTTTTTTAAGTAGACACAAAAAAGAATACACACACAAAACCTGTGCATGTGCAATGCAATCTTTGATTAGGTCAGGCTTGCTGATGTCTGCTGTGTTAGCGTGATGTCGATTTGTTGTTTACTGTCATTTGCATATTTTCCAACAACAGTAAACCTACCTTCTTGATTATTTTGAATTGATACCAAACTCGTTGTATTTCAATTCTGACTTTGATTTTTAAAGAATATTTTTCGCCATCGGTTTTATTGATATTTTAAGGAACTTCGGCAAGATCGCTTGGTGTTTCTGGGAATCGGGAAGTCATATTTTGTTATGATTTCGTCATAGACTAAACCTTGTTTTCGATATCAACCCTGGGCAGCGTTTCTCGAAACCGTCATAACTACAAGTTCACCGACATCCCATTGAAACGCGTGTTAAACTTAATACACGCAAGTCAATAGGATGTCGTTGGTCTTGTAGTTACGACGGTTTCGAGAAACGGCCCTGGTGACAGGTCAACCAACACCAAATAAGCATATGGGACGACATAAGTACATACGCGGTATGAAAACTCTGCGGCGATTACATACAAAGTAGGGACTTGATACACTCTTGTCATCATACACATTCAACCATAGTTTTACAATTTTTCATTCTCAATCATACAAATCAAAGAACAAAATTCGTATCATTTACCATTCATTTGCCGAAAAAGGTAAATCCTGCACCTGCTTGCTGCTCCTGCCGAAAATAAATTAGGTATCGCCGAAACGTCCAATAAAAAAGGAAATTATTTCTAAACTAAAAAGTTGGTAATAAATTATATTTATTTGCTGAAGGCAGTGGCGGATCCAGGGAAGGCGCCGAAACGGCCGCGACCCCCCCCCCCCCCCCCTATTGGCGGCACAAAGAAAAGAGGAAGAAAAGAAGAGAAAAAAGAAAGGAGAAGAGAAAAAAGGAGAAGAGAAAAGAAAGAAGAGAAAATAAACAGAGAGAGAGAAAAGAAAAAGAAGAAAGCTCCCCCCCCCCGCCTGATTTCAAACAAGAATAAAATTCGAAAATGGTACAACAATCGTCTTCTTTCTCTAATAATTTATTAAAACGTCAAAGCTTCCGGGCTTCGCGCGGGAGGGGAAAAACTGATTTCAAACAAGGATTAAGAGTCGAGAATGATACAACGAACCGTCTTCCTTATCTAATGATTTAATGAAACGTCAGAGCTTCCACGCTTCACGCGGGAGGGGGAAAAGTGAATTCAGACAAGGATTAAGAGTCGAGAATGGTACAACAAATCGTCATCCATCTTTGATAATTAATGAAAGGTCAAAGCTTCCGCGTTTCGCGCGGGCGGGGAAAAACTGAATTCAGACAAGGATTAAGAGTCCAGAACGGTACAACGAATCGTCTTCTTTCTCTAATAATTTAATGAAACGTTGAACTTCTGCGCTTTGCGCGGGAGGAAAGAAAATGAATTTAGACAAGGATTAAGTGTCGAGAATGGAACAACGAATCATCTTCTTTCTCAATAATTTCATTAAACTATGAAAGGTCAAAGCTTCCACGCTTCGCGCGGCAGGGGGGGGGGACTGAATTCAGACAAGGAATAAAAGTCGAGAATGGTACAACGAATCGTCTTCTTTCTCTAATAATTAATGAACGGTCAAACTTTCCGCGCTTCGCGCGGGAAGGGGGGGGGAACTGATTTCAGACAAGGATTAAGAGTCGAGAACGGTACAATGATCCTCTTCTTTCTCTAATAATTTCATGAAACATCAAAGCTTCGCACGTAATGGGGGGGGGGGGGTTGGTTATAAATAACACTTTCACGAAATACATATTATGCACAAATTTTAGCTCACTCGCTTCGCTCAATAGCCGAATTGTGAAACCAGAAAATTACTTTTTCGGGCAAGAGGCTTCAGCACCCCCCCCCCCCCCCCCCCCCCGACCCCCGAACCCCCGATGAAATATCAAAAAATCGTATCACCTAAAAACGGAGAATGTTGGTATCGGACAAGAGACGTGACGTGAGCCTTCCCCCTTTCCAAAAGTGTGCCTGCTTGTGCTTCTAATATGACCTTGTCATTATTGGTATGTTGAGTTGAAAAAATTGTCTGCGCAATGTTCAAATTTCCGCCCCCACCCCCCCCCCCCCCCCCCCCCCCCCTATTTGAAAATCCCGGATCCGCGCCTGGAAGTTACAAATATATTCCAAATGAATACATTTCTAAAAGATTTAGGGAATACATTGTAAGTCAATGGTAATGCATAGTTAACACCTTCATAGATAATGTCGCCAAAATCGTATAATGCCTGGCCAACTTGTTGTATGCTTCTATATTCACACGGGTTGTAAAGGTTCACTCGAAATTTCATATTTTTCTTGCCGATTTAATTTGTCAAATATGGGCGATATTCACCTGTCTCCTGATACAGGTCGGTACTCGGAGCCAAAAGTATGGATATAACTGTTTTAACTTAAATGAGCGATGTACCCCCCCCCCCCCATCAATTCCGCTACATATCACAGTTGCATTTGTTTGCACTTTTTATCAAAAATCTTAACCTCTTCTCTTTAACATCAGCGTTAAAACATCATTCAGAAGAAAAAAATAAGTGACTCTCTAATATCAGGGACGACCTCTTTTTTCCGAGAAGAGACGTCCCTTGACTTACTGATCCCTTAATTTCTTAGTAAAGATCCGAATTATGTATTGCGGCACACCAGTTGTAAAACGCAGCTTTAACCTAAAGCTTTCATTTTCCATATATTTTTGTGTTTGTTTTTAATTTCAGAACCTACTTCAGAAAACCGAAATGTTGAAAGAAACTCATTATTATTTAGTATGCCTATCAATGATTTTTACATTTTTATCAAAATTCCTATAGGTCTATTATTTTTATTTCAAATGGTTTCCAATCCTCAATTAAATGACATATTTAAGGCCTGTTGTAAGGAGCAGTATTACCTAAACAACATTCAAAATTGTTTCATCCTTCACCACCAATCAACAAAAAACACTTCATCGCAGATAAGCTGAAAAACTTGGTTCTCATGCTTTATGCATTAAATACATGTCATATTTAGGCTATTCATGTGCTATGTCACTTTGGTGATAATCCTGGACAACGTTTTCGAGGATCCATAATCATGATGAAGTTGAAATTTCATGTTTAGCACATTCAAGATTTAAAACACAAACAATTTACAAAAAGTTGTAGGCCTGCTCTTATATAAAGACCGTCAATACTACTGGGCCAGAAGGGATTAGACCACACAGCGAGGTCACTGACAGGTGGCTATCTCATTAAACTCAGCTCTCAACTAACATAAGAAAAAGAGGATCATGGGGGACCAACAGGCACCGATTGGGGAAGTTTTCTATATAGAGGGAGCAAGTAGCTACAAGTAGGACAGTGGGGCTATAACAAAAATATTTCGACAAGCATTGTATTGATTAGTTCCACCGAAAATATCAGATTTTATTCGTAAAAAATGTAGTATATTTTGATTGTCTTTTGTAGTATTGCTTTTGCAATATTTTTTTCTTAATTTTTTAATACAAAATTAAAGCATATTCATAACATAGGAAAATATATATCACAACAGTTACAAAATATACATGACAACAATTGCAGAAAATAAACGATAAATGTGGGAAAAAAACATAAAGTAACACATATAAGAATTATTTTTAAAACACAGTTAAACCAAATCAGGAAGAGAATTAAGGTGTATAATAAAATGAATCCCGTACCTCAACCCCAACATATTCAAGGACATATATACAAGGAAATTTCACACACAATTACACTGAGGAGAAGAGTAGAGTACACAAATGATGTAAAATATAAGTCAAGTCATATCAAATCAAATCGAAATAAGTATGCCTGTATACAAAACAGAATTTAAACTGTTTTTTTTAATGTAAAATGTGGATAAATAAACTTCAAACTTCAAAAGTGTTTGTGTGTGAGTTTCTTTCACAAATGGCAGAAAATGGGGGTATTTGGGATAATGTTTTGTATGAAATATCAACTTTTACAAATAGAGTCAACAAACTTTTTGTCTGCTCCTGAAACATGAGCATTTCAGAGCGTAAAGGCGTAATAGTTATATTGTTATATTATAATATATTGGTAATATTTCATACAATTTAAAGTTCAAATGAGCATTCATTCTTGAACATGCATGACTGGTCTACTGGTAGTTGCTTCTATGCACTATGAGCCTGAAGAACGTCTCATTTCTTTACAAAATTAATTCTTTCAAACGTGTGTTGCCTTCTCTTTTTTCGACGAACAGAGTTGGGTCTGATGATACTCCTGCACAGGAGAAAAAAAGATCAATAATTCAAATTTATTTTAAAGTGAAACCAAGAGACTATTCAGCGATTATAGCATTATTCACGGATCCACATAGATTTCTGGTGCCTGGTCCCCGCCCAAACGAAAAGATTACCTACAAAAAAATAGAAAGCCTACTTCTAAATTTAAATAGATCCTGTACTGAGGTGTTGTGGTCTTACTAGTGGATTAGTTACCCGACTGCAGATTACAAGGTACGGGGTCAACTCCCAGCAAGACGCCAACGTCTTTTGGTAAGACGTTAATCTACATTTGCCACTCTCTACCCAGATGTTAATGTGTACCCGGCAGGCGCGTACACAGATGGGGGGGGGGGGGGGGAGGGTGTTTGGCCCTTTGGTATTTTTTTTATGTGTAATCCCCCCCCCCCCCACCCCCCACCCATAACCCCCCTAATCCTCCTCCCCCTTTGGATTTTCTTCTTTTTTTGGTTAAATTTATTTATAAAAAAAAGATTAAAAAATATAAAAAAATATTCCCATGGCTGACCTAAAAAGCTGACCTTACCCCCCCCCCCCCCCCCAACGGAGCAAAATGTCAATTTTTCAAATTTCGAGACCAAAAAAAAAAAAAAAAGTGACCTCTTACCCCCCCCCCCCCCTCCCCCCCCCCCCCTGCTTATTCAGCAGTCGGCTGAGTCGTTGCGATTTTTTTGGGACCCCCCCCCCCCCCAAAAAAGTGACCTCTTATCCCCCCCCCCCCCCGCTTATTCAGCGGTCGGCTGAGTCGTTGCGATTTTTTTGGGACCCCCCCCCCCCCCCCCCCCAAAAAAAAAAAAAAAAAAAAAAAAAATGGGCTCTTATCCCCCCCCCCCCCCCCGCTTATTCGCGAATTATTTGCGAAATTTTCGGCCCGATTTATAAATGTTAACCCCCCCCCCCCCCCCTTTGAAAAAATCCTGCGTACGCGCCTGGTACCCAGTATAGAGGTGGCGAAAGTTAATGTAATTTACTCATCATTGTGGGCGTCTGTAAAATGACGCCTGACTGGAATGCTCCCCAGGGAGTGGAGAATGTGCATACATTGTGTGCGGGCAAGCCTGCATGCGATGACCGGGGTAATGATATATTTGTAAAGCGCTTAGAGACCTCGTGCATGTATCAAGCGCTACATTATAAAAGCGGAATATTATTATTATTATTACTAAAATACCTCAAGCTTTTATTTCGCTTGGTCGCTATGCTCCCTCGCAGGACATAATATTTAATCACTCAGTTACAATCTGTGCTCGCAGGGGAAAAAAGTAATGGCTGGGCCTAGGTTGCTGTCGAGTTCTCGGTAAGTCCTGCATTTCTGTCAGCAAATTTGTCAACAAATAAACATTTTCTTTCGGGTACTCTATTTTTTATGGAGGGGGCTCATTAAGGAAATATGTATTTTTGT